TAAGCTATACGCTCGTACCCTTATCGGCTGCTTTAATACGCCTTACTAGCGCTACTATCTCTACCCTTATTATAGGTATAAAGTATAACTTAATAATCTCCTAACGGAGAGCTAGTCTTAGCTTAGCGAGGAACTAACGTACGAGCTAMGCTTACGTRTAGTCTAGTTAACTCTCTAGYACTTCTAGTTTAAGGGCGAATTRCTTTACCGTTTAATYCTAGCTCTATYKAACCCTTTYRTACTTAAGCGTAACGCTAAGCGCGCGGTTYRTAGGGTYCCCGAYRGTATTACGYACGAACGATTAGAAATCCTCCTACGTATAGCTCGGCGTAAGCGCCTCGATATCGTGCTCGTTATACTACGACTCCGCGGCGTYWCCTCCTAGCTATATAACGCTATAGAGGACCTTATTATAGTTACTCTCTAGGCTAGTAGTAGTATTAGCGAAGATTATCTTAAGTTAGCGTARGAATTCGCGTGCCTCTTTAATAGAATCCCCTAAGAATAGTTTAGGATCCTTTATCTTAGGTCTTACGCCTACTCCGCTACGCGTATACGCTACGCTTAAACTCGAGGTRCTTATAGYATCCGGATCTTCCTTATAWAAGAGGCGCGTAGGCACGACTCCGCGACGGGGTATAGTAGTAGCTACGCCTACGTCGGCGCGGTCMCGATTACGCTTTATTTATTAGACTTCTAACTAAAGTTAGCGAATCGTCTCTTACTAYTATAGAGCCTRCTTCTCGCCTTCGAGGCGCTAGATTATCTTATTAGCSGTCTCTTCCTTATCGCGTTCGTTTTCTCCGTAAYCTATCGTRTCTTCGTCTAGAGTAGGCTATATAGGCTCTACGGTAGCGACTTCTTCGAYATCTCCGTAATTAGGGAGTTCTTCGACGCGTTCTTCTTCGTAGCGCTACTCGGGAGTAGTCGCTTCGCGGGCGGCGCGCCTAGGGGCTATTTCGTTAGGATCTAATAGATCGCTACCCTTAGAGAGGAAGAAGAATTAGAATTATAAGGGTAAAGATGTAGCAATGTATTAGACACCCGTAATYMCTCGATTAGAGATAAGACTAATTCTTATAGGTTAAATGTGCGCTATACGTAGGAGTTATACATACGCTAAGCCTACGCTAAGCAGTTAGGYTATATTATACTCCCTTCTCTAAGGTTAGTTAATCTAGCTACCTCTATTAATCCTGTTATTATAAGGGCTCTTATACGGCCCTTATACCGCTAGTATAGAAGCTATTATAACCTTAATCTACGCTCTCGGCGTTTCTAATCTTTAAACTCCTACGTAGAGCGAACGGCTCTAATTTTATATCTAATCCGTATACTAGCCCTTATCTATACGCTATCGCTAATACCGGCAATATCGATAATAGCGACAAACTCGTTAAGTAGTAGCTTCTTAATTAACTAAAGGGCGGCCTATATAGGTTCCCCCTACTACTCTCTTCTCTATATATAATAGTCTATAAACTTATCTACTTTATCCTTAACCTTAGGCTATAAAGAGGGCGGCAATATAGCATTACGAGGGCCTAGAGTTAGAGTAGTAGATAGAGCTAAGTTGTAGGTAATTATCGTATTACTACTTAAAGCGTGTTCGCTTTTAACCTTACGTACGTTGTTAATACCTCCCTTACTAGTAAAACCACGCTCTTTTATAAGGACGAGGTTACGGATAATAGCACTACTTAGATCCTCTATAATAAGCCGCCCTTCTATAACACCCTTCTACTACGCTATAAGTTAAGGCTTATATATAGGGAAATGCGTAGTAGGATAGTTACGAGCGTCTAAAGGAATAAAATAGTTATAACCGTAGTTCCTATAGTTGCGGTTCTTACACGTCTACCGGCTAGTAATTACCTCTAAGTAATTACTATTAACACGTATACCCTCTTAATTCTACGGTAGGCTAGCAAGCTATATTATAGTAGCCGTCCGTTAAGTAGCTAGAGCTAGTATTAAAGGAACAACTATAGTAGGCTCTAGTTTAATATCTACGGTAACTCTAAGCTCTATTCTATTCGCCCTATAAAACAACTCTAACTACTAGATAATGCTATGCTAGCTACGCTTATCCTTCTAGGTAATCTTTACTATATTGCTAGTAGCGAGTCCTTAATAGGCRGCCGTAAGTTTACCGCCCTTTAAAACGCCCTTTATATCGATAATACTCTCGTTAATCTACTTACTAACTCTCGTAGTTAAGTCCTTATTACTAGTTACAATCTACGTGTTATTAATACTCTCTTTCCCTCGGCGATAATATAGGCTAATTCGATATTAGAACGGCGCCGGCTCCTTATCTTCTAAGCTGTCTAAAGATATAAATAATAATATAGAACGCTACTACTATAAGGGTTGCGCTAAGGGCGGTAGCACGGTTTAGCTCTTACGCGATACTATCGTTTTCTTCTTCTTCTTCTTCGGCGGCTCCTTCTTACTAATACTAATACTAGCGACACTAGCCGTCCGTTTTAGCTTCCTTAGATTACTAAAGTAAGGCAGGCCCTCTACCGCTAACCTCTAGTTTAGAGCCGTAGTATTACGCTTATCCTTATTACGCTAATACACCTTATATTAACGCTTCCGCTACTTCTTAATAGATATCTAGTAAAGCTTAGCTTCTATAGTAATAGCCTATTCCGCCTCTATAGTAGTAATATAGTACCGCTCTATAGTTCTATTACTTCTATCTTACTAATAGACGAGGCTAGCAACTCGCTCTAAGAGCTCTTAAATTAATATCCTTATAGGCTTATCTACTACTTCTACCTTATCCTTATCCTCCGCGCTCTTTATAGCCTCTATATCCTCCGAAGTTTCTATATCCTCTACGATATCGTCTAGTTCTACGGACTATACTACTACCGGTTCCGCCTCCTTTCTTCGCGACGGCCTAAGGGCTCTAATAGTAGCGTTATAAGCCCTCCGAGAGCTAGCGCGCTATAAACGGCGAGGGTTATTTATAGTTAGTAGCGATAAGGGCAATTAGAACGCGAGAGGTTTATTTTCGGTGTCTATATAATTACTATTATTCGGAACCTCTATAATAGCCTCTATATTAAAAACGATAATAACACCTTCTAAGAAGCCTTAGCAACAACACGATAGTTATATCGTCCTAATTAAGACGGTTGGGGATAGTAGAGGCCCTATAGGCCAATTTACTACTAGAGGGCCCTCGAGCTTCCCCGCGGAGGAGAGCCCGAGGGGTGGTGCACGTGTTAATCAAACCATTCTAGTCCGACACATGCCTGTCGTCCGAGTAGAGTTTTCTTGTCGTTGCCCCCGACGCAACAGCAACCCCAAGGTACCTATCAAACAGCCAACAACATGGCCACTAACGAGAAATTGCAGTCTGACGATGCTCTAGTCGTCAACATTGGCACACGTAGATCGCAGCTTGCCATTTCACAGGTTGACACGATCATTGCGCAGCTAAAAGCAGCCGCTCCTGGACCACAATACAGAATGCAAGTAGTAAGCACCATGGCCGATGAGAATCAAATCAAGGCCTACCAGGATTTCAACTCCAAAAGTATCTGGACGGCGGAGCTGGAGCAGTTGCTGGCTGGCAGAAAAGAAGCTCGATGTTATTGTACATTGTCTTAAAGGTAGTACATCCTGCAAGCACGGCACCTGTATATTTGCCATGTGTTCTGACTCTCCGAAGACATGCCCGCATCCCTTCCCCAATCATGGTAAGCATGTATGTATTGTCTCAAAAAAGGACCCTGGAGTTTGGCGGCCCTCAAAGACGCACACTCATTGATGATCTACTGTAGCATGTTCAGTACGATCTGTAAGCGAGRGGATCCGCGGGATGTCGTGGTTATGAGGACCGACTCTCCTTTTCAGTCACTTCAGCAACTGCCAGCAGGATCAACTGTTGGCACATCTTCTGTTCGACGAAAAGCCCAGATCGCACACTTATACCCCCAACTCAAATGTGCCGACATCCGCGGAAACCTCAACGCACGGCTCCGAAAACTCGACAATGACACTCGATATGACTGCTTGCTTCTTGCCGCTGCTGGTCTCAAGCGCATTGACTTGGAACCTCGCATTAGCCAATACCTCAACAGCGAGGATGGCATGCTCTATGGCCTGGTCAGGGTGCACTCGGTCTTGAAATCCGGAAGGGTGACACAGAAATGGTCTCTCTGCTGGATACCCTGACTCATCTTCCAACCACTCTGGCATGTACAGCAGAGAAGAGTCTACTCAAGACGCTCGAAGGCGGCTGCAGTGCTCCTATTGGTGTGGCCAGCAGTTGGGAAGACGGCCGTTCGCTATGCCTAAGAGCCCAGGTCCTCAGCATAGATGGCAAGGAAATTGTCGAATCGAGCATACAAGCATTCGCTAGCACCCTGGAGGAGGCAGAGGCCATCGTAGATGAGCTCGCTAAGCGGATGATTGACCTAGGCGCAGACAAAATTCTTGCGGACATTCGGACTGCTAATACTCCTTGATAAACAACCTAAGGTGGGACTGGCATCTCTTTAAATTATCCACAATGCGAGCCATACAGCAGAAGAATGCAGAATGTCGCTCATTTTGCCGTTTCGAAGGCTGCAATCTTTGTGGTGGCCGATGTTGCCATGGTTGTGCAATTGGGCGGTCGGTTCGAATTGCTCGAAGCAGTATGTTCATTGTCGTGTGTGTCTCCTCGCGAATCAAAATGCAAGTATTCGCGCCATAGAAGTCTTCTGAGCTGAAACGMCCGAGAAGTCCAATGAAGCATCTTTGTAACTTTTACCACCACATCAGCACCCAACTTGGAAGTGACATGAGGATTGCTCTCTGCGCCTCAGAGGCTGTCTCACGGGAGCCTCTTTAAAGACCTGGTGGACAAGCTGCCGTTGGTGCCGTTGCAGAGGACCCAAACTACTATCTATAAGCTCTATTTGCTTTGGCCAACAGCAGGCCTGTGTCGATCTTTCCGGGCAAACTTTCGTAGCACCTACATGGACTGAAATGTCGCCAAGTAGATAGTAGATGTAAGAGAAAAGGGTATGAGGCGAAGTCCTGGAGCTACCTACTTCCGTTTGCGAGCCCGTTCTGGGATAGGTGCAACTGAGGGGCGGGTCAATTTACAGACATCAGTCTTGGGTAGTGTAGCAGCGCGTTGTCTCGAATGCCAGCGAAGGGCCTGATTGTGTCAAGCGGTCTCAATATGCGTGCAACAAATCTGCCGACATCGCTCGTTCAGGATCACGTCGCTCGTTCAGTCGACGTACATTTGGTTCCTTAGGTTGTGCAGGAAACCGTATCCGCTTCCACCCTCGCTGGTCAGCTGCGAGGAATTAGCGTTTCCATACCTCAAATCATAGCCGCGCGCAGGCGACACTCCGGGCCTCCTCGTATTGGGGCCGTTGGTTCTGCCAACAGTTCTCTCCTTGCTGTCAACGAGTTTCTGCAGAGAATCGACGAGCTTGAGACGCGCTTTTTCTTCTGCCGTGCCTTTCCAAACATCTGCCAGTGCCCGCAGTTCATCGACTCGCGCATTGGCCGCTTCTAGACCCTCGGAGCCGGTTGAAAGGAGGGCATTGATCTCGCTGCGAAGGCTGTCCGCAAATTCCTTGCCCTTCTCTTCGCGGCTCCGGTTGTCCTCACCGCTTTCTGGCGCGGAGACGGATATCAGCGACGACGTCAATGACAACTCGGACGGAGCGATGGGCCACTGCATCGCAGAGCCGAACGTCTTGATGACCGCTTCCAAACGCCCACGAACTGTACTCAATGTGCGCAGCCGATCTAAGAACTCGGGCTCCGGTGCGGCAGTATCATCCACTATGTTCGCCGTAGCGCCTCCGACGTGGTGGCTATCCTCAGCTGCCACTCCCCTACGAGCGTTCCGATGTGCGTCGTCCACGCTCCGTGGCGCGAGTGCTTCAATGTCTTTTTTCAGCTCGTTCTCCAACGTATCAGTGAGTCCCAGAGTCTCTCCTCTAAGTACTTCCACCTCGTAGGCCAGTCGACTGCCGCTCCGTATAATCTCATCCGYGAGCTGCGTCAAAGAGTTGGMAAGCCTCGAAGTCTGAACATTGAGTTGCGACAGCAGCGTCTGCAGCTGGGCAGACAAATCGGCCAAAGGGACAGCTTGCACTCCTCTGATCGGAGTAGAGGAGGTTGACAGGGTCGGGAGCGCGGTGTTAAGGTAGTCTGCTGGGTCGAAATCGAGCTGCAGGAATGGCTGAATGCTACTGTCGGAGACATGTGTGGAACGCGGCTCGATCTTGTGGGGTGACGGTTTCGTTGTCGTCGTCGATGCCGTCGCCATGGCGAATTCCTCTTCTCGGAGTGTGAGAGCCCTGGAGAGAGATAGAGAAAGGGTGGGAGTGCACTGAGGTGCCTGCCTGCTGGCAATGTGTAGAATAATGCAGGGTTACCTTCAATACATTCCATTCCGGGCTTGGTCCAACTTCGAGTTCGAAGCTAAAAGTTCTGCTGCCTCCGCCCAGGCCAAGGGCACACCTCAGGCTGCGTTCACCTGCCTTACTCTTCCAACACGAACTTCCGACCATTTAGCTGGGCGGTAATCGTGACTGATCCTTCATCATCACACATTGCCTTCTCCCAACACGTGCACAATCACTTCGTAGGCAACTCTGACTTTCTCATTGTGTCCCGCCTTTCTACAACCACCAGAAGCAACAAGCGACAGGCAACACAACAGCAACTTCGCCCGTCTTCGTAGGTCTCACAATCGCGTCCTGCGCGCCTCGCATCTTCCTTTCTTGCTCTTTCAACATTCAGCAATCATTCACCGCAGAGGAGCTCACTATTAGGCACCCGACTGCTCCACTCCGGATTTCTGACCGTGCCGCACCTTACCTTTCCGACATGTCAACCGCTGTCACTCAATAAACTCTACCACTCTGACAATCTTCATCTCGGCTTCCCGCAATCTTCATCTCGAATTCGAATTCCATACCACACAACACACTCGTTCAACAAGTCCGTCGTCGCGAGGACCGCGCCTTCGCGATGCCTCGCCGACAATACATGGCCGACCTGGCCACAGCCAGCGCGGGAGCCCTGCCGCCAGGCATCACAGATGTCAAGCCCGGCGAGGATGATGGCATGTTCGACTTCATTTTCACCGACGCTCTCGGATCCGCGGTCACAGTTACGGCCATGGTGACAGATCTGTCCGCATACCCCAAGACCCACGAGTACATGCTTTTTTGCGGCGACAACACATCCCAAGCCATCTCCAATGCAGTTCAGGATGTGCGCGAGAAGGATCGGAAGACCGTCTTCGAGCTACTGGACATTGTCTCCGCCGCACTCTCCCGGAGGGTGGACAAGGACGGCGACTCACAGATGCAGGATCTCCAGCACGAGGACTCCGAGCAGTCTGAAAGCGACGATGACAATTACGTCTACGATTCTGACCACGAAGACTTCGCAATCTCCATGCCAGTTAATGGTGCTTCGGTGGCAGCGGAGGGCCCGTCGACCAATGGATCGTCAACCTCGACCCGAGAGTATCGACAGCGCATTCGATCGGACTTGCGTGCCGCGAAGGAAGCCGGCTTTAAGGTTGGCTATCTGGGTGATCTTCTCGACGGTGGGAATGCCTACGTGACTATCTCAGTGCGCGTCGCCAAGCTCGGTATCTCCGACGAAGCAATGCAGGCATGGCAGGTCGAGCCAAACAGTTACCTTATCCTCATCATCCAGTACCCGAATGGCTACAAGACCAACGAGAACTTCCAAAGAATCAACAGTCACCATCTCTCATCAAACTTGGGCATGCGGGTGGTTACTTGTAAGCGTTACAAGCCCACACTACAGGACGCCATCAAAGCCTTCAGCATCGTGCGCGAGGACGGTCCCGGCAAARATCAGCACGCCGCGAACCCTGAAACCTCTCTCCGCGATACTTTCATCTCGAAGCCCCTCGCAAAAATGCTTCAGGAGCGTCTTGTGCCTATACTGTGCTTCCGTAGCAGTGGGATGGACTGGCAGGGCGCAGAGGGTTGGTACCAGCAGATGGCCAGCGCTGGTGGGAAAGATCAGAACGACATCCCGGCAGAATTCTTTGTGCCAGAGTGTCCGAACAACGCACTGCCGCACATTGTTAATGCGGACCACTACAGCACTCCCGACAAAAAGTCATATTCTTTCCCTCTACTTGCTATGCAGTTCACGCTGCGCCATTTCGCACGCTGTACCGAATTTTGTCTCGTCTGCCATCAAAAGCTCGATAACGACGTGGAGGCTATTAAGCCATATGTCTGTGATCGTGGCCTTTGCCTCTTTCAACTCCTGTCGCTTGGTTTTGGTCCAAGCATTGAGCACGAGGTTATGGCACAGCCGTACGTATTCCTCGTCGTTCTCTTTAACCAAAAACAGGTCCCTGACAGTGCGAGAGCCGCACTGAACCCGAGAGCACCACAGAGAGAAAGCGCTAATTGGTTGTCTAGGTACGTCGTTGATCTCCTGGTCTCCTTCTGCTACAACAGCGCTGCCGCGCGCAAGCTCAGGACTTTTCCGGACGGTCTTGACCTTATGGTGAGTATTCGGCCAGCGTGCCTCCAAAGCCCTCTCGTCTTTTGTGAAGCTGCCGAGTCATCCCTAACTTACACATAGGTACCTCCCATCGACTTAGCCGCCTACAACATCTTGGACCCACTGACGGCACAATACCGAGCGGCCTATGGACCCGTGCCACCACCCGCTGCTCCCACTGTCAAGAAGGACTTGCCTACTTATCACGTWGGCTTCGATCAAAAAACCCTTGAGCTCATCTTCGACAAGTCCGCTGGTTGCCCTGTGCGACGCGGAACTTGGATTGTACTCACAAGCGAGGCCAAAAAGGGCATGGATCTTCATTGTCGCGTTGTTGAAACCGCATTCTTTCCAACGATCACTATTGATCAGCCTGTTCTGGTCAAGCAACAACGAGCCACGGTCGATCCGCAGACTCCAGCAGCTACCCGACCGGCTAGCCCGGCCTCTTCGCACTGTGTGCCGGCAAAGTTCCAGGCCTATGAGCAAAACTTTGCCGAGCTCGATCAAGGTGACAAGTGCATTGCCATTTGCAGGCTTCTGGACACCCTCCCGAATGTAATGGCTATGCGAGACTATTTGTCTACTAGACATCCAGCAGATCTTTCCAATTGGGTCGCGCGTATCCAACCACACGCATTGAGCTTGCTTCGCTGGATAATTGCAAGTAACAGATCTTGCATCATGCAAGTGGATGGTGATCTAGCTGGTGCAGCTGCTCCGAGCAGGCAGCAGGATCGAGTGTTCGGCATGAAAGGTCAAATGCAGTTCCGGTTCGCTATGGGAGCCCCTGACAAGGAACAACGTTTTATCACCGAAGTACGCGAGACCGAGCAGCGTCTCAGCCTCAAGTTCCCAACCCTCTTTGCGTGGCATGGCTCCCCGCTCGCTAACTGGCACATGATTATCCGAGAGGGTTTGAACTTTAACGAAACGGCTCACGGACGGGCGTTTGGCCATGGCGTCTACCATTCGCAAGAAGCGGCGACATCGCTGGGATATTCGAACATGTAAGTGACCTGTGGTGGTGCGGAAGTTGCGGTCTCACGGTAGAAAGCGAGAGCCGWACCAGTCGATAGGCTGTCGTGCGCATACAGAAGATCACCACCCCTGAAAGACCGATTTTATCATTGCTAACTTTTTTTAGGCACAACTACGGTGCTGTTGCGAGTGGCGGACCCCGTCAAGGAACTTGGMCAAGCAGCGTCTTGAATATCAGCGCGGCTATGGCGCTGAACGAGATTGTCAATGCACCCCAGGAGTACACAAGCAGTGCTCCACATCTCGTTGTAAAGCAACTAGATTGGATCCAGACCCGCTACCTGTTTGTTCAGGTTAGTCCAACAGAGGAGACTCTGAAGATCCCTGACGTGGAGGTCAGGCCAGCGCACGCTCACCCACAGGATCCGAGCCGCACGCCTCATGGTATGAGTGGAGAGAAAATTGTGATTCCTGCCACGGCCATCAAAACTGGAAAAGCAGCTCAAGTCGTTGATTCGAAGGGAAGCGCGCCTAACAAGCCGCGTCCTCAGAAGAAACTGAAGGTCTACGGCGGCCAGAGTAACCCGGTCGTTCTTGACGATGATGACGACTGTGCGAGCGCTGTGACGGATGTGGATGATTTGGAGGTTCTGTTTGACGAGCCAGACGAGCCAGCCCCTTTTGCTCAGAAGGAGGCGCCGGCAGAGAAGCCGAAGAAAACTGACACAGCCACCGACTTCGTTCCGGGGTCGCTTGACTTTGCAAAGCTCCCAGTGATGCCAGTGCCTACTTACGCACAGTCTGCGACGACGAAACGCCTCATGAAGGAGCTACAAAGCTTGCAAAAGGTCCAACGTGCAACACCGATCGTCGAGCTGGGCTGGTACATCGACATTGACAAGATTGAGAACGTCTACCAGTGGATCGTGGAGCTTCATTCCTTCCACACATTTGAACTCAACGGCAAGAAGCTTCCTCTCTCCGAAGACATGAAGAAGCGGAAGATTACCAGCATCGTGCTGGAGGTGAATTTCAACAAGGATTTTCCATTCACACCACCATACGTGCGGGTGATCCGCCCACGATGTCTGTCTCTCATGCAGGGAGGCGGCGGTCACATTGTGATGGGGGGAGCCATGTGTATGGAACTGCTCACTAATACGGGATGGTCCAGTGTCTCGTCGATGGAATCTGTCCTCATGCAGGTCCGCTTGGCGATTGCGTCTGAGCCGTACGCTCGTTTGGATCTCTCTGGAGCACACGGGGGTGATTATGGTACTATGGAGGCTGCCGAGGGATATCTGCGGGCATGCCAGACGCATGGTTGGACTGTTCCCCCAGGTTTCAAGGAGATGGCCTACGCGAATCGTCAGATCTGATGCTGGCGAATTTGCGCTACTTTCTTAGCGAGGCGTTCGGGCGGCTCTCATCTAGGAAGAGGGCTTGCAAACTGCTAGATTGAGCTTACGATATTACGAAAAGACCGGTTTTGTGGACACACTTACGTTCCATGTCGATTATGCGGATTGTTAATAAGTGCCAATGCGGAACGGATGCATATCTAATTGTTTCGTCCTCTTCCATATCTCCCATATCATCCTTTGATTGAATGAGCGATGGTTTTGCAATTGTTGTTCACTTCCATAGCTACTTTTGAGCTTCTCAGCGCCGTGCATGCGATCAGCAATGGTTCAAAGGTGCCTAACAAATGGGAGGAATGAGGTCAAAGCGGAGGGAATCCGTGTACATCCATTACGAATCTCTTCATCGCCGACATAAATGGCGTTGAGGGAGAGGTTGTGCTGGGCTTCGATAACGCTTCTCACCACGGCGTGTCCAAGCTCTACCCACACTTGATGGTATACCCGGACGATATGCTGATCGTATCAAGAATTCGAGCTTTATGATTGACGGCGAGACCTATAGGGGTGATGCGGACGAACATGGAGGGCTGAACACAGTCTATGTAGGTTCTGATGGATGGGTTTATCGAAACTGGACACTAGAAGCTCACGTCAGATTCAACGACGGTTCGTTGATGCATGCTCATTCCGTCGGCTCATTCGCAATTAATATGCCTCCTGTTCTCGCTTGTCCCAGACGGCAAKGAAAGCTTCCCTGGCGATGAGCATCTTCCAAAGTCAAGGGTGTTTTCGTGGTGCACACTGCCGACCTATACGGTTCTTTCATCAGATACTCTCACCCTGCACCAATGGCACCTTAGGATGGGCGCGATCGCCACGACGAAGAAGTCTCCAATTATGCTGACTTCGCACGGCTGTGGGAACCCAGACGGCTACCAGAATCCCTCAACGCCACAGGTGCTGAACCATACTTTCCGCGCGCCTTATGCAAAACGCCGTATAGATACTGATGGGATCCAGATCCCGACTGGCAAGATTCTGAAGAACGAAAAGCATGGTGGGCATGACTGGACGAAGCCAAGACATATAAGGAGTGGTTTCTCATCTCCAGCTTTACTAGGAAGCTGTGGAACCGGATTCATAGGATACGTCAATTGCTTTCTTGCTGACCGGAACACCCAGCTTGTCTGGCATTCAGCCGCGGCGACTCTGGCCAGCTCGTTCTCCGGAATTCAACTCGACGTATACACGGACCAGTAGGCTCTGCAAGTATACACCTGCAATATCATGAAGTGAGTCATATCCGGATAAGCGTGCAGCTATCGCTAATCTCCCGTCCTGTGATAGCGGAACGTTTGCCGTCAAAGAAACGTAGGGCTTCTTTGACGATGGTTTGCGACCACGCGTGTCGAAGAAGTTTGGATGTATAGTCATCGAGGTGCAGAATTGGAATGATGGGATGAACAATCCTCAGTGGGGTCGTGACGCGACGCAGATCATTATTGGGCCAGTGGACGAGCCATGAGTTTTGCAAGCAACGTACACCTTCCCATTGACCCAATTGAATCTACCTGTCGATGTGAAGGGATATTAGGCGATGGAATGGGCGAAGGCTGATGTTTGAGGATAACAACGATTGAGGGCTCAGTGCAATAGAGTCGATGTCCCACCAAGCCGATGGATGGCTACCTACCGTATGTGCCTTGCGCGCGGTGTTTCACATATCCATGCAACGCGAACTTTGATCCTTGGTCTCGAATTATTCGCCCTCATCATGCCGTGCGTTTGGTGGTTTGACTCAGGAGACAGATGACGTGTGATGGTTGAGGCTGATTGGTTTGCCGTTTCTGAGGCTCCGAAATTAACGTGTATCAAGAGATGATCGAATGCGACTCGCGAAAAGATGCGAGCGAGCAGGCACGCCTGGTGATTATAGCATGGGAGGAGAGTAACATTAGCGGTCGGGATGCGCGTGTACAATGCCAATTAGTGGWTCCAACGAGAAAGCGAGCTGAATGCTTGCGATCGTCGTTGGTCATCCAGCCACGATTTGTCCATGATTGAACCTTTTGCACACCCTAGAACTAGAACTATCTCTCCGCCATCAATCCCCTCCCACTTCACCCACCCTGCTTGACACCATCGACGACGCCCATTTCCGAGCAACCAGAACCTCTTTCAAACAGTGAGTGCTCTCATTTCTGCTTTGCAAGTGTGCGACGAACGGCACTCATCACCACCCCGCGAATCACGCAATCGCTGTTTGTATGAAACGAGGAGGCCGAGCACAAGGAGGCAGATGCCGTGGGCAAAAGCAGCGCGACAGCGGCGGCGTGGTCGGCATGTTGCGCGAGACGGCGGCGGCGAGGGCTCGAGGCACAGAGGCAAAGACGCTCCTGCCCTCCCGGCGGCACCTGTCGCAATTGCATAGCGATTGCTGTAGTGCGGCTTCCAATTCCCAGAGCCACGAGATCGACTGCTTGCCTTACCTCGCCTGCGGACCTCAATGCAATCAGCTGCGCACGCGTTGTTCCAGTCGCATTTTTCGCTTCCAAACCCACCCCACGCACACTGCACACTTCTTCAAAACCACCAACTGATTCGCTCTGCGGCAGATTCCTGAACGCACCTGACCGCCACAATGGGTTACGAAGACTCCGTCTACCTCGCCAAGCTCGCTGAGCAGGCCGAGCGCTATGAGGGTATGTCGTGCCCATCGCCCGCTCCCCGCGCTTCGTCACGCTGACCGCCCTCAGAAATGGTCGAGAACATGAAGGCTGTCGCCTCGGCTGACCAGGAGCTTTCCGTTGAGGAGCGGAATTTGCTCTCAGTCGCCTACAAGAACGTCATCGGTGCCCGTCGTGCTTCTTGGCGCATTGTGACTTCTATAGAGCAGAAGGAGGAGAGCAAGGGCAACGAGCAGCAGGTTACCCTCATCAAGGAGTACCGCCAGAAGATTGAGGCCGAGCTTGCGAAGATCTGCGAGGACATCCTCGAGGTTCTGGACAAGCACTTGATCCCCTCCGCGCAGAGTGGCGAGTCGAAGGTCTTCTATCACAAGATGTACGTGTGCAGATACCATTGTGAAATGCGAGGATGCAAGCTGATGGCGATGCTTTTCTAGGAAGGGAGACTACCACCGCTACCTCGCCGAGTTCGCTATGGGCGACAAGCGTAAGGAGTCTGCCGACAAGTCTCTCCAAGCGTACCAGGCTGCCACCGAAGTCGCCGGTACCGATCTCGCGCCCACTCACCCCATCCGCCTCGGCCTTGCCTTGAACTTCTCGGTCTTTTACTACGAGATCCTCAACTCTCCAGACAAGGCTTGCCAGATGGCCAAGACCTCTTTCGATGAGGCTATCGCTGGTTCGTGATTCATTGAGCAATCGGGCGAGGAGGATCGTCGATGCTGACTGCTTTTCAGAGCTCGACACTCTCTCCGAAGAGAGCTACAAGGACTCCACCCTCATCATGCAGCTCCTCCGTGACAACCTGGTATGTGAATTCCCACGCTCCTTACGTCCACACTCGCTAACATGCCATCGCAGACTCTCTGGACATCGTCCGAGGCCGAGCCATCCGGTGAGCCAGCCGCTGCAACCGAGGGCGAGTCCAAGGACACCTCCGACGTACCAGCTGCAGAGGACACCAAGCCCGCACAGTAGTTTCATACACCAATCATCCTCGGTACACCAAAGGCCTAGCGAAGTGCAGAGAGCACCTACTTAGCTGGAGGCGGAGGATTGTTTCCTTTACTCTTTGGGCGTAGAGGTCGGAGGCGGCGATGGGAGAGGACATGCATCACGACGGACGGTAGCTCTTTATGCCTACAGACCTTGACATCAAACAAAAATCCTGAAAGTCACCATGTTATCACCCTCGCTTCACTAACGTTTTGTGTGCTCAAGTTGAAGCACTGCGCGTAAAATCATCACCTCGCAGCTTTGCAGGTCGCTGCGTGACTCGCCTGTCGCTGGCAACCCGGTGACTTTGGGCAGCAGCGAGCAGCAGCAGCAATCAGCAGCAATCAGCAGATATAGGTGATGGAAGCTTAGCTGATATCACGGCACTTGCTTCCCGCTGCAGTTCCCTGCACTGCATCATACCAAGCCGTCGGTGCCGGCTGTTCAAACGATAAAGAAAGACTTCACATGCTGCGGGTGCTGACGATTCTGCGTTTGCCTATTTTGCGGGACCGCAACTCTCTCGAGGTCGAGGGGCCACGTTACTACGTCCTGGTTGGGCGGGAAGCGTTGCCATGATTCCCGGACAAAATTGACGACATGGTGCGCCGCGATGCTGGAATGGAGCGTACGGGTACGCCCTGGCGCGATACTCGAGTCACGGCAGCGGTCGTTGCTCAGTAATTAACGGTCTCATCAGCGGAAGCGTTTCTCCCCTTCAACCACAGCATTGTGCGGGTGCTTGTCTTGAGAGTTTAGTAAGAGAGTTTTGCCCTCCCGGCCTCTTCCCCCACCTGCGTCGTTCCTCGAGTCTTGCTTGAACCGACCACCACACCCTCTCAGCATCGAATTCATCCCCTTGTGCGTCAGTTTCGCGGGCAGCAGGTGTTTTCGCGGCGTCGTCCTTCCGTTCTGGTGAGTCTGCATCCCCCCCTGCGGGCATCCGGAGTGCGCCGCGCGAGCAGTCGCAGTGAAGGTCGCCGCGCTCGCGGATCCTTGTCCAGGACATTGACAGCACGTCTGGCCGCTTCAAATTCATCCAGGTTATTGGGACAGCGCGGCGCATCGCAAATCCTCCCTCCGTCCCGCCGCCTTGCTTGCGATCTGTCCGGCTGACGCATTTCTCAGAGTTCCCACGAATTCCGATACTACTTCACCTGGCCTCGCGTGCCTTGTTCATTTCGTAGCGACCTTCACGTGCGAATTCCCGAAGACTTCCACAGCCTCCGGCGCAGCACTCGCTCTCCCTTCGCCCTCACGAGTCACGGCCGCACAGCATACTTATTGCACCTCGCGGGTTAGTCACTCCACCGCGGCTGCGCGCGCATTCACTTCACTTCCGTGCCTCACTGACACCGTCGCCGCCACAGGCACCAGCAAACTCCGTTACTAAGCAGCTTCACGCGACGCCCTCTCCAACAACTTATTCTACCACTGCGCCTCGGCCTCCACTACATCCACAATCAACACCATGAGTTTCCCCAACTTTGAAGGCGGCGCGCAGCCCCCTCAGCAAGGTGGCGAAGAGCAAGGTGGATTCGGCGCAGCTCCCGGCGCATCCCAACAGCCGCAGTCCATGGGCCAGCAGATGGATCCCTCTCAGCAGCAAGGCCAGTTCCAGGGCGTTCCTCAAGGCGCGGCACCTGGTCCAGGCGGCCCACAGCCAGGCGGCGATCAAAAGACGACGCTTTGGTAAGTACTGCAATTCGGGCGAGCGGATACATGAGACTAAGACTCGACAGGATGGGCGAGCTGGAGCCATGGATCGATGAGAACTTCGTGCGCAGCGTATGGTTTGGCATCGGCTACCAAGTCAATGTAAAAATGATCCGGGACAAGTTCTCTGGGTAAGCAGTCTCCCCATTCAGCTCTTTCGACTTGAGTCGCACCCAAAGACAGTTTTAACTTTTACAGAAGCAACGCCGGATACTGCTTCGTCGATTTTGAAAACCCAGACCAGGCCACTCGTGCCCTCCAACTCAACGGACAGGTGATTCCCAACTCGAATCGCCAGTTCAAGCTCAACTGGGCTTCCGGCGGTGGTTTGGCCGACCGCAGCCGTGACGATCGCGGGCCGGAGTTTTCTATCTTCGTGGGCGATCTTGGCCCGGAGGTGAATGAGTACGTCCTCATGTCGCTCTTCCAGGGCAAATACACCTCGTGCAAGTCTGCCAAGATCATGTCAGATCCCATCAGTGGCATGTCGCGCGGCTACGGGTTCGTGCGATTCGCCGACGAGAGCGACCAGCAGAAGGCTCTGCACGAGATGCAGGGCGTCTACTGCGGCAACCGACCGATGCGCATCTCCACCGCGACTCCCAAGAACAAGAGCGGCGCCGGTGGCCCACCCATGGGCGGCATGCAGCCTGGCCCAGGTGGCCCAGCAGGCAACCCTGGCATGGGTATGTACTCGATGGGTGCTCCACCAATGGGCTATTACGGTGCTCCTCAGCCGATGAACCAGTTTACCGACCCAAACAATACCACCGTTTTCGTCGGCGGTCTCTCCGGCTACGTCACTGAGGATGAGCTCCGTTCTTTCTTCCAGGGCTTTGGCGAGATTACCTACGTCAAGATTCCCCCCGGCAAGGGCTGCGGTTTCGTTCAATTCGTTCAGCGACATGCCGCAGAGATGGCTATCAACCAGATGCAGGGTTACCCAATCGGCAACTCGCGCGTGCGCTTGAGCTGGGGACGTTCGCAGAACAACTCTGGTCCAGCGGGCACTCCATACCGCCCAGCCCCACCACCACCAGTCTATCCGTCCATGGGTATGGCTCCTCAGCATCCCTACGGTAACTTTGCACCGATGAAGGTACGCGTTCTCTTTCCCACCCCGCTCTCAATCTCAATCTTATCCGCTAACACACGTTGCAGTAAGCGCTTTTCGTCCTTATGCCTTGAGTGAGATTGCGACTTTAGCGGGAGTTGGTCGAAGGATTATACGATCTGCCTTTTACTACTGCGCGTTTCTTACGACGACCCACGAGGACGACGATGAAGACAGCACGAACGATCTCTATCATTTGGCACGATTCATTTTACGGGCACAAGGGGCGGTCAGACTGCTGGGAGCACAGAAAAGTTCCTTCCTTTCCAACATCACGCGGCACCACATCACACACAAAGAAACGAACGACACACTTGATACTGTCATCACCATCTACCCCCCCAACGATCCCCATTTGTTTGCTGCATACCTGCGGCCTTGCTTTCTGTACAACAGATGGCCAGCAGCCCGGCGCGCGGAAGAGGATGGCTGATTAGCTTTAGCTGGCTTTGTCTTCGCGAGAAGACGGGCTGGACGTCTTCTATGTTCCTGGTTCGGGATACAGCAGCTTTTCAAAATTGTTTTCTTATCCCAACGTTCCTCCTCCATTGCTCATCGTCTGTTGCGTCGCTATACTTCATCGTGTACATTAGCGTGCGGCGGGTTGTTCGAACTCCGCGTAGAGTCTGAACTGGTCTCTTGGAAAGCTGCTGACGTTTGTCTCGCACCTAGTAGTCAGCCAAAATATGCGGCGGGATAGGGATGGATCTCGGAGGAAAGTGAGGTTGGAACCGCCTGAATAGTAACGATTTACCCAAACGTAGCCTGTAAGTCAACGCCACCAAGGAGATCTGGGCAGAGAGGACAGACTGCGACTCCGTCAAGGCTACTGTAAGTGTGAATTCTTTGCGTAGTCGTTGTCGTTGTCTCCTTCCGTGTTGTTGCAGTTGCCTTTTGTAAATTGCCACCAGGCCCTCTTTCCAATTATCTTTCTCTGTCGCGAAGACTCTCGCGAGCGCCAACCTCAACCTCAACATCACCGCCCACTCAAACCCTCAGCAGAAGAATTTATGACCAGCACCCAACAAATCAATACGCGACCGGCAAAGCGCGATGCGATACGAGCATTGGGATGTATTGGCATTTCCGGCGAGCAACATGCCTTGCGCACCACTTCCAGAATACTCGACCAAATGCGCCGCCATACGTGACAATGCGCTCCGAGCAGCGGTATCGGACGAAGGTCAGCAGACACCGGGAGTGGAAATGGACCAGATAGCCTGCTTACGCTTCGCAGGCGGTATTACACCCTTGCTGACGTGTTTCCTGCCTGCTCTACGAGCAGACGAACCGTTCCAGATCTCGGTGCACAACTGGCTTGCTCAGCCATCTTTCGGTTATGAACGTACGATCGGAAATGGATCCAGCAAGCAGGTCTGGCAGGTCAGGATCGACATTGATGGCACCTGCATAGCGTGAGTATTTCGCTTGGCCGCCTCAATCTCGAATGTTGAATTTCGTTGACCGRGTCTAGTGTCGAGCGATACGTAGCAGGTGTGGTTTGGCCGCAGATCATCTGTGAGTGTTTCTTCGCCGTTCTGCGACCTGAGACTGACGAAAAGCAGCTTGCGCCACCCAGAACCTGGGTCTGTTTCCTATTCACGGGTTGGTACCTTTACGCTTCCCGCCATTTTATCACAGCGTTACGCAGACCAACGTCTGGGATCCGGCCGATGAGACAGGCCGCATCATGGTCGAGCTCTCTGAAGGTTGTGTCGATTACGTAGACGGCCATGAGCACTTCACGAAACTCAAGAACTATGCACTTTTCAACTTCCAGCCTGCACCAGTTGGTAAGTATATGACCAGTGAGATCTTCGGATGGAAACTGATCGTAAGCAGAAGTCTTGCAACGAGCGGGTATCGCATGGCCCAATCCAGCAATGTTTGAACATCCACTCCCGCCTCGACCGGTCTCCCTGCGACAACAATACAATTTGGGAATGATCCCCGGGGAGATGGCTGGAGATCACAACGACCTGGCTCACCAGCGAAACATGAGCTTGGCCAGCACGGCCAGCAGTCACTTGTCGTCTCCGTTCTTCTCTAGCAGCGCTGCCATGCCCGGTCCACCACCACCCACACCTGCGACGAGCATGACATACGGGTTGAGCTCAGGAAGTGTCTGCGATGAGAGTAGTCGTTCAACTTCAGCTTACTCCACCATTCCATATTCCTCGCTACCCATGCCGCACGACCAGCTGGGCCCAATGGTCAGCATACACGCGCCCTCAGGTGCTGTGCGGACCATCCTCAATACTGTCAATGTTTCCAACGCCAATCGCACTCTGTTTCCCAATATCCCTACTGGGTTTCAGGAGGACAGCAGTATGCCGCCACCCCCATTGCCACAACACGTATTGGACGCCAAGCTAGATGGAAATCCTGATCGCCGCGCCGTCACTTGCCCCGATCTCCACTTGATATCTCAGCAGGAGCAACTTGCATCGAAGCGGCGCATAGAATCTCGGTCGAATGAGTCTGACGTGTCTATGCATGCAAGCTGCACGAGCTATCCGAATTGCACCTCCGAGGACGCCAATGGCCACATTCTTCATTGCCCGCCGGCCGCTGTCCCAGGTCGAAACGAAKGGGACACTGTTAGCAAGAGTCAGAACCTCCCATATTTTCGAGACATTCAAGCCATGAGAGACTGACAAAGCGTAGCCGATGACCGAGATTACATGTCAATCGTCCTGAGTCCGCTCGTCGAAGAGGCCAGCGGCAACAACGCAGCACCACCCGACAGCAAAGAGCCGCCCAAATTGTCAACATCCAGCCCGGCGAACAGCAGCGGCAAAAAACGCACACGTGCCGCCACCCGCGCTCTTCTCAATGTCAATGGCAACGGTTCACCCGAGAAGACCGAAAAGGCCGTGGAAACCACACAACCAGCCAGCAAGGTCAGTAAAGTTTCGGTCAGCTTTTGCTCCAAAGAGCACCTATAGGGCGTGATGCTCGATCTATCTTTGTCGGATCAGAAGCTGACCCAGCAACCATAAGCTGCGAAAGCGGGTGATTGCCGGACCAGATCATTAGGGAGACCTCCTTAGAACTGCACTGCGAGGAAATGCTGTATGTCAAAGTGGCTCAAGATGCTGCAAACGAGATCGACGGACGATAGCTTTGTGGAAATCACGAGAAGTGTGGGAATGGTTAGTCAAGGGCTGTCGAAATGCATCTTATCTCATTCGCTGGCAACTAATCCACTTCTAAACGTGAAATCTGAATGCATACTAAATCAGCCACCCTACGCGAGAGGAATACCTTGAACGATAGCGTTAGCCTGAGCCAGCAATGGATCCTCCACGTTGTCGAAGTTCAACCCACCAGAAGCTTGAGCCGCCATGTCTGCCTCGCCGAGCTCTTCGCGACCGCTTTCGAACACCTTGTGGAAGTCATACTCGAACCACCGGATATCGGGATTCAGTCCAGCAAACTTCCACACGCCGTTGACCTTTTTGTACCAATGCAGGTTGAATGAGTGTGCGTGACCCTTGACCGCGACCTTTGTAAGGGTCTCGTCTGTGTACTTTTGGTGAGGGACTCGCAGCTGATGGTAGCCAATAATCTCGTCGTCGCTGACTTTCTCCCACTTGGTGCCACCGATGAAGTGCTGTGTCTTTAGGAGTGGGTCTCCTAGCACCTTGGGGTCTGAAGCCATTTTGAGGAACTCTTCTGCGGGCATTTCCTCCCAAAGCTTGTTTAGAAAGCTGCGGTAGTCGATACGAAGGGTTGGAGCGATGCATTTGGCGAGGCGATCCCAGTCTTTACTATCGTAGCTATCGGCCCATTCATAGACGGCGGCCATGCAGCCTTGCATTTCTACAGGAGAGATGTGTCAGCTCGATGGCGATTTCGGGCTAGATCTTGAATGTATGTGGACGGTATTAAGATGACTTGCTATACCGAAGAGACTTACCCTCAAGACTGATGAGCTTTACGGGCTCGAGCTGTGTGGGAGACATCTTGATTTGGTCTGGGAAAAGACAGGGGTATTTTGAGTGAAGTAGATGGCAACAAAGTGGAATGATCCTGAAATGGGGCAGCAACTTGAGGATAACTTATACACTGACGCCTTCAGGTTGGAATGGTGAGCTACGCGCCATCCTCCCCAGCAACGTTGACATGTCGTTGCGGTTCTCGGGATGGCGGGGCCGGTTCTGGAGAGACGGTTCCGAACAGCGAGCCAGGTCTGAAATAGATTGTAAGGTAGACCTGCTTCTGGGCAATTAATTTTGACAGCGAGGCGTGGCGAAGAGTCTTTGGAGATGAATCGTGATGTTGATTGACGAGGGAAACAGAGTCTGGGGGAGTGTCGTCTCTCGATCGATGCTTGGCCAGTTCGCCCGAAGTCAATTGATTGTCGAGGCGACCACAATGACCCACCAGACTCCACATTTGATGGCGTCTGTGTTCTAAACATGTGAAGTCAAGCAATGCACTTTGTTACTTTGTTGCAATTATATATGGCCGCCAATAAATTCAACCGTGACATGCCCAGACTCCTCAGCACTCCGTTCTCCTCGCTATGTATGCATTTCAAAACACTCAAAACGTAACGACCAGAACAATAACGCCAACAGACAAGGTCCAAGATACTGACAGACGAGTGGAAAAGCCCGTCGGCGAAGAACCCGACGGTGACACGTTGCCGGAAGTCCTCGTCGATTCACTCGAGCCTGCAGAGGCAGTCTTATCCGATGCAGTACTGCTCTTGCGGCCAGATGCAGCAGCACCAGAGCCGTCGCCATTAGAGGAAGCCGTTCCAACCCCATCGGGACCTTCTTCCATTGCAGTGTTTCCATGCGTAGGAGACTTTCCGCCACCGGCTCCGGTCTGCCCGTTCGATGTACCATCAGTTTCGGTGTCGATATTCGAAGAAATACCAGCCTCGGTATTGCCATTCGATGAGCCACCGGATTCCGTGTTGTCATTGGATGAGCCGTCTCCTTCGGTATTTCCATGCGACGAACCTCCAGCTTCAGTATTTCCATGTGATGAACCTCCAGCTTCGTTGTCGCCATGTGATGAACCCCCAGCTTGAATATTTTCATTCGATGAACCTCCAGCTTCAGAGACGCCATTGGGTGAATCACTATCACTAGGCTGACCGTTGTCTTGTGCTTGTCCGCCCGACGATGCTCCTGGATGACCACTATGCTCGTTCTCACCGTTCGATGAAGCTGCGCTTGGTAATAACAATGCAGAGTCTGAATGCATAATGATACCTTTCGTGGTGGTCGGGAGGGAGTCACGTAACGCAGTCCCTGCAGGGGTAGCAAGAGGTGGCGTTATAGTGTAAGGCCTCGCACTCGTAGGCGCAAAAGTTGTCTGATATCCTGATGGCAGCGTTGGCTTGGCTACCGAGGCAGCTTCTGTCAACGCTATAGGTGGGTCATACACTCCGTAGATAGCCGGATTGCAGGTTGCCCAGGCACCCTGTAGGAGAGACACCTCTGAAGGAAGGGAAATGATGGCCCGGTATGCTCCTTCAAAAATCGTTCCGCACTCAGGACTAWGAACAAGAGAGCCGCATCCGGGAGCACCCTCTGGTCGAAGATAGTACGCTTCGGGTGGTGGATGAACCAGATCTTCGATTCGTAATTGTTCTGCCTTTAAGGACTGTGAGATGACGGCTCCCACGTGGATGTCTGGCGCGACATTCCCGTAACCTGGCAGATTGCCTGCAACTGTGCTGATGACACTTGATGCTTTTGCGCTATCATAGTTCAGTACGATGGAGGATACGTCAGTAGGGGCCAGTGCTGGTGAACGTCAGTCGATGCCATAGGGTTTTAGTAGACATTGCACACGGTCACTTACTCAAGATCTGACCAGAGATGATACTTCCCTCGTCTGTGATATATTCGCCTCCGCCAACTCCGAATGACATGCATCCCTGCAGGCCACAAGATACGCTGTAGCTTGCCACGCTGATGGGCATATACCGGGTAGCGCTGATGTAGTCAAAGGAAAGGTAGATGGAAGGTGACGTAAAGGTCGTTCCCGGTTTGTACACAAATGTGACAGGCGTCGTTGGCTCAGGCTCCCCAGCGGTGCGGCTCGGGAAGTAGAGCAATTCGACACTGTTTCCATAAAGCTTACAATCTGGAGTCGCAGAGAGGTCTGTGGAGGCGTAGGAAGACGTGTACGGCTTGTAGTAATAATCAGGGCACCGCGGCGAATTCTCTGGCGAAGGCGTGATCTTCGGCACGCTTGCATTTCGGGGAAGTCCCAAGCTTGAGATGTACGAAACGTACAGACGGCTGCAATCCTGGGGAGTAAATGGACAGGCCGGCGTCTCCGTAATCACGGCCGGGTTGTGAGTGGTAGATGTGTACGAGCTCGTGGTAGTGGAGACATTGAACAGCCGTGCCACTGTTCGTGTGGGCGTGAACTCGCCTGAAGCCACGGGGATTTTACCGTACGATGTATACACATCACCTGTCCCATACACTATGGTAGTATTGACCAATGTAGCTGTTGTGTCTAGAGTTTGATGGGTCAAAATGCATTCGAAGAAACAATGCAATGCCGCGGGGCTGCACATACATATGACGGGACCAAGACCAACATTAGTGGTCGCCAAGATGTTGTATGAAGACCAGCTCGCGGCGCAGGTCGCGAGGCCAGAGAGGTCTTCTGCGGTGGCATTTTGTGATATCGGAGCCGGTCCTGCAGTGACGGTCTCAAGCTGTGTTGTGGTTGTAGTCGTCGTGGAGGCCCCCAGACCTGCCCGGATATAGTCTACTACGCCACGGCGTTGTCGCGGCGCCACATGCCCTGCGCGCGCCTCTGTCGGCTGCGCGAGGAATGTGCAGACTGTGCGAAACTGGTCAACTTGGTGGGGTGTATCGAGGGGAACAGGGCAACTCACCCGACAGCAGCAGTGACCAAGGGCAGAGCATCGTCTATGCATCGCTGGAAGTGTTGACCGCAGAAGGTGGGAGCATGRTAGAGACCGACGAGACGTCTCGGGGAGACGCGCTGGTAACTTTTTCATCCGTGCAAGGAGCACCCAGCAAGTAATTACTGATACGAGGGGAAGGTTCCCTACCTTACTTAGCTGGAAGTTCACTAAAAGACTAGGCACCGCACCGCCAACGGCTCTCATGACGTATTTCCGGACACGTGTGAAGCATCTTCCGTCGGAGAGGCAAGCGTCTCGGACCACATTCGAAGGCGGCTCGCAGCGTCAAGTACTTTTCGACATGTCGTCTCCAAGATGATGGACGGAGTTGACAGGGTTCCTCGCCCAAAGTTCACAAGTTCCAGGGTCGCATGAGGAGGCTAGGTCCGTCCGAGAACAAGCTCGAGACAATCTCGGAGGTGGAGCTGACCTGGGCCACCTCGTCTTCTCTTCTCATCAAGCAGCCCCGCCAAGGACGACAAGGCTCTTCATCATTCACCTTCCAACCTACTCTTCAACCGAGCTGGGCGGAGATGTCATCATCAATGACTGTAACCGGCACATTGTGCGTCAGCCAGATCTGATACCACTGGATGGAAGTCCGGAGAAACAGCAAGCCCTCAACGCGTGCACTGCAATGCTCCCAGGTTGATCTACATGTCCATCAGTGAATAATACTCTTACTACCTTGACGATGCCGGTACCGTGCATTTCTACTCCTGCGCTGCCGACTCGGCATTCCCTTAAAGCTATCTTCATCTCTATCTCGGCGTCTCTAGCGCTTCTACATTGCGGCCGAGATAGGCGAGGAGTGCCTCCCGGTAWCATCAAAATTCCTCGAACAGGCTTCAKCGCCATGCTGCTTGACCGCTACTGATGTGGCAAAGTCACAACATTGTTTTACCCTATCTGTCGCTTTTGTAAGTGCGGGACCACTAACCTCGCAGAGCAACGATCTCATATAAGATCGACATCACCCGTGATACCCCATGAATTAAGAAGCGGTCTGCGAGCCACCAGACAATATGGTCTCTTCCAAAGCGCTCTTTGCAGGTCTACTGGTGCACAGGGCATGGTCGTATTCACTTGTACCAACCGGCCAAACCGTGGAGTTGGACGGGGTCCCATACTATCTGCCTGCCGAACCTGTCACCACCCTACACGACGAGAACACCTTACGCAGTAAAGCCTTGGAGTGTGGAGGTCTGGTACCACTGACTGTCGTCATTACGAACAGCACCCAATACAATAGCCAAAATCTTCAAACCACGATATCGACGTATGCCGCGACTGATGATGTCTTCTCTAACGGATTCCTCGCGGCGATATACATACAACAAACCGACATCAAGCCCCGGGGATACAGCCGGAGCGACCTAGACCTGAGGACTACGACGAATACCACGAACAGTATCGTTTCAAGTACTCTTATTTCCGACCGCAGCAATATGGTACCCCCTGGCCCTTATTTCCTAGCCTCGACAGGAGCAGTATACCAAGCTTGGCGATTGTACAGCGATTTCGCTGGATCCTTTACGGAATCCGTGATCACAAGCAATGGAGGCAAGAGTTTCAGTGTGCTCCCAGCCGGCGTGATGGGCCAAAGTATTGCCATAGCCGTGCCGTCACGACTGTATTACATCAAGACGGCCTCCCAGCCGCTCGCAGGAGTCAGGTTGGGTGTCAAAGATATCTACGACATTGCCGGTGTGCGCACGGGTAACGGTAACCGCGCATGGTACAAGCTATATCCATCCGCCACAGCGCACGCAACACCCGTGCAGAGGTTGATCGATGCCGGCGCAGTGATCGTAGGGAAGATGAAGACCTCGCAATTTGCAAACGGTGAGTCGGCGACTGCCGACTGGGTAGATTACCACAGTCCGTTCAACCCCCGTGGAGACGGGTATCAGGATCCTAGCTCTTCCAGTTCTGGACCTGGTTCTGGTGCCGCGAGTTACTCATGGCTTGACTTGACTTTGGGAAGCGATACCGGAGGGTCTATCAGAGGACCCAGTCAGGTACAAGGTCTATACGGTAACCGGCCCAGTCACGATCTGGTGTCCCTGGAAAACACCATGCCTTTGGCACCAGAGCTTGATACTGCGGGCTTCCTCACCAAAGACCCAATATTGTGGATGGAAGCTGCAAAAGTACTTTATGGTTCCAACATCACCATTGCTAACCGATACCCGAAGAAGATCAAGACTGTGTCTTTTCCCACAAATGTTTCCGCAGATGGTGACGAGTTGATCCTGGACTTTCTTGAAGGATTGACCTCTCTGACCGGGGCTCAAGTCGAGACCTACGATCTCGAGGTGAGCACTGATGATGCAATTCCCCTCTGAACCAAGGCTTTTTCCAGGCCGAGAGGATGCAGTAAAGCTCATAGCTGACGTTTTGTTGCAGGCGCATTGGAATTCCACGAACCCCACGGGGGCGGCAAACACAACGCTCTTGGATCTGCTGAGTACGACATATCCAATTATCATCTCTCAGCGCCAAACAGCGCTTGTGCGAGACCCATTCTATGCAGACTATGCAGCGCTTCACGATGGTAGACTGCCGGCAGTGAACCCAGCGCCTCTGCTGCGTTGGGCATATGGCGATTCATTTCCAAATACCACAGTGGATGTTGCGAATGCCAATCGAACTTTGTTTGGAGACTGGATAAACAACGAAGTCTTGCCTTCCAACGAAGAGACGTGCAGCGAAAGTTTGATGCTCTATATCGGCTCACAGGCGGACGAGAACTACCGGAACGAGTATGGAAGCGGCCCAACGATTCCATTCGGGACTCGGTCGTCTACCATCTCACGCGTCAGTCCTTTTTGGGGCGGACCAGACTTTGTCCTTCCTCGTAAGTAATTTCTCGCCAGTCATGTTCGTGGATTGTGCGCTGCTGACACTTCAACCTGACGCAGTTGGCTCCGCTGCATATTTAAGCAATATCACGAGACACGAGGAGTATTTGCCAGTCACAGTTGACATCCTAGCAGCGAGAGGCTGCGATGGTATGATCTATGGCTTGGTGCAGGATCTCGTTGCGGCCGGTGTGCTAAAGCCCAGCTTGGCTGGCTATTCTTCTGACCTGGGTGGCGACATTCTGCTTAAGCGTGGGCTGCAATAGATAGCTCCTTTGCAGTGTAGACTCACCCAATCGTGTCGACGTAAACGTTTGAAGGGACTCGTTCGTGTCCGCATGGACGGTGCTCTCAACCCTTGTGAGGATCTTTAGCTTCTGGAAATCATGCAAGACATGCAGGAGCCGCTGTTCGTTTCGGGTTGTGCTTCCATCCCTCGTGGCCTTTGGGGAATGCGTTTGAGCGTAGCGTTGGCGTTCCAAGAGTTTGAGGCCGTATCTTTATTCGATATAGCCAGACAATGGACGGCCGAACACTAGAGATGGAATCTTTGAGCTCGTTGCATCGCGTTGTTTTCCCTCTTCATTGGGACACAATTCGGGCTCACGCCTCTGAACCGAACGTAAGGTATGGCCGTATTGGAGCAAACCACAATGCCCGGAAACTTGTCTCAGAGCATATGAAATGGCTGAATCGCCGCAAAGGAAAAGCCTGCGACCGTGGAACATCATTCATCTGGCGACAATCTTAGAGCAAGCAGCAGGATTGCTACCAAAAATTACAGCTGAAAGACACAGAATGTCGGTTCTCAAGGCGTATGTCGGCTGGCTGCGATGGCGAGTGAAGTCCTCTCACCGCTCAGTGTGATACGGGCAGTTTTTCCCACGAGGGGCTCTAGTGTAGGGAAAAACTTATGTTTTACGGGCGCGTTGAAGCGAAAGTATGCTAAAAATACACATTGTCACAACTTCCCTCAGCCTCAGCCTCATTGGCTTGACGCGTTTAGTGCTACCTTGAAACATCCCTGAAGTTTGAACATCGGCCGCCTTCTCGTGAGCGCTTGTTCTTTCACGCCACGCTTGCAACGGGATCCATTTCTTTGTCGATATACACCATCTCTCATCGACATCCCATTGTCGGGGAGCTTTGACTTGACCATCAGTTCATCCTCATCCTCATCCTCATCCTCACCGCGGAGCTGAGCTGAAACCCGGACAACCACATTCCATCTGGCGATTCTCAGTTAGCTACAATCCGCATTCGATATTCAGCATGGCCTACCATCAGGCAGGAGGCTACGATCCTCAAGGCCCTCCTCAAAGCGGCGTAAGATTCAAGTCCTGTGGGATATTCGCGAGTCCTTGAGCTGACAGCTAGACTTAGCCATACCATCAGCCGCCGCATCACGACAGTGACGACGAGCAGGAGCACTCGTTGCTCGCCAACCCAGCGCACCCGTTCCAAGGTCCGTTCGACGAGCCCTCGAGCCGCTCGGGCACGCCTGGAGCACATGGATCAAAGGGATACGAGCTAGAGGAGTCCTATGTGGGCGCTCCTGGCACTGGTCATGTGCCCCCGTACAATGGTTACACAGAGTACAGTGGTACATCACTCGAGGATCCTGGATACGGCCCGCCAGGTCGTACCGGGAGCCCGTACGAGAGGAGCGAGACGGGTAGCACAGAGGCATGGAGACAGCGCCAGCAGCCAGGCGGAGCTGCCGGTGGCCTCAAGCGCAATGCCACCCGTAAGGTCAAGCTGGTGCAGGGTGCGGTGCTGAGCGCCGACTACCCTGTGCCGTCAGCAATCCAGAATGCAGTGCAAGCAAAGTACAGAAATGACTTGGAGAGCGGCAGCGAAGAGTTCACGCACTTGCGATACACCGCGGCAACCTGCGACCCGAACGACTTCACTCTCAAGAATGGATATAACCTCCGGCCCGCCATGTACAACCGACACACGGAGCTGCTGATTGCGGTGACGTACTACAACGAGGACAAGACGCTGACTGCCCGCACACTTCATGGTGTCATGCAAAACATTCGCGATATCGTGAACATCAAGAAGTCGGAATTCTGGAACAAGGGTGGTCCTGCCTGGCAGAAGATTGTGGTCTGTCTGGTGTTTGATGGTATCGATCCCTGCGACAAGGGTACACTCGACGTGCTTGCAACCATTGGTATCTACCAGGACGGTATCATGAAGAGGGACATTGATGGCAAAGAGACAGTCGCCCACATCTTTGAATACACTACACAACTTTCCGTCACGGCGAACCAGCAGCTGATCAGACCCTTGGACGACAGCCCATCGACACTACCACCCGTACAAATGATGTTCTGTCTCAAGCAGAAAAACAGCAAGAAGATCAACTCTCACAGATGGCTCTTCACCGCTTTTGGACGCATCCTCAACCCAGAAGTTTGCATTCTGCTCGATGCTGGCACGAAGCCCGGACACAAGGCCCTACTTGCGCTATGGGAAGCATTCTACAACGACAAGGACCTTGGTGGTGCTTGCGGTGAAATTCACGCACTGCTCGGCAAGGGCTGGAAGAACCTCCTCAACCCGCTTGTGGCTATCCAGAACTTCGAATACAAGATTTCCAACATCTTGGACAAACCTCTGGAGTCATCGTTCGGATACGTGTCTGTGCTGCCGGGTGCGTTCTCTGCATACAGATTCCGCGCCATCATGGGCCGTCCTTTGGAACAGTACTTTCACGGAGATCACACGCTTTCCAAACAGCTTGGGCCAAAGGGCATCGAGGGCATGAACATTTTCAAGAAGAATATGTTCTTGGCCGAAGATCGTATCCTGTGTTTCGAGCTGGTAGCCAAGGCAGGAAGCAAGTGGCATTTGACCTATGTCAAGGCCTCCAAGGGAGAGACTGATGTGCCAGAAGGTGCAGCCGAATTCATCGGCCAGCGCAGAAGATGGCTCAACGGTTCTTTCGCTGCCACACTCTACTCCCTCATGCATTTCGGTCGGATGTACCGTTCCGGACACAACATCCTCCGCATGTTCTTCTTCCATCTTCAACTTATCTACAACATTGCCACCGTTACGTTGACGTGGTTCTCCTTGGGTATGGTGTGCCGTAACATCCATTTTGGAATTTCCGCTAACACATTCTAGCTTCCTACTACCTGACAACAACTGTGATTATTGATTTGGTCGGCGTTCCCAGCAACAGCAACGATAACCGAGCGTTCCCCTTTGGCAACACCGTCACGCCGTACGTGAACACCGTCGTCAAATACGTATACTTGGCATTCCTCCTGCTGCAATTCATTCTTGCTCTCGGCAATCGACCCAAAGGAAGCAGATGGACCTACATCACGTCATTCTGCGTGTATGCCCTGATCCAGCTCTACATCATCGTCGACTCGTTTTACCTGGTGGTCCATGCCTTCACCGGAGGACCAGGATTCGATACCGATGGTACTGCGGCAGACTTTATCAAATCCTTCTTTGGCTCCACTGGACCCGGCATCATCATCATTGCACTTGCAGCCACCTTTGGTTTGTACTTTGTTGCCTCGTTCCTGTACCTTGACCCTTGGCACATGTTCACCTCCTTCTTCCAGTACCTGTTGATGATGACCTCGTACATCAACATCTTGATGGTTTACGCTTTCTCCAACTGGCRCGATGTCTCCTGGGGTACCAAGGGTTCCGACAAGTCCGATGCGCTGCCATCCGCGACTACACAAAAGGGTGCGGACGGCAAAGCTACGGTGATTGAAGAAGTCGATCTTCCACAAGCCGATATCGACTCTCAATTCGAACAAACCGTCAAACGGGCTCTGACACCATACATCRCTCCCAAGGAAGACACCAAGAAAACTCTGGAGGATTCGTACAAGTCTTTCCGTACCCGTCTCGTGACTTTTTGGATCTTCTCGAACGCCCTGCTCGCCGTCGCAATCACAAGTGACACGTTTGACAAGTTTGGATTCAGCTCAGGCGCCACCGACCGAACGGCAGGCTTCTTCCGCGCGCTCCTGTGGGCTACTGCGGCGCTGTCGTTTGTGCGGTTTTTGGGCTGCCTATACTTCCTGTTCAAGAGCGGTCTGCTATCGTGCTGTGCAAAGAGGTAGACATACCCCCGCCCCACTTGGATGAAAGAAAATTACTTGTTTGGTTGATCGACAAATGATGAACGATACCTTTGCTTTGCTTCGTAGTTGCTGCGCACTGCTGCATGTCAAAGAATTGGAAAGGAAAAATGGAATCGCGTTTGAGCGGAGAGAGTACCTCTTTTCCTTGGTTTCGATGAACGACTGGAGACTTTTTAGGTATCAATGTATTGGATATTTTATGACAATCTACGCCATGTACTCTGCAAGCTCGTCGAACATACGATTTTCGCGACGATAGGCTCCGTCCGTACTTGGTCGTGATGATGAAGTGAGATCTATTCGTGCTAGTGCTTAGTCAAATTTCCCATCGATATTGATGAGAGGACAATCAAATGGCAATGCCAATTAAGTTGGCCGTCAATGAGCTCATATCAAACATCACTTTTGTTCTCTGCCTCGTTCAACAATCAAAAATGGCAATCACCATCCTCCCGCCAGCACCGGTGGCACCACCACAGCAATCGCGTCGCTTTACAGAAGAGCTAGATACCTACGATTCCGACGAAGAATCTCAAGATGAAGACAAAATGGAACTCGACACACTGCCCTCCGGACATGCTTCACAAGCAAAGGCAATCATCACTCCCGGCCAGATTGTGACAAGCGATCCGCAATGGATGCGCGGACATGGAACATTCACCGACACCACAGACGACACCACAATCCGCTCTACTCTGGCAGGCACGATTCAGAAAACCAATAAGTTGCTTTCCGTGGTCCCGCTCCGCGCACGGTATACACCCGAGATTGGAGATTTGGTGATTGGCAGGATTGTGGAGGTGCAGTCGAAACGCTGGAAGGTGGATGTCGCGGCACCCTTGCTGGCGAACCTGCTGCTGAGCTCCATCAACTTACCTGGCGGAGCACTGCGGCGAAGAACAAGTGTGGATGAGCTGAACGTGAGAAGTTTCTTCCAAGAAGGAGAGCTGCTCGTCGCAGAAGTGCAGTCATTGTTTCAAGRCGGTAGCCCGAGCTTGCATACGAGATCTTTGAAGTATGGCAAACTAAGAAATGGGTACTTTCTCGCGGTGTCTGGAGTTGGAGGTGGGGCGGGTGTAGTCCGCAGTAAGCGTCAGATCTTCACCCTACAAACGAGACGAGGTGGTGAGGTAGATGTCATTCTGGGTGTGAACGGCTATGTGTGGATCTCGAAGCATGCGGCTGAAGTGGAGGGTGAGAAGGAGATTGGTGTGAACCGTCTAGAGGAGGTTGCAAGTACGAGCATGTACTCCAGTCAGAATGAGGAGATCTCGCCGGAAACAAGGAGAGCAATTGCTCAGATCGCCGGGTGTGTAAGGGCGCTGGTGGAGGGCAATGTCAAGGTGGAGGAGGAGACAGTACGCAGAGCATACGAGGCATGCCTGGAGTTGGAGGAAACCGAGAACGCTGGTGATATCGTCTTCCTGGGGGGCGAGCGTGGAAAGCTGGTCGTGGAAATGGTTTTGGCTGCTGCCGGCGGTTGAGATGATGATCGGACGCCGTTATAGTTGCATCTCAACACTTGTTGGAATGCCCGCCCACCTGCGAAGCATGATCTGCCAATGCTGGCGAGACCACTTCCATGTTCGATGCCGGACCGAAGTCCTCCTCACTCGGAGCACACAAGGACCGGTCACGCAGAGTAGCGTTCTCTCGTTATCGAGGCCTTAGGGACATAGCGACTTCGAGTATCGCCGTGCACTACRTCGCAGCGATAATCCGCGTACAATGTTGACTCCCCCATAGTCTGCGAGACACTCGGCGCGAAGCATGCCGTAGCTGAGATCCACTCAATGCCAAAAGTTAAAACCAGGCGTTTGCGCATGAGGTGTGTATCTAGAATTTGGCGAGAGCAATGTCGCCAAAGCCACAGACTGAGGACCCGGCCCGCATGCGCATCACAGCAAAAAGTTTTTCAACCATCTAGCTGACGTTCCGACTGCCATTACCTCGCTTGAGTAGACCTGTTGCGGGCAAGGCACTTCCCCTGAGATTCCAAACACACCGGCTTCAAAGACAATGGAGCGAAGATCAATGCGTGCGGTACACCCATTGTTCAGTTGTCAACTCGCATATATGCTGCTTCCGGTGACGAGCTGGGCCGAACAAAGCCTCCAATGCCGGAAGCGTCTCGAGAAACGCTTCTTTGTTACCCAAGTTATTGCCCGGGAAAGTGGTCAAGGCCGACACGCCCATCTCAACACAACAAAATATATTATCATGGCTCCCAAGGCTCCCAAGGCTCCCAAGGGAAAAACCCCCGTACCCACTGCTGCCAGTAGTAGGCCGACCCGTGCAACGACGTTGGCACCGCCGCCCTCTGCCGTGGCTCCACCTGCCGCATCTTCTCCGAAGATTTCGAAGACTACACGCCGTAAAGAGAAGAGAAAGGCCGCGGATCTTACAATCGCTACTGAAGACAGACGTCGACCGCTTTTCAGCCATCCGCGACTTGAAGACCATGTTCGGACTCGTATATTGGATCTTGAACATATTCATAGGGGCCTCGAAGCTTTCAGTGCTTCCGAAGAGTTGATGAAACATCTGGGACCCGGTATAGACATTTTGCAGGCGTGCATTAATTCTCTCAGGTCTATCACGCCCGAAGWAGGACCCGGCTTCGGTTCACCCGACGGCAACCCTGATTCGTCTATTGTTGGGTCGCCTGATCGTACAGTGAAGAAGCGGAGGCGTATCGTTAAAGAGCGACCCGCACCGGAAGCGATTACGAAGGAAGCGGTTACGAAGGAGGCGGTTACGACGGAAGCGGAAGGTAGTGAAGCGGAAGGTAGTGAAGCGGAAGGTAGTGAAGCGGAAGGTAGTGAAGCGGAAGGTAGTGAAGCGGAAGGTAGTGAAGCGGAAGGTAGTGAAGTGGAAGTTAGTGAAGCGGAAGGTAGTGAAGCGGAAGGTGGTGAAGCGAGCAAGGTTGTCAAAAAGACAGCGGGCAAGAGGCTACGGACGCCAAGCTGATTTGGTAGTTCAGTAAACAATATAGGCAGATTGCCAAGATCGATGAGAGCTCGCATGTCGTTCTTGATGTTTCCACTATAATTCGCCGTGCACAAATGACTGTCATGTAGGTATACTCGAACATTCTGGGACATAGTACTCACATGTACCAGAGGAGCGAGGAAGGAGTCATGCTCTTTTCCTCGACGGCGGCTTCATTCATTCACTACCTACGCCCTGAGATCTGCGTCGAGATCAATGCCATGTTCTGCTCAATCTTCGACTTGCGCTTCCATACTCGACAGGTCATTTTAGACAAAAGTTCAAATCCGTTTCAATCATCAAACACCCGAGAACCAGCTCCAGTGTCTAGCTTCAGTTCTCGTTTCAATCATTTAGTAGCGTATGCGTCGCTGAAAGGACTTCCGTCCCTCGCTCTGCCCTCTCCGTTTTCCACCTCGCTGGCCCTTTTTGCCGCTGCTTCCTCCATCACAGCGCTCAGTCCACCGAGGGCTCGATCAGCCGCCCTCTTTGGCGTCTGCCCAGTGGTCCGCACACTGGCCGCCATGGTCGCGTAAGGATTCGGTCTCGCTTGTGCAGCGGCTGAAGAGGCGGCGGTCTTCTCAGTGGCGTCAAAGAAGGGGCTCTCTAGAGGCTGGATCAGGGGCAGTGCATTAAGGGGCGGTTGCTTTACAAGACTTTTTCTTGCGCGAGCGTGTTCGTCTTCTTCTTCGTCGGATTCAGTGACCGTATCGACTAGTGGAGATGGCACAGTTGGCGCGTTAGTGGCCAGTTGCTTCACTGTTAAGCGGCCCTTCTCTTTGCTGCTGCCGACGCTGATCTGCGTAGCTTTGGCACGGAGGGACGATGGAGAAGCGGAATTCGTGGTGCTCTGCCCTATCATCACGGCGTTCACAGAGCCATTGTTGGAGCTGCCGGATGAAGCAGGAGGCGTGCTTGCTGCCGAAGACTTGACAGAGACCATACGTGGAGCCCCACGCATGACGGTCAAGGCTGGCATAGGGTCTGCGGTGGCATCATCGCGGTAGACTTCAGAAAACATGGACGAGCGAGCTAGAGAAGGTGTGATCGAGTACTGCGTGTCTCTGTTGTTGGAGGAGCGTGAAGAATATTGAGTGTCGCGGTTGCCAGAGCCGATGGAAGAGTTACCCGAATAAGTGCTGCCGCGGAGGTCGCCTGGACGGAAAAACAAGGCATCGCCTTGATTGCTGAGTGGCGATTTGGACTTGGTATTGGCGTACATGGCCGGGATTGGCGGAACAGGCGTGGTGAGCAGACTGTTGTGACCTGAGCGGTTGCGATTCGTGACTCCCGGTATGTATGCAATCTGAATGATGTTGCTGGCGCGACTGAGGAAGCTGCCAGCAAGTGATGCCTTTGTACGCGTCGATGCGGCGTCGGAGCGCGAGCGCATGGCATTAAAGCCTTGGGCGTGCTTCTGCTGCGCGATGTCGTCCTCCTCCCACTCCTCGGCCTCCAGCTCCTGTTGTTCCCGCCGCTTCTTGATTCCAAAGCGCCATAGCATGAATACGGCAAGACCGACCAGTGCCACTCCTCCAATCACTCCGCCGGCAATCGCACCCACGTTCGTCTTGGCCGAAGGTGGCGCCGGGCTGGGATTGTCGATGCATGTCATGTAGGCGCACGCATTGCAGTCCTGCGGAACCAGGGAGCATATCTCATTCTTACGGCRGTCCGGGCAAGTGGGCGATACCGCTGGGCATTGCACACACCGCTTGAAGATGGTACGCAGCGTCGAGTCGACATTGCTGGGCCGCATCGTGGCGTGGCTGAGGGCGTGGTCCTCCCCGCGCTCCCTTTGCTCGTGGTGTCGTCTGCCGCGTTTTCGTTTCGCAGTCCAAGTAGCAGCACGATGGCGACGGCTGATTCKGTTTAAACGAGCGACTGACAGTTAATGTGTGGTGGTGTTGACAAGGGAGTCAATGGGCTTCCGAGTCGTCGTGGACCATCGCATGCAATAGGGTTGAACGGCCCGCTTTCGCTTGATGTTCCAAGCGCAGGGCGGCCTTTGTTCCGCTGCCTCAACCACAACACAGCAAAACACAACAAAGAAGACGCATGGTATTGGTCAATCGTATACGATCGGACCTGATGCATACACCTAGTCGACAACTATGCTTCCGTATCTTCCTCATAACGTCAACCAGCACGAACGCGCTTAGTCCTGTTATCATCTGAACGACCGGCCATGCCATGCGAAGAGTACCTTGACATCATTTATCGTGCGCTTGCAAATTTACAGATCTTAGGAACATTGCAGACTTCAATGTTGTTCAGCTGCCATTGAAAGGAATAGTTACTTGTCAGGGTCTATCTGCGACATACAAGCAATCACGCATCGGAATAAGTACAAGCGATTCTTGCGGGAGTGTCGTATGCCTTCAGAGAGACCGATACGCATCCATCCTGGAAGCCAGGCTTTTCACTCTCGGTGAACCATWCACTCCACTTGCCATCCTCATTGGTCGGGCATGCCTTGGCTCCCACTCCATTGAATGTCAGGAAACCATCCGCATCGACTGCGAAACCCTCGCGAGAAGCGTTCTTAGGTGCGGTGGCATCGCCTGTCACGAAGCCGGTGATTCCACCTCCCATTCCGGAAGCATCAACCCAGACCTGCTGGGGTGGGTTCCCAAGCTTGTAGAGGTAAAGAGATTTGTCCGAGTATGTAACGAAAGTCGCAAAGTCCTGTCTTTGTCCGCCGTCACAGACAGGGTCCTGAGAGCCACCGATAAAGATTCGGCCTCCAGACGCGGTGAGCTGTAGGTTCTGAATTGAGGAGCCGCTGGCACGAATGCCGAGGGGGTTGCCGAGGGTTGGGGGTTGATCAATGTATTGTGGGTTCGGCGTTGGCGATGCAAGAGTGTAAGTCGCCAGGGCGAGGAGAGTAAGAGATTGGAACTGCATGTTGGAGTTGGTTGTGGTGCTGGTAGTTGAGGGTGGGGTGAGTGAATCGATGTTGCGATTGATGGTTGTAGGTATGGAACAACTTCCAGGTGAGCCGGTAGCTTCTTATACATGCTGGAGTAGAAACCTTGTTGCAGGGGAAAGCATCCATGTGGAGATCTTCCGCTCGGGATATACTCGTAATCCTTTTAATAGATTGCAAGAATCATTTATGCCGGCAGATGATCGGGAGTAAATCAGTGGCCTGCTTTGTCGGACACGCACAGCAACCATTCCGTCATACCTTAGTACGAGATGGTGTGGCTCCAGATACAGCAATCAGCATGCTCAAAAAGGCCCTGCGGTCCGTCGCTGTCGTTGTGAAGACGCCGGACCGAAACGTAATCGGTCCTTGGCGACTAGGATGAGGTGTCCTGCGGCACAGACCCGTACGAGCAAAAGCTGCTAATAGCACGACTGAAACTACGTCGGACGGTAGCATGATGTAACATGCCTTGCTGCTTCTGTGCTTCAAACTTTGCGGTGAACGGAGCGTGGTACGGTTGACCCGGTTGGCAGATTGAATACGAGACGGGGATGTCGTAACAACATAGTCGGCATTGTGGTGCTCGGCAGCATGATTAGATACATTGCGAAAATAAYAGAGAAAGACCGTTTCGGTCTCTAACACGATCCTTGTGTGTGATGCGTGTGGCCTGCCCATCGCACATCTATACCGCTTCGATGTTGTCTAGCGGTACATAAGCGCCTCTATCACGCTCCTCGTCTCGTTTCCGACCCGTAACCGCGTCACGAAAACTACGGATCGTTGAGACGAAGTCCATCTTGCGCAGACGAGGAAGTATTGCTTCGTTATCACCATTTTCGGCCATCCATGCTGGCCTCTTCCAAGTCTTCAAAAGTAGAGAACTGACCACGACCGTGACGCTCGAACATGCCATTGCAGCGCCTGCTGCGATTGGTGGCAGAGTGATGCCCCAAGGGAGCAGGAAGCCCATCGCGATGGGAAGACCTACTGCATTGTAAATACAAGAGAGCAGTAGATTCAACTTGATGCGTCGGAAGATGGTCTTGCTAAGGTGCAGCGAGGCCGGGATGTCCATCAGCTGATTCGGCCTCATAAGAACAATGTCTGCAGCATCCATTGCCACATCAGTTCCGCTGGCGAGGGAAATCCCAACGTTAGCAGTGGCGAGAGCTGGCGAGTCGTTGATTCCATCTCCCACCATAGCAACGATTTGACCTTGTTTCTGAAAGTCCGAAACTATGCTCTTTTTGCCCTCTGGTAGGACTCCAGCAAAGACATTCTCGGCAGAGATGCCAACAAGAGCAGCAACGCGATGAGCTGCGACTGCTTGGTCACCGGTGACGAGAGAGGTCCCAATTTTCATGCGGTGGAGCGCCGCAATCGCCGCTCTCGCAGATGCCTTTAGAGTATCAGAGAGTCCCATRGTGCCTGCATACTGGTCGTCAATGGCTATGTGAATGCTGGTGATACCGGCATTCAAGGCAGACTTAGACGGGCCTGAACAGTTGATCGGGCGCTCGCTAGCCGCTTCAGACTGGTCGTAGTCTTCCTCTGTGTAGGTCGGAACAGTAATGCCATGTTTGCGCAGAAATGAAGCATTTCCGATCATGACAGCATATCGCTTGCGCTCAAGGGAGGACGATGGCTCAATGATTGCTGAGATGCCTTTGCCAGTGGTGGTCTTGAAGTCACCTGTGCTGCCATCAAGCTGGCCGTCAGGGCCAAGTCCAAGATTGTCTTTGGCGCAACTCAGTATAGCCTTCGCGATTGGGTGCTCACTACTTGCTTCTGCGAGTCCAACGAGTGTCCACCAGAGGCTTACTCTTTGCCGGTCAGATTGCCAGGATCCAGCCTGTTGCACGTGTGAAACACTCATCTTGCCCATGGTCAGGGTCCCAGTCTTGTCAAGAACGACGTGCGTGATCTTCGTGGCTGTTTCTAGAGCAGCTCCACCTTTGACAAGTATGCCTTGCTCGGCGCCAACGCCAGTTCCGACCATGACTGCAGTCGGCGTCGCCAGGCCAAGGGCGCATGGGCAAGCAAACACAATCACTGCAATGCAAAGCTTGACGCAAACCATCAGACGTCCGCCACTTAAGTCGCCGAGAAATATCTTGGGTGGATGTGGTAGAATGTGGCTCAGAACCATCCAGCCTATGAATGTAGACAGCCCGAGCGTGATGATGATGGGGACAAAATAGCCGGCGACGGTGTCGGCCATGCGCTGGATAGGGGCTCGGCTGGTCTGCGCCTCCWGGACCAGCCGGACGACTTGACTAAGTTGTGTGTCACGGCCGGCCCGCGTGACCTTGAAGTCCAGTCGTCCAGCATTGTTCACAGTACCAGCCATTAGTGGCGTGCCAGGCTTCTTGTTTACTGGCATTGCTTCACCGGTCACCATACTCTCGTTGACGTATGACTCTCCACGGGTAACAATGCCATCGGCCGGAATCTTGTCGCCAGGCTTGAGGATGACAATATCGCCAACTTCGATAAGCTCAGTGGGGATGGTCCGCTCCTCGACGGATGATCCATCTCCCTGCTTTCCATCAGTCTTCTTCTCCTCGATATCAGCGTATTTGTCCCAATCCTCCGCGGCCTTGGCAGCGGCGATGGGATCGATATAAATGGTCGCCATTGGCGGCGCGAGACTCATGAGTCTTGACAAGGCCTTGGATGTCTGCCCCTTTGCACGATTCTCCAAAAAGCGTCCGAGGGTGATGAAAGTGATCAACATTGTACTAGTATCGAAAGTTGTGGCGGGTCGCGTGTGTTGCTGCGTGAAGATCGAAACCAACATTGCGGCACAACTGAAAAAGAACGCGGCAGATGTGCCCATCACAACCAGCACGTCCATGGTGGGCGAGCCATGTCGCAGGGATCGGAAGGCAGAGACGTAGAATCTTTTGCCTATGCCGAATTGGACAGGTATCGTTAATAACAAACAGAGGACATCCCCTAGCCAGAGGCCTGGTATTATTGGAAGTTTGATGCTGCCCACGTCCAGCGGCTTGACAAACATGGGAAGGAACATGCCGATCACGGACACGGGCACCGCAAAGCATACTGAGGTTCTGAATGCCCGTCTCCATTCTTGGATCTCTTTGGTTTTCGCAAGCGACTCCAATTGGGCATTGTTGTCATCAGAGTCTGCAACAAGAGCATTGTATCCGACTTGCTCAATAGCCTCTACGATGGCGCGAAGTCCAATTTTTGCGGGCATATGGGTGAGCATGGCACGGCCGGTGGAAAAGCTAACGTTGGCGGATAGTATCCCAGGGACATTCTTAAGATTCGACTGGAGCTCACCAGCGGATTCTGGGCTAGGTAGGCCGAAGACTTTGAGGTGGATCGTGGCGTTGGCGCTCGATGATTGCACGCCCTCTTCAACGCTCGCGATGACGGCGGCATCAAAGCCCCGATCTTCGATCGTCTCTACTATCTTCTCGACAGACAGAATCTCGGGATCGTGCACAATTACGGCGCGCTCAGCCAGCAGGCTAATGTTGAAGTGAACCAGACCAGGTAGGTCTGCGAAGCCACCGTCTACCGCAGACGTACAAGCACCGCATGTCATGCCCTCAATGGAAACCGTTGTGGTCAGCAATCGCTTGCTGGTAGCCTTGCGTCTCTGCTTCGGCTGTGCTCGTACTAGCTCGGCGGCCTTGGTCTCCAAGATCTCGGCGTCAAACCCGGTATCTTCGATAGTCTCGGCCAGCCTCTCGGGGTTGATCAAATCCGCATCATGCTCAATCACCGCACGCTCAGACAGCAGCGATATGCTGAAACTCTTGATTCCGGACACATTCTTGAACGCGCCCTCCACGGCCGATGTGCATGCGCCACACGTCATGCCGCCCACACGTAGCGTTGTCGTTGAAATGCCGCTACCCAAAATGTCATTTATGTCCTCCTGATCCAGCAGCATGTCGTCCTCAGATGCATCAAAGATCGGCGTGTCCGGTCGGTCAGAGCTTATGACCTGCGCGTCGAATCCTCGATCGTCAATCATCTCTCGTATTTGCTCTGCCTTTATCTTTTCCGCGTCGTGCATCACAACGGCTCGCTCCATGACCAAACTGACTTGAACATCCCCAACACCCTCCACGCCTTCAAACGTCGATTCAACAGAGGAAGTGCATGCTCCACAAGTCATACCATCGACCCGCAGTGTTGTTGTCGTCATATGTGCGCCAGCGGCGACTTTCGTGGGTGCCATTGTGTCAAGGCACAGAAAAGGACATGTATCGTTAAGTTATGAGATCCGGCAATCGAGTATGGATAGTCGTCACCGCATCGAAGCGATGTTATTTGGATTGTTGCGTAATAAGCGGGAGTACTGTGGCGGGCTGTACTGCCACTGTGGTCGGCGCGGTTCGAAATGCTCTTGATAGTGTTTCAGCTGGAGTGCTGGATGGCAGTCAGTCAGGTGTGTCCCGGCGCCACTGTTCTGAACAAAGGACCTCCGGAGCCTGGCAGGAGTAATGCTACGTGTGCAAGCAAGAGATCATGCCACACCATGTATGGTCGTCGGCTGACAAAACCAACGGCTGATCTTGTCGTGACAACCTCGCCGAGACAACGCACGCTGACCACGCTGACCACCTGGGACGGGAGGATAAGGTCGCCCAGGGTCGTTCTTAGTGCCTTCCCGAAGAGGACTAGCCAAAGCTCGGCTCCTTCCGCGCTTCTTGGCCGCGAAGATTTGAGATTTCAGACATCGCTTCTCTTCTCTTCACAGACATCAGCCGTGAATCCGATCATTTTTCATTCGCTACTGACYCAATCCATCCGGTGCTTATCCCAGCAGCTACTTGTACCTTCAACAAATAATCCCCGAGCAGCAGTGGAGCGGCCGAATGCCATCAATATTTCGTAAGTATCCCCAATTCTTCGCCCTCTCCCTGTTATGATGAACTACAAGCTGGCACCAGTCCTACTCAAGTTTTTTGTACTCTCTTGCTGAGGATAACGCTTTGCACGAGGAACGCTCCTCATTGCCCTGATCTACACCGTGTCCACCATTATTGCGAATTGTCGTCGTCTGCGTGACCAGAGCGCTGACACCTCTGCAGATTCTCATATACTTCGCTGCGAGACGTCTGATATTGTAGTGAGGAGGGCTGATGACGAACTGGTAACAATACATCATCTGCATATTTCGTAGCTTACGTATCAATACCTCATTACCGCCATGCACCCCTATTCTGCTTGCTTTCCAGAAGCTAAGCACACCGAGCCACCACGAATTATGCGTCGATCCTGAACCCTACCAGAATTGGATACATCTTCTGCCATGCCTCATGGATATGCTCCACTGATCGAGCCCCGACTGCAACGACCTTGCCTGTCGAGAAGACAAGAAATGTCACCTTGGGCGATTCAACCCTATAGCACAGACCTGGGAAGAGCTCTGGCTCATATCGTGCGAATTGATAATGAGCGGGATGTGCCGCAATTCCTTCGAGGCGGATTGCCATCTTCGTGTCGACACTCGCCACGACATTTTGCACATTGAAATTCTCAAACTTGGTGTTGAATCCCTGCTTCTCAAGGATGCGCGCAAATTTGCGACCAGCAAGATGTGCGTCTGCGACAGACTTGGTGCCCAATATCTGCATCTTACCTCTGTGAAATACCAGCGCGGTGGCTTTGGGCTCTTTTATTCTTAGGACCACTGCAGGAAAGCGCTTCGGATTATATGTGCTGTTTCGTACGTGAAGTGCGATCAGTTTGAGGTCAATCAAACAACACAGGTCAACGCCTGCAACAATGTTCGAGATCTTGGGGTGGTAGGGCACATCACCAATCACACTATGAGACCGAGCTGTCGGAGAAGACATCGGAGAGGTCGTATTCAATGCGGATGTCCGGTTGACTATGCAATTTTTGCTACTCACTTCCTGAGTATCTCGCTCCTGGCGATGATGTCTGACCGGCAGATGAATCGTAAAGGGAAATTGTGGGGGGTGGAGATTTCGAAACGCTGGGGAACTGCACAGCAGTGTAATTGAAGGAATAGCAGTAAATGAATTTCGTTCGCAGCACCAAGGAGCGGTTGTGTCTATATGAAACAATCGTCTCTTGTTCACAGATTCTTTAATGGAAACATATAGCCTTGGACGACAAAGCGGGCCACAGGAGTGAAAGAACCCGACCTTTGTCGCTGCGAAATTGGAGCTCTTTGTCTCGGATGTTGAAGCGGTCATCGAGTGTCCTCTCAACCACGCATTCACTCGAGAAGAGTTGCCCCTCTCAGCGAGGAGCATCGGGACGTAGAGATCCATCAACCACGAATTAATGTCACATCACGATGGCATTCCCACTGACGCAAGAAACATATTCCGCTCTGGTATAATTTATCGACATGAATGTGGCCCTCAAATTGTTTCGAATTATGCCGACGCTGTATGCAAACCATGCTCATCTAGTGAATTAAGGGTATGAAACAGGCAAAGCAATGCGTCCCACCATGCTCACCGAACCACGTATATACTACTGATCACATCTCCCGTTCCTTCCCTCTTCTGCGGAAGAAGTCCATTACTCTTCGCGTTGCACTTGAACTCCCCCCGGTCCCGTGGTCGTACGCATCTCCCATGCGTTTGTGGGGACGGAGGCTTTGGTCCCTCCTTTGAGGCTGAACCGGCTCATAGTGCTCCCAGTCCCCATTACCACCAATCACGTATTGGTCGGGCTGGGGTTCTTGGCTCGGCGTGTAGAATCTCTCCACTGGATCGTCGCGGATGAGGTTGTTTCCGTATCCATCGTCCCGGAACTGTTTTCGCTGCACTGGAGGCGGCGAAGGAAAAGCTGTCGGTCCGGCGAACCCATCAGGGGACCGCGGCAGCTCCTTGTCATATCGCATCTGAGACGTGGCGGGCCGGTTCTTCTGCCGTTCCCGATCTTCTTCCTGGTAGAGAGGAATGGTGCTGTTACTAGTTCCTAGTGGGCTCCCGGACTGTTTCCTGCCAAATATCATGCCATTGCTTGCTGGTCGCCCAGATCGAGATTGATGCGACTGCTGTGACTGCTGCGTCCCTGGCGGTCGGTATCCATCGTCACCTGCCGAATCATAGCCTTGTTCCCTTTTTGATGCAAAGTTGCCCATGCTCAAACTGCCTGGCAGCCATGAAAAGCGTCTGGAGCCTCGCTTGCCCGAGAKGCTGGGCTCCCGTTCCTTGGAAGCCTTCCGGTTGAAACCAAAGCTGGGGCGGCGGCTGTCGGTAGACGGACGCGGTGGCTGTTCGACTTCGGCGTTTGGCATGGCATTCTTCATGCTGACGGGCGGGTATTTCCGATTTTTCCTTTCACTGGTRGCTTGTGCCGCGTCTTGCTGTTGCTGTTGCTGTGAGACACGTCTTGAATTGCTTCGATTCATTACCTTATCCGCGAGGCTACCCAGGGTGCTGCTGCGTTTATGGCCAGACGGCTTGCCTTGTTGCTGTGGTGTTTGCGGTACAGAAAACTGACCGCCGGTACGCGCCTGTTCGCTGACTGGCCTGTTTACGGGATCTATAGCACCAGTCTCAGAGGAGACCGGGCCGCCAGAAATGATATATCCAGGTCCTGACTTTGGCTGTGAGATCCGACCCTGGGCAGTGGTAGTGGTTGGCTGAGCRGCGGAAGGCTGACTGTACGAGTTGCCGCGTGATGGCAAACGAGATGCGGCACCTAAAGCCCCACTGGTATTTGGTCTTGATGCGTTGGACCCGGAAGAAGTCCCAAACATGTTTGTCGAGTCAGAAACAGCACGCTGTTGTTGCCTCGACGGCGGCAGCATAGATCCATCCTGTCCGCGGCCTGGAGTGACCTCCACCGGCCCCTGTGCTTCGGTCCTTGCCCTTGTCTTCGTCGCCGAAGAAGCGCTTGCGGGCACTGGCTTTCGTGCACTGGTATCCGGAGTAGCTTCGTGGCGGGAGGTGGTCATGTTAGGTGCGACATACTCAACCTGCACAGTCCGTCTCTTTGCATCTCTTTGCTGCTTGCGAATATCGCTGGCGTCATCTCCACCGACACTCGCGGTGCCAGCATGTTTTGACACTGCCACAGATGATCGATCAGYAGGGCCTCTGCTGGTCGGCTCCCGGACGGAAGAGCTTCGTCCGAGTGGCGTCTCTTCCCCGTCCTGAATGGTGTTGTTGTTATCACTCTTGACACGACTTCCAATGAAACCAACAACGTTGGTGTACTCGCTCAGCCAGCTGTGCCGGGCAACCTCGAAGAGATCGGCTCTTCTTCTTGGATCTGGGACCAGTATCCGCCTGAGGAGATCTCTCGCGTGCGGTGTAACGTATTCGGGAAACGTGAGCGGCGTGCTGACGATGTACTTGTACAAAAGATTAATGTTGTCACCCTCTGGGTTCGCAGGGTCGTCGTCGAAAGGTAGATATCCGGCCAGCATGGCATACTACATTCGGTCAGCGTGAAGTGGACGGATAACTAGATTCAGTACTCACCAAGATGACTCCGCAGCTCCACACGTCTACCTTGCGGCCGGTGTACAGCCCATCGCTGACGACAAGCTCGGGAGCTGCATAACACGGACTCCCACACGAGGTTTGCATGAGATCACCACGGCGGTGACCGCCCTCTCTCCCATCTCGCCATGGTATTATTTTGTCCAGCCCTTGTCGCTTGATGAAATCTTTGTCTGATATGCGATTCTCGACCTCGTCTCCCAGCTCATCCGCAGGGTTGAAAGTGTTGGCAAAGCCGAAATCTGTGATGATGATGTGCTTATTCCTGTCGAGCAGCAGATTCTCCAGCTTGAGATCGCGATGCACAATGCCCTTCTTGTGGAGGTATCCAACGCCGGAGACTAGTTGCGCAAACAGTCGTCTCGCTGCGGGGTCCTTCAGATAGCGGTGGTTGAGGATGTAGTCGAATAGCTCGCCTCCCGAGGCGTACTCGAGAATGATGCCCATGTGACGCTCAGTCTCGACAAATTCGTGCAGTCGGACAATGTTAGGGTGGTTTAGCTCACGGAGAATGTGAATCTCGCGGTAGATCTTGGGCAGGCGCGCCGTGTTTCCCGCCAGCGTCTCCTTCTTGATCAGCTTGATRGCCACCTGTACGGTGGAATCCCGTTTCCAGCCCATCTTGACCTTGCCGAACTCGCCTTCGCCAATAGTCTGTCCGAGTATGTAGTCGCCAAACTTGACTTCCTTGCGGTTCTGCGAAGACGCGTGCTTGAGATGCTCCTGACGGCTACGCTGAACCGGGGCGGGCTCAGCAGGCTGTGTACTCGCCCCTGAGCGCACTTCAGCTTTGCGTGCTTCTTCTCGTGCCAAATCGGCCTGCGGGTCGTCCACGACAATTCGATTGATCACAGCGCTGTTTTCGCGCGGCAGATCCGTTCCCATGGGCGGCTGTCCGATAGCTGTGGCAGATCTGCTAGATGAAGGTGTGTTGCGACTGCGCTGGCTGCGTCCGCTACCCGGCTGATCCTCCCTTGGTGACTGATGCCCTTGCCGCCGCTCGCCGTCACTCCCGCTGCCATATCCTGCCTGGGTCGGCGTCTGTGTAGGCTGTGATCGGGAATTATAGCCACGCGTGTCATACGAAGCGGCAGGAGTCTCGAATGTCGATGATTGGTGTGAGGACGATGCGCGGATGGGGAGAGTCGTTGCAGCGGCCGCATCGGGGTAGAACTGTGTATAAGTCGACGAGTTCATCGCACCGGACGGTGACGACGCGCTCGTGCTAGACTGGCCGCGTGGAGAATTCATGGCCGAGTTGTGCTGTGTCTGCTGCGGCGAGTTGGGCAGCGAAGCATTGTGGTCGGTGCGGGCGGTCGGTCGGCGCGACGACGCTGGCGGCGTCGCGGCGGACGCGGAAGAAGGTGGAGGGGCAGCGGCGCGCTGCTGTGAGCCGACGTACTGTTGCAGCGCCGGCGGATTTTGTGGGGGCTGCACTAGCGACATGATCGCGGTGTGAGACGAAAGGTCTCAGTGGTTCCAGCTCCGCGTGCAGGCAGTGGCCGTCGAGGTTGCTTTGTCCACTCTCCTGAAGAGCAGGCGCGTCGGGCACGAGCAGATCGATTGTCTGCGTGCGTGTCCGGTATAAGATTGCTTCGTGCAGTAGGGAGCGTCCTCGGTTCGGATTGGCGGTTCTGCAACGGCTCGTGGCCGTGGAACGATGGCGGCCACGCCGTGGATCAATTAAAGGTAAGGTAAGGTACAGTATTTGACACAATGAACGACGCAAGTTTCAGCGTAGTATCCAAACGCAGCCGAGCTGAAGCTGAAGCTCGTCGTGTCGCAGCTTCTCTGTCTCTGGCGGAGCACCGGGTGCAACCACGCGGGCGTAGTGAGGCAGCGGAGCGGAGCGTGGAGCAAGTGCGGAGAGGAAGGACGTGAACGACAGAAACAACACGAAGCGGCAACTGCGCCGTCAGCTCGGAGGTCAATCGATACCTTAGCCGGGTGTGTTCAAGGCAAAGGACGCCGCTGGTGGAGTGCGGTTCACCAAACAACTAGCGCTATGGCGGGTCCCGGGCAATCTTAAAGAAAGCCTAACTGCAACAACATCAACATCTGATCCACATGAACTTCAATGCGCGACATCAAATCTCAGAATCTGTCGGTGCCGTGATGACGCACCCATCTCCGCTGTGCGGCTTGGGCGTCAAGAGTCGCGAGTCGCGCAGCTAAGTTACAGCAGCAATCGCTGCCGGTCTGTCCAGGAAGCCCGGCGGTCTAGCGTGTGATCGAACTCTCCACACGATCTATCATCTCGGCCGCTCCACACGACCACGACCACGGCAGCCGCGCGCGAACAAGAGCAAGCAAGCAAGCTCGTCGTTGACTTCTGTGCGCGGATCGCTCACTCACAGCTACATGTGCAATTGACGGCCAGTCTCCTAAGCCCTTCGTCTAGCCCACAGAATGTCCTTCGCTGGAGCGTGCCTCACCCACGCGCTACTTGTCGTCGATCAGAAGCCAAGACTCTAGCGGGACACATGGATGACTCGCTGCGATTGAACGTGAAACCGCGCCTTTCCTAGATGGGTCCGCTGTCCCGCGGGTGCCAACAACATGGAGATATGATGACAGCCGTTGCGACGAGGATGCTCCTTCCCATGATGCCCGTCAGCCGCAGATAAAGTGGGAGATAACATCAAAGGGCCACCACCGGGCAAGGCTCTAGCCTCGCACAAATACTAGGTATTTCGATGTTCCGAGAGGCAGTCCGGAGCACTCCGAGGACCCGCGGCCATTCCACCTATACCCATATAAGACAACTCGACCGCGCGGTGGCCTTGCGTCGTGCGGTATGTATATCAGCACACGCCGTTGCTAAAAATAATGCCCGACTTGGGACGATCGGTCATGCTCGTCTTGGATCTCAACCGGTGGAAAACTTCTTCTTAGCGGCGTACATTCGAAACAAGATGACATGTCACGGCTTCCATGTGAACTTCCAGGCTCCGATATTCACTCCCACCTGAAAGCAAACCCGCAGACGTCACACTCGGATGACTTCCATGACCATGAACTTCCTGGCTATCTATCCGCAATGTGTCCTTGAGATTGCGCGGGAAGGATGTTTCGATTCTCACCCAGCATATCCGGCATTGCACGAGGACCTGTGACGATCAGGCGCGGTTTATAGGAATGCTGCACTAAAAGAGTACTGTTGAAGCAGATCTTTCACATCGGTATCGCTCGTGGTAGCATGGAAACGTCGGTCCAACAGTGTCACGAAACGACTCAGACATCGAGGGCTCTCTGAGCTCATGCCACAAAGCTCGTGTCTCGCAGCGTAAATGCAGTGGCCGCCGAACTCTCGGGCTAAATTGCCCATTGATGCTACGGAGTGACGTGTAGGAACTTGCACAAGAATTGTTCGAGGACTCCAAGGCGAACACGGTTGTAATGCGCATCGTTATACTGCCTACGGTGTTGATTGCGCTGACTGCGAACGCATCTCAAGCACGTCGTTTCCCCACCTTTCCATGGAGGAATCATCCTTGCCGCTCCCATCAAGTTACAATTGTGGTGTCCGAGACCACATATTCTTGCCCAACGTCCCTAAGCCTGTCTTCGGTTGGCTCCCTCCAAACCGTGATCTCTTCGATCAAAATTACCAAAAGCATGGATGCTCACAATCGGACCCGGCTCTTCCCTGATAGCGCTCCACACGCGAATGCAAGACGATCTTGCCCGTTTCAAAAGAACCTCTCAACCTGGCTTAGGACTTTCCAGGTGCCTGGGTCATGAGCGAGAAGTCCCGTAACTCTAGCAACGGCGGAGAAGGAAAATGTATGTGCGTTGCTGCGCCTCGACACCTGGGGCTGCATCGTGGAGACGGATACGTCGGAGATGACGAGAGATCCCGCTGCTTCGCTGGCGGCGTTGGACGTTGCTCGGCTGGATCCACATCTCGGATAGCCACTGCTGGACTTGGGCTAAGCTTCGTAGCATGCAAGTCCTCTTCACTATTGCTCGGCTGGCATCTGTTATTGTATGATTTGCCCAGCACTCCAGCACGCCAGGTTCCTTTCAAAGATGATTGCCCAATTCCCGGGCAAGAGCCAGTATGAAATCCGGTGGACCCGCACTGCAAGTCCTCTCGCCCTATCCCGTCAGTTTTCCTGCGTTGCTGACGAAAGCGACGCCAGGAAAGCAATCCGACGACGACAACCATGACGACAAGCAAAGCACCTGCGACTATCAATGATACGTATAGTCCTGATGATAAGCTCGTGGACTTGGGCTTGTCAACCCTCTGAGGAAGATACTGCGACGGTTCGGTCGTTCTCRCAATACTATCCGAGGATTTCGATGAAGAAGAGAGCACCGATTCGTTGCTGCTTTGCACATCTGAGTTCTTGGAATCTACACTCTCCGATAATATAGCTGTTGGAATACTCCCAGAGGGGCTGCTGGATAGATCCCATGTCAAGGCAGCTGACGTAGTATCTTGAAACGAGACCGTTGTGGTCCCAACAAAGACTGCATGGGTTCTGCTGGCCATTATTTAGCAACGTAGTTGTGGTGAGAATGGTTTGCTGTCGCTGTAGTCGACTTCATATAGTCAAACAGGGCTGCAGTGACGACAGAAGACTGGCGTTATCGGTTGGACTAGACGATTGCAAGAGTCGCATCAAAGATCGAGCCTGAGAGCTGCGGTGCGTGAGATAAGGGATCGGACCAGCAGAGTAGGTCTCCTGCTTCTAGCTCTCTTCCTCGAGTCGCTCGGCGGTCAAGAAAGGTTTCATTCCAGTAGCACAGACGTGCTTGTGTATCTTGCTCTCTTGTTTCAGGGTGATAGCGGTCGTACAAGAGCAAGAGTTCACCAAATCCAAATCTTGCTACATTTGCGATCAAGCGACGGCTCCAGTGTGATTGCGATGGTGATACACGGCAATCAAGATATAAGGTGAGGCTTGATTCTCACTGTCAGTGCAGTGTTAAGATGCAAACGGCCTGGACGGCTTCGACTGCATGCATGCCTCATTAGGCACTTGGATCAGTAAGTTCCAAAGTCCGTTGGCAGCGTTCAAATGACAAAAGGTGTTGTACGGGGGACATACAAACCCCGAGAATATGTGTCTGGGTATTTGGAGCCGCCACAGTGGGCTTTCCGACCTCCAATCCGTTTGTACCAAGCACTTCAAGCAATTGGGACCAACCGTGCGGCTCCTCCAGCAGCTCGAATGCCATTCGTATCAACGTAGATGCTGGGCCGCTGAATCACATCGTCATCGGCTTAAACCGTCCTACTTACTGCTGTCATGCTATCTCTCGACAGCACAAAAATGGGCGCGTTCGCCCAAGATACACGCGGTCCGGACAGAACGCACAAGCAAGTCTCGCCACCCTCCTCTCGTTCCGCTGCTTTCTCGGCTTACGACGGCGCCCGAGACCCGGTAAAGTTGAAGGTTACCGTCTACCTGTGGCGATTAAACATGTTGTGCTTTGACTATACCCGAGACAGCCCATTTTGGTTACCATAGCTTCCCCCGTCCGCGAGTGTGATCGTCGGTTCATTGCTAGGAGAGCCGGCAGCCTTCACTTCTCCATCTCTCGGCCTCATGAATGTCTCAATTGACATCTTCCATCCGCTCATGCCGTAGTTCGGTCTGCGTTGGCGATATAGACAGAATTGGAGTCGCTTCTCTCGCCAAACTGGAAATGACAGCAGTGTCTGAGAAAGGGTTGTCGAGATTGTTGAAACGAACAATCATGTCAGTATCGCTGTCGCTGCTACTTTCGCTACTGATCGAGGAGCCCAGCTCAAATCGTTGAGCAGAGGGATATGAGTGGCGTGAGCCACTTCCCTCTGACACCGAGAATGGGCCATGGAACCTTACAGGCTCTGTTCTGAAGCTCGTCTGTGACATTATGGCGGCAATAGAATGTGACTCGTCGATCTCTGCGCGCTCCGTCCCAACAGAGCCACTGGTCTCGCTGCTTCGCGACCTGGTAGATCTAGTATAACAGAACACGATGATGCACCCGCCGCCGAAGAGCATCAKAAACGAGACCGCGATGACAAGTGCGAAGATGGTACTGTTGTCATCTCCGGACCGCAGGTTGATGAGGAGTGATTCTTGATGTGTTGACATTTCGCTCCGATGTGCGATCAGGGTCTTGGACGAAGCTGCTAAGGGTTCCGTGGCGGATGGAATCGCTACAGCGGGAGCAGTGGGAGGGTACCCTGGAATTGTAGCTGACTCTGTTGGCGCTGCAAACACCTCAACGGTGAAGTCCTCGGTGAATTGAGGGAGGTACGCCGATAGGAAAAAGCTTTGCATTTTAGGAGGCATCGTCCGGATCCACTCAACAGTCGCGCCCTGGGATGCATCCAATTCCACCGACGTCGCTACTGCATAGGCTCCTTTGTTGAAACCAGCGGTGAGATCAAAGCCTGTTGCTGCTTCGAGCTGGAGACGAGCTGTCAAAGTCTTGTAGCAAGACTCGGTATGATCGCTGAACTGCCAGAAGCTACATGCAGCAAAGTTTGATCAGAATACAAGATGGACCATGACGTTTCGTCATAATACGCAGGACACTTACGGAATGGTCCGAAATACTAGAGCATGGACCGAGGACGCGGTGCCCGTAGAGCATGAAGCTAGACTTGTCGACTTTTCCTCAAATACCGCAACTGTGTAATCCTGAGACGGTACTCCGCTGAGATTGAGAAATGGTGTAGCACATGGCATCGCGGGTACGCAGGTTGGGTTCGGTGAAAAGGTGGTTGCGGAGTCCATTTGGAGCGTGAGCACTCCGTAGAATGGATCTGTAACCACGGCCATGTTGAGCGGAATGCGCGTGAATTGTAAGCCAACAAGGGCATGGTTATGCGATGATAGGGAATTGACCAAGGTAAGATATAAGCCGCATGGCTTTCACTGCGCCCCTCGTCTAGGGGAGGGCAACTTGTGCCAGGCGAAATCCCAAATTATCTTCAATTCGCGTTACACCGGCCGGTGGTACAGAATGCGGAGAAGGTGGCTCGAGGAGCTGGGGATGCGTCGACACCCATTGGGCCAGCATTGAATACTGTACCCCCCTCTACTTCACAGGCCACCGACCTGAGGATCCCTGTAGAGACTCGGTGCAATGTATCGCTCTGCACTGAGAGCGTGATAGTCAGGTGCCACTTAAGGATTTCGTAGCCCAGAAACCATGCTTGATGTTGGAGAGCTCCAGCCGCTCAAACCATCTGTCTGATTGGGCTCGAATAGCACTTGCATGCTGTGCTTTCGGCCCGAAGCTGTCATAACACATCGTTGCCTTCTCGCAATCTGCTCGGAGGGAGCATTCGAGGATCGAGTCGGCAGCTTCGACAGCCGCAGTCAACACCATCAGCTCTCTCAACTAGTCTCAGCCGACTGTMCATTGAGACTGTATGTTAGGTTCATGAGCTTTAGGAGATCAATTCCGTGTAGCGGTCGGGGCGTGGAGAGTAAGGCACATTATAGTGGCACTTCATACGTCCCGCACAGTAGATTGTTCCTCGCGCTTGGGATGAATCGGAGTTCTGGAATCGCCATGAAGAATGAGGTGAACGCTGGACGAGATTTGCGAACGATGAGGTCCGACGGCAGTGCCGTTCCGGAATGTGGAGAGCGTGGTTCTCACGCCGTACCGAGCCGCCGTACCAAGCTTTTCGATGGGTCCAAAAGTGACGTCTATCTAAGTCACTAACAAGGCTGATGTGTCCAACAACTCTGGCTKTGTGACGGCGCCTAAACATGTCATTCGCCATTCGCGTACAAAGAGTAGGTTAGGGACCTCGTCTCAAGTATCTGTCGCTACCTTAATTTTATATTTCAAGTCGGCACGGGCATCATAGTAACACAAACGACAGCTTCACAACATCGATAGTGTACGGTTTGCCCACCATTTCATCCCGTGAATCGAAACGCAAGGAGAAGGAGAGGGATGGCGAGAACGCGACGCGCTCAGGCCGAGCTCACCGAGTCATGGGAAGACGTGGACAACAGCTACTTCGCTGGCGAGGGAGGCGAGGATGTGCCCATCTACGGCGAGGATGACGAGCGGGACGAACTGGGAAGTCAGTACCGCGACCCCGACTCTCCACGCCGCAGGGCAGGAGGGTCTGCAGCTTCYACCAGGTCCGAGCTGGTCATGCCATCTTCTYCCGATGGCTCCGCTCGCCGCCTCAGCAACAGAGTCACCTCCAAAACAACGCAACGAGCCGGCACGCCGCACTTTCGCATGAACCAGCGGAGCTTGACTAGCGACGCAGGCGAGATTCGCAAAAGGCAGCGCACCAGCACTCCACGCTATCGCATGGCTGATAGGAGCATGACGAGTGATGCAGGGCGTGCAGGTGGATCACGGCTGCGAGAACAGCAAGATGCMGCCTACGACAGCGACAACGAAGCGGCGCGATCGCAATATCCTGCTCTGATATGGCGCCGTGCCGTCCGTCCGCTTCTTCGATATGTGACCGATGTCGTGGGATATTCGCTACATTACTTGAAACCCCTCCTCGGCTGGCTGCTGCTGCTCTACCTTCTGCTCGCTGCTATGGTCTTCGGTTCGGGCTTCCTCACCAACAGCATCAGTAACGCGCTTTCCCCCGTGTGCCGCCTGCCATTTACATCTAGTCTCCCTTTCTGTCCTCTGTCCAGCGGATCAGAACCGCAGGGTTTGGCCGAGTACGACAAATTGGCACTTGCACAAGATGCTTTTCAGGATGTTCTTGCGAACACGGCAGTCGGCGTTAATCTCCCGTTAGACATGAAGCGTTGCGAGTCTGGTATCCGTGATCTCAAGCAACTTGTCGCATACTCCAGCCTTCCCTCTCGTAACGAGTTGGTCTTCGAGTTTGGGGGATTCATCGACACTGCTCGCCAAGCCTCAGAAGATCTCAGCAAATTCAATTCACGAATTGGACGTGCCGTCGACAAGATCCTGTCCACGAATCGCTGGACGCTGAGTGTTATCGAGGGCGTCGCAGCCCAAGAGTCTTCCCAGGGCGCCATTTCGGGTTGGATCTCCCGGAACCTCAACATCTTCGCTCCTTTCCAGCCTGTAAGCCTTTCGTCGAATGTCCTCTTGGACCAATACCTGCGCCATACTGGTGCGATTGAGGAGCAGATTCAGAATCTCATCGATGAAGCTTTCGTACTGCGCGACATCCTCGAGAATCTTGACGGCCGACTGGACGTTATCGCTGACATCGTCCATCGCGATGGGGTCAAGACCGAGTCACATCAGGATGAGCTGTTCGCCCAGCTGTGGACGAAATTGGGCGGTAACCGTGCTTCTACTGCCAAACYGCAACAGCAGCTCGAGCTATTGAATTCTGTAACTCGCAACCGCCGTGCAGCTTGGGGACATGTCACCAGTACTATATTGAAACTGCAGGCAATTGCGAACAGCCTGGACGATCTACGGGAGAGGGTTGCGGTTCCCGCGACAGTAGGGTCTGAAAAGGTTCCCTTGGCCGTGCACATTGAAAGCATCAATATGGGCATTGAGAGATTGGAGAGCCAGCGAGATGCTGGCCGTAATATTGCAGCTGAAAGCTATGCCAAGATTGCCGAGAAGGCAGAAGCTGGTGATAGGAGCCAAATCGATGGGAGGGAACTTTGAGAAGCTGTAACGATGTTGCATGGAGCGGCGTCATCGGGATTTGTGAAGCGGTATGTTTCTTGAGCAAGGCGAGGCGCGTGTTGAATGCTGTGATAGATGTTTGGCTCTCGCCGGATTTAAAGATTAGGTTGCAGATGATAGTCGATGGCGGTTGTGATACCCATTGTTCATTGTTTGGTACGAAATCAATGCTCTCACAGCATCGATTGAAATGTGCTTCACTTCCAAGGCCTAATTGTTAGATGTCACACCAAGCGTACTCGTGGGATCCTTGCTGAGTCGATCTCGTCATGAACTTGTACAAGAACAATGTGACGTTTAGAGTTCACCTCCAGTCTTACAATACAGCTTTTGATGGTATGCATCCCCCAAATGACCAGTCCTGCAGCCATGCCACTAAGTTCGTCGTTGCGATGAAGGTGCTAATCATCGGCGGGTAATCCCACAGCCTCGAAGCTCAACTTCCACAGCCTCTCTTCGGCCTCCTCATCGTAGATATGAGGCGCATATCCATCGGCACCAAGTGGAGCATCTTTTGGAGCAGGACCTTGCTCGCCAGCATCGGCCAAGTACCTCCCGCCATTCTTCCCCTCAAAGTGAGGAGACACGGCGGCCCAAACGGTCGTTGCAGCCCCTTGCGCTGGAGACTTCATAAAGCGCCTAAAACTGTCCATGTCCAAGAATTTGTAGTCCGATTCGTCCATGTGACGACCCAATTCAGTCATGATACCACCGGGGTGAACACTCGATGCGTGTAAGTTTTGGGAGCTATAGTGTCGCTCAATCGAGGATGCCATGTAAATGTTGGCAGWCTTACTTTGACCGTAGGCAGCCCACTTATGGAAGGACGAAGGGTCTTTCGTGTAGTTAATGTCATCGAATCGTACACCCCCTGCGCGGTGGCCAGCAGATGACACGCTGATGACACGACTGGATACACCAGAATCGGCGGCGGACTTCAGCAGAAGTGGTTTGACCAGTTGAAACAGGAGAAAGTGAGCGAAATGGTTGACACCAACTTGCATTTCGAATCCATCCTTGGTCTTTGAATAGGGACAGGCCATGACTCCCGCGTTGTTGATCAGGATGTTGAGCTGTCCGTTTGAGCGCTGCTTGAAGTCCTCAGCTCCCTTACGGACGCTGTCCAATGAATCCAGATGGATCTCTACTGATTCCGGACGAGGCGTATCTTTGGATGAGGAATTGGATACGATGTCATCGATGACCTTTTCCAGTTTTGGGATATCACGGGCGGTGAGAAAAAGCTTTGCACCAGTCTCGTACCTGCAAGAACGGTATTAGCGGGTAAACAAGTCGCAGTCAAGATGAAAAGGTTGTCAGTACAGTGCACGTGCAGTTTCGACACCGATCCCTGAGCTGCAGCCAGTGATGAGAATCGTTCTACCCTTGAGTGTGCCGGCGGCGTTCGTGTCCTTGATAATCTGGAGAGCTGTAGGACGGCCATCATCTGGACCAGCTATGTTTTGATGGGCAGCCGCATAGGGTTGATAGGGGGTTGTAGGGGCGAAAGACATCTTTGCTGGGTGATCTGGTAAGGTGGATGGTCGGAGTGTTGATGCGGCGCAGAAAGCAGTTGGATACCTAGATACACTTTATACGGGCTGACATTAGCGCCTGGAAACCCTAGATCGCCGTTGCCTACTGCTATACGCGTAAAGTCCGTCCAATGTCCATATATCCTACACGCTGATGCTCTTGCAAAAGCACGCCGGTTTCTACACGCGCCGGCTTCAAGCGGACTTAACGGTGATGTTCAGCAGACCCACATGCAATTCATCTCACCTCGTCCATGGAGTGCCAATGTCATTCGTTGACAGGAACTGCACGTGGCATGACGCATCACACCACGAGCAGACAGGATAGATGTAGATGAGATCGATCAGCAGATGACTGTGCATTCGAGCCTTTCGCGTTTGTCCGCAGACTTGGCATGTTCCAGCACTTACAGTAGTTACTGACATGTTGATGCAGAGTTACAAAGTTGCGGGACAAAAGATCCGTTGCATTCAATGTCTTGGCAATGCCGGAACTACGTAAGGTAGCTTTTGGTGGACGCCAACTCTAAAAACTTTACATCCTCATCACATTTCATAAGAGTGACCTTGGATCACAAATCTTTCATGTCTTTTCAATTCGGCTTCACAGCCGATGTTGGAAGCGATGACGATGAAGCCGTCCCACTGCACGATGTGCGGGACTCCGCTGCAGTCGATGGGCCGGAGATTCCAGCAGCCATGCACAAATTGGAAGATTTGGTAGGTGAAGTATTCGTCGCTTCGCATGCGATACTTCCATACACAGTCGTCACCACGAGACTTGACCGAGCCGTCGTTCGTGACTTTTCACTGACGACCGGCAGCTTGCACACTTGCCGGAAAGACTGAGCTACAGTACGATTCGCATTGCCTCACCAATGGGAAAGTGTGTTTCCCTACCGCGCCGCGAACTTTTTGACATAAAACTCCAACTACTCCAAGACATCTCGGCGGACAACGATCGCGTGGTGGAGCAGATCGATAAATCTGATCTTCGCTCAGGCATTTATGAAGGTGGTTTCAAGACGTGGGAATGTTCGATCGATCTTGCGAGCCTGCTGTTGGACAGAGGTCCACGCAAAGACATTGATGAGCTGACGCAATGCGATCAGATCGTTGAGGTAAGCTACTATCCTCCCATGAATACTGATTRCCGACTGACGCACGCATAGTTGGGATGTGGAACGGCATTGCCCAGCCTCACCCTGTTTCAGCATGCACTTTTGAACAACATGGAAGGCTTGACTTTCACGTTCGCGGATTTCAATGAGGAGGTCTTGCGGCTGGTCACAATACCCAACGTTCTTCTCACCTGGGCTGCTTGTACTGAGAACAGTGGCTACCCAAACCCGGATTCTGCTAATAACAGCGAAGATCAAGATCTTGAGGTCACCGCCGACCTCATCAAACGATTCATAGCAGACCTCTTGGCCAGGAATATCAAGCTCAATTTCTTATCTGGACCGTGGTCATCTGCCTTGGCCAAATTGATCCCAGAGTCGGCGCCCGATGGGGGATTTGTGGTCCTCGCTGCAGAAACCATCTATAGTCCAGCATCAACGGACGCCTTTGTGGATCTGCTCATACTGCTGCTCTCACGGGTCAAGATGGCCAAAGCGATGATCGCGGCGAAACGAATGTACTTTGGCGTCGGAGGCTCGGTCGATGGCTTGAAAGAGGCTTGCCGGGAAAGGGGAGCAGTGGCTTACGAGATCGAGAATCATGGGGTCTCTGGAATGAATGGTGGCGTAGGTCGAGCATTGGTCGAGGTTCAGATGTTTTGATGAGGACGAGTCCTTGATCTATTTCACATTCCGTCCGCAGGTGATAGCTTGGAGGCCACGACCACGCGATGCGTTGGGTGCTTTGGCGACTATACACCCTAATCATGTCTGGGGGTGGTCTCCTTCAAGCTCCTGCGGCAAGACGATTCGAACCGAGCTCTTCGAGCGTAACTCGGCTACGCTTGACTTCGTAGCCATCTCCTGCTTCTCCTTTGCAGCTGGCATTTCCAATCCCCGCGGAGAGCTGAGCTCGAAGATCTGCTCTCCAAGAAGCTCTGCTGGCTGATTTGGTGGATGACCGTGGCTATCTGCCGAGACGGAAGGCGTGGCTCTCAGGCGCCGCCGCCTGAACCAATATGCAAATATCGCGGCTGCAATCAAGGCCACACCGCAAGTGATGCCAGCAGCAATTCCGCCTATCGTTGCAGACGAAAGCCCAGTATTCGGTTCGTTTGCGGAAGTTGTTGTGATGCTCGACGTGTTCCCAGACTCGGAGAAGGGAATATCGCAACCGTCGATGCTGAAGGAACGGATTCTCAAAGAAGAGCTCATGTCAGCACAACGGTCCAACTCAGCAAGGATAGCGTCATTGCTACAATATACGTCCGAGTATACTGTCGCTACTACTTGTTAGACTTGTCGACTGCAATGGTGCGAGAGCCATGTACCTGTGCACCCTGGCTGAAATTTCGAGAATCTCAAACTCAAAGCAGTGGCCGGTAATGTCTCTACGCAATTACCTCCATCCGAAGTGGCATCTTGAGCGCCAGGCTCCCATACATACTGCGATGCTTCTGCTGAGCAGTTGGCTCCATCGTAGAGTGTGACGACCGTGTTGTTCTGGGCGACACCAAACGCGACCAACAAGGCAAGCGAACCGGCTGTCCAGAAGCTGGGCATCGCGATGAACGCGGATGGAGGTTGATGTCTCAGCGATTCAAAGCTTGGTGAGAACTCATCGCTAAGCGTACGCTCAGTTTCTGTCGTGTAACATCTTCCGCATTGGTCAACATAGATAAGTGGTGTCAGCCGGAAGACCAAGGCCTGCTGATGATGGATGAAAGGCACTGCAATCGCTTGGACGTGATGCCTTTCTATCTCGGACGCATTTACCGTTTGAGCCGAATACGCCTCGTTTCACAGCTGTCGTGTAACGAGGGCCACGGCAATGTCACTTGAGTCTTGACCAAGACGGCGAAAGCATATCATCAGGACTCTCTAGTAGTGATAGAGGGAGAAAATTTAAGCAGCACGCTCGTCAATAGTACTCATGAGTCCGCATTCAAGTATTTTAGGTTCGTTGTGTATCGACTTTCCGCGCCGTTCGTTACTTTTCCAGCCCGGTGTATCATGCGCCGCACCCCAAACGGGCACACTCTCAATCCAGTGTATTGATGTCGTGCTCGGGCCCATATGTCAAGACGACCCAGGCGCAGAACTCTTCGAATTCTTGCGACCACTCTTTCATCCTCAACGCTCGCACACCCTTCCCAAATGCCCCGTCTTTGATAGATTGGTTCCATTCCTTGGCTGTGCATTCTTCAAAATTGGCCCATCGAACACTGTTTTCAGCCAGGCTTCCAAGTCCTTCCAATCCAAGATTTTCCCAACCTTGTAGAGCCTGCCAGAAATCATGTGTCATGCCATTGGAACCTTGGCCGAGGATGGCCGGGTCGTCATTTGAAAGCGAGCATGGCACGCCTCGGGCAAGCAGAGAAGGGAGAGGATTGGCCATGATGCTACTCGCAAAGCGAAGGACTTCATTACTGACGGGACAGCTTTCGATGAGGATCTTCTTCTCCTTGACCATATCGCATAGTAGAGGGTGCTTGATAAGTGAGAATCCGTGGCCCATGCGTCGGGTTCCAAGCAAGATTGCATCAAACACGTTTTCATCCACAGCATCACCATCACCCAGAGTCTCGCCGGCGTGGAAGAAGAATGGGATGTCAACACCCTCTTGAGCACATGCCTTCTTAAACCAGAATAGTTCGGGTACAAGGTCGGCCAACGGGCGTCCTAGATCTTCCTGGCCCACCAAGTCATAACCACCCAGAAGGTCAGGAAATTCAACCTTCATTGCAATGCAGTTCTTCATGTCTGCGATGATCTCACGGGGACTACCATGCCGGATGGTTGTCCAAATCAGCCTTGCGCCCCAGAAGCCCTTGCCATCCTCCGAGGCCTTGAACTTTTCGATTTCATCCTCTAGTGCTACGAGCATGTTGAAGTGGTCTTCGTCGGGCTTTTCAGTTCCTTCGCGGTAGAATGGCGCTAAGAAGTCGGTGCGAATGTCAACCCAGCGCACACCGTCCTCGTTTAGCTGTTTGAGCATATTCCGGATGAAAGCCTTGAAGATTGGCTCATAGCGGTGTAAGCTTGCAAGAATGCGGAAACATGAAATAAACTTCTTCCAAATGGCGTGGGGGCCAGTGTGGTGAGAGATTGATTCCTCTGGGGTGATGGAGACGCGAGATTTGAACCACTTGATGAAGCCCTCTTTGCCTCCATCTGGGAAATTTTCAGCAGCTTTGGCGATGGGGATCAAGTCGTTGCTCTTGTACGTCTCCAGCCAGATGTGGTCACCCTCTGACGCTGACGACGGTTGTGCGAAGCGGAAGATGAAGGGTAGGTCCCTCCGTGCCTCCGGTGTGGAAAGGGCTTGTTCGGAAAGAATACAGATTCCTGGCGTTGTAAATGCAGTCTCTGCGAGCCAGTCTAGGTCTCCCATGGCATCCAAATGGCAATGCAGAAGCGCTCCTTTCGGCATCTTCTTCACGATTTGCCAGAGCTTGCTCTGCTCCATGCGCGACTTGGCGAGCGAGAACATCATTCCAGGATAAATTACACCTTTGCCATCTTTGGCCAGCGCATCTTCTAGACTCGGCTCCCATAGTGTTTGCTGTTCCTCAAAACGGATGGCGGATACAATGGCGGAGGCTTCCCTGGCCATACCAGAGAGTGTTTCGCGAAAGGCATGATCGCTACGTTGCTGCTTTTCTTGCGCAACCAGTGCATCTCGTCCATCCAAGTATTTCTGGATGAATGGACTCTGGATGTTCGGCAGACCTTCTCGCTGTGCCCATTCCTCGTCGCTGTTCTGCTCGGGCTGGGTTGACTCCATAGTATTGAAGAGGCCTCCGACGAGGGGCGAAAAGAGATGTGTAGGCGATTTCAGACCATGCAAAAGCCTTCTTCTCAACTTTTCCTGTCTTTGATAGCTATCGGTCTCGCTGTTTCGGTGTCGGTCTTGAGTGGTACATGTAACTGAGTCGATGCACGGAGATCGCCTGGCCTGGATACCTTCCAAGGTTACCTTATCTTGGCCCAACCGCGGGCAAAGCCTGGTAAAGTTTATTGGTGGGACGGTGGGGATAGAACTACCGCATTTCTTCCGAACAACGACCTCTTGCCTATTGCGAAACCTCGAGTTGTCTTCGCATTGTCAAAGTTTCGAGGGGAAAGTTGATCAGCATGTCATAATCCCTATCGGATCGGATCGTATCTGTGATCGCTTTCCTGCTCGTTTGAGCCATGGAGAAATGGCCACCGCCAAGGTGGAGTTTGGGTTCTTTGACGTACACGCAGGCTTGGCATGAGTGAGGAGAGAAGGAATAGAGGCACGCTTCCCTCAGCTGAAGACAACCTACATACATCTATTTCATCTGCCGGCAAACGATATCTACATCATGGAGGCCGTTAACAATATCACATCCAAGTTTTCTAAGCTCAATCCATTTGCCAAACCCGGCAGAGATGAAGACGACGTCGGAGAAGCCACCGACTCATACTCGGTGGGCGGAGGTGGTCATGGTGCTCGAGTGAGCCAGATCACGAAAGAAGAACTCCGTGTAAGCCGAGCTATCAAGAGGTACATCTTGGAGGAGAAGATCTTGACGCTGGACGAAAGTGACCTGCTCTCCGAGAAGAGTACAGGTGCGCTGAAAGAACTGCTCGATCGTCCTCATATCAACATCCCAAGAGCGCTAACGGATCGTGGCCGTCCTCTTACGGAATACTTCATCAGCTCAAGCCACAATACATATCTCATGGCACATCAGCTCTATGGGTCCAGTTCCGCGGTGGCTTACGAGGCGGCGTTGAAAGCCGGGTTGCGCTGTGTAGAAATCGATGCCTGGGACAACGATGACAGTCCGGAAGAACCAAAAGTCACACATGGCTACACCCTGACTTCTAGCATTCCGTTCCGCAATGTTTGCGAGACAATTCGAGATGTGTACGACCGAGAGATGGCCGAGCCCGTGTTGGAATCTGGTTATCAGGCCGCTCCTATCCTACTCTCCTTGGAGAACCATTGCGGCGACCATGGCCAATTGAGACTTGTAAACATTATGTAAGTGCATACACTTGATTCTTCCTGACTTCGGCAATCTGCCAAAGAAAAGGCATCGTATACAGCTGGGTCTTGAAGACAGCCCATCTTGGACATGCTTTGGAGGAAGCTGTCTTCAGTATTTAAGTATCAATATATACTGACACGTACCAAAGGAAAGAGGTGTGGGGCGATCGGTTGTTGAGCGAACGCGTGAGAGATGAAGGATCGCGAGAGGAACAGGGAACTGGCGAGCATGTGCACTTGGTTGAGCTGGCCTCGAAGATCGCCGTTATAGTAGAGTATCATCTGCCAAACGAGGCGGACTCCGACGACGACTCAGAGGCCGATGAGTCCGAAGAGGCCAAGGAAGACCGCGAAGCGTATCGGAAGAAGAAAGAGGAATGCCCACAGGGGATCATCATTCCGGAACTTGCGAAGCTGGGAGTTTACGCTCAATCTGTGAAGCCTGCGAACAAYTCCTGGTTCGAAAGCGAACTCGAGGACAGACCGAACAATCACTTGATCAATGTGAGCGAGTCTGGGCTACTTCCACTCGTGTCAAAGTACAGCGACAAAATTGGAAAACACAATGCTCAACACTTGATGCGTGTATATCCCAAGGGTACCCGCATAACCAGCAAGAATTTGAACCCTGTGCCCTTCTGGGGAATCGGTGCGCAGATCTGTGCTCTCAACGCTCAAACATTCGATGCCAGCATGCAATTGAACGAAGCGTTGTTTGCTGGGTCAGACGGGTTCGTCCTAAAGCCTGCTCCTCTGCGTGCTGGAGGCAATGGAATTCTGGGCAGCGGCCAGAAGAAGAAGCTTCGACTCCGCGTAGCTGGAGCATCCAACCTTCCCATTCCAAAGGACCGGGAGGCCGACGATGTCAAGCCGTATGTGACCTGCAGCCTGGTTCACCCAGATGATGTGGAGAGCAAGCCACCGAAGAAGAAGACGAGTGGTTATCATCAGCACAAATTGGGACTTCTCCACAAGGGCGAGAATCCGCCCAACACGGATCCGATATGGAACGAGACTTTGGAGTGGGAGTATGAGGACAACGAGTTGACCTTTCTTCGGATCCTGATCAAGAGCGATGATTCATGGGCACGGAATCCCGTGTTTGCAGTCTCTGCAGTGCGGTTACTGTACCTTGTCAATGGCTGGTCGTTCATCAGGCTTTTGGATCTTAAGGGGAGGGAGACGCACTGTACTCTGTTGGTCGAGTTCCAGATCAGCGACGCGTGAGGGATCAATTGCACGTAGCAGGGATCGATCAAGAATGTATCAATCGACAGACACTCGTGGAAGCGAATGATGACAGGCAGATATGTGGAACGACATCAACGGCAGATGATATGCAGCATCGAGATTTTCCTACCCTCGCCCATGGCTATTTACTCGAGGATGATAGTTATCATCCTCGTCGTCATCATCAAGTTGGAATGGCTCGCTTTCCAGTCCGCCCTCCCTTCGTTTCCCACTCCCTGGCTCAAGGTCGTCCAGCTCCGCCTCATCGAAATCTCTCGCAGCCTCTACATCCCTCTCCACCTTTCTGTTCGCACCATTCAATCCCAACCCTCGTCCATCCTCATAAGGCTCCATTGCCAATACACTCTTATAATCCTTCCTTCGACTCCTCTGCCTGATTATCACGATGCCCCACACCACAGCCGCGATAATGACAAAGACAAGAGCTACCTCTCCGCTCCTCCGGTATGCAGCCCAGGCTGCAGCCTGCACGGCTTCCGCATCCTTCTCCTGTGCGGCTGTGGAATTTGGGTGCCCTCCGACGCTCGTCTCGATTCCTTTCTCGCCATYAATTCGACTGTCTTGAGGGTTGCCGCCAATGCTTCCAATGTCCACGCCCATGAAACGGTCCAGCATGTCTCTGCTCCTTCGTGGGTAGTCGAAAGGTACCATATGGCTGCTGTTGTAAAATTTCAGGTAGGTGAGATTTCGCGCGGTCTGATACTGACCCGCGGCCTCGCCCTCGAAGGTCCAATCCTGTTTTGGCGCAGTCATCCCCGTGGAAATCTCCATTCCTTTCCCGCCGTTAAATTCGATGCGGTTGATCAGGTTCTCCGTTCCAATATGGTTGCAGATCAAGTCCTTGTCGCCAGAGAAGAGGAGTATCGGCATTTTTGCGAGTAAGTCGGGCAGCAAATGGACACTGGGAATACTATTGCGCGCAGTGAATGCACTGCCAACTTGATTATTGCACTCTACCCAGCCGGTTTTTTTGTCGGCGTTGACGTGCAAAGCGGCCCGTACGTCGTCGCGGCGGAGGTATGGCTTCACAAAGTCGAGATCTGGAGGCCAGTTCATGCCGCAACTCGGGTAGGCGTCGCTTAATCGAACATCGTACATGTTTATACACTCATCATTCTTGCTGGGGCCTTTATTGAGGCGTAGGATTTCCTGCATGACGGCCTCGCAGTCGGGGATGTCGACGCGGTCGTTTGCTTCAGGTTTAGACAGCTCATTGAGACACTTTTGCTCTTGCTTCGCCACAATTGCGGCCACATCACTTCCTTGCTTCATGACGCCTGTCTCGTAGGCAAAAGGGATGTATGAGGTGTATTGATCGATTCCAGATATCCATCCATTGCCGATCAGGAGGCCAGAAACGTTCCATGGGCGGCTCGGGTTCTTTGCGTTGCGTTTGATCATGGCATCTGCGACATATGGAATCCATTGTCCAGCATATGACTCGCCTGCAATAAAGATCTATAGCATCCCACGTCAGCGCTTTCATGCGACATTCTCTCAACGAGGGCTACTCACATCGTCATGCTCCAATTCGGGGAAGATCTCGTAGAACCTTGTCAAAAAGTTGACCATTGTCGCCGCCACCGTATCCATCTCATGCGGATAAGAATTGGTGTCCGCATAACTGAAGCCCGTCCCGACTGGCTGATCCACGAAGACTACATTTGCGAATTCGTCCCACGACCCATCCTGCAGCTTCAATTTTCCGTCTTTCTGCACGCGATAGGGCCCCACCTCCATGAGCGCGCCGTCCATACTGCTGCAGCCCGGTCCCCCATTGAACCAGAGCAMTGTCCGCTGGCGATTTGCAATATGTCTGTTCTTGACGAGCCAAAAGAAGRGATTTCCCTGATGCTCGGCGTCGACCTCGATGTGACCCGAGTACATGTCCAGACGCGGCTCAGCGGGTGCACCGGGGAGGTCGTGGATGTAGTAGTCAGCCGCACTCTTCGATGATGCAGCGGAAACCATGGGGAGCCATGATGACAGGAAGGTGAGGCTGAGGGCGAGGATCGATGGCGATGGCGATGGCGACTGTCGAAGATGGGAAAGCATGTTGGCTCGATGGCCTGCTTGGCCCGTGGTTTACGTGGCTCCTACTATCGTGGTCTCGATGAAATCTATCATTCCCACTCCTTGTTCGATGGTCGATTCGTGATCCGACGACGAGAATTCGGTCTCGAAGATGGCGTTGTTGTGGTTGTTGTTGTTGTCGTCGTCTTACTTGATGAGGAGGGAACGTTCTCCTGCCACGCTGCACTTGGACGCGAAGCCCAAAAGTCTGGTCCACTAGAACTAAAAGTTACCTCATACCTTATTTCGGACTCCACTAAAAAGTCCTACTGGGTCAAGGCCCTGTGAAATTGAAGGTTGCCGGCTCTCCTTTAGTGAATTGACGACAACGCTCGCCAACAGGTAGCTAAAAGCACAAAAATAAGTGTCGTTGCGGAGAGTTGAACGTTTTATCTCCTCTTGTTCGTGCTATGATCGTTGCAGAGAGTAGAAGATCTTTTAGTGCATCTAATCAACTACATATTTACCACCAACACACGCGAGAAGAAAGCTCGTTAACACGCCTCCTCGTTTCTCGACAGCACCGCTTATTGAGCACCCGATTCAGAAGAATACGCAAGTGCGGACCATGAGAATGTGAAAGAGAAACACGCTAGCTCGGTTTGGTGGATGTATTCGGTGCTTCCTTTGTCCATCGCCCTCGTCATTCTCAGGACAGCACAGTGGTCTAGGATTGACAGTACTGATCTGCCTCGCGGGTTGGTAAGAAGTTCAATGTCTTGGTACGTACTTCAAACGGCAAAGTTGCTCTGCCGCTGCCTAATGAGCCTTCGAGACAAGGGCACGCGCAAGCCTTTGCTTGGCATGTGCCAATGGCGTATGATCGAGAGCGCTCTACTTCCCCCGAGCTGGACTCAACCTTTCAAGACGCTTGCTACGAAGTTCCGTACCTCCTGATATATGGCGTCGCCTTCTGGGGCTCCAGGAAACCCTGAATGTCCGGCCGCCTCCATGACATGCAACTCGGCCGTGACACCTAGAAGCAAGCAAATACAACATTAGCATAGTGACCCGCAGTGAGACCAATGTTGCACRATCGAACCACTTACCGGCAGTTCTCAAAGCCCTGTGCATGCGAACCGTGTTTGACAAATACAGATCTCGCGTGCCCGTGTATAAGATTGTCGGCGGAAAGCCTTTGAGATCGCCAAACAGTGGAGAGAGATGGGGGTCTCGAAGATCAGTCCCGTTGGCATACATGATATTGACGGGCATCAAGCTCCGCAGTACGGCATCGACGCCGATGTTTGTTTGGAAACTATCACCGGATTCCGTCAGATCTACCTCAGGTGTGCCGAGGACGAGTCCCGCCGGCATTGGCAGGCCTGCTTCTCGGGCACGCAGTAGCAATGCAGCAGCTAGGTTACCACCTGCAGACAGACCATTGACGATGATCTCATCTGGGGAATGCTCCTGGAGTAGCGCGCGGTAGACAGCCAAGCCATCATCAAGTCCGGCTGGGTACGGACTCTCCGGTGGCATTCGGTAGTCGATTGACCAGACTCGTTTCTGCAACATGGCCGCTGTCAATCCTGCGATTGTTTTGCACGCCTCGCCGCCTAACAGAATGAGGCCGCCCGGGTGAAARTCCAGAATAATGCTGCGGTCTTCTGCTGGTAGTCCAACGGGAATTGCTTCATAAACCCGCACGCCGCTGACATCGCGTACAAGCGTTTCACCTTCAAAATGCCCTGCCATGCTCTCGAAACCGAGTGCCATGTTACGGTCCACTTGCTCGATAAGATCCCGCCATGCTGCTTTGTCTTCCACCGGGGGATATTCAAACTGCGGTTGCGGCGAGAGGCGTGCTTGCGCGCTGGCACTCAAGTGCATAGGCGCCTTGATCAGTCGAGCTGGAACTGTGAACGAGGAACTGCCTTCCGCCATCTTGAAATCGGTCTCGCACAGACAATGTGAGCGTTTGAGAGAAGCTGATGAGCACTACGTTGCTAAGAGCCAGTAGGTCCCGCAAAGTCGATGTCGATTGCTGTGCCGACGATACTGCGGGACTTGTCGCGCCTTGGCCAGCTCTCGTATCGAGGAACTAGGGTGATCTACGTTCAACAGCTGCATTTCTATCGCCATGACCGATCACGTCGACGGTGTTGTCATGACTTCGCTTTCATCAATGGAGAAGTTGTAATTCCATTTGCGATACTGAGGCCGGATGTAAATGTCGTAGGGCATGTGCCCTCGAGGCAGGCACATTCAGAGTGAAGGTAAGTAGAGAATTGGTATCCTGTGACTAAGCGACCTCACGGCACGGTTCCGACCCGTCAAACTCAGGCTCAAGGCCCCTTTCTTTTGCAGTTCACTCATTTCGGCATATCGCCGCGTCGCGATTGGAGATGGGCTGACTCGAACGTGCAAAGTCTACACCAATACAGTAAGCTCGTGACGGCGGTGGTGTACTTGTAAGGGTGCATTTGCTATCCCTGTACGATTAATCACCGTTCGACTCGTTTCATTGATTTGCTTTGCTTGTAAACGAAGGCTGACGCTGCGCGTTGCCTGGAGCCCTTCATTGCTTTGTTGTATCATTATCAGGCATATCTTTCTTTGGTGGTCATTCAAGCGCTTCACTGTTGTATTGCCTCCGGCAGCCAGCAGCCATGGGCAACAGCTCCTCAAAGGAGAAGGCCGCTCTGCGGGAGCAGGTCGCTTCGCTAGACACAAAGTACAAGCTCGCGGCCGAGCTCAAGACGGCCATTGAAGACGAACTCGTTGGCAAGAAAAAGGAAGTCAACACAACGGCCCACAGTGTAGAACAGCTCCGTCGCCAGGTGCAGGAGCTGGAAGAGAAGAACTCCACGCTGCAATCGGATCATGCCGATACCGTTGTCAAGCTACAAGCTGAACTAAGTCGAGAATTGCAAGGACAATTGCGTGTCGCCGAGAGCTTGACGCAGGAGCGGAATCGGGCAAGGAAGCGTGTGGACCAGCTGGAGGAGACCAACCGTGGCCTGGAGAGGAGCGGAGCCGCAGAGCTCCAGGAGTTGAAGCAAAAGACACACGACGCCCAGGCCGAGGCCGAGCAGCTGCGCGCACAGCTCGAGGAGGGTACTCAATCGCTGGGAACCGAGTTGAAGAAGGCGAAGGCAGACCTGGCTGAGGCCGAGGAAAAGGCCAGGGTGGAAGCCGCAGAGAGCGAGCGTAGAGCCCGAGTAGGCGCTGAAGACCTTGAGCGACGATTCAAGTCTGAAATCGAAGAGCTCAGAGAAAGATCTCAGCGTGAGATCGCGCAGTTGGAGCAGCAATTGGTCACTCTTCGGGAGCGTAACGAGAGCTTGGAGGCTGAGCTCAAAGGCATCCATGCCAAACATGATACCGAGCTGCAACAGCACACTGCCACTCTAAAGTCCGAGCTCGCTGCCGCACAGACTGTTTTGGAGACCTCGCAGCAAGATCGCACAGCTCTCCGCACGCAGCTCTCTTCGGTTGAGACTGAACTTGCCGACACTAGCCGCGAGCTTAAGCGTCTGCACTCGGGCTCTCAGACTGTGTATGACGACCTCGCAACCGCTCGCTCTTCCCTCGCCACTAGCGAGCAGGAACGTCGAACCTTGGACGAGGAACTCTCTTCCCTCAAGAGCCGACTTCAAGATTCCGAATCAATTAGGAAGAGCATGCAAGACGGATCAAAGACAGTCTACGATGATCTCGCTGCCGCCAAGGCCAACATCAACAATCTCGAATCCCAACTCGCCAATTCGCAGAGAGACTTGATCGCTGCCAAGGCCGCTAAGGAAACACTTCAGCGTAAACACAACGAAGGCATCGCGAAGAGCTCGAGTCACTTCGAAGCCTTCCAGGCGCTCAAGCTTGAGCTGGCAGAGAGCCAAGAGCGTTACCGAGCGTTGGTGAATGCACAGGGACAGGGTGTGCCGAGCGGCTTCAAGAGTGGATTGGTCGAGAGTGCTTGATGAAATGTATAGGCTGGCAAGTTGTTGGAGATGCTGGAATTTGGGAGACTTTCGCATGGAATAATTGGTTGTGCCTTGTTTTTGTGTATGTAGGACCTAGCTGATACCCCAGACCGCTCTGTTTTTGCGCATGAAGGCGCTTGTATGCTGAAGGATATTTTGTGCTGTTGTTTTGTTGGGAACTCTTGCACTTGATGTCTAGCGAATGCCTCTTGATTGTAAAAAAGATTGTGTGTATCTACCTTCACATCATCCTTGGTCTCGGTTTGATTTGATTTGATGATCTCAGGAACTTTTCCTTCTCAACGCTGTCTTATACCTTCTCAGGCAATTGGGACTTACCCTTCAATGCTTCGTGCACATCACCCAGACTCCTGTTCCAGCTATGAAATTCGGCATCAGGTGTGCAAACCACATGCCACCGATACCGTCGTCGAGCAGTTTTCGAGGCAGTAATAAGAGAAGACACCTCAATGGCACCCTGGAGCATTGGCGCCGGCAGATTTTATAACAGCCGCGTCCGCCGTCCCTCTGTACATTCTAGCCAACTCGGTCTCATTGACCGCGGTCGCACAAGGCTAATACGATGTTGGAACTTGTCAACAGTCGCGGCAAGTATACACGGCAGTAGATCTCCATGTGAGTGGCATGTGATCGGATGCATGAGGCTTCACTGAAACGTGGTTAATTGGTTACAGGGAGTCCCTCCGAGCGTTCGTGGCACTGTTGTGGCTGTTCAACCAAATTTTCGGAAGTACCGGACTGTGGAAGGCCACTGGTCGTGAGATTGACCGGCCGCGCAGCATAAGTAAATCTGCAGTGTGGAGTGGMACGAACCAGAGGCTTGCCATGATTATTTGATACATCATCAAACGAGTGTTCGTATATGACGAATCGAGTCAATGCCAATGCAGACCACGCGGAGGGATCTCCCGCTGTCACATGCCTCGTATTGGAGTCCGAGCATGCTGTACCGTGCCGCTGGTACCCCTGGAAGGTATCTTCAAGGACTCGTGGGTACAAGCCACTCGCTGATACGTTGCCATTTCGAGATGATGATTTGTATGGAAGATTAGAGAAGTACACTGGAGACTAATAAAGTTGTTCCAGATGCTTCCATGGCGCAGACGGCTCTCGGCACAAATCATGGCTGTGAACTTTATTTTTACCACTGCTTCTACGTCATAGCAGGCGACCCTAACATGCGAGTGACATGAGGTAGGTAAGGTAGATGTGGGAGAGAACCTGTTGGGAGCATCTTCATGAACTGCAGTCAGATCTCCGCCTCGCCTCGCTCCCTTCCGACGGACTCATTCTGTGGCCGAACGCTTTCTCGGAGTGTCATGCTGAATGCATCATTCATGGCGTCGGATAACAAATCCAGTTACTGAGACTAAGTTCAGCCACCCGGCAAAGTCGGGGAAACAACCACAAGCTGGCGGGTACCTTTTTGTGCCTGATCCTGCGCACGGATACAAGGCACAGTAGTGTACAGTAAAGTAGTCCAGCTCTACGGATCACACGGCCAACATCGTCCACTGAGTTTTCTAAATGGTCCACCAGAGGCACTCGCCTCGCTGTAGTACGTACAAGCCGAGGCAACGACACGTTTTGATAAAATTGGCGTCAGGAACAAACTTGGCGATTGGCGTGGAAGCTGCCGGTGACACGACAACTCAAAAAAGACGACCGGTGCAGCTAGTTCCAATCCTTGCTAATGCCAATGTACTAAGGCTGCCCAAGGGATGTTACGATCTCATCCTGCTGTACCAATAGATGCCATGCTCTAAAGGGCTGCGGTATCCACCCATGCTTTTCCTCTGCTCAAGGATAGCCAACGCAGATTCGATGCGGTGCTGCCCGCTAGAGGTACAGACAGCTGTGGAAGCTGAACATGTGCTTACCTGGTCGCGACGACTAAGAGTGAATTGCCATGAAATCAATCAAATCTGCCATCACACATTGTACACAAAAACAACACCAAGCCTAGATGTGGCGCCGAGTCCTCGACTTTACGCCAAGCAGACTTACGCGTGCCTTCAAGGGTGTGAGTAGCCGGGTAAGTGCAGCACAGCAGTAGATGTCTGATTAAGCTTTGCCATTATTCTAAAACGATGATGTTATGATGTGGGCACATCTGCGAAAATTCGGCTTACTATGCGACCGAGTATGGCCCCTGGAATGTCCTGAAGAACTTTTGTGCTTGCCATGCCCACGTCAAAGCGGACTGCGAGGCTCGTATGCTCGGGAAAGATTATGCATCCCGTTGGAAGCTGGATGCTCGGCCTGCCAAGTCAAGCATATTGCCAATCATATGTGTTCAAATCAGATACCCAAGGCTCTGTGCCGTCGTAGCCGGCGCGATGAAGCTCTGTCAGGGTCTCGGAGTTGCTGCCCGTCCGTCCTCTTCACGCGGACTTAGTCGAGCCCTATCTGCGTGGGACCCCGCCCAAGAACTGCAGGGCTGTGACTGGATGCCGACGGTATCATGACCCATTCCCCGGGTGCGCTAGGCTGTGCAAGCGTAGATCAAAGTGCATTGTCGAGGCTTGGCCCGCAGATGGTTAGCCTCCAGTCCGGTCATCACAGTGGCGGCTGCAATACATAGAAGCAACACCATGGCGCTGTGGCGGCAGAGTTGCGCAGACGGAATCCCGAGGACGTTTCTCAAGGCACTGAAAGCTTCCATCATCCCAACAGCGGAGTTCTCTCCTCGTTACATTCACTCGCACAGAGCTCGCCCACGAATGTCTATTGTTGCTATCAACAGGCACTGTTGCAATGCCTCCACGACAAATCCGTCCGAAACATGAACCTGCCCTGACGGACGACGGCGTTGGCGACCCGAAAGGCGGAAAGCGAAAGGCCGTCTCGTCGGCGTGTATACCATGTCGAAAGAGAAAAAGCAAGGTGAGTACGCAGATGGAATGTCCGGTATTTGACTAACCATTCTCCAGTGCGATGGGAACCTTCCGTCCTGTTCAACATGCATTGCCGTATATCGAACCGAGTGCTTCTACGATGCCGACTCGGATCACCGCAGGAAAGGCGCGCTGAAGCGTGACCCACACAAAAATGACAGCCTGGACGTCATTATCGCCTCGCTACGAAATCTACCAGAGACAGAGGCAGTATCTCTGCTTCACAGTCTACGGGGCGATGCAGATCCAGATGCTCTCGCGGAATCGTTGCGAAACACTGTTCATCTGCCTAACAGTTTCGCACTACAAACACTCGAAGCGGATTTTGCGCAGGAGATTGCTACTCCGTCGAGCGCAACTTTTGAGAACTCGCCTTTTCATCCCTCGAGCCTGATACGGACAGGCTCGGGTGAATCTGAAAACTCATTCCGCTCAGCCGCCACATCTGCCCCGGCCGAGCAACAGGTGGGATGGTTCAAAAGGCCAGAGGACCCTGAACTCATTGATCACCTACTAAGCCTCTACTCATGTTGGGTGCTCCCCTATCATGGATTCGTCTGCTGGAACTTGTTCACCAGTGACATGGCGCGAGGCAAGACCGACTATTGCTCATCGCTTCTTGTGAATGCCATTCTCGCGCTGGCTTGTCACTATTCGGATAGACCGGCGGCGAGGACTGACCCCTCCGATCCAGCCACAGCGGGCGATCAGTATTTTACCGAAGCGGAACGACTATTAGAGCAAGCGGATCAACCCAGTCTTACCACTATCCAGGCACTTGGTATCATGGGAATGCGCGAAGGCTCTGCTGGTCGAGACAGCCGAGCATACCAGCTGGTCGGTCGCTGCGTTCGGATGGCGCTCGAGCTGGGTTTACACCTGTCCAGTCTGCGACAAGGATTGTCAGACACTGAGATCGAAGCGCGGAGGATTACTTTTTGGGCAGTGTTCAACCTGGAGACCACTTGCGCCGTCAATCTTGGCCGTCTCTCACAGCTCCCAAGAGCGGCAGCGGATGTCGAAATACATTCAATCAGGACACGGTCGGAGTCCGAGACCTGGAGGCCCTACGTCGATGCGAATCTCTCCACGAGCGCCAGTGCGGAGCAGCCCTCCCGGGTACATCTATTCAAGGAACAGCTTTCTAAGCTATCGGAGCTGGCGAGCGACATGGTCAACACGTTTTACGCCCCAACAGATACCCTCACAAGTCGGAAATTAGCAGCCATGTATGAGCAGTATCGGGCGTGGTACAGGAATCTTCCTGAGGTATTTCACTTGGAGAACACGACGCTACCGCATGTGATTGTTTTGCACATGTACTACCATACATGCGTTTTGCACCTTTTCCGTCCCTACATCAAGTTGGATCTACGAACCGCAAATCTGTACCCACACGACACGTGTACGTTCTGCGCCAATGAGATTTCCGCACTAATGGGTGCCTTTCGAGCCATGTACGGCCTGCGACGTGTCACACAACCAGCCATAGCTCTGCTCCTATCGGCCAGCACCATTCACCTCCTGAATCTTCCATCAGAGACGGCAGCCAACAATCTGTGCCAAGGGATGCGGGACTTTGAAGCCATGTCGGTGAACCACGGCCTTGCTGCGCGTGCCATTGACATCATTCGTTCGCTCTCTAGCAAATGGAATATTCCGCTTCCGGAGGACGCAGCTGTCATCGCTAACTACCGCATGGCAGGGCGAGGTGGAAATCGTCATTCTCCCCCTCAAGCATCATTCTTCGCTGCCACTATCTGGCGGAAACAGAGCAGCGAGGGCAAGAAGTCTTCGAATAGCAGTCAAAGCCGCTCAAGTCACCAGCAGAAGAACTCCCCCTTTTCACCACCTCCGTCACAATCGAAAGTTGAACAACCGACCTCTGTGCATCCAGTGGAGCCTGTGTATTACGACGACCCTACAGCCCCTTTAGACCCTACTCATGCACATTTCTGGACACCTTTTCCCACCCAGATSATGCCCATGGCACATACTCATTCGCAGGATTTGGACATGATGGATATGGCAACGCAGCTTGATGGACAGCAACAGTGGCATGGTATCAGTCATCTTCAAAGTGACCCGAATTTCTCAACGACTCATCCCAGCGCTGGCGCGCACGGTGGCCATGCCGAGGGACGTATGCAGCTAGGGGATGATATGATGGGTGGAGGCGGTTCATGGCGTTGGGAGTAATACGATTGCGAGAGCAAAGGATTCAGAGCGCCGGCTCGCTCGACGAAGGCATTGTTCCATGGGCTGCCAGGGTGGCTTAGATGTGATGAAGACACGACATATATGATCAAGCTGCATAGCAAGGGTGGGAACTGAACGATCTCTTTTACTGGATTGGAATGGAAAAGCGTGGTCTGGTTCGTTATATTAATCAGAGGATGAAAGAAATTTGCTTTACTTGGACGATATTGAGTAGAAGATGTTGCATCTGCCAAAAAACTTCGAGTATCCGTGACCCACAGCAGGGTACGCTGAGTGAAACGACGCCGCGACCACGCCAAAGACTTGCGCTGGCTCAAATGACATAAAGAGAGTAACGAGCCGAGTGAGTTGAATGTCGAACAAAGGCTGTACTTCAACCTTGCTGCTCGCAAAGCCTAACCCCAACCCTAACTAACCCTTAGGCAGACATTAGGCAGACACCTGCATGTTGCATGGATCCATACCAGGTGACTTTCGATTTTCGACTCCATGCTCGTAGGAGGTCATCGTGCGTGGTCTGTTCTCTAAACTGTATGTTAGGAAACATTTGATTATAGATCTTCCGCTTAATATTATAGAGGCGTAAAAGCTTCAGCTGAATTCTATAGAATCTAGATGACGTCCACATCCACGGAGAGCGGTCCGCTTAAGTTTGGTGATTTGTAAACGGTTGAAAGATTATCGAGACTACTCGATTGCTATCTACCTTACCAGATCGCAGATCATTGATCTCACCTGCTCCTGGTACTGCTCAATTGCAGTTCGTAAGGTGCACGTAAAGCACGACACCCCTCACGTCAGCCAGCCCCGCGGCGACTCGCCTGCAAGCTTACAAGCTAGACCTGCTGTACCTTACACACTTCCTTAGTCCGCAGCTCGACGTTTTTGCATGCACATCATCGACGACACCACGTCATCTCTCCCGTTCCCTCGCCCTCGCACGCCTTCTCCACGACCAGACCACTCCCAAGCGAGCATCCGTCAAGCTGTCTCAACAAATCCCCCTCCGTTTCTACAAGACGGCAAGCTCCCAGCGCCTCGCCTCGTTTGCTCGACAATTCTCCTCGACCACTTCCACCATGGCGCCCATTTCCAAGGAGTGTGACTACCTGGTCATTGGTGGCGGAAGCGGTGGACTTGCCTCTGGTCGTCGTGCCTCGGGCATGCACGGCGCCAAGGTCATCGCGGTGGAAAACAAAAGACTGGGTGGCACATGTGTCAATGTTGGCTGTGTGCCGAAAAAGGTCACCTGGAATGCCGCCACCATCGCCGAAACCATCAAGGAGGCCAAGGCCTACGGCTTTTCCGTCCAGCAGACGGCCCCATTCGACTGGAAATCATTCACGGACAAGCGAGCCGCGTACGTYAAGCGGCTAAATGGCATCTACGAAAAGAACCTCCAAAACGACAAGGTGGAGTACTTGCACGGAACCGCAAGCTTCAAGGACAAGCACACGGTCAAGGTCGTGCTGGATGACAACAGCGAGGTGGAGGTCAAGGCGAAGAATGTGTTGATCGCTGTGGGAGGCAAGCCCAACGTTCCGGATGTGCCCGGCGCCGAGCTGGGCATTACATCAGACGGATTCTTCGAGCTGGACCAGCAGCCCAAGAAGGTGGCTGTCATCGGTGCGGGCTACATCGCAGTCGAGCTGGCGGGCATGTTCCACCACTTGGGAACAGAAACGCACCTGTTCATCCGCCACGACTCGTTCCTGCGTACCTTTGACCCACTCATCCAAGAAAAGATCGTCCAGGAGTATGAGCGTCAAGGCATCCACATCCACAAGCAGTCCTCTCAGTCCAAGGTCGAAGACATCGGAAACGGCCAGAAAAAGCTACACTACAAGGATGCGAACGGCRAAGGCTCAATCGATGTGGACACTGTCCTTTGGGCCATTGGACGATCCCCTGAACTCGAGAAGCTCAACCTGAACGCGACCGGCGTCAAGCTGAATGACAAGGGCCACATCGCCGTCGACGACTATCAGAACACCAACGTGGACAATATCTTCGCTCTCGGAGATGTCTGCGACAAGGGCTTCGAGCTGACCCCGGTAGCCATCGCTGCAGGCCGAAAGCTGTCGGATCGAATTTTCGGTGGAAAATCCGACGCAAAACTGGACTACGAGAACATTCCCTCGGTCGTCTTCTCCCATCCTGAAGTCGGATCCATCGGAATGACGGAGCCAGAGGCACGAGCAAAGTTTGGCGATGACAACATCAAAGTCTACACGACAAACTTCACTGCGATGTGGTACTCTATGATGGAGCCGGAAGACAAGGGACCCACGGCATACAAGCTCGTGTGTCAGGGCAAAGAGGAGAAGGTTGTAGGTCTGCACATCCTCGGGCTTGGATCCGGGGAGATGCTTCAGGGATTCGGAGTCGCTGTGCGGATGGGGGCTACAAAGGCTGATTTTGACCGCTGTGTCGCCATCCACCCGACATCTGCGGAAGAACTTGTTACGCTAAAATAGGTCACAACTACAACGTTGCTGGATGATTATACCTACACCACCTCAGGAGGTAGATTCGGGTAGTTACGATATAGATCTTCGGTGGCATCGGTTACTCCACGTGATGAAGATGGATGCAAGAGTAGATATGGCTGGCCGTTTGTTCATCGCCATCGTTGTCCAGACCATACTTGCGCCAGGCCTCAGGAGACGTTTGTTGGCTGCTCAACAGCTGTTCTCTACCAAAAACCCGTTTGAATKGAAACTCGCGTGAGGCTCAGGGGCGTACATATGTACAGTGCCCCTGGACAGGATCCATCGTCAAGCATTCCGATCACCATGCGTGCCGCGATGGCCCAGAACGTGAAGTGCCGTCGAGCAGGACGAGGGTGGAGAGAGTTCTGTCTACCGTACACGTACAGTACATGCAGGGTGATGATCATGTCTTGGGTGAACGGACGCAGGTCGAGGTCGAGATCGGAAATGCAGGGCGGTGCGTCCCCAGCGACGATTCCCATGCTCCCATCACTACCGTAAAAGCCCGTTCCAACGGAATTTGAGCTTCTGGTGAAGCGGAGGTCTCCCAGCCTCGAGAGCGTGATCCCGCCCGACCAACGTCTCAGCCCTAAGGTACCGGTGCCGCCCGGGTGGCCTTTTCCAGCCAATCATTAAATTTCACCAGGTCCAGTGTTATTTTGGCTTGCGGAGATCACGCAAGCTCCACGCAAGCTCCACCAAAACGCCAATGGTGACTCCACCATGCTGGCACTGCAACTCATCCATTTCCTCATTCGAGCAGACGCATGATACACCCTTGTCCGCTTGCGATAAATGGTCGCATTGCCCCGAATCAGCAAATCATGCTGCAGCTGGCTGGATGTGTGCAACGCTCGCAATCATTGGGACTTCCGTGACGATCACCATTCCGCAACACTGGCTCGGTATCATCACCCTGCATTCGGGGATCCTTCTGCCTCGTGGAGGTTTGATGACTGAGAGACAAATTTGGAGGACCTGTGTGAATCCCCTTGATCGCGGAAGCCGTCCTGTCGGAGGATTTGCAAGTGACTGCCATTGGGTCTACAGACGGTTGATACATGGACCTACATTAACCCGCATGGCAAACCAGTGGATTCACATGGCACGACAGACCCCTCGAGGGTCGAGACCCCGGCTTTCAGCTTGGGAGCTGATGGGATGTTCGCTAATAATAATGAAGAAATGTTCTACGATCTGGACGATCATTGCGATCACACCAGGTTGTGACTCCGAGTGCGGAACCCGGTCTGTCATGCTGTCATCGTCAGACGAATTGCTGAYGATTCTCACGCTCACGCGTTGCTCAGCTGCTCGGAGTCACCGCATCAGCCGAGCGCAAAGTCTGAATCCGGGTCTATCTAGCAAAGATCCCTGTTTGGGGGCGGCCTCGAGATGGCTCCACGAACCAATCACATCGCGTCCTGACAGAAAGCCACGGGCCGCCCATGTTATTTTGAACCACTGGCTCGGTTTCCTTCCTGTTTTACCTATCCCACTGGCAGGTGCAACGGTCGCGTACCTGGAAAACATCTGCCGTTTGGCTCACGCAGTTGTCCGGTCGTGGCTGGAGGCCTGGCCGGGCTACTCCCTGTGAGAGGTAGGGCAGCAACCGCATCTCTCTTGACGGGTTCATCTGGCCTGTTGCCCTTTACTTCATATGCTTCGGCTTGTCCTTGCTTCGGGTCGTCCTTGCTTCATCAGAGGTTTCTTTTCACCGCACGACCCACTTTCAACGTTGCCTACAAGCATCATCATCTTGTTTCACCGGAAGATAACAACAACATCTACACGAAACAAAATGGCCGACCACCTCTGCCCACGTCTGACCTTCCCCCAAGCACCATGCTTCTCTTGCCTTTCAAAGTCTATCCCATCATCAACAATGGTCCCAACTCCAGAAACTCTCATGGGCTTTCCCATGCCACCGACATATGTCATTGAAGCTGGTCAGGTGGTCAAACAACGTCGGTCCTGGCCCAAGAACCTGAACTCTTGCTCCAACGACGGTATCTTCAACATGTCTGGGGACGCCGAGACTCGAGCCAAAGCCATCCACAAGCTCAATCAACTCCTTCAGCTCGACCAGCCCAGACGGGACTCGGAAACACTTCCCACGCAAGTCCTTCCAGCGATGCAAGCTGCGTGATGATTCGCAGCCTGGCCGTGTCGCACACAACCCCACACCACCACCAGTGGGCGACATCACACGAAACCAAATTACCCCAACACAACAGTGGTTGACAAAAACAACATCAAGTCTCACCAAGATGCGCCAGGACATCTCAAAATGGATATATTATCAACCACCGCACCCACCCCGGGATCCATTTCACGCCAGCCTCTCGTTCGAGCAAGCGTATCTACACCGCTTGCAAACCAACCTCCGAGAGCTCGGAAATATTACTATCGGCGCAAGCCCGGCGAAGATGACAGCAGTGCAGCGGGCTGTATTGCACTGGTGAAGGCGCCGTCTCACGACAAAACAGGCGCCCACCATAATGGATGCTTTGTACATCTCTTCACGGGGACTGTCACTCAAAGCGGGAGGGAGGAAGATAATTTGATTAATAATATGGAGAAGAGCTTTTTTTGTTGTACTATTAGAAATACCCCGACTTGGCTCACGCTGTCACCTTTGAATTCAATGTATTCTGTCTTGTTGATTGCAAATCTTGATTATTCCATCTCAAAGCCCGTTCCTTCTCGATTTCCAAAGGTTTTGGTTCATCGTGCTCCTAGGGGAAGTCTGGCTTGTGGTGCTAGGTGCGTGCTCAATCATCTCGGGTCCACGGATCAGAGCATTTCCCCCATCTGTCAATAGACTACGAACTCGGCCCACTTGGAGTGTAGTAGGCCTTCTCGGGCCATGTGCATCAAGTCCGTGTAGGATTCTACGGGTTGCTCCTTGGGCATTGGCGTGATGTAAACTTTTAGTTGGAAGGAAGAACATCACGAAGCGAAATTCGGGTGGCTGGAGTGGATATTATCTATATTTGACAATATTGGTATGCAAAACCGTTCCGTTATTAATAAAGTGGTGCTTACCAGGGTCGGTGATCACTGATGGAGACGTTGGGTTTCCAGCTCTTGGTTGAGATTTTGAGATTGTGGTACGTTGCTGGTGTTGTTTCCATGTTTCCGGATCACTTCGCCGTTGTTCCGTCGGCATGGAGGCGAGAAAGACTTCAGTACCTACCTATCGTCTGTGAGGTATTTATAGCGATGTCGACTTCCCAACAAAGCCCCTCAAGGTCGAGAAGTATGAGAGAACGCGGTCGGGAGCTATGCCGAATGACAATGAGAGACGGCTACACTGCGACCGTGCTCAAGGTGAAGTCAGAGTCACATGAATGTGATGTCACATGATATACGATGAGATTAATCTCGTCACCCATGCATTATTTCGTTCCGTTCCTTCTTCATCATCAAGTCGAGTCACACATGCGAGTGAGTGAATGAAAGCAYCGTCGGTCGATCGGCAACTGCTTTGCCCAGAACCCTGCTAGACCGGGCAAAAGCGGAGAAAAGCAGAGAAGCCAAGCGCGTCTGGCTTCTGAACCCAAGCTTTGTGTTGCCTCCTCTCGAGATATTATTCCCGCACCTCTCATCACATCACCTCAACAACATCCACCTCCGACAACCTACAAGTGACGCCGGCGACACTTATCATTAATATCGCTTTTCTCCAGCCAGCGCGCCCGCAAAATCAATCACCTCACATCAACTCACCATGCGCCTCTTCAATACTCAACACGAATTCCAGTATTCCTGGGACGAGGTCTCGACCGCAAATTGGCGCAAGTATTGCCCATGGAATGACCAATCAACACACGTAATCGCCGTCGATACCCTCTCTCGCTCTCTGGACCCACAAACCAACATCCTCCGCACCGAGCGGCTCATCACCTGCCGACAATCAGCACCATCATGGCTCAAGACCGCGCTTGGCCGTAAAGAGGACACGAGTATGGTGTACGAGGTCTCCTATGTGGATCCAAAGGAGAGGAAGGTCACGATGTGCAGTCAGAATATGACTTGGAGTGATATCTTATCTGTGCAGGAAACCGTCGTGTACAGGGATGGAGTGCTTGGCAAGGGCGGGAAAATCGGAACGACCATCTTTGAACAAAGGGCGAAGATCATTGCGCTCTGTGGTGGGTGGCAGAGGATTAAGAATGCTGTGGAGGAGTTTAGTGTGGAGCGTTTCAGGCAGAATGCCGCCAAGGGGAGGGATGGGTTCGAGAGGGTGTTGAGGATCTCGCGAGAGGTCTTTAGGGAGGAGAGGGAGAAGAGGGCGAGCGCGAGCAGTTGAAGGTATTGATACAGCTGCATGTTTCCGTGTGCGTTCAGAGCGAGTGGGGGTCTTTTCAGGCGCTTGGGATTTACATGGCGGTGGAGTTTTTGTGTGTTTACACCGCATTCAACGCGTGTGACCAAAAAAGTAAAGATGAGACGAGTGGATTTGAAATACGAAAGATACCCAGGGAGGGAGAGGCTTACCTTTCTCAACCTTTGCTTGATAGATTCATACAACAGACGATATAAACAGCATATTCGAACATGTTTCTAGCACTCACGCGCGAACGATTGAAAAAACGACCAATATGGATCCAACATGAAATGAATCAGACGAACTATCAGGTTATCAGGTCTGCAGGTCTTTTTTCAACACAGGGCATCATGAAAAAGTCGATGCTACTCCGACCCCTGCGAGCGCGCTCCCCGGTAAACGACCTATGAATACGAAGCGAAAGCATATGACTACGAACGGGTCATCGTACAACCAGTTGTGTGAAACTGCCTAGCTGGGACTTTGCGTCAATCGTTCGGTTCGTCCCTTAGCAACAGACGGCATTCAATATTGGGTCGGGTATCATAATGCACCGGAATGAGACTGTACTGGAACATCGTGCGCTTGGAACAGGCAGCCGACCTGGCAACTTGTTTGACCGGAGATTCACTCGTTAGGAGGATGCCTTTTGCATTAAAAGAGGATATCACAGGTCTTGGGGTAGGGCATTTAGCTCTTTCTGTAGCGCGTCCACACTTGAAGTCATATAGTCAGCGCCGAAAGTAGGCGGCTTTTTTTTCGAGTATACTGTGCAGCTGTGTCATTGATGGAGCAAAAGATTCAGCACGGGTTTGTAGAGAATGTGTAAGGGTCAAAGAATTTAGAGACCGGAAATGTTGTGTAGCACTGTCAAAATCGCAATGCCAAATGGTCTTGGCGAAAGCTGTATGATCAAGCTGATGAGTCTGTTCTGGTATTCAGATAGCAAAGCCAAAGTCTTGTTCCCCAGCGTGTCTCGTTCGCGTCCAATTGTAAGATATCAGAGATGGACAGATACCTTGGACGTCGTCAGCGCGTGATTTGGTACGAACATGCATCGTTCAGAACCAACATTTGCGCCTCGCTGCGCAATAAGCTTGTGGGTGGCCTTGAATCCACTCGACCGAATAGCCCAGCGCGCAGTGTACATTGTCGAAATCACATCTGATTACAATGTCGATCGAAATGGAGCCCAGAACGTCCGGTGAGGATAGCACTACTAGATAACATTCTCTCTCGCCGGGATGCGCATCTAGTTTTGCGCCGGTCGTCGAGTCGCCTCTATCCGGCATTTGAGCACCATAGAAGGTCTCTGGCTCGAGTGTTTCGCAGTAACGAGGGAGCCGTTCCATCTCGACGTATAGGTCTCGTGGGTTCCTGATGGTCTTCCAGCTCCTTGCCAGAATATTTTGAATTCGGTTGAATCCATTGCCTGACAAATGGGTCTCACTCACCCTTCCGTTCGCGAGTACCTCCCATGGAAAAAGAGCCCATGAACATATTGCCCTCTCGAGCCCTTGGAGAGAAGCATCATCAATCGAATCCAGCTCGTAAGTCCCTTCAACTCCCACGCAGGCCCTTCATCCCGACAAAGTCCTCCATCTCACCCGTACTCTTTCCCGCAACGCCAACCTTCTCACCCCTCCTCACCCTCACAGGAACCTTCCGTTGTTGGGTCGAAGAAGCAGCAGCAGCAACACCCTCCCCCTCCCCAAAACCCTCCCCCTCCCCGACGATCCTCTCAACAATCACAGCCTTGGCCTTCGCGTCCTTCAACCGATCATCAAACTCACTGACCTCCTCCTCTCCATTCTCCAATGACAATCCCTCCGGATCACTCAGCGTCACCAGTCTCTGAATATGTTTCTTCAACCTCTCATTCCCATTCAGCGGCGTAAGCATTACACCCTCACTCCCCTCATCCGAAACACAGTTCGTCCGAGCCTCCCAGACACAAGCTTTGCCATTCAATCTCCCCATCTCAATAGCTTTGGAGAAACCTTTCTCGAGTCCGAAAATGCGACCTTCGATGCGGCCGGATTTCTGACCGTCGGCGACGCCGAGGACGTAGCCTTCTTGGAAGAATTGATCTTCGAGGTTGAGGATCTCGGGGAAGAGATCGATAGAAGTGGACATGGTCGGTGTGATGAGGTGGAGAAGTGAGGTATCGATTGCGGAATGGATAGGTGCAGGTGGGGTGGATTATGTCTTGAGCTCGGACCAGGCATTTGATGCAATGCTCGAGTCAAGTAATGGAAGGGTACGACCAAGACAAGATCGTGCAGGAGGGAATGCTATAGCAATATTCGAGGTCATCACCGTCAATGTGACTCGTGAGGGTCTCTCGCGGCTGATTGTAATTGTTGTTAGTCGGAAAGGACTTTAAGCACGATCAAAAGTCACACCAACGGTGAGATGATGTATCTCTATACCGAACGGGTACACATTTTCTTAATGCGATCAACGAAAGGTAGGCGGTAGCGCCGACCAGCCAGCATCCTTCTCCATCGTTGACATGTCATCACCCCAATAGCGCCTCGCTCATCAGTCCGTTCCAAACATAGCTCCGGCATCCTCCTGGCCGAGATGTGTAGGGCCAGCACACCTCCCCTACCTAGGAGCTCTGCAATGTTGCCTGCTTCACGCCGTCGGTGACTTCATCCACCTGAGTAGCTCCGTCCCTCTCGACGCCCTCAACGCTCTCCCCTCCCTGGGCAGCTGCCCTCTCTGCAGCCTTCTTAGCCTTTTTCTTCTCCTTGTCAGCCTTTCTGGCCTCCTTCTTCTTAGCCTCTTCCTCCTTCACTCGCTTCAATTCATCACCACCAAACATCTCCTTCCACTCCTTCTCCTTTTCAGGTTTGATGGTTTTGAACAGGTGAGCTGCTTTGCCAATCTTATGACCAGCAGTCACACTCTTGGCCTCCCATGCATCCGGGATGATGAGCATCTCCATCTGCAACTGCTCAAGTATGCTACGAGAGGTCGCTGGAAGATAAGGAGCGATCACACTGGCCAGGAGATGGACATGATTGACGGCAAGGTTCACAACAGCGTCACATCTCGCGCGCTCGTTGTTAAAGAGAGCGTTGTCGATCTTGTTGTCCTGCAGGAGCTTGTTGCCGAGAGAAGCAATTTCGCGAGCGCAAACCAACCCGGACTTCAAATGCACGGCATCCATCTCCTCGCGGTATTGACGGAGCTTCGCATTGACGGCTTCGATGTGAGACTCCAGACCCTTTGCGACTTCGGCATCGAGCGATCCGGCATCTGGGTATGCGGGGACAGCAGAGTCGTAGTTGGCAGATCCGACAAACTTCAAGATACGGTTGACGAAGTTTCCAAAATTGTTGACCAGCTCATTGTTGTTGGCAGCGATGAAGCCGTCCCATTCAAACTCGGTATCGCTCGTCTCAGGTCTCCTCAATAGGAGGAAGTACCGCCAGACATCCGGTGCGATGCCCGTGGCCTTGGCACTCGTTCCGAAAACACCCACGCCTCTGCTCTTGGAGAACTTGCCGCGTTCGTAGTTGAGGTATTCGGTTGTGCTGAGGGTGTTGAGCATGGTCCACTTGTCGCCTGTACCCAGCTGGGATGCAGGAAAGACGACGGTATGAAATGGCACATTATCCTTCCCCATGAACTGATAAAGCTCGCAATTTTCAGGATTTTGCCACCACTGCTTCCAGTGCTCGGTGTAGTTGGCGGTGATGGRGACGTATCCAATGCAGGCATCGAACCAGACGTACAGAACCTTCTCGTCATACCCGTCGAGAGGCACGGCAGTACCCCATTTGAGATCACGGGTGATTCCACGAGGCTTGAGGCCCTCCTTGATCCATGCATTTGTGATGTTGGTGCCATTGTCCGACCAGGCGCCCTCCTTGCTGCTCTTCTTTGACCATGCGCCGACTTGCTCCTCGAGCTTGTCGAGGAGGAGGAAGACGTGCTTTGTCTCACGAGCTTCCGGGGTGGCGCCGTCGAGCTTGCATCGCGGCTTGATCAGATCGAGAGGTTCGAGGAGATGGCCGCACTTGTCACACTGATCCCCCCGCGCATCGACATATCCACAGAGAGGGCACTCGCCCTCGACGAAGCGATCTGCGAGAAACCCCTTGTGCTCGGCACAATACGGCTGGACCGTCGTTCGCTCCTCCAGATATCCATTCTTGTACAATTTGGTGAAGATGTCCTGGGCAATGTCCGTCTGCTGCTGGGTAGGAGTGCGGCCGAAATGGTCAAAGTCGATCTCGAACCAGTCGTAGACCTCCTTGTGCAGCTTGTTGTACTTGTCACAGAGCTCTTGCGGGGTGCACTTCTCCTCAATCGCCTTGGTTTCCGTGGCCGTGCCGTATTCGTCGGTGCCGCAGATGAACAGCGTCGGGTTGCCGCGCGCCTTGCTGTAGCGAGAAAAGACGTCGGCGGACAGGACGGATCCAATGACATTGCCCAAGTGAGGCACGTTATTCACGTAGGGTAGGGCAGAGGTAATGAGCACATTCTTTTTGCCCTCCTCTGGCAAAATGACCTTCTTTTCCGCCATGTTGAGTGGTGGTGGCCGTGTGTGTGTGCTGTTGGCGGCCTTTTCTTGCTCGATGGTCGCTCTCGTGCTGTTAATTGTAACTCTCGATGAGTGGTATTGAACTCAGAATCGATCCCTTGAACTAATGAAAGTGGTGTTTGCTGTCAGCTTCATTTTTGTTGTGCTCCAGGTCGAGTCATTTTGAGGCCTGGCGACACCCYACCAAGGCAAGAAACCCCCACCTAGCAACGAGCCATTGGAACGACGCCTACAAAACAACCTAATGCAACGGATTGCCGACTTATTCATAAGTCTGCATGCCTTGAGAGACGGAGCTGCCTGCTTAGGCGACCTGAATGGCCTCTTCTGTTCGAGAGCATGCATGACTGGATGCCTGGAAGCCCCACGCTGGGCGGAGTCCGCTCCGTCTTACATCTCGCAGCAAAAAGACAATTCATATGTTCGTAACTGCGTTGAGGCATCTCCGACCCGACAATGAGATGCTCCCAGAGCCGAGAAATGCGTAGAACAGCTCAAAATCAGGGATGAATGGAAGCGACTCTTGGAGAATGATGATGGTCAATGAGATTTTAGTGATATTCTAAATCACGCTTGGACGCGTGAGTGGACGCGTCTCGTCTTCCGTTTCTCTCCCAACTTCAACCATCAATCCCGACATCAACATCCTCCTCCACACATCCAAATGGCGCTCCTCGTGGACAAGCATCGCCCTCGCACGCTCGAAACGCTCACCTACCACTCCTCTCTCTCCGACCGCCTTCAATCGCTTGCCACCTCCGGCGACTTTCCTCATCTCCTCATCTACGGCCCTTCAGGCGCGGGCAAGAAAACTCGCATCTCCGCCACCCTCCGCGCTCTCTACGGCCCTGGAGTGGAAAAGATAAAAATCGACTCGCGTGTCTTCCAGACCACCTCCAATCGCAAGTTGGAGTTCAACATTGTCTCTTCCAATTACCATCTCGAAATCACTCCCTCAGATGTGGGCAACTATGATCGCGTGGTGGTGCAGGATCTGTTGAAGGAAGTTGCACAGACTCAACAGGTCGACAGCTCCGCCAAGCAGAAGTTCAAGGTGGTGGTCATCAACGAGGCGGATGCGTTGACGAGAGATGCCCAGGCCAGTTTAAGACGGACCATGGAGAAATACAGCCCCAACCTGAGATTAATCCTCCTGGCGAATAGCACGAGCAACATCATCGCGCCCATCAGATCGAGATGTTTGTTGGTCAGAGTCAGTGCGCCGACGGTGGATGAGATCCAAGAGGTGCTGGGAAAGGTTGGGAAGAAGGAGGGTTATGCGAGCTGCGAGGGTTTGGAGAGGAAGATTGCCGGGGATTGTGGGAGGAATCTGAGGAGAGCGTTGTTGATGTTTGAAGCGGTGCATGCGCAGAAGTCAGTTACTCGTGGCGGCATGCGTGAGATACGGGATGGCGTGCTAATGGTCATTTCAGTGAGACTGTTTCCGAAAAGACACCAATTCCACCTCCAGATTGGGAGGCTCTGATCGAAGTCATTGCAAGRGACATCATCGCCGAACGCTCCCCGGCGAGGATCTTGGCAGTAAGGGCGAAGCTGTATGACTTGCTCACGCATTGCATTCCTGCGACCACAATCCTGAAGGTACGTATTGGCAAGGAGGGAGAAGCTTGCTTGACAGGGCTAATTCAAAACAGACTCTGACGTTCAAACTCCTTCCCAAACTTGACGATGCGTTGAAACCAGAGATTGTCAAATGGGCAGCTTTCTACGAACATCGCATTCGAATGGGCTCCAAGGTCATCTTCCACCTCGAAGCCTTTGTGGCCAAGTTTATGAGAGTCTACGAGGGGTAAGTTATGCTCTTGTTGATCGTCTGGGGACATGCTGACGTTTGTCTATCAGGGCTCTCATGGGTATGGACATGGACGACTTCGACGACTGAGCATGTCGATAACCTGAAGTGGAGAAGAGACGAAGCAATGTCAAAGCACGCATGTGAGCGAGGGAGAGATTCTCGGGGTTAGCGTCGGCGTTTATGTGACATTTTTGGTGGAGCAGTTGTTGCAGCACGTCATACATACGAATGTTGAGAGCACATGCAATGCAATGCCGGTTCCTGCATTTCAACGACACTCAACTCTCTGATCTCACCGCAGGACACAAAACAATATCTCGCTTTCCTCAATCGACATCAACGCCAACCCATCGTAACTCAACATGTCCTCCAACCTCATGAAGACGGAGAAAGGCGGCGAGCAGACTCAATACGAAAGTATCACATCGACCGCTCCTCCTCACAGCAAATCTGGTGGACAGATGGGAAGTGTAGAGACCACAGAGGATCCCGAGAAGACGGAAGAGGGAAAGGCAGCGAAGAGAGCGCATGGGGAGAAGACGGCGGAGAATGTGAGATATGGACAGGGAATCAGTGAGACAGTTGGTGATACAATCAACCAGACAGGAAAGGCGGATGTGGGAGGCGACGAGAAAGCGGATGGGAGAGCGGCGGCAGGTTATGGTGGAGGCAGCGGAGTTGGAGCATAGAACAGGCGAATTGATGGCAGACCGTCTCATTGAGGGATTGAAGAGAGAGGTTGTTTGTTGCAGGTCACCCAATTATAACAGCGTGGCGTGACCAGCCAGACGACGCGTCGCATGCAACAGCAGAAGCAAGACGAGACACAGACACAGACACAAACACAGAAACGTGGAAAAAAGGATGGCCATCGAGGACTATCGTCAACGAATCCTCATTTCAAGGTAGCTCTAGTAGCATTGCCACTTCAACCCTGCCTTCTCCACGCTTTCCAGGCTTTCTTTTCTCTACTTTACTCTACCTCAGAATCCCCAAACGCCCCTTCCCAACCAAGCTCCATACCCTGCCAAGCCAACCACAACACCCACCGTCCCGAAGAACCCCACCGGCCTCCCAATTCCCGTGTGCGGATGCTTCCCTCCCTCTACCATCAACCCCATTTCCACATGCATCACCCTCGCAACAGTCAACATCCCCAATGCCGTGATTAACGCTTTGCGGTTCCCGCCATTAGCTTCCACGAATCCCGCAAGGAGAAGTGCCAAGGGGACATTTTCTGAAAAGTTCGATTGGCAGCGGGTTGCTGTTAGGAGAGGGTCTGACGGAGATTCTGATCCATTGTCATCGCCTTTGATGGCGGGCTGGGGAGAGCTTTGGGCCAGGGATTGTTTGGAGGAAATTCGAGCTGAGATTACGCGGACTTGGAGGAGGGTGTAGTAAAGGGTTAGAGGGAGCGCGAAGGTTGATGTTATTGGAATCATGGGGACTGATGGGATGCGTTAGAGAAAGTGTGTTTTGGATGGGTTTTTGTGGGGTATTTATCGCATACGGGTTGTTTGCGATGACATTTTATGGAGGTGGTCGCGTTGGAACGCTTTGGGCTTTGTGTGTGATGGGTCTGAGATATACCTTGTGTGACGGGAGAAGTKGTATGAGGATTTTTGGCACTGCTCACCGGTTGCTGTGCCTTCTCCTTTTAATGCACACAGTAATGTGAAACGTGATCCTGCAGGAATGGCCAAGGCCGGTGGATGAAGATTGCCGCCCTACCTCCCTACCTACCGCACTGAAAAATCTTTAGCTCTCTGCAACGACAACAATGGCGCCAATAAGAAGATATGTGACAAAGACACATGGCTTTCCGCAAGGCTGCTTCTTCTTGTGCGTATAGCTACGCGTTGGCGAGCGTTGTCGTCGGTTMACTACAAGGAGAGCCGGCAACCCCCAATTTCACCGGACCTTGGGCGAGCTGCAGCAGTGATCGCCAAGCCAATCAGATGATGGCCGATCTGTAACCTTACAGAAGCTTGAAAGATCTTGTTTTTTCCCAAATGAACGCATGGCGTCGATGGCGTTTCATCTCCTCTCATCTGATCGATAAGAAGGATGGAAGAGTGCCGAAACATGGAAGGAAGGGTCGTCCTTCAAGCGCCGGGTACGACTCATAGAGCACCTCATCATCATCATCAGCTACCTAAGTAGCAGCATCATCATCCGCTACCTGAGTAGGTTCTACATAGTTTAATCCGGCCCTCACCTCCACCACACCCACCTTGTCATCTCCCATCGACCGGCCGGGCATCAACAGCCCACCATGGACAATACGATGCCTCCAGCTGGCGACACGGAACTCGAGCATCTTCAAAACTCGATAGTCGAGGAGCCCAAACTCTCGGTCCTCCATAAACTCGTCTATCGCAGGACCCGTCGGGCACAAGTCTATCACAGAACTCAGAATGAACACATCAACCGCCTAGTCACCGTCGCTGCGGATCCCACCGCTACAAGATTACTGGACGGTCGACAGGATAAGTCGGCCTTTCATATCAAAGCCGCCGTTTTCCTCTCCATCTATGGCACCATCTTCGTCGCCGGTCTGCAAATCTACGCGGCCGTCACTACTCTTTCCCTCTCCCTGTTTGTCACCATGKCCGAGAGTTGTTGTGAAGCCGTTAGCAATATCGGCCTGGACTATCTGCATCGGAAATCCAAAAAGCTCAGTGGCTCTCCTCGCTGGCCTGCTGGCGCGGAACGTTTAGGAAATGCCGGAAATATATGCTTTGTAATTCGTATGACCTCTTCCTGATTGCCGCATCGCTGACGTCTTTTCCAGGGTACGTTTGACGAGAATAATAGCCCCGTGCGTTCAACACAGCCACTGATTTGACCGTTCCATCTCTAGCATTCGCCCTCACTGCGGTCTCACTCATTTTGGTCGTGGAGTCTATCCKCGCCTTGGCCAGCTCTCACCATGATCTCGGCAAGTTCGCCATCCCAGCAATCGTTGCTGCGGCGTGTGGTTTTGGTATCAAGCTCTTTCTGGCAATCTACTGTTTCACCTTTCGGAAACACAGCAGTCAGCTGGAGATGCTGTGGGAAGATAACCGCAATGATTGTTTTGAGTATGGCTTTGCCATATTCACTGCCTCTGCAGGAGCAAAGTTGAAATGGTGGGTGGATCCTGCAGGTGCCTTGCTCATCGCATCCGTCATCATCCTGACGTGGATTGGAACGATCCGCTCGGAGTTTCTGGAGCTTTGTGGGTTGGGAGCCGAGCCCAAGTTGATTCAGGAGATAGTATTCCTGACCCTGAGGCATTCGGAGTTGATCCTGAAAGTCGATACGGTGCATGCATATCATTGGGGCGAGGACTTGGTTGTTGAAGTGGATATCGTCATGGCGCCTGAGAGGAGTCTGCGAGAGATTCACGATGTCTCGCAGGAGCTGCAGGATAAGTTCGAGACGGTAGAAGGGATTGCCAGGGCTTTTGTCCACGTGGATTATGGTAAGCTCTAGTCTGCGTGCGGCGAAATGTACTTGCTGACAGGATTCCAGAAGCGTCACACATGCCAGAGCATCGAAAGACCCGATGAGGAACATACGTGTTGCCGTCGATAAGCGATTCTGAAGGCCCTTTGACGTCACACAGTCAAGGGAGGGCGCTGGCGAGACGAGTATGTCCCCATGAGCTATCACTGTTTTAGGCCCAAGAGTGGCACTTCCGGAGCAGTCAGCGGGGCTGTCTCAAGGGGTTGATTGAACGCACACACGAACGATGCTAAGACTGGGATGTTTCCGCACAGCTGCAAAGTCGACAAAAGTATCATTGTGAGGAGCATTCCACAAGACTTATCCTCACACTAGACCTCTGTCATGCGGTTCTACGGGTGAGGTGAATCCCAGCGGCTTTATGGACAACCACTTCGTTGAACAAGGCCCGAAGACAATGACCTCGACTGGAACAGACCACGAGGCAGCGCGAACAAGGATTCTATAGCAGATCTAGGTGTCTCAGCTGGGATGAATGATGCTATACCAACGGTGCTGAACTTCCCAACATTCTGTTCTCGACCACTTCCTACGAGGAAGCGACTCCTTGAGTCCGGATCTAGACATCAGACCAAGCTGCGCTTCGAATCCGCCTTCTAGGCCTTGCCCCTAGATACGGTTTATTCAACATGACGCATTGCGAATTCCTTCCTCTCGACTTCTGCAACACGATGCTCAAGATCGCGAATCTCAAAGTCCCGCATGTTCATCGTTGGTATGAATAAGGGCGCGTTGGTGAAGAGGTAGTTCATCTCCTCGAGTGGACGCTTCTTAGTCTCGGGTTGAATGGCCCCTATAATGACTTGTTAATCGAATGTGTCCTTCGATACTCAAGGGGACTTACAGAAGAACAGCGCGTTCGTAAAGTTACAAACCACGAAGACAATGTAAAACCTGTAACCAATCTTCTCGATCGCAATGGGAGTAACTTGGCCGATCATTGTGTTGACTGAGGGACAGCATGTCAGTGGTCGATACTCATACTCGATGGGGTGAAGCATAGAATGACTTACACGCGAAGCTCGTCATAGTAGCAATGCTCACACCCTTGCTTCTTGTTCTCGTGTCGAATATCTCGGCCGGCACGATCCCTACGACGACCCGTTAGAACCACTTGAGGTATTCACCTCAAAGCCAGCCCAGACTCACATGACAGCGGCCCACAAGTTGCCGAGAAGGAGAAATTGTACACCCAAGTTATCACAATGAACCCCCAACTCGCGGCATTGTTATCTGTGGCGCCTGGTGGAAATTTGGCCAGCAAGATCGTTGCAATGATAAAAGTCACACAGTTGCCTAGATTACCTCCAATCATGGCCCAGCGTCGTCCGATGTGGTCGATCAGTAGGATGCACAGCGCCTGGGCAATGATGGCAATGATTGAGGAAATGCCTTGATACTTAAGAGAATCACTGCCGGGTATGCCGATCTGCGCGAAGATTTCCGGGCTGTAGTATTGAATGGCCGAGACGCCCGTCATCTGCACGGAAGCTTGGATAGAGCAGGCGAGGAAGAGACGGCGGAAGGAGGAGCGGGAGCGGAAAAGCTCGGCGTAGGATTTCGCGGCCGTCTCGTGTTCGGTGGTGAGGGTCTCTTGGATCTGAGAGTGCTCGGCCAGAACCCAGGGATCGGATGTATCCCCATGCGCATGTAGCCGTGCGAGAGTCTTGAGACCGAGATCTGGGTAGCCGTGATCGATGAGCCAGCTGCACGGGAAGGGTCATTTAGCTTTGACATTGCTCATAGAAATTCGCACAGGGGAAACGTACCGAGGAGACTCGGGAAAGAACATGATGAGCAGAGCGAGGAAGCCCGCAGGGATGATCTGAATCCCAAGGGATACCCGCCACTGATTGCTGCTGTCGGCAGGAATATAAGTGTATGTGGCATAGCTCACCCAGCTCGCGATCAGAGCTCCAACACCCAGCATGAACTGTTGTAAAGCAGTAACTCTCCCTCGGATATCTGGATGTGCTAGTTCGGCTTGATAGAGTGGAACTATCATAACCAGGAAGCCAACGCCAATGCCAGCGATGGCTGTGGAACGCGGAGGAATTAGCAACAAATTCATAAGCTGGTCAATTGACATGCTCACCCCTTCCAGCGTAGAGATAGCTCAGTCCTCTAGCACCAGTCTGCAGTGCACCTCCTAGGATGAATACCAGAGCTCCTAGCAAGATCGTCTTCTTCCTTCCAAGAGTGTCACCGGTTGGACCAGCAAAGAGTGCCCCCAAGAATGCTCCACCCGTAAAGACCGATACCACAGCACCGACTTCAGCATTCGTGGGTTTGAAAGTCGACACGAAGTTCTCAGACGCTACAGCGCCTGCGATGACGCCAAGATCGTAGCCATAGAGAAGAGAGCCTAGAGAGGCGAACACCGAGACGAGGAACTGATACCACTTCGGTGGAAGGGCCATGTCGGCGTCTTTCTGAGGGCAGGAAATGGAAATGCGAGGTAGAAATCAGGACGGGCCTAACTTACTGTCATATGTTCATTGCTGTCTTCGCAGCTTGCGTCCCGTGCGAACGCCATCACGCTTCCCACGGAAGGAATACTTCCTTGTCGCTCTCGTTGCAAGCGAGGAGAAGTCCTCGGCTCAAGATCGTGCTGCAACGCTAGTCTCTCCGCGTTTTGTCGCGTGGAGAGAGGCCAAGAGGGCGTTTCCGTGTCCCATGGGGAAGCAATGGGAAGTCGACGTGACTCGTAGGAGAGGGTGGAGCGAGCAGAGCTTGGCATCCATGGATCTCAGCCGGCAGGGGTTCTTCCACCAATCACACACCACCGTCACCGTCACCGTCACCTCCACAACCACCTCACGCACGTCGACGCCTCTTTGACCTTTGCGCCGCACTCTATACACCTTGGTCGGATGCGATGAAGCGCATTGACAAGATTCAACACCCCGCGGGTGTGTCATGGACAGATTGCTGTGCTCTGTCAAGATTGAACAGATCGGTCTCTACCTACCTCAACGCAAGGCGAGACTTCTATCAACCTCGATATCATCAGGCCGACATTTCCGTTAGCATGCATGCACACCGCGAACGCGCTGTCGGATTCTAGAAGATGTAAGCTTGGAGTATCATGTCGATGGTCTTGAGGTGAACTGCGGCAAGACGAAACAGGACGAAAATCGATGACACAAGCAGCACGCAAGAAGTGTTTTGGTCGGCAAACGACGCGGCTGCCCACATGCTTCATCAACTGTGTCCTTCTTGAGAGTAACGACTTTGTGGAGAGCTTTTTTCCGATGAGGGAACCAGACTCCTAGTCTCTGCTTTATACTGGACCTCAAGGTTTCGCCCTGGCCGACGGAAAATTAGTTATTCGTGCGAAGATGGGATGCCGATCAGCGGGACCTATCCTAGAAATGCACGATACGGCAACGTCGAGATCTGGCCCTCATAGGAAGAGGGAGATCATGAGTGGTCATAACATGATACCTCCACCATCCGGCTCCACAATTTGTGTTGCTAGCAATGATCAGCTGCTGAAGGAGTCTATGGCAACAACTCAGCCCCTTTAATATTCTTCTCTGGACTTGGCCTCGATACTGATATTACGGTGCTCGTGAACAAACAGCATCTTGGGAATGGCCATTACTTCAACCCTGACTCGTTCGACTTCGCCAAGAAGGTGGTTATGGAGCTGCACAACTACCAGAATGGTGCTAAATCCTGTGGTAAGGCAACTTGAGGAAAGCTGGATGCAATGCGATGGACGTTGACAATAGCGGTTACTACTACGTCCCTGTCGTTCTTGCAGAATTTGGGTTCGACCAGACAGACGGCTCTTACGACGGCGTTTACGCAAAGTGCATCAAGTCGTTCATCACGGGCCAACCTGGGGGGCCCGGAGGATGGATGCAATGGGTCATTTCGGGCAGCTACTATATTCGAGAGGACTCGCAGGACTACGAAGAGAAGTGGGGTAAGATCAGGAATCGGGGATGGCATGTACAATGACCACTGACATGATGCAGGCTTGTACAATCATGACTGGTCCGCGTGGAGAAACCCGGACGCCTCGGCGTACACAAAGGCATTCGTTTCGGCCTAATCTTGAGACAGCTGGATCATATATTCCGAAGGCACGGCCTGGAGATATGATGGATCTCACACTCAGTAGAGCAAAGTGAGGAGAAACGAAGAACGATCTCCCGATATGGCCATAATGACACGACATGCTCAACTGCTATGGTGTTTAGAGCAACCTGCTACTCAATAAACTACGGCAGGTTCACAAGCAGGTTTCGAAGTTTGGGAAAGATTGGAGAACCAAGTCCAGTCACCGGATCCCACCCCTTAGCAGCTGAAAACCCGTCGGTTTTGCAGCCAGGATTACTTCCCTTGACAATCTGTTCAACGTGTAAGCGAGCGGTTCTGGTCAAATCACGTCAACTTTGGAGGGTGAGAGACTTACATCTGTGAACACCTCGGGATGTTGATACAAGATCTGATTAAGGAATCCGATGGCTTTCTTGCCTGCCAGAATCCTCTCGTCGTTGATGCGGTTGATCATCGCAGCGAATATCGGTGTTGCTGCGCTCGTGCCACCACTGACTGTGAATTCACCCAGATCCGAAATCGTAACGTTTGCACCGAGGACTGCTACGTCGGGAAAGGCTCTGCCGGCACGGTTGAAGGTACCGTTGGGGTATTTCGGGTCGTTGACCGAGAGGTATGACTCTACAGCTTTGGTCTGGTAGGATGGACGGGACATGACGCCACTGAATCCACCTGAATAGCATTGAGTCAGCATCACGACGAGCAGAATGGAAGATATTAGACCTACCGCCTCCCCAGAAATTGTGTTTTGGATCATCGATTGCAACCTGATTCCACCTACCCCCCACCACGTCAACTTGACTAGCGCCAACAGCCGTCACGTAGGGACACGAAGCTGGGAACAATGGGTTAAACGCCGACAGGCTCGAATTGTCAGGGTTGAGGATGCAGCCAAAGTTGCCCGAAACACCGCGGTCTCCTGCTGCAGCGAGCACAGTGATTCCGGCCAGTGCGAGCTTCATCCATTCGTTGCATTGGCGTTGGACATATTTTGCGCCTAAGCTGGACTCGTCTGGTGCGTAGGAAATGCTTACGACATTTGTGKCGTTCAAAACGCCGCACATGCGAGGTCCTTCGAATCCCATAAAGGCTGGGTACACTGGGTCCAGGTCTGGGTCGTCACCTCCATCTTTGTTGCAGTACGATGCATCTACAGCATCTAAAAAGTCGTTTGCGATTCCTCCTTTGCCGTTGTAAGGTGTCTGGAAGATGGTGACTTTCTGCGGATACACAATCGGATATGCCATCTGAATGTCGAGACTCTCCTCTCCGCTGATGTACTGGGCGACGTCCTCGGCGCCATTGATGTAGTGGACATTTGGCGTCGTTCCGGAAGGAATCTCTGGCGCATATTGATTGAAAAATTTATTGAGGTCGGTTTGGTTCCAGATGTCGCCAAAGCCGAAGATGCCAATGTCGTTCTGTTTGGGCACGCGAGTTTGGTTGCTACGAGTCGGTATACCATAGAGTTCTGAAAGTCATGCTCGTCAGCTCAGGTCCCAAGGCTTCAACAAGCATGTGACCATACCTCGAATACAAGCTGGTGTCCAACTTTCACTACAATTGGTGGTGTGATGTTTTCCCGCAACGGTCTTGTAGGCAGGGATCCCACCAGTTCTGTYGCCCGAATATGGACTTTGCCTTCTAAGGACTGACTTTGGAAGTTCGACTTGTGAGACCATTGCGAGCTCGACATGCTTTTGCACGTGCTGAGGAATCAGATATTCGTCATGATGAAGCTGAACTTCCTGGGTGTCTGGATGCAAGGACGTGTAGTGCGCTGTGGAGAACAGGGCATTGATTTGATCAATCGTTGCATTGAACTCGAGGGTGGAACTTGTAGTCCGTAGGCGCATGCTTTCCGTCGAAACATTGCCTTGCTTCAGCCATTCCTCTACGGCGGCCACGGATTCCGTCGAAGGGGCAAAGAGATCTCGCTGTGGAACGACAGTATCAGCGATGCCTCAAGTCAACATTCTATGCAGAAGCATAACTCACCAGCTGCGTTGCATCGAGATAGGAGCCGAATCGCTTCGACGTGGGATCCGATATCTCGTTCAAGAGCTCTTCCGCCGCCTGCAATCTAGGTTGATGAAAAGCCACGGCGGCTTGGACTATAGCTGAGCCATCCACGGGCGTGGAATCTCGTTGTTGCGAAGTTGCCAGCGATGACTGAATTGGAAATGAGATGAAATAAGCGCAAAGAAGTTGAAACGCGAAAGTTCTTGTCATCATGTCCAGAAGCTGAAACCCACTGGTGCTGTTGTCTTTGATCGAGACTTTTCTAGGAGTTCTTCATGGTATATGTAGAGAAAACGAATGTTTCGACAAAGCCTAGCCTTTCGTATAAGTGCTATTAATGTATAGTCGGCGTATAAATACCTCTAGCGAATGCATAGCGACTCTAGTGCAAGCGCTATGCAGTACAGAAGAGATACTCCGGCTTACTTTTCGTATTCCGTGTCAGTAAGGCTGGGACTCACGAGCTACTCAGATATCGAAGAAGTGCCAGCAACAGCAGCTTCGTTCTCCACCGCTCAAGAGGATGAAACAGCAGGAAAACCTTCGCTGTCATGTTTAAGAGGAAGAGAAAGTGGGCTTCCGAAGCTTGTGGAGTCCCGATCGCGGCAAAGGTTTCAGCCGGTTGTTTTTTCCACCAATCTCCACTTTGCAACACATGCGGAAGCACGTGCAGGATCTTGTTATTAGCCTATCTATCATCAGACGATGTTTCGATACGCCGATGCTAAGCTATTGGAGAAGGTAAGGAAGAAGCTCGACTGGATTTGCAGGTCCCTTTCAAAGCACTCACAACATCTCATTCACGAACATCTCAAACCAAAAATATGACAACCTTTACTCCACTTTCTGTCTCCTCAAAGGAGAGACCAACCATATCAGTCTCTCCGACCCATCGCCTCTCTCCTATCAATCCTTTGATCTACTCTGGGTTTACAGAGCACATGGGCCGCTGCATCTACGGTGGCATCTATGATCCCTCGAACCCAGATACTTCCCTCATCACTGAAAAGGGCTTTYGCAAAGATGTCATCGCTGCAATGCGGGAGCTCAAGGTTCCTTGTGTTCGATATCCAGGTGGCAACTTTGTTGCAACTTATCATTGGTTGGATGGCGTGGGTCCCAAAGAAGACAGACCAAAGAGACCAGAGTTGGCTTGGTTGGGGACGGAAAGCAACGAGTTTGGCACGAATGAGTTTATGGAGTGGTGTGAAGAGGTTGGATGTGAGCCGTACCTGGCTTTCAACTTTGGGACTGGTGAGTGTTTTATGGCGATGACATTGATCAAATGCTGATTGAAGAACCCGCCTGCCATAGGCACTCTCGATGAAGGTATGTTTGATTGAGGACAGAATATACGGCTCAGTGGTATAGAAACATCCTGATCTCGTGGGACAGCATTGGCGTGGGTAGAATACTGCAACTCGACGCAGAATACTTACTATGCGAATCTTCGGAGACAGCATGGACGAGAGAAACCATACGGGGTCAAGTATTGGTGAGAAAGCCCCGACTTGGCGTCCGACCAAGGCCTCTGCGAGGATGGCTGATGATTTACATTTCAGGGCGCTTGGTAACGAATGCTGGGGACCTTGGTAAGTCTTGATGCTTTTGTGCTTCGTGAACGCACAGCTGACGTTCCGCTTCTCAGGCAAGTGGAGCAGATGACGAAAGAGGATTACGCAAAGAAAGCATATCAATGGGCAAAAGCACTCAAGCTGCTTGACCCGTCGCTAGTGTTGATCCTTTGCGGCGAGACTGGCCACTCTTCATGGGACCACCATGTCCTGACGCATTGCCTCAAGCCTGATGTCCATGGGCTCGGCGGCAATTCAAAAGCCAGCTTGATCGATATGCACTCCATCCACATGTACACCGCCTCGTCTGACCCTGTCAAAAACGCAATCGCGCCTAGAAGTGCCGAAAGAGCGATTGGGATCTGTGCGGGTTTGATTGATCTCGCACGGATCGAGAACGGCGTCAGGGCAGAGGTTCCAAGGCAGACGATATGTTTTGATGAGTGGAATGTTTGGTGAGTCCCCAGATATAGGCAGGTACATTTTCCGACTGATCATCGATCTCTCAGGGACCCCACCCGAGCGCCAGGTGAAGAAGGAGCAGAGGAGAAATATACTCTTTCCGATGCTTTAGCGGTAGCGGTCTGGTTGAATATCTTCGTTCGGCAAAGCAAATACGTTGGAATGGCCAACATTGCGCAGAGTGTCAATGTCATATCCCCACTTATGACCACGCCGCAAGGTTTGGTGAAGCAGACGACTTGGTGGCCTTTGCTTTTGTTTAGCAAGTTTATGCGTGGGGCAACGCTTGCTACTCATGTAAGTTGCGAGTGCTATGAAGGAGAGACGGAACCGACATGGCTTAGAGCTGCTGGTGAAACACCGTGGTTGGATGTCTCTGCCGCTATGGGAGACGACGGCTGGGTCAGCCTGGTGGTTGTGAATGTTAATACGACGGAAAGCTTCGTCGTGGATTTGGAGGGTGTACCTGCTGGACATGTAGATGTGTATACTGTGACTGGAGAAAAGTGGGATGTCGTAAATACGACGGAAGTGGAGAATGTCGGGGTTGTTGAGAGCAAGTGGGATGGCAGTGGTGCGTTCAAGTTTCCGAGAATGAGCATGACTATGCTGCGATGGAAGCCAGTATAGATGGCCGTTCCCGAATAGAGTCTACATTAGTGCGAGGCATATGGTCTCCCAGTAGAGATGGAGGTTCCCAAATGGAATCTACTTTAGTATGAGGGGAAATGGTCTCCCAGTGATCGTTCTAGGTGCATCATTGAGGCAGGCGGTAAGCGAATGCCCAGAATGTGCGGTCCACACATCATCGAAGCAGCAAATGCCCTGCGACAATACATATACCAGAATGTATGCGATGTTGTACGGTTTGTTCCGAAGTGTAGACATGAAGGCAGAAGGTGAGTGAGCTGACTGAGCTGAAGTCTTCCGCCAAGATCAAGCTCGAATCTGACGCACGGACCCCACCACGCTACTCCGCGAATTTGGAACGAAGACCTCGAAATTGCAATTCTGCTCTTCGTCTCTGCCCTCATCGTCCATACTAACCGCCCACGACCGCCAGGATGAAGCTCAACATCAGTTTCCCGGCCAATGGCACGCAGAAGCTCATCGACATTGAAGATGAGAAGAAGTTGCGCGTMTTCATGGACCGCCGCATGGGTCACGAGGTTCCCGGCGACAGCGTTGGCGACGAGTTCAAGGGATACATCTTCAAGATCACCGGCGGCAACGACAAGCAGGGTTTCCCAATGAAGCAGGGTGTCATGCACCCAACCCGTGTGCGCCTGCTCCTCGCGGACGGCCACTCGTGCTACCGTCCCCGCCGCACCGGGGAGCGCAAGCGCAAATCGGTCCGTGGGTGCATCGTCGCCATGGACTTGTCCGTCCTTGCTCTGTCCATCGTCAAGCAGGGCGATGCCGATATCCCCGGCGTCACCGACACCGTCCACCCCAAGCGCCTGGGTCCCAAGCGTGCCTCCAAGATCCGCCGTTTCTTCGGTCTCAGCAAGGAAGATGACGTGAGTACTCTCCCAGGAGACGCTCTATGCTTCTTCGCCAGCCATACATCTACCCAGGTGTATGGCTGAGTAGCCATGCGCTCGCTGCCATGCCACTTTCATGATATTCCATGCGAGGTGTGCGCAGCCGAGCCATGCGCAGCCAGCCCACTTCAAGTGCGAGCTGAGTCTGAGACCCCACCACAAATTGCTGACGTTCGTGATTACATAGGTTCGCAAGTTCGTCATTCGCCGTGAGGTCCAGCCCAAGGAGGGCAAGGAGGGCGCCAAGCCATACACCAAGGCTCCTCGCATCCAGCGCCTGGTCACTCCCCAGCGCCTCCAGCACAAGCGCCACCGCATCGCACTCAAGCGCCGCCAGGCCGAGAAGGCCAAGGACGCTGCCGTAAGTATCATCCAGACTGGAAGGCAACGGACACGACTAACAATGCACTCCTCCAGAACGAGTACGCTCAGATCCTTCACAAGCGCGTCAACGAGGAGAAGTCCAAGCAGGCCGAGCTCCGCAAGAGACGTGCGTCCAGCATGCGCAAGTAGATGTCGCATACGGATGGAGAGGAACAAGCATGAAGCGCACGCGACGAAGCGCAGACGACGAACGGGGCTACAATCGGGTCGAGCAATGGTTTGCTCTAGGCGCTGAGTGCATCTGCAGCGTTAGATGGCGTTGGTGTTTAGTAGCCTGAGGCTGGTGACGGCCTCTTCACGCCGCTCCGAATGTATCCCAGCAAAAGTGTTCTCTGACAGGCAAGGTTACGAACCTTTTTTTCCAAACTTGATAATGATACCCTCTTGTCAAGACATTGTTCCAATGTGATCACAACGAATTATATTCAAGTCCTCGCGTTGTGTGCTCGAACAGATTTCCCTCCAAAGTGTGCTGGCCCCCACAGTGGTTTACTGTCGCGGCCTTGCTGTGTATGTGTTTACAAGGGATACTCTATTTCTTAGAAGGCCACGCCGGTCTCTTCTCCATCAGGGACCCATCGCTGTGAACAACACCACTGGGAGTCTTGCTTGTCGCATGGTGCCAGCCACTCTCGGCAAGAGCTTCTGATTGTTGGCCTACATTCTGATTGGAGATGATCTAGTATCACAAACCGTTCTTTTGCTAATCACCGGCGATTTCAACGCCATACAAGGCATACTTGTCAACATTCTCCCGCTTTTACCTTGTTCTCCAACTGTAGCGGAAGCAGAATTTGCACGTGAATTGGAACCGCCCCACATACCTTCCCGAATAGGAAAGTTTGGCTTCCCTCTGGAACACATCCAGGCTTTCATATCTGCGTTTCAAAATGTAGACATGTTTGACTCGGCTAGGATGCTGTTCGATCATTGAGCCGCGAGTGCCAAAGGTTGGCTTCTAAGCTGGTCGACCCTGCCGAGAGGCTCGTGTAGACACTTCACTCCCACGCTGAGGAACATCACCTTGAGAGTAGACGACGGTCACTACACTCTCAACTGGTCCAACATCTTTCAGCGCATCCTTCAGCTATTACTCTCTGCATCTCATACCTTTTTGATCCATGGAAGTGTTGCCACGGAYGAGAGAGAGACTCGTTCTCTTCTATCGAAAGCTTGCACAAGCAAAGCTTCGGTTTTTGCCATTCACTCAGGTAGCATTTTTTAGGTATTCTCAACAATCTCACTTTCACCACCATCGCCGGAACACCATTAATCAACAACAATATCAACCGCTTTCGTGACCTCTTTGCTATTCCGCGCACAACTCAAGAGTTGGAGGCGCTTGAAGGACAAAAAGAGCACCTCATCACGGCCCAGGATAGCTAACACATGCACTGGATGCAGCGAGGGACCACGGCATGACACTACCAGCTGACCTTGCGACTTCACTGGACATCACAAAGCAGGCTCTCGTGGACGCAAACACTGATTCGTCAGAAGCTGCCTTCGACGATGCGAGTACAGTCCAGAAAGTGATAGCGGGTCTATCACAAATGGCTCCCACATCTCATAGTCAGAACATTTTCTCCGTCGACAAGACTACCGAGGATAAAGCGGAAGATATTCTGGGAGCAGTCTTCGAAGGCCTCTCCACCATGTCTACGAGCGCCCCAGATCACGGGAATGCCTCCCCAATTCTCGGCGATCAGCTGGAGACACCAGTCGAGGCCGCTCCCAACTGGACTCCTGCATTTGCAGCGTGGGTCGAGCGAGTCTCTGAGAACAAGAAGCGAAGAACAGATTCCACATCCAGCTGGAGTAGTCTCAGTGTCACCGCTCCAAAGCGTCGACGGCTCTTTGGCTTGGGCAATGAAATGAAGCTGGCGGGCAGTGTGAAAAATCCCATACTACTTCCACTGTTTGACGACACACCTTTTCTCGAGGCGCTCCCAACCTCTTCTTTATCTCCCGAGCCAGCGAAGCAGAAGGAGATTCGCAGAAAGAAGGAGAAAGTTCCGAAATTCGAATATGAAGGCATTCATTCGCTTCTGGATTGCGAAGGATGCCCTGCGCCCTTTCCGCATCAAGTGCAAGAACTTGTGGAGAGGCAACTGAAGCAGCACAGAAATACGGGGATCAGTGCGAAGGCTTTCGATGAGAGCTTTGCGATGAGCATGGTCAATGACGGCAGAGGAAAGATCGGAGCGCGCATGTTCTCGAGCACCGGAGCAAACAATCGAATGGTGGCCGCGACAAGCGTGCCAGAGGCCGCTGAAGCCTTCTTGGTAAAACTCTCGAATACAGAGCTAGTCTTCGGCACTGACAGGGTGCTGGAAGTCATTTTGCTGAAACTGGGAGAAGTCGAGACTCGTGGAACGRTTTTGAGGGCTCGGGGAGTGAATAAGGCGTTTGAGCGTGTGATTCGCCGGTCGACAAAGGTGCGGAAAATGCTTTCTACGAAGAAAGGTTTCCTCAATCGGCAGCATTGCGAAGCTGTGAAGTGATTGGCTGGGCATATAGGTTGGCCGGATGGCACGGAGAGTATTTCACGACACTCATGGAGAGGCGAGATACTATGAGGGCGTTTGGGAAAGCACGTAAGCTTCGGTCTCATTTTGCAGGGGATTGTCACTTGCGTTTGCCCATTTTCTCAATTTTCAGCCTTGCGCTTCGCCCGGAAAGTTGTGCAGCCAATGCTACAGTACTTGAAGATCCGTCGTGCTGACAAAGGTAATGCGTCAGTTATTGAGCGCGCGGTTGTCTCGTTGACGTCAAGTCGCATGGCATTGTTGGTGAGAGCCAATTTCATTGATCGTAAGCTTCAAGCCCGATTATCCTTCTGTGTCATCTACCGCATTACTCCCTATATCCCTCACCATTTCTTTCTCCATCAACTCAGCACCACAGCCAAAATGACGACCGCCAAAACAACCGCCAAGATTATCAACAAGCAGCATGCCTTCCCTCTCGCGCTCTTCTGATGCCGACTCGCGGTTCTCAACTGCTGATCCGCATTTCTGGTGTCATCCCTCGTAGACTCAACATTCTCGGATATGATATCCAAGCTCATCCCCTGATCGTGTACCAGTGTCGCGACATCTCTGAATAGTTCATTGAGCTGACCTACGCTTTGCTCAATCTGTACAATCTCCGCCTCCCGTTCTGTGATGAGAGACTCCTGGAAGTCCACCTCGCTCTGGTCCGCTAATCGTAGTTCCTGTTGCTGTTGTTGTTGAAGCTGTTGCTGCTGTTGTCCGCCTTCGCCTCCGCCTGGTGAGCTCACGCCCTCAGAATCCAACGCTGTCCGTGCCGCCGTCGCGCTCGCTCTCTGCTTTTCCAGTGCAAGTCTCTGTAGACCCTGGAACTCGGTCAAGGATGCACGGAACTCGTTTCCGAGCTTGTTGGCGGTGTATTTCTGGCTGGGTCCCATGTCATGCCAGGCGCCTACTTTTTTGAGACCTTGGCCTATGTCCTGGAAGCTGTCGCCTGTTTCAGAGAGGAGATCTTGGACGCGCTCCCGCACGCGATCAGTCTCTCGCCGGGTGCCGAGGAGGGCGATTTGGTTGGAGAGTTTGGAGATGCTGGCGGTGAGGGAGAAGAGCTTGTCGGAGAGCTGGGTCGTGTACTGGTTGAACTCGGGGTCGTCTGCATATTCGGGATCATCGTTACGGCGCCAGGTGGTTGGCTGGMTCTCCATGGCCGAGGAGTGATTGAACGACATGACGGGTGGTGTCTATGGAGGTGTTGACGTTGTGTGGAGGGGTATGTTGGGTGCTTGTCGCTCTGGGCTGGGCTGGATAAGAGACGGCGTTGCGATCGTCGTTGCCTGCGACGTGCAGCCACAATGTTAGCCACATGACGCAGGATGCCGGCAGAATCTACACCGCCTTATCTTGTAGTCTTGTTGCCGACTGCCCGTTCACGATATTACCTATGGACAACGCGACACTCATCAAACCACATCGAAGGACATCTGTACCGACAAGAAGTGATGATACTTTCGCGCCAGGGCCATATTCTGAGTATGTGTCGAACAACGGCCGCATCAATACAAGTCGGATGAACAAGAGCTCCTCGAATACTTCCGCCGACGGTGGACGGTCCGCCCTGGCCGCTGTATATCCTCCCGAGCACTTGCAGCACAGCAGCAGGAGCAGGAGCAGCAGGGCTCTGCAACGAGGAGTCAATCCTGCGGGGCTTCTTGAACCGTTGAACGAGGTCGATTTAAAGTTGACCGATATTCGCATCAATATTTGATGGGGATCTAATCGTCCGATCACGGTGGAAACAGCCTCTTCTCGCTCTGCGTTGCGTCCCAGCACACCACCGGCTCCAATTGCCATTGGCGTACCACTGTCAAGCTTCAGGTCTTATCTTGCGGTGTGCGGTGCAATGACTTTGGGGCCTACACGGCTCCGCTGGCGTTGGACCATGGACGAGCCCGGCGAAAATTTCATGCTCCGTCAGCGGTCGCGATTGCCGTTTTGGGTTATCCGCCATTCAATGTTGCTGAGGATAAGTACCTCGATTCATTCACCATTTTCTGCCTTTTCCACAACTACCACTCGTTCCAGTTCTCATATCCCCCTGATATCATCCTCTACAAAACAATTCACCCAGGGACCTTGGAATGCTATATATAGCTGAATTGAGTGATCGATTGCAGCATCTTCTTGATTGTGGATAGATCTTTTGGCCCTTTTAGAACAACGGAGAAACCGAAGAAACCACTGCAATAAAATCAACCATACTCTATCACTGGATCAGGACACCACTATGGGGTCAACGGAAACCAGCACCGTCGAGACCGGCGACTACTTTGGAACCGACGCTCGGAGAACCGGCCCATCCATGGACATCAGCTCCCATGGCATAGAACACATGCGGGAGCAACCTCTCTCTCGCCTCCCATCTATAGTCTCATCCTTCTCGGACGACTTCGATATGATCTCAGGCATGGCCACCCCAGATCCCCTTTTGGGCAAGCCAGCTGCTTCCCGCGCCACGTCTAGACGGCCATGAATGATCGGCGAGGCCGACGACGAAATAACGGAAATGCATGAGATTTATCCTACCACCAGTCACGGCCATCTTGGGGGTCCTTTGGAGAATCTCTCCCGTGCTATTACCAATTCTAGCGTGGTCGACGACGGAATGTACGAGCTCAAGCCAACCGTTAGCCATCGGAACAGACGCCTGACTCCTGCCGTAGCGGACGGCAGAAGACCTTCTACAGGCGTGTTTGAAGAGAGGGGAAAGCCAACTGGTCCTCGTCAGGCCCAGGGTGTGCCGCCTGAACTACGCAACCTCACCGCTGAACTTATCTTCATCGGTGTTTGCTCTGCCGGGCAGCTCCTATTTGCCTTCTTGATGGGCGACGTCAATGTCAACCAGCAATCCCTCAAGATTGCCCTTGGTTTGGAACAGGGTGAAATTCCATGGCTTACGGGAGCCTTTTTGATAGCACTTGGGCTCAGTGTCATTCTCTCCGGATCACTCACGGATATCCTTCCACCAAAAATGCTTATTGTAGGTGCTTTTGTATGGCTTACAATCTGGAATCTCATTGGCGCATTCACATTGACCCCCGAGCGCGCCATCGCCTTCTTCGTGATGCGAGCAATGCAAGGTCTCGCCGTTGGAGTCCTCGTATCGGGCAGCATGTCCATCTTGGGGAGAGTCTACAATCCGGGACAGCGTAAAACTCGTGTCTTCTCTGCCATGGCGGCAGCCGCGCCCTTTGGGTTCTGGCTGGGTGCGCTACAAGGCGGTGCGCTCTCCGCCCATCTCGAGTGGATCTTTGGCAGCAATTCCATCATCTGCGGTCTCTGCGCCGCGGCAGCATATGCTACGATCCCTTCCCTACGTCCGGTTGCTGATAGTGCATCGTCGACTGCACCGTCCATCAAGAACTTTGACTGGAAGGGGGCTATCTGTGCCATTGTAGGTTGCATATGCCTTCTCTTTGGTCTCACACAGGGCTCAGTAGCGCACTGGTCACCGTACACCTACGTCCTGATCATAGTCGGGATCCTTGTACTCGGGCTGTTCTTCTGGCTAGAAACGACTGTCCCTCGTCCGCTCGTCCCCGCCCGCCTCTGGAAAGTACCTGGCTTCGCGCCTCTGATGATGGCATATTTTCTCGGCTTCGGCGGCTTCGTCGGTGCCTGGCAATTCTACGCCGTACAATTCTTCCTCACTCAACAGCATGTTTCGTCCATGACCGTAGCCCTCTATCTCCTCCCCAACGCCATCTGCGGCGTCCTCGCAACATGGATGGTCTCGAAGCTCATGCATCGCATCCCAGGACACTACATCTTTCTCGCCTCGCAGTTTGCTTTCGCGCTGGGACCTGCGTTCTTCCTCCCGCAAACAGCATCAACAAATTACTTTGCTCTCTCAATGCCTGGGATTGGACTAGCTACTTTTGGACCCGATCTTAGTTTCGCGGCTGCGAGTATCTACATCACGAGCCAGGTTCCTCGGAGTTATCAGGGTTCTGCTGGCAGTTTGCTGGTCACGATTCAGAATTTGAGTAGTGCTATCATGACAAGTGTGGCGGATAGTATTGCTGCAAAGGTTGATACGCAGGAAAATGGGGAGGTGGGTTTGGAGGGATTGAGGGCTGCTTGGTGGTTGGCTTTGGCGGCTGCTGTTGTGGGTGGAGTCATCACGGCGGTGTGGGTGAGAATTCCGAAGGAGGTGGAGAAGGATCATGTTGCATGAAGTCTGAATATAGAAGTACTATGGAAGTAGACTTAGTAGAAACGCAAGACCTCAAGACCATGAATGTATGTCTAGGACCTAGCAAGATCAGCAGAGCATGAAAGCAAGCGCAAGTTCGACAAAGCAATAGCTCTTTTAAGAGGGAGTATAAACAGCAGAAAGGGTGATTTGACAAGACTGCAAAATTGATACGGAGTGGGAGAAGAGCTTCGTTGGTCTTGTTTCCCTTATACATTTCATAGATCGAGTACTTGAAGAAGGCTCAGCGTGGTTCTCCTTGGACTCGACCGACGGCTTTTTAGCTGCAACTTGAGCAGCAACATAGCCCCGAATGGTCAAGCACCACATACTCCCCTACACGGAATTGAGTGTGTAGCGTAGCGCTGGAGCACCGCGAACTGAATCGCTCTTCCAGCAGTGCAACTCATATATCCCTCACCCTTGTGTCAAGAGTCAATCGATCGGGGGCATACAGATCCAGCGCCCCCTCCATCGCAACCCTACGAGTCATCAGTCAGCGAAACGGCAAGCATGTAAACCAGACACAGAACGTACCTGAAATGCGCAAGTTCTCTCTTCGCCGCATCCATAATCTTCGTAATCGAAGGATCTTCGACCCGAACCACGGCCTCCACGACCCACGCTCCACTTTGATCAATCAAGTTGCTTTCCGTGGGTACAAACAAGTCTCGATTGATGGGGTTGCCCGCATATTCTTCCTCATGGAAGCGGTAGACCCGAATCACGATGTTGCCGGCCACGAACTGGTGGCCGGAAAGGGTGTATTGGTGTCGATACTTGTACCATTCTGGTTCTTGGAAGCGGTCCATGTCCTTGTCTGTAGCAGGACGCTCCAAGACATCGCGAGAAATGTGCATGGTCTTTCCGCTCCCTGGCTTCGTGGCTTCTACGGCTGGATCTGGAGTCTGCTCGACGCGGAATATCCAGTCGTCGTTGAGTGGCTCTGGAGGACCTCCATCTTGTTGGGCAGTGGTGAGGCTGCGTTTGAGTTTCTCATAGATAGGCCGCGGGTTGTTCAAATGTAGTTGCTTTGGTTGACCGTGCTGGGAGAGGAGAATTTTTTAGTCGACATACACCTCAAAAAAGAAACATGAAACGCTACTGACCTTTCTTGATACAACTGCTTCGGGGAGTTTAACCTGCGCATAGATGATGGTCTGCTCGCCCAAATAGACGGGCTGAGAACGGGTGTACCCTGCGAGCACCTGGACCGCGGTATCGATGCGCTCGTCCGGAATCTGCGAATACAAGACGTATTCATGCATTTTGGCGATGTTTCATGTGATTGCGTCTAGACCTCTGCGCGGCAGCTGCATCCGATAACGGGGAGGACGATGATGATATGTCAAGATGGCGCAATGGCGAGATGAAAAGGCTGATCAACTGGGCAGATCGTCGGTGATGTCAGGTCAAGGTGCCATTGCTGCTATTGCTCGCGTGTCAAATGAATTGAGCTGGTTTGGAGCATGAGATTGTGTTTCCAGTTGATGAGGCAGGCTGTCGCCCCGGAGAATTCATTCACTCGGCTTCTATTATTGGTAATGATGAACAGGCAAAATGCACATGTGAGATGATGCTTGTCTGAGACGGGAGGCCCCGAGGCACGCGGGTGGATGGGCAGTGGATCAAAGCGGAGAAGGACGAAATGAGCTAGAGGGAGGACGATTATTGATGCCGAACGCGCCCGATATCTTGCTCGAGCTCCATATCATTTGTGCTTGGTGCCTCTTATCCTGCTTGTGCAGTCTCGTCCCGCCCTCTCTCGCCCCCGAAAAGCTGCTGGATAGCTAAAGAAGTCTCCCACCTGCACAATTCGCCTCACGCCATTCCATCTCACCTATCGTCTTATCTCCCACCTTCGCGCCGCCGCAATGCAGGCCACACGCCGTCTACTCCACCGTCAGCCCATGATTCGATTTCTCGGCAAGCGTTCCACGCCGCAGAGTAAGATTCATCCTCATGCATCACCAACGGCAGCAACTAATGCTCATCTCTCCTACAGAAATCGATCACGCACCCAAAGTCCACCCAGAGTCCCCATCTTCAGCTCTCCCCGAATCCTTCGCGTCATACCGAGAGCAGGCGACGCAACACGGCCCGCTGAAGGGCACCCAAAGACAGTCCTCATCCAGCGCACCACAGCAAGTATCCTCAGTCCAGCAACCCTACGGAGCWATTGGAGGTCGCAGCGCGAGGGAGTTGGGGCCCATCAAGCCTGGAAAGGGCGAGTTCTCAGACAGGAGCGAGCTTCCCAAGAGATTCCAAAGGACTCCGTGGAGCCTGGCAGAGATTGAAGCGATTGAGAGCGGTGGTGCTAGCATGTTTGCTTGAGGGCTGCGAGATTGGCAGGAAAAAGGACATGAAGATGAATGAGGGACTTCTACGGTATGACCGTTGTATAGTGTCAGCCCACGATAGGCTTGGAAAGAAATGATCTCGGTACGCGGTACGCGACAAAGAGGAAATCATGGCAGTCCAATGGCTCGTGGACCCAAAGTACCACGGGATCGATCGACTCAACTCAAGTGCTCTTGAGATCACCCCTCCTACCTCGCATGCGGCATGAGGAGTGAAGCATTCAGTAGGCGCTCGCTGGATGCTCGGCTGGCCCTTGCGCGAGAAATTTGTACAATGCAGACATGAATAAGCATCTCCATCTACTGAACATGAGGTTTGTTAATCCTGATCGCCAATCCTTCCGGTGAGTCTCTGCTTCATTGGCAACCGAGTACTTTATTGAAAAGGGCTCTTTCACACCAAAGAACAACAATCGTGTCGCGCAATCGTTGTCTGCATTCTCATGGTTGATTTTCGTGTTCATCGCGTACACGGCTGCCTGCGGTGTTTCCGCGCTTTCCCCAACCACCCAGCTCTCTCATCATCCCGTCTCTTCATCTTCCTGTCCACTCGTTTCCACAACACACACACACACACACACACACACACACACCAACACCAACACCAACACCATCCACGCCATCAGTATACCGTCATCATGGGTTTCTGGGGCTACGGACTGTTCGAAAATGACCGTGATCTGGACATTTTTGTCGATCTCGCCGAAGAGTGTGGTCTCACAACCCTCGAGAAGGATGAGCAGGCGAAGGCCGCACACAATAAACTGAAGAAGGACGTCGAAACGGAGACCGAGGGCAGTGCTGCTCAGATGCAGACTCACGATGGCGACATCATGTACTCACTCTTCGCCGCGTAAGTTTTAAACACGGAGAGGCCTATGTGCACACATACAACGCGAAGCGCCTTCCTGTACACATGACTGACTCCCAGTCCTCCACTATTAGTTATTGCTCCGACATCAAGACCGTACGAGACTTCCTCAATGAAGGAGCGCTCGACAAGCTCGTCGAGATTCACAAAAACGACACGAATACGCTCATGCTGGTTGGCGTCTGCGCCATGAGCCTGGGCTGCACCACCAGCGATGTTTTCCTCGAGACCTTGCGTCAGCAGTTCCCTCACTGCGGAACTAGAGGTCGTGCCCGCAACCAGATCGGCAGAGCACTCTTCGGCCCTGGGGGTTTCGAGAACGGCAAGGCCTACGATTTCCAGTCCAGGGGTCTTTTGCAGACCGCAGGAGAAGTCATGGACGGCGCTGAACTTGGAATGGAAGAGAACATGTGGTAGCTCTCTAAGCATGCTGGGTGTCGCGTCACTACAGAGGGCTACGGGACGGAACCCAATAGTTGCACCTAGTGGGGATTGCACCTGCCGAGCACAGAAAGGGTCGGCTGAATGATGAAGGACGTGTGTCATACTATCAACGGTTGAACTGAGGTTTACTGAAAATTGAAATGCATTGTCGGCGACTCGTTATCTGACCAATGTTCGTTCCCCCAATCTACAAATCCAGAGTTGCTAACATCAAGACTGCTGCACTGTAGACCTAGAGATTGGTCCTTTGACTGGACGAGACAAATAAATATGGAAGGTCGTTCCTGCTCACGCCTGCCATACCTATTGAGCAATCGGTGATGATTGTGTGAGACGTGAGGTCCTTGCCACCCCAAATAATGGTCTAGTTCTATGCCAAGCTTTTGTGGGACCGACGGCGTTCGTTGCTCGACCCTTGACCATTTTCAATCCTCCCATCCGTCAACATCAAACAGACATCTCCATCGCATCCATCAGTGCAATATCTCCGACCGCTACTCCTACGACTGCTGCGACATCAGTCGGGGACCTCGGGGCGCACAAGGTTAATAGTGGATAAGCTCGGCGTCATACCTTAAGCATCTCAGAATTCTTGCACAGCCTCGAAGGATCAGGGAACAGTACTACAAAGTAGTACCTCGCTCATACTTTTCTTCTTCCTCATCTCATTTTCAAGTGAACATGGCAGACCTCAAGACATTCTCACCCATCCAATCCTTGATCGAGACCTGGTGGAAGGAGGAAAGGCCAGAAGGTAACAATTCGCCAGCGCCTCTTGACCTCCCCATCTACCGCGAGCTCCTGGACTTTGCGCAAAAGCAGCTGAAGGAGACCAGGATCGTACAAAGCAAAGCCGAAGACGGAGAGACAAGGAATATAGCGATCAGTCCCAGCGGTGAATTCCCTGTCCACGACGGTCCACCCACGTATTCAGCGGATCAGAARCAAAACACATTGAACCGAGGGATAAACGACCTCAAAACTCTGCTCCCTATCGATACACCTTTCGTCTGTGGTGGCGTCTATGACTACGTAGGCCGTAACGGTTCCAACACGTATGGAGCCTTTGGCGGCAGACCAGACATTGTTGCTTACAGCTTGAACGTGACCTCTGCTGGGCAGATCTCTGGATCTAGCAAGGACAAATGTGGATCGGCAAGAATTGAAGGCAAAATCGACTGCGAGACGGGTGCCGTGGAGTTCGTCAAAAGTTACAGCTGGTACAATCTTTGGACGCAGTGGAACTATCGCGGGCAGCTGCAAAGAATCGATAGCAGGGCAGTAGTACTAGGCAGATGGGAGAGAGGGAGGTTTGCTATTTGGTTGGACGCTAAGGATACTGACCAGGATAGAATGGCCGCACAAATGCTACGCGTGCTTGATACAAGGGACGCTCAGAGCAGATTAGACGCCTGCGCGCTTTAAGAGCCATCGATAATTCGCCATAATACACCACGAACACTCCCAGAAGAGCGAGATGGGTATCTCCGCATGACTTTCTAAGCAAGGCTGCGCCACGAAGGCAAGACAGATTTGCGGCTTCCAAAGCACCAGCGCAAGGACCAGGAACAACATGAATACAACGACACCAGCGGCGTACAGAAGTAGTACTGGTCTGGAATCTCAACGGTCTTGTGCTCTTTTTGTTGAATGGTCTGCGATGGTACAGCTTCTAAGCGGAGACCAGGAGGCGAGATCTGAAGCAGATTGCAAGATTTGATGTCTATATCGATTCGTGACCTTCGCTATTATAACACGATCCGTTGGCAGTTGGTTCCTCCCCTTTATTCGAGCTTGTCTGGTAGGGCGATCTCCGCCGGCTGAGTCTCATTCACTTCCACCGCCAAGATTTCAACTCGAGACTTTTTTTTTTCCTATTGTAAATTTTTTGTCCCAATCCAGAGCTGAAACCTGTCGATCGATGTACTTTTCCGAACTTTCTTGACCTATTGTCGTTGTGATCATAGATAGCTGTCTCTTCTCGTCCTTTTCATGTTTCCTTTCTCCAAGATCCTACACAAAGTCACATCGCAACCAAAGCGATACCAACGCGCCACCAGCTCTCAATAACCACCACCACTACCACTACAACCACATACAAGCAAGATGTCACGCACTCTCGCCGCCCCACCAATGTTCTTCGACACCACCAAGCCAAATTACACCACCACAATCAGCATTCGCCCAGCCTACTGGAAGTTGATCCCATACGCCTCCTTGCCTCGCCCACAAGGCACTGCCTCCGCTCTCAAGATCCGACTCCGCGCGCTTGGGGTCTACGTCAAGATCTCAGCAACGGCCAAGCGCTGCGAGAAGCTCTTGCATCGGTTCGAGAGAGGTCTCCTCGCCTACGAGGACCTCTCCACCTCCCAACTCACCATCTTCGCCCACGATCGCGGCCTGCCATGCCAGCCAGAGGCCAACCAGCATACCCAGCTGGTCAAGCTTCTGGAGAAAGCAGACGACGAGCAGAAGTTTGAGAAGTTCTTGGATTTGCCTGCCGAGTTGCGATTGATGGTGTACGAGTTCCACTTGGGCAGCTTGGAGGTTCCGACATGGGGAAATAGGGTCCGACCACCGCCATTGTGTAGAGTGTCATCGTTGTTGAGAGAAGAGGCAATGCCTTTGTTCAAGGAGAAGGAGAAGAAGGCGTGATTGATGATGTGGATGTGTTCTTTGAGTATTCAGGAGTTCAATGCAAAGACAATGGCTGTGATCAACGTTTCTCGTTTCCCCGTGATTTCAGACCATCAGGACCTTGTCCCCAGGCGCCGGCACGAGTGCCAGGCCATTTTATAGTGCCCCAAAAGTGCGTCCAACCAATCTTCTTTGGCTGCTCTTCCTTCGGCTTGACCGGCTTGAAGCTCTCGGCTGGTCTCGATTCATCAGCTATAGCACCACCCATCTTGATCTCGGTCCCGCGCGCCGTCGACTGCGTAGAATTAATTGATGATGACAGTGAGTCGGTCTCCCATCTCCTGGTCTCCTTGGGTGTGGGTCTATGCCAACCTTCTTCAGCTCTAGCCCACCAGCGCGAGCTGCACATCTCCCACAAACGACTCTGCGCTCGCTTGTATGCGAATCTCTCATCTTCGCCGGTGAAAGCGCTAGTCTTTTGGAAATTAGGCCGGGCGGTATATCGGACCTCATCGTGGTCGACGGGCGCACGCTGCATCTCTGCATCGGTTTTTCCAAAAGATCGACCGAACGGGTTGCTCGCAGAACCGCCTTTGGCACCGCGGGAAGTGTTGCCGCCTGGCGCGTCGTCCTCGAGCGCGTCGGCTCGTAATAAACCAGATAAGCGAGCATGGGTGTAATCCGGCTCTTCTTGTGGCTCAGCATAGTTTGGGTTCTCAGTCAGGATGTTGGGCCGGAACGGTGCTGTAGCATCCTGATATACTTCTGAAAGTGTCTCCGAGTACACCGAGTCGCCCTCTTCATCGCCTTCTTTTCGTTTCTGCTCTTCGGGAAAGAATATGTCGTCGGGGCCAGCTGCGGCGCTGACGAATAGTTTGCATCGGCATTCGTAGAGAGCGTCCAATAGCGTAATTAGACGCCTCGCCTCATTCTTCATGAGCCAAGTGAGTACAGGGACCTCGGTGAGAATCAGAGTATGGTATGTCGAAGCCAGAGATATGTAATCTGCAGGTCCGTGGGCGGCTTTACATAGCTCGTCGAAGGTCCATTTTGTGACGCCTTTGTAGGCACGCGGGACGTGTACTGGGCGACCATATACCTTCATAGTCGCAGGAGACCATGCCACATTGCTGTCTCCTAGAGAAGTACCTACTGCGTCGTCCGCTGCTCTCTGGGCATCAGACTCGGCAGTGATGATCTTGAAGTGATCTGGCATGATGACCGAGAGCTCGTTGTCTGGAATCTCATCTGGCTCCACGGACTCATGTTCCACCTCATTTCGGGCATCTTCAGGGAGATCTATCCCTTTGATGGGTGCAATGCTGTTACTGTCGACTCTTCGCCAGTCCCTTCCTCCCTCTACCTCCCACACCTCGCATCTTGCTTTCAGCACATCTAAGAATGCAGCAAATTCGTTGTACCCTCCGTACATACCCACGCCTGGACCCTGCTTCCGGATTCCTAAACTCCAACCAAAGCTTCGTTGTGGTGCAGGCGCGAATCCAACTCCGGCAGCTTTCGCCAGTTCTTCCGGCATGCGATTACTGGTAGCAATCAAAACGCCACCTAATTGAAAGAAGCCAGTCATGAGGTTGGTGAGAATCTTGCTGGCGACCCTATCTGGCATCTGGAACTCGTCTAGGAACAATATCGGGGATGTCTGAATCATGTCCTTTGCGAGCCATAGGAGTGAATGATCGTCTGCCGCGAATACACTTGCCCCTGAGCCTCTGCCTCGCGTTGCACGGAATCCCTCGAGCTTGGCGAAAGTCTCTAGCATGAAAGTGTTGAAATGGCTTCGCTTCTTCTTCCTGTTTGGAAGACAATCCGCAAAGAGATCAACAAGCATGGATTTTCCTGTTCCCACTTCGCCGTGTAACATAAGGCCTTTCGGGGAGCTAAGATTCATTGCACTTTCATGTGAAGTGAATCTCCTGGTCAAGGCTAGACTATCTCTGCTTGCTCTGGTGGACAGGAACGAACGCCATGCGCTCTGACGTGAAGATGGCGCATTTTGCTGGGCATCTGAATCCAGGGATCGGGAGATCTGATCTAGACGATGGCTGTATTCGATTTCMGGCTCATAGTCCTTTAGASGATCATACAATTTAGACAAGTGAATGGCAAGTCGATGTTGGGCCTGTGTCGTTTCTCAGCAATCGTTCGAAACTTGATGGGTCTGCCTCGTACCGCATCGGGAGCAATGGCTTTGGTAGCGACGAGAGCTCGATATTTCACCAAAGGATTGGTAATGGCGAGCCCAGTCGCGGTGCTGGAAGCCATCTCACCACGTCAATAAGGGTAGCATACCGTTGTGCCTCGCTTTCGTCGTCTTCAAAGGAGATCTCGGCGAGAGACACGGCATCGGCATTCATGGTGACGTGCATATCTCAAGGTTTCGAGGCTGAACCTCGGAGCGATCGAGAGCGATCGATCGATCTCGGCTACCTTATCTTATCAATCTGAGGGTTAGGGTTGGGGTAGTGTGAATCTCAACGAGAGAATCGATTGATCAGCAGGATATGACTGTCAATTTACGCAAAGGCTGTGTATCATGTGTGCGGACTCGTACTAATCTCTTCAGGCTTGCTTGTTTAGTCACAATGAAACAATGACAAATATTGAGTTGAAGATACACGTTCTCTCGGATCGCAGCAGATCATTATATGCACGCCCGTCTTTTTGCACCGATCCAGCTCCCGAGTTCAACGGTTCYGTTATAAAGACCATGTTCCTGAGCTTACAGGACACTGTCAGGGCCTCAACGCTATACTGTCGATACCTGCTTCTGACTGAACTCTTGCCGGGTCTTATAAGCACCACTTCCAAAGCTTCGTGTGGGTCGCGACGGCAGATTTCACCATCCCATCTACATATGCGCAACGACGAGGCCGGAGTCTTCTGAAAGTCAGTACAGTTCCCCTCTTTCTCTCAACTGGACACTGCTATACTCACCAACAACGAACGCTTGTCCAGTCACCGAGGTATTCTTTGCAAGCATCACGAAGGCGTCAGCGCACTCTCCGATATCAGTCTATGTTCTTGATATCAGCCGTGCATCCGCATAAATTCAACATCACGGGACGCACCTCTTTCTGTAAGGCGGCAGCCTGCTTGATGGCATTGATCTTCTCCTCTCCGTAAAGATTGCCCCAGTCTGTCAAGAGCAAGCCAGGTAAGACTGCATTAACCCGGACCTTTGGGCCTTGAGTGTTGGCCAAACATTTCATCAAATGAATCTGAGCAGCTTTGGTGACCGAATACGCCATGGATGAACCGCTCAAGGACTTGCCGGCCACTGAGGATGTCATGATGAAGACTCCGCCGTCGGGATTGCTGTTGAATGTGGGAAGGGCTTCCTTCAGAAGTGCATGGTTACCCGTCACGTTCTGAGACCATTCGTCAGTCCCAGCATCAGAGAACATTCAGCATCCACCAGCTTACCGTGTGAAAGCACTTGTCCCACTCTTCATAGGTCAACGCATCGAGGTCTTTGAAATCCGAGAACTTTGTAAAGCCAGCATTGCCAATGATGACGTCCAAGCCACCAAAGGCTTTGATGGTTTCTTGAACACAGTTTTGGATGTCTGCGATGACACCGCCATCGCCCTTGATTACCGTCGTTTTGACATTGTACTTGTCTTGTATCTCCTTAGATAGAGCTTGAGCTGGGCCTTCGCTGTTCACCTAAAGCGAGGTATGGAAGGTAAGCAAGTGTCTTGGACGACGGAAAGCTGCATGGAGGTTTTGAGACGTGCTCTGTGCCTTCCATACTTCATTTTGGCTCACATAGTTGATGGCAACATTGCTACCTTCTGCAGCGAATCTCCGGGCGATTTCCGCCCCCACACCTCTGTCTGGAACGTCAGTGTTCATTCAAAGCTGAATGTCCTAAATGAAGACCAGTAAGCGGGATGACTTGCCTACCGCCGCCGGTGATAAGCACGTTTTTCCCTTTCAACGCGAACGGCATCTTGATTGCTACGTGAGAGAAATGGTTCTATGTTCCGGTGTATGAGTGTGGTTWTAATAATAGAGTGATGGTTGATTCTAAAACTGAATGCCCCACGCCTTGTATCCAATAATGCCCCACAGACAGTAGCGACAAGACTACAGGTACCTTCTAAAGGTACCTTACCTACCCCACTTGGACTCTCGGAAGAGTAACCGGATAGAACCGAGGAAGAGCATGCGAGAGCTTTGACGGGACACATCCTTGATAATAACATTATTCCGTTACTGTATGAGAATGAGGCAGACCATGCCCGGTGCAACTATGAGAATCGGGATTCTGCGATCCAGTGAGCCATCTGTGGTGTCCAAAACTCATCCGGGTATCAAGAGTATTCAACCAAAATTAAAATCATCGTCTCCAAGGTCCATATCCAGGCCTGCAAAGATGTCTTCTTCTGCGTTTGGCAAGTGTAGCTGCTGGTCGTTCTTAAGGTCCATGTTCAGACTGCCGAGTATTWGCGCTTGATCTAGCTCCATCGCGCCATTTTCCGCCGCCATTGTTTCCATCTGTCGTACTGTGGCATTTGATAAAGCTGCATTCGAGAAGTCCATCTGCTGTTCGAGACCCGCAAGATCTATCTTGCCATCAGATGCAACATTGGAAATGTCCGCTGGAAGGTCAAGTCCAAGGTCTTGCATCATCTGGTCCGCAGCCTGCTCTTGCAATTGCATCGGTATTGACATTGGAGGCATTTGAGCGATTGCAAGTTGCGATTCCACCTGCCGACTCAGATTTACAAGTGCCTGGGCATGAGCCTTTGGTTTCCCAAGAAGTGCCGGAACATTGGATGGGATGAGACGAACTTTGTTGCGGAGCCTCGCTGTCACTCCAGCCGAGTGATTTTTCTGCTGTGCGATGGAACCCGCAGCAGGAGCGCATATCATGGCCGTGCAGACATCAAGTGCGACTGGCATGTTCGCAGAAGGAGTGCTCGCTAGCTCTTCAATTATGGTATCCAAGAGGACCTCCACATCCACAATTTGGCAAGCTAATGCAAACATTTTGTGAGCATATCTTGGAGGTGGGTCGGGCGGACTCGTTGTAGTCGACGCCCAACGAACTAATTCCTRGATACTGCGGCGGATACGATTGTTCAAAGTCCCATCCTGCATGTACTCGTCCATCTCGGCCCGGCTGCAGTGCAAATTGCGCTGCTGGTTGAGGTGAGACCTCRGCAAATCACTCAGCTCTGCTGCCTTTTTCTTCTCGGGTCTTTGCCGATGCAGTTCCTGCAGAGAATTGTACAAAGGTGTAGCAACCATGCCAAGGATCGCCCGGTGCATGGCCTGCGTTTCCTGGGAGCTACTCGACGGCTTCAGCAGCTTCTCCAGCACTTGGAGCAGTACTTCGACATCGTTGTGGTCCTCCCAAGAATGCTCTGCCAGCCAGCCTAACCCCATAATCAGGGATGGCAGGAGGAACGGTTCGAGTAACAGCTCCAATCCGCCTCTGAAGCTCTCAGAAGAAAGAGCGTTATAGCGACATGCGAGGACACTTTGCTCGAATAGCGTCGGAACTAAGAGATAGAAGTCTCGAGGGGAGCACTGCCGCATTACTTCGTCGCCGATTCCACTAGTCTCGCCGTGCTCGTCGACAGCGAATAAGCCTTCGATCCATTTCTCGAGCTGCGAGGCCTGCTCCGTTGTCATGTCTGAAGGAGACTTGCTGCTAGACATCTCGTCCAGAAGCCGGACGACGAAATTATCGCCGATCAGCCCTAGTGATGCCGATGGTATGCTGTAGCGGTGCATGACGGCCAGAGTCAGCAATAGAATGGAGGCAAATTCCTCGTAAGATGGCGTGAACTCTGTTTGATCCTGATCGTGGACCCATCCGTCCAGGAGATTACATAGCGGCAGTAGCAAGTGCACTGGCTCTGTATACTGCATGATGATATCCATCAAAGGCATTCGCTTGACCAGCTCATTGCAGACCGTCTTCAGAGACATGGTATCTTTGGTCATGCATAGATTACCAATCGTTTGTACAATACAGCCAGCGATCGCTCCGGAGTTTCCTTGCATGCCACCTAGATCGTCAATTATTGCTTCCATACGGCTGACGTTGTTGGCACATTGAGACACCAGACCGTCCTTGCTGTACTTTGTCACCCGCGGGAGTGCTATGGCTTCGTGCAGGATGGTTGCGATTGTATTTTCTGTGACCAGCCCGTGCAATGCACACGCCTGGAGGAATTCCAAACGGGTGTGTTTTAGACTCTCCTGAACATCCGAGGCGCCAGCGCTGATGGGTGGCAGCGGATTCATGGAAATCAAACCCCCTGGCGCCATTGCCATCTGAATGCATGCTTCGGCAGTCATTGGCGGTGCAATTGATCCCGAAAGCATTGAGATCAAGACGGGGACTTTGTTGCAGATGAAGGATCGGATGACTTTCACACTCTGACGCGGCTCTTTGCGTAGCATCGAGTTGGTCAAATTGTCAAAGGAAGCCACTAAGAGGTCGACTATTGCAGATTGCATATTGCCCGAATATCGGGCGTGAAGGTAGCTCAGCACATCCATGTCATCAGTCAAAGGTCTAGCAGCGAGTGCAGAATTCATCCAGAGGAATAGCCCAGCACGAGAGTGGGCTACGGGCACAGGCGGTATCGCATCCAAGACTTGCTGGTCCGTAAACAGTGGTCTTCCTTTGTCGTCGGTCCCGATGAATGGCGGCCTTCCGATGAGGTTTTGCAAGCGACCTGCCAGCTGCGACTGTGTCCACTGCAGAATATTCACATCGTAATTTTGCATGGTCCCAACGATCAAAGGGCGCTGCTCCTTCCACCATTGATGCTTGTGGACTCCACGAAAACTCTCGTTCTCGAAAACGGATATTGCCAGTGTTCCGAGCGCTTCGTATATCCCGCCTGAAAACCAGTCCGGGATGTGAAGTCCGCCTCCTTCAAGCTGCATTTTTGTCTCATATTCGTTGATGATGCGCATCCAGTTTGTGATTGCATCAACAAGTTGGTAGAGTTGCAAGGAAGAAGTTGGAAACTCTGAAGTGAGCTGCACTTGTGTCAAAAGATTGAATAATTTCTCTTCGCATGAGGGCAGGCCGAGTCGTTTGACGTCTCCTGGGTTGTCATCGTTATTCGGGCTATATGCCGACGTCTTTAACAGCGCGATCAGCAGATCGGCAGCGTTTACACAATGCGCCTTGAGGAACAATTTGATGTAGCGAAAAAGCAGAATGTCGTCGGCAGATCCCCATGTGCACCGGAATCCAAGCAGAGTGATGGCTACTTCTCTTGAGCGAAGAGGATATCGCTCCTTCAGCAGTTCCAGCGGCTTCTCCAATTCCTCTACAGTTATGGAGCGAGCTAGAGCGTGCTTAATGGCCGTAAACCATGGTCTCGCGGCCTCGCTGATCGGCTCTGTGTTCACGTATGACATCTTTTGGTCCAATGGCCAGGCCCATCCAGCCCCGAGACCCGTTATWCGCCGGCAGACCCTGGTGATTGAGAGTGATCTACTTCGACCACATATGGTAGCCTTCGATCAAGACTGGAGATGCTCAACGCGCGTCGTGGTGTGCCATTGTTGTAGTGAATTGTCGAAGGGAAGAAAGGTCAAAGGAAGGGACGCGATCTGTGGATGACTAAGTAAGTACGTCGATCACGGGGCGGTCCGCGGTCCGCACTTGGCTTAGGAAGAACGTCCACTGGCCCTTCCTCCTCCTCCTTCCTCCACCTCCACGAATTACTGTCATGCTCAAAACGGCATCTCGAATCTGCCGTCTCCATGGAGCCGGCGGATGTGCAGTTGGGCTCTCTTTGTCTGGTTTCAACAACCGCAGATTTGGAGCTTCAACTAAACAGCTGCGCTGAAGTCGCCGCCAATGACACGACCTTCACAATCGAAGAGTTGTTGAGCAAGGCGATGAGTTATGAAGCAGCGAACAGACCATGGATCATGCCAGGCGAAACGTTCAAGCTGCATGTCAATCTCGATATAGATGTTCTTGGCATGAACACTCACGGTCTCATACAGACCTTCGCTCAGAAGTTGTACGACTCAAAGGTGTCGTATCGGTTGGTCTTTTTATCATTGGAAATGCTGACGTTGCAGAGATGTGGCTTGAGCTCTGCCTGAAACCCATTTCAATGACGCTGTCCAATGACCGGAATGTCACATTGCGAATCTCACGCACGCACGATGATGTAGCGGTGTCAGGCCGGCCTCCGGTTCACAAACTCTCAGACAACCTCTCGTGTGGTGCAMTATCAGTGCACCCCGATGTGCCCACTCTTCAGCTCAACAGCGTACACTTCGCCTTCCGAATCAACCAGAGACAAAGCTCAAAACGATGTACGTCGAAGTCGTTCGAGAGCGACCAGTGTGGGCCTATCGATCCTGATATGTTGGCAACTCGTAGCCAGACACATTTCGACGAACCGCTTGTGGGTGATCTGCGAGTGGCCACGCGCAGCTTTGAAATGTCCCAAGCAGTCAGGTCCGAACAGTATAACCCGGAGAACTCATGTGGTGCGCCTGGACTTGTTCCGAAATACTGGCCATGCTCACAGAAGGACATTCTTGATCTTCTAGACGCAGGAATCTTAAATGCCATCACTGCAGATCCGAAGCGCTCAGCACGAGGAATCCGTCTCAACGAGAGTCAGTCGCTGAAGCATCTGGTCGATTTTGCCCCTTCTATCTGGTGTCCAGGCTACTTCACGGCTGTGTCAAGCAGATCTTTGCTGATGCCAACGATCAGCCACGCGTTGAGCCAAGTCGGCGTGGGGAGTGCTCGAAGCGGTACGCTGAGGGCTAAATTTGCAGAGGTGAGTGGCAGAGACCAAAACGCTTTGCTCCCCGCATGTACAGAACCACAAAGTCAACCAAACAAATTGTACTGATTTGCTCAAGATCGCCCGCAGAGCTAGACATCCCTCGTCCATCAGCAGCTCAAGTCCTAATTACGTGGCCTCACGCGATTCAAAATCCGCGCAATCGTGCATGGAGTTACGACTCTGGCAAGTAGCGCAGGATGCGCTGCAAGAAGACCATTGTGCGAACCGACTGGAGGTTCTCGTGCGCGAACCAGATCCATCGCTGGATTCTGATCAGCATGATGTACTGGATATCGATTTCATTCTCGCGAGCAATGAAGAATGCATCAACCACGAATCAGATGGTAGCATGATCGGGCTTGAAGACTCGGGTTACACTGCGGAAGATGAACTGCTCTCTATTTGCGCAAGCTCTCGATCATGCTCACCGCATGATTCGATCGATATTTCCCGAGAAATGGATCAGGAAATGCTGTGCATATGAACGATGATAGACATACTGATCGTTCAGGAATCCGTGACTCTCACCGTCTCCGGGCGAAGAACCACAACCGTCAAGTCATCCCCATCCGTTGTCCCTCTCTCCAAACCAGGCGTAATTGYGAATGCTACCACCTCTCCTTGCTGATCTGGAAGACGCTCCATGTCACCTTCAGCAGCGGGATACCTTGCGCCTTTGCTGTACCACTTCACATTATATCTCAGCCGCGCGGCGTCGAACTTTGCCTGGATTATCAGAGAAGCTCTGCAGATTTCCCTCATCAACCGCGTCAGCGATCTGTCTGCGTGCTTGGCCATTGGCTGTGGAAGATGCGCATTCAACAAGAGCATGAAGTCGCGTGCCAGAACACTCGCCTCGGGATCTATCTCAGTCTCATGGAATCTGGGATCTCTTGATCTTCTCCTCGCTGCCTCACGTAGGATAGCTTCGCTGTCGGCTCCCTCTTCCTCGATAGCCGAGACGAAGAAAGTGGCGATATTATGCATCCTCAACACATCGCTCACGTCTGGTTTCAACTCCTTTGGCAGAAACACGTTCAAGATGAGAAAGGACCACACTATGCACTGCAGAAACTCACTCGCAACGAGATTGTTAGATGCCTGAAGTTTGATGGCGACAGGTTTCCATAGCTTCGCCCCGAAAGCATGTCGATATAGCTTCTCAAGCTCAGGACTGGGTTTCGTTGTCAATTGAGCCATTCTGCTTCCTTGCTGGTTGACAAATGCGTGGGAATGGATTCCTGCGACCAATGAGGCGATCTCTTCGAAGGCTTCCCGCAGAGCTCGGTCGTCATCGTGTTCGTCAGCTGGCTGGCAGTCAGCGTTTGCTATGGTGGACTGGGTCGGAGTCGCAAAATTGTTGAGCATTATTTTTGCGAGACATCCGGTCGAATTACATGGCTCACCGTGACCGTTCTCGCAAAGATTAACTGGCGTTACATTCCCCTGTACTCTGGCGATCTTAGGCGAAAGTGGGTCATCGTCTTCGATGAGATCCTGAGTCGCTTTGCGCTTTCTGGGAGGGCTTCGCGCAGGAGTACCATCCCTGATATGCTCGTTCTCAGAGACGTTCGAGACTACATCAGAGTTGTCATGGATGTAGGCCAGGAAATCTGGTGCAAAAGTTCTGCTACCCTGGGAGAAGAGTCGTTGCATGTCGAGCTTGGACTTGTCAGTCTCCTTCGCTCGAACATTATTTGGGTCCAGCAAGACTTTCTGTAATAACCACAGAAGGGCGTGAAAGTCACGCAAGACATGCCGAACTCTGCGTGGAAGATTCCGATGAATCTTTTGTAGTCGTTCCCAGCGCTGGATGCAAGTATTGCTTTGCTTTGGGTTGTTGTCGATGTCAGCCAAGACCGCTTGTATAGCGAGCTTCTCCTCTGTGGACATCGCAAGGTGATGGACAATGATTGAGAAGGATGTAGGGGATAGCACAGTGGATATATGGTCAATGTTTTCTCCAACATTTCAAGCAAACACCATGATGGGTTATTCAATGTTTGCTATTCCCCTGTGAACCTCGTCCTTGTTCATTCTCCTGCACCGTGTCTTATCTGGATGCCGAAAGTAAACATGTAGCACAGGGGTTGAGAAAGGTGTGTACGATGAAGACTAGGATTGGTCATCTTAACAAAATGAACGTACACCCTAAGAGAAGTCTCAATCATCAAAAGCTCTGGCTAGGCATCCTCCCCGTCCATAGCGACCAGGGGCGCAGGTCGATATTTTCTAGTGCCGGTCCTCGCGTCATTAAATTCCAAACCTGGCATTATCGTGAATGCGACTAACCGGCCAGAAGAAAACCTGGGATGCGTCATCAATTCTTCTCCTGACGGATCTTCTCCACTCTCGAACCTGGAGAGATTCCACTCCCTGAGCTGCGCCCTCAGTCTCTCAAGGAGCAAGAGCGCATCGTGGCAGATGGCCTTGAGCCTGGCTGACAGGTCTTTGCACCAGTCATGAGGAAGCCTACTCTTGTCGATCTGGTCAATGTGGCCAGCGAGAATGAGCATCAGATCGTTCGCCAAGATGGCCGCTTTCGGAGCCACAGTCTCGCGCTGGAATAGCTCATCGTCTGATTGAGCTGCGAAGATATCATGCCGGAAGTTGGCCATGTTGAGACCGTGCTGAGACCTAAGGACTTGATCAACACATCTACCAGGGACCTTGCTTGCATCCAGCAATTGGTGTAGATCAGAGAAGTCGGACTGGTCTCCCAGTATGAAGATCTCCACATAGGCCCAAAGCAAGCTTTGAAAGAGTACATGCCCTGTCAAGACTCGCTTGTTCTGGAGATCAAGCGCCACAGACTTCCATCCACCTTCTTCAGTTGCGAGAATCAGATCGTACAAGTCTTTCAGTCCAGAGCATGGATGGAGATCTGGCTGTGCAAGCTGGTCTGCAAAATCACCCGGAAAGATGAAGCCTGCAGTGCTTTCGATGGCCTGATGGAGGCGTGCAAAGTCATTACTAGACCGAGAAGTCCTGATGTCAGCAGCTTTACCTTTCTTGCTGCGGTGGTCGTTACTACCGGCGTTGTCTGGCCGTACCTCCTGCGCCGCTGCTGTGACATCGTCTGTGGGTGGTGGAGATGCTTTAGATCTCTTGGGTGCTGGCCCATCTTCTCCATACACGTTGGTTTGCAGAGCGTTGTCAGAATCATCACGGGAACGTGGTCTCTTCTCAGCTCCAATCTGTAAGTCTTGCGAGGGTGTTTGCATGGATGACGAGCTGCCGATCCTCGTATGATTGATTGTAGGGTTTGTGTTTTGCATGATCGGATTGACAGAGGGTGTTGTTGGTGGTGTCAGTGGAGGAACTGTTGGCGGAGGAACTGTCGGCGGAGGAAATGTCGGTGAAGGAAGGTTGAGACGTCTGAGATAGTCATACCTATACAGAGAGCGACCAATCGTGAATAGCTGTGTGACTGCTCCTTCATCGTTTGTGCTCGTGCCGCCTTGAGTTCTTCTGTGCATGACGGTCGATTTCAGCAAGCTCCGCAGCTCCGCCCCGGTCGGCGTGTATGGGTCATAGCCACCTGCACTCATTTCCACGCGTTGCGTCGCAGTAAAATCGTTTAGCGCAGCGATCTGACCCGCCTTGGTCAGGTACGCTCCGAGATTGCCCTCGATGAACAAAATCGCGGCGCAGATTGCCGCCGAGTTTGTTACTGGTTTTGTCATCGTCTGGACCTGTTTGAGAGCAGAGCCGGTGTGAGTGTGGGTGTCAGGAACATGTGGCCGAGAGAAATGCGGTTTTGAGGCAATAAGAGCTGGCGAATCTTCGAGCACCGCAAAGCCCACTCCACCTAGATGTCACTCGATTCTTTGTCTCCATGTAGCTCCTCGATGATGTCTCACTCGCTTTCTGGAGATGCTCAAGGCCATTTAAAGGCTCCCTGGACCTAGTCAGTTTGGAACTGGAAGCCTCCTGATCAGTATAGCAAGGGCGCTCCTTCCGGGATGTATAAAGGGCTATTTGATGGAAGAAATGTGAGTGGGTTGATAAACAATCAGCGTAACTCAATGGCCACAAAAGCGCAGCTCAGAACTGGGACCGTCTCTTTAGATCAAACGTTTCTCGGACCTATAGAGTCCTCTCGAGCATCCTGAGGCTCGATATTTGGGGGTGAGTGATTCGGCTTGCTCATCACCGCCGCGAGCCAAATTGTAATTCTCAGGGAGTGTCATCTTGTCCATAGTCAGATGATACACTTGAATGGCGTGACTGACGATGCTGGTTCAGCATTTAGATGGAGAGCGAGGAGAGGAGATGGACGTGAGTGAGACTAGAGTGGAGAAATCGGCGRAGCTACTTCCGACGGACGCGGGAACCCAGGGTGGCGCGTGGAGAAATCACGCTAAGACGCGTTCTCGTCTACATGTACCTTACACTTCACGGTGGTGTGCTGGGCATCTAGACTGACATGCCAACATGTCATCACGGCAAATCTCGTCGAGCAATGACAATTCCCGACGATAAGACGACCCTTATCATCAGGCCACTCTCAGCAGATTGAACGCCGTCTCCGCCACCATGCCAGGCATTGCAGGCAAAAAGTCGTCGAATATTGACATCGACTTTACCTTACGCAAAGTCTTCGCTCGTGATGCTTTCAGGTCTGCAAGCTCCTTTTCGAGCTTGGATGTTCCGCTAATGATTCGCTAGACCAGTTCAGCGGGAAGTTGTGACAGCTGCATTGCAAGGACACGATGTCTTTCTTCAGGCGGCTACCGGGTTCGGAAAGAGCTTGTGTTTTCAACTTCCAGCTGTTGTCGACTTTGGCATCACAATCGTCATTTCGCCATTGCTGGCGTTGATGAACAATCAGATCTCGGCTCTCCGCGCTGCGAGTATCCGAGTGGAGACCATCAATAGCACGACTCCTGCTTCCATCAAGAATAGCGTTCTGAATGATCTCAAAAGCGGTCACCCTTTGACCAGACTTCTCTACGTGACGCCAGAGTACTGCCAAATGGATCATTTCAGGAAGCATCTACGCATTGTCCATGAGCAGAAAGAGCTGGCGAGAATTGCAGTTGATGAAGCCCATTGTAAGCACGCTCGAGGATGCTGCTGTGCTCCGGAGATGGAACGCTGACAGATCAACGATGTAAGGTATATCAGAATGGGGCCATGACTTTCGACCTAGCTTCAAGGAACTGAAATGGTTCAAAGAAGAGTTCCCAGAAGTGCCAGTGATATGTTGTACTGCAACAGCGACAAGTCGCGTGAGAGACGACATTATCAACACACTCGGCTTGGACGCAGAGAAGTTGAAAAGCTTCACCATGACCACAAGTCGCCCGAATCTTCATTACGAACTTCGCTTCACATCAGATGACGAGGGTGAAGACCGATACGACAACTTCCTGGCTTGGATACGCAATACGCATGCTCGTCGCGCTGATAACGCTGCTCGCTCGCAAGAACTCAACCAGCGGAACGAGAGAGCCACCAATGTACCTGGAATCATCTACACTTGGTACCGGAAAGACACWGAAGCTCTCACTGCACGGTTGCAATCCGATGGCATTGGTGCCAAAGCTTACCACGCCGGGATGTCGACCGAACAGAAGGAAGATCATCTCGAAGGGTGGGTGAAAAACCGGGAAGGATATGATGTGATCGTAGCGACAACTGCTTTCGGCATGGGCATCGATAAAGACAACGTTCGTTTCGTCGTGCACTGGCAACTTCCCAAGTCCTTTGAAGGTTACTACCAAGAAGCCGGTCGCGCTGGTCGAGACGGCAAAGCCTCCCTCTGCATCATGTACTACAGTCGCGAAGACCGCGACCGTGCCGCAAATATGATGCAGAGGGAGCAGGAAAAGCAGAACAATGGCAAAGGTCAGAATCGACAAGCCATGATAAACCGTGCGAAGAGCCTACAGGCGCTCATTTCTTACTGTGAGAGCGTGTCATCTTGCCGGCACAAGCAGATTGCCAAGTACTTTGGCGAGGATGCTATTCCGCCCTGCGACTGGGCTTGCGATTGGCACAAAGATGCGAAGTTGCTAGCACGACGGAAAGACCAGGGTCTCGCGAATGAGGAGTGGATTGCTACTCAGAGGCAAGCTGGGACGTACGACAACGTTGGCGATTATGATTGAATGGCATGTTCCCTTGTTAAGCATGCTCCAGAAGAAGCCTGTTTGCTGCGCCTGAATCATAATCTGCAAGTGTGAGGTATGTAACGCTCATTTCCCTTTTGCGATGGCCTCCAGACCGCTTCCCGCCGCTCGTCTTGAGCCGAAATCAAAAAGTTTCAACGCCACATTCCGTCCATGTAAGCCACGCTTGTCGTTTCATGCCTCATCGTTTGCCCGGAAGTCTTCTACCCTTCTCAGCCTCAAAGCATCCCATCGAACGTTCCGCAGCATCAATCATTCCACCTCGAGTCGGTAGCAAGCAAAGATGTCCGCATGCTGACCAAGATTTCCTTCACTTCCTTCCACTCCACATGCCTCAGCGCCTTGGCMACGTCAAACATAACCCCGGGGAAATACCATTGAAGGTCGACCCGATTCTCCTTTGCCTGCTCCAGAAGATGAGCAGGCTGTGGACATCTGCCATGCAAAATTCCTGCATGGTAAAGCTCCAGCCAGACGATGAGATTATCCCACGAAGGCTCCCAGCGAGGTGTGCTGTACCTGTACGTAAACGCATTAATATTGTCTCGGACGGGATTCAATGGGAACGAGGTAGTTTGCTCACATGGTAACCTTGCCGCGAATCAATCCAATGGAAGTGAACGAAGCCCCCCATTTCTGAAGAGGAGCCGAGTCAAAATCATGGATTCTGACGTGGAATTTGGTACCGTAGTACCAAATCTTGAGGGCGTCGCTGCGGATCTGCTTGCATGTTTGAAGGAGTCCTGGGCGGGAATACCCTGTGCGATGCACCTGTACGACGGCGTCTTTGGTGTCTGGTTCGAGGAGGGCGTATTTGTAGATGAAATCCTGGATTTCCGAGGGCATGGTCGAGAGGATGTTTCGCGTGGGAGTGGGCATGTCTGCGGCGAGTGGTGGGTGGGAGAGCGACATTGTGAGAGTTCGACGTGTTGCAATGTCGGTGATCGGACGTGAGGCCCCTGATGTTGTGTTGGAGATCTGGTCGCGCGTTCGTTTACATGCGAAGTCGCAACGCGTCCTCGCTCCAAGCTTATTCATCATTCATTCACTCAGCTTGAGCTAGACCGATTGAGTCGACCTTAGACAGTTGCTGGAGCATCGTGATTGACGCTCGACGTTCTTGGTGATTCCAACAGTATCTCGTATTGAGGAAGAGTGACGGTCCCATAGATAGCCCTCCAATTGCTTCCTTCTAATTCGGTCGCTCACGCTTTCCATGTGCCCGATTGCTAAACTTCGATTGCGAAAGATATAAGACGGATGGCCATCAAGTGACCAAGTGTGGCGAAATGCTCGTGGATGATCCTGTGATCTCCTACATTGCAGCAGCTACCTTTCGCTCTCAATTGCCGTCAACATCGTAAGCAGAATGCAGACGAGAGTTTCACTAACATAAATCCACCAGTGTATTGCATTGTCCACCTCCCCGGACAAACTTCAACCTCGTCCGCCCATAAGAAAGGACATTTGGACGTGAGTTACCGAATCTCCGCTACTCTGCTCGCCAGCTTGAACGCCTATGCTGGGGTCGAGAACCTTATTGATGGTAGGGCATGCTAGACGGCATTACCATCCTTCTGGCTCCTCGAGTAAGCGCTGGAGGTGATCTAGTCCGAACCCGGCCGCTACCAGGCCTTGGAAAGCCAGCATATGCATCGGATTGTGCGTGCCAATAGGGTAGTAACAGTGTACGGTCTCAAAGCCTACCGGTAGTCCTGTGTCGTGTCTGTAACATTCAATTAACTTGTAGGCAATTGTCCAAACACGCGAATCTCCTCCACATCCTGCCTGGCTTGGAAGACGAGATCAAAAGTCCAAAAGACCACCCGTTCGTTGCGGCTAGGCATCCTTGAATGGCAGTGAAATCGAAAGATGTGTCCCAGTTGTATGGACGAGCATGCCCCGTCTGTCAGGATGGCATCGTTCTCAAGATCAACATCCATCGATGTTGTGAACTCTTGCCCAGAGCAAATGTTGGTGCTAACACATGCTTGGAGCTCAACACACATATCCGAGGAGAAGCTGTGGTTAGACCGTCAAATGACCTTTAGCCGTAACTAGCAAGGCCTCCTCGTCAACGCCATGGCCAGGCAGCAGCCTTTTCTTCGCCTATCAACATGCATCGAKAGCCGACGTGGGAAAGCACGTCACGACTCACATAGCTCAAGCATGCATTCGCTTGCTCGGCATGAAATCCGGTGTGGGGAACAGATCTAACATCCAGCACGCACTGCCACGCCTCGATGGAGGCTGTGCATAGCGTTTCAGAAAACAAGGTGCTGACGAGCCGCCAATGGGCCGAATTCGCGGAGCTATGTCCTGCAGGTAAACATGCATGTGTTTTCACCGCGTTTTGGTAGTGATGATCGTGACTGATGATGGCGGGATGAAAGAAAGGTCGGTGAGAATGGGAAAAGTGTGTTTGGTGATGTGCGGCGCTCGGAGTAAACTGTGTCCAGGCAATCGGCGTTCATCTCATCAACATGGAATGCCAGTAGTAAGTGTAGGCAGGGGAGCGATGCCGATTGCAGTAATGGTTCACGAACTGCTGATGATGAACATGTTGGCATTTTTCTTCGCTTGTTGGCGACGATAGGTATCGAACATAGGGTCTGCGTTGGCGTTGGCGTAGGTTGGCGTTGGTGTTTCAAGGCTAAATTTAGAACTCATGCTGATGTTTCGGAGAGTTCTAGGTTCAATGTTGTTGACGAGGGACGGGATTCATGATCGTGGTTCAGCTGAGGAACAAGGGATGCATTGGACGATGTGACGAGAAGGTCCGGCAAGGTCTGCAGAATGTACGTCAGTCGCACGACATGCCGCTCTATTACCACAGTGAAGTGAAGTTGCCGCTCCAACCAGAGAGCCCGATAATGTACAAAGAAAATGTCATAAACCTTGGGGTTATCGATAACCTGGATGCCTGAAGCGGACGCTAACGAGGCTGAGTGATTGAACGTGGAAGTTCGTGCTCCTTCGCGCATCCGCACCCACATGCACAACTCTTGCATGCTGCGCCCTCTGACAATCCTGCGTCACGGACGCTAGATCGGTACCTCTCCCTCCTCGACCTGGGTCCATGTTCAAAAAAGCCTTGGACGACGCGCGCACAGCATCCTATCGAGATCTATTTCAAGGAACATGGATCGTGGCCGCTCTCCCAACCCGGGCGACGCTGCTCATCACGCTCATGCTCATGCTCACGCTCAGGCTCAGCAGCAGCATATAAGGCACACATCCTCAGCTTCGCCTCATCCGCCGCCCTCATCTTATCCCGGCGACATTGGCAACGGGAATGCCTTCTTCGACCCCACCACCTCCGCCCCATTCTCCGCCCTGAACCAGCACGCGACCTCGGGCGCATTCGGCGACACCACCCTGACGCAGGACTACGCGCAGTATCCCTTCACCGACTCCAGCGCATTCGCCTATCCTCAACAACAGCAGCAGCAATTCACCAACCCAAACTTGGGAGGCAGCGCGGGCGATAACGCCTTTCCCTCCTTCGACATCCCTCCCAACGACTTTGATCTGTCCAGCAATACAGCATTCGACCAGACGGCGTCCCTCGACCCGAGCCTCCTCTCCGATCTGGACGGTGGCCTACTCACCCCAAACTCCGACTTTAGCCACACCGCATTCGAATCCATGGCCACCACGATGCAGCCACTGCAGGCCTCCTCGCCCCATCTCATGACCGGTATGAGCAGGCGGCCGTCAGGTACTGCGAGTCCGCAGGCCTCTCCTCGCTTCCAGAATGGTTCCTTTCAGCAGAATATGCACATGAGCAGGCCGCGGGGAKCATCGGAGTCGTTGGATCCATCAAGCGCCATGTTTCCACCAGGGCAGCCTGGCGAATGGTCGGGCATGGGAGGATATCGTTCACACAAGCGCACACCATCGGATAATCTGTCGGACATATCCTCAAACCACCAGCAATCGCCATACATGGGCACACTGGATAGCTTCGATGTGCCCGGACATTCCTCCCCATTGCTCACTTCTTCCCACGATCCCACATTCAATGACACACTTGGTCTGCAGCAGTTCAGTCTGAGCGAGGCCCAGCAATACAACCGCAGTCCCGGCCACAGTCCGGGACATTCACCACACATGATGCCGCAGCCTCAACACGCGCTTCCTCCTTTCACTGCCGAAAACAACTTTGGACTCAACGCCAATCTGAACATTTTCGCCAACAACAACCAACGAGGCGATATCGACTTGTTTTCCGGGAATGGCCAAGAACCTTTCCCGTCATTGAACACGCAGGGTTCGAGTCCTGGTGCCGATCACATGAGCCCACCAGAAATCAACATCGACTACGCGCCGCCTACCAGGCCTGTGGACCAGATGCACCGGGCTGAGRGTTCGCAAGATGCGCTCAGTCCTCCGCTGCGAAGTAAGACAATGTCGAAATCCTAACCATGCATTGCGCTAACTCATCCTAGCGCCCAATCGAGCTCGGGCAAAGTCAGACTCCCACGCTGGTTCGAGATCGCCGTCACCTGCATTGCGCGGCAGATCTCCATCGTTACAACCGCAAGCAGGCGGCGAGAACCTGTCGCCTTTCGACAACACCAATAGCCGCCCATCATCGCGACACAGCTCGCAGTCTCCCGCACGAGGACGGAGTGGCTCACTCAACAATCGTGTACGAAGTCATAGCAACTCATCAGATCAGCGCGATTACATTCTGGATCTGGCCGATCCAAAGCGCACTCCCTCCAACGGAGCTGACAATAAACGTCAGCAAAAGCATCCAGCGACATTCCAATGCACTCTCTGCCCGAAGAGATTTACGAGGGCGTACAATCTACGCTCGCATCTCCGTACCCATACCGACGAGCGGCCATTCGTATGTACAGTCTGCGGCAAAGCGTTCGCACGGCAACACGATCGGAAACGTCACGAAGGTCTCCACTCGGGCGAGAAGAAGTTCGTGTGTCGTGGCACCCTTCAAGGCGGGACGCAGTGGGGTTGTGGCAGACGGTTCGCTCGCGCAGATGCTCTCGGTCGCCACTTTCGTTCAGAAGCCGGACGTGTTTGCATCAAGCCACTCCTCGACGAGGAAGCCGCCGATCGACAAAAGGCATGGATGGAAGAACAGCAGCAAGCCCAAGTAGCTGCAGGTCTTGTAGCGCCGCAGCCCATGATGCAGCAACCGCAAGTGGACATGTTGGGCAGCCTCTTCCCAGCTGCACTTCTGCAGCAGTACCCTGCTCTGGCGGGCATTGATTGGAGTAGTATGCCTCAAGGTCCGCCGMCAGATGAAGAGGTMTACGGCGGGCRTAGTTCGTATGATGCGAGTAGTGGCGGAGAGTACGAATTCGACGCCTCCGAATCTGAGATGAATACGTACAACGACCAGAGCATGGGCGGTATGGGCAATCAGAACATGGGCGGCCTGCAGAACCCGCAAGGGATGTTCCAGACGAACGCAGCCGCCGGGGATTATCTCTCGGATTTTGAAGGGCGATGACGAATGATTTCACGGCCGGTATCGGTGGATGATGATTGCGTTTGATTTGGTGGTTTCTTGGAGCATTCTATACCCTTGGATTGCGTTGCACGTTTGGAGATCGTCTCGGGGTCGAGGCATGCGTATTTCTTCTATGATACCACAGCTTGCTGCACGAATTCAAGACGAGTCAGTTGAGAATAATTTTGTACGACGCACGTGTCACGTTTCTTTTCRGTCCCTTTTCTTTGGGTGCCGCTACTGGTGGCTGGGTGATGTGATCCACTTGGCATCGAAAGGATGTTGGCATAAATGCGATGCTGAAGTTGCTACACATTCTAGCATTTCGTGCTTTGTGCGATGTTGACAAACTGATCACCAGCGAGAGCCTCAAGCTCGGTGATGTGAGTTCGTGGGCCTTCATTCTGGTCCTCGCGAGAATGACCTTGAGAATGAAGGCCCCATCCTGGAGGCTGATGATACATTCAGAGAACGGCGATGCTGGCTTCGGCGTCGTTTTTGCCAGTGCATGGGGCATCGGTTTGTAAGTTATCGCCGACCCGCTCATTGTAGACTGCGACCATTTGATGGAGCTGGAGGGAAATAGGGTGAAGGAGAGGGGAGGGAGGTCTGCACTATCGGTGTTACATTGACACGCATCCACGTGCTAGACTTGATCGCCCACAACTTGCTAGACCCAGTCTACAACTTCTCGCTCCTCTTCTTGCCTCTAAAACCACTGCGGGTGGAACCACCGTCAAGCTCAATCGCGCATCCTGTCATGTGCGCAGCTCCAGCACTAGAAAGGAAGAGGATCGTGCCAGCAAAATCCTCTGGCTTTCCAACTCGTCCWCTCGGCTGACCAGAAACAAGCGTGTCCAGCGCTTTCTCATAACCAAAAGCAGTCATCTTGCTGGGGAAAACACCAGGACATACGGCATTGACGGTGACGTGGTGCGGCATCAATTTGCTTGCTTGCATCTTGGTCAGATGAATGCAGGCAGCTTTGCTGGGTCCGTAGCTGAAAGTTCCGGATCCTGGAGCAGCGAGACCTCCTTCCGGTCCCACTGTGACGTCGGCGGTCATGATGCCGGCCATGCTCGCTATGTTGATGACACGTGAGGGGTTGTCCGCCGTAGCTCCATTGGTGAGTTCGTTGTGCAGACCGACTGTGGTATAGAAGATTGACTTGACATTTAGGGCCATGAGTTTGTCCCAGCCGGACTCAGGGACTGATTATGGTTGTTAGCGAAAGAGTGATGGTGGACGTTGTCAAAAGGCTTACTTACAATCATCGTATGCTGCTCCCCAACTCGCTCCGGAATTGTTCAAGAGCACAGTCAATCGGTCAGTCTTCTTCTTGACCTGTGCAACGAGGCTCTCGCAACCGGCTTTGTCTTTGAGATCTGCTACTACATATTCGCACTTTCCTGGTCCAAGTTTGTTCAATCTGTTGGCTGTCTTCTCCAATTYTGAGGCCTTTCTGCTGGCAATGATCACGCGGGCTCCGTTCTGGACAAATCCTTGGGCGGCCATCTCTCCTAGACCCGTTGCTCCTCCTGTAATGAGCACGACATGGTTGGAGAAGTTGAAGATGCTGTTGACCGAGAGGTTCGCAGCTTCGGCGACGTGGGCCATGTTGAGAAGATGAAAGTTTCCGGGTTGATGACTGTTGGTTTTCCCTTGACTTCAGCGATGATTGGGTAGTAAATAAGAGAAAGAACGTTGATGGTGATGAGGTGAGGTGAGTCTGGGGTTCTTTCCTCGCCTCGGCCGCCACAATACAAGGTATGGGGCCGAGGTAGAGATGGAGGTCCCGAAGAGGAGCTGACTCCGGCGTCTGCAAGGGCCCAGATCTTGTCTTTCATTGCACAAACACCACACCAAAGCCAACACATTGGAACTTTGTGCTGCGAAAGTAGAAACATCATCGGGACCGCACAGCCATGTGTTGGCTAATTCAGGCACACGGAATGTGGACAGCAAAATAGTCTACACGCTGAGGACGCGCCTGGTTTCCAAGACAGACCCATCGCTATCAAAGATCACACCGATATGACCATTCGATATGTGGCCTCCTCGATGTGATGCTCCACGCATCCAAGGGATGATTGACAGTGGTTTCGCACGTCAGAGAACTTACAATTGTCCAAAACTCGAAAAGGTCAGTCGCTAAACGACAATGTCTGGCCTTGGGCACATGGTATTCACCCCCTATACCCAGACTAGCAAGTGAGTCTTCAATCGAAGGTCGAATGAATCTACTTTACTTGTCCTGTAATGGAAGGATTGCTTCAAGTGAGATGCCGCTCGCCAAAACCACGGAGTTCAGCCTTGGACCACCATGATGGTCTCAAGGAAGCGATCAACCTTGATGGATGCCATCAAAGGTACCTGGACTTTGATGTCAGATCGTGATGTATAACAAAGCACCGAAAACAGCATCTAACTCTTCAACTTCTTCTATTTTCAACTCCTTCTACACGTCAACATGCAGCCGAGAGCAGACAGCTTGTCGCCTACGCGAGAAGATACCCTCCCTTTTGTGCATGATGTGATCATCATCGGTGCTGGACCTTGTGGTCTGGCAGTCGCTGCACGCCTCAGGGAGCAAACCCCATCAGCACTATTCACAGACGAGGAGCATCATCGTTACCATTGGATCAACAAGCACACCGCCCAATCATCTATCAAGAATTCCAAGACGGGACAGACGAGGAAGACTACAAACGGCAAGCCACCGCAGCCATCGATGCTCGTTTTAGATAGCTCTGGAAATCGTTGGATGTCGAAGTGGAACAGACTGTTCTCATCGCTCGAGATTTCACATCTGAGAAGTCCAATGTTCTTTCATCCTGATCCGCACGATCGAGACGGCCTCTTGGCATATGCTCATGCCGCTGGCAAGGAGTGCGAATGTATCGAGATAGCAGGGTGTGTTGGAAAAGAAATCTCGAAGCATCAGATGAAGAAGAGGAGGAACAATCGCAAGCCCGGCGAGCAGTATGTATAGGTGGCATGTATTGAGACGCACACGACTGATCTTTGGCAGAGCAAGACCCACAATCACAATAGATGAAAGAGATCGCAAGGACTACTATGCTCCCCCTAGCGACTTATTCAAAGACTACTGCACCTTTATCGCCAACCGATATGGCCTGTGCGATGAAAATCTCATCCAGCAGGCCATTGTCAAAGACATCGACTATGACTTTGTCTCTCAGCTTTGGGCCGATGAAAAGGTCTTCACGATACGTACGGATGGAGTAAACTACTACGCACGAAGCGTTGTGCTTGCTGTTGGTGCCGGGAACGCGCCTTCAATACCAAAGCCCTTCCCTGCTGGTGGCTGTCCTTGCGCGTGCCATGCTTTCCAACCACACGACAAAGCGCTGATGTCCAGAGTGCGGGCTCGCAAAGCTACGAATGTGCTGGTTATTGGTGGTGGTTTGACCAGTGCTCAAATAGCCGATCGAGCCATTCGTCAGGGCGCCACGAAGGTGTTCCATCTGATGCGAGGTCCCATGAAGGGTGAGTACGACGGACCCGGTATCCTGTGCAGATGCTTATGCGAGACAGTCAAGCCATTCGATGTCGATCTCAGCTGGATGGGCAAATTCAAAAACCACGAAAAGGCGTCATTCTGGAGTGCGGATACAGATGAAGGTATGTTTTCTATGATGTCCAGGTCCAGATTTGTGGAGACTAACCCCTGCAAGAACGATCAGAACTCGTTAAATCGGCACGAGGGGGAGGAAGCATCACGCCTCGTTTCGCAAAGATCCTCCAGCAGCACGTTGCATCACAAAGACTGACCATCCACACTCACACCACTGTCCAATCTCAGAGTTACAGCCCGATAGATCAGACCTACACGATCACGACGGAGCCAGCCATTCCAGATATGCCCAAGATCCACTTTGTGTACTTTGCAACTGGGGTGCAAAGCGAGTATGAGAAGCTCGATTATCTACAGAACATGGTGGAGAAATATCCCATCGAATCCATCGACGGTCTCCCGGCTCTGACTGACGACCTTATGTGGAATGCAGAAGTGCCCCTTTTCATGTAAGTCATTGTCCCAGCTGTCCATGTGTGATGTAGTCAATTAATATCTGTACAGGACTGGCAAGTTTGCTGCATTGAGGCTCGGCCCTGGAGCTGGTAATCTCGAAGGAGCACGAATAGGAGCTGAAAGAATCGCTTGGGCAATGCCTGATGTCCTTGGTAAAGCTCAAGATGGCCATTGTGCTGGTGATGAAGAGTTGAACGAGACTTCTTCCGACGAGTATAGGTATAGAGCTGGCATTGGAAGCCGGTTTGAAAGTCTACAAGTTGAAGGGTAGATAGACAACGAACGCCATCTAAACGAAACAGCCACCTTGAACATACTCGACAAACCTGCCTCGGATGCCAGTATTGTAAGTTGGAAGTTTTGATCGTCCCACGTTGTCGACCCGAGCCTCTGTCACTCTGCTGATCTGGCAACTAACAAGCCACACCTTGTACGATCGCACAGCAGATATCTCTTGGCATGTCGGTAGAAGTACCGATGTACATCTCAGAACCTCGCCTCTGCTGGAGACTGAATGGAAAGTAGACTGAGTGGAAAGCACATGGAAATTGTACGAGATCGAGACTTCAAAAAGGCACAACACAGGTGTTTACAGAATAGTATAAGTTATATAGAAGGATGGTCATGAATCATAAGACCGCTCGCTGTGCAGAGTATTTCCCTTCAACCCTGGAAGTATTGTGCCGAACCGGGGTATTTCTGAAGCAGCTCGTTGCGCAAGTGGCCAAGCTGTGGGCACTTTAGAGACTTCTCAAGTGGGCCCAACTTCTCCGTGACGAACGACAGGACGTTACCGACGACGGATAAAAGTCCCGTAAGCTGGTCAGCAAGACCTGCTTGGGACATTTGGAGGAGGAAGCATGCGGCGTTGTTGCCTTCGGCCAAGTTGCCGACGGTGAACAGGCCACCGGTGAGATCTCCAGTGTCTACACCTGTGAATGAGTCGACGGTGCCAGTGTTGCCTCCGATTGAGATGAGCCCGGGGTACATGGCGTTGTTCGTCAGACCGTCGAGGGCAACGTCGGGAAGGGTGTAGGAAGATAATCCACCGGCACGCTTGTACCAGTTCTGGTTGAAAGTTAGCAATGCGAGGAGAGAGTCAGGGAGGTTTGGGATTTCATACTTCTGGGATTCTTTCCTGTCCAAAGTTGTACTTGAAGTTGCCAGGCTCGCCGGTCACACCGAAGAAGCACTTGAGGACCTCTCCGTCAAGGTATCCACCAGGGGCCTCCTCGGAGTGGTTGGACATGAAGGCGACGACGAAGTTGTGGGCCGCAACAGTAACCAGGCCACTGAAGGGAGCGCTGAAGAAGTAAGGGTTGTTGAGGATAGACCATCCGTGGGTGTAGTCGTTGTGCTTGGCAACCTTGTCCATGGTCAAGCCGCCCTCGGAAGCAGCGAGCGGGTAAAGACGGTTCCAGGATCGCAATTGGAAGACTTGCTGGCCGCCATTGAGATAAGCATCTCCGCGAACGATGGATGCATCTCCTTCGTATTTGTTGTGTGTTCCAATGATACCGCGTGGCTTGCCGAGTAGAGAGCCGAGGCCGAGCAGACCGCCAAGGGGCAACGCCGGGCTGTACTCCCCGCCGATCGACCACGTCTGCGTGACGATGTCACCTGCCAGCGCAACAGAGATAACTGCGAGGGCAAGCGAAAGGTCCTCGTTCATGTTGTAAGCCTCGCGGAGACCGGAGACTGTGTTCGCAATGGTAGGGATACCATTACGCTTGAGAAAGCCGTGGTTTGCCGCTGTCGATGGTTAGTATGGCCCTGGTTCCACAGTCATCTGCAGAACCTACCTGCGTTCAAACCAGGGCATTGTCCTCGAAGATCCCTCGGGCCAGGGGCGATGTATTCGTGCCCGGATCCCCTCGTAACATCGACATATTGCTCCTCGGCGTTGAAAGGAGTGTTTGGGTGGCCAAGACCAGAATTTGAGCGACCAGTGAGAAAAGTAGGCTCACGGACAGGAGGAATAGTGCCTTCGTCAGGCTGTCCAGAAGAGGAGGCGTAACGGGCCTGYCTCCTCTCGGCAAGCCGTTGAACGTCCATTGCGTGGCTGGCGTCCATTGCCCAAGGGAAAGCTGCTGCCAATGGCAGAACAGCCGTGAGAAGAGCTGAGCTACGAACCATTTTGCAAAACTTCAAACGAACAAATGAATAGGAATGTAAGGTGTGAAAGTGGTGGGACAAACGCGGAAACTTGTAGATAGGGACTGTGTTGGTTATAGATATGCTCGCTCCTCAATGCATGCATGCATGGGCGATGAACGTTGCCAAGCAAGGAGCGTCGTTTGCCCGTTGATCCCTATTCATCAGAGGCGGTACGCTAGCGTGCCACGCACGGGCACCGCCCTGCAGGTCGCTACTTTTTACAGCTCCCCGCGAAGCTCAGTCTTCTGCGGGAGAAAACTCCCAGGCCAATCACAGGCCTTGGAAAATAAGGTATCATTGGATCTGTTTCTTCTCCAAGCCATGCATGYCGTCGCCTCGAGATGAAGGTCGTGTCAACGTTTGCCGACGAAGCGGAATCGAAGTTTTCGATCTCGAGCACTCCATTCATTTGGGCCATCTTCATCGGCGTTTGACGTGATGAAGAAAGAGTAGTAAGTCAGGGTAGGTGACGGCAAGTACATGTTTCACCAATTTTGACCGGCTAATGTATAAGCGGCGTGATGGCATTCATCAACGGCAGGCGAGTGTCCACGCCTGCGAAGAAGCTTGACACGTTGGATCCACCGGACCGCCTTCGATTCCATTCAACGTCGGCGGGCCGAGCACGCTGTGAGGGAAAAGAATCGCCCCTTGGCTCGCTTCGGGACTTGGACTGACTCGGGAGATCCAAAGGGTTCGACTCGCGCGTTTAGATATTATCTCGTTGGCGTGCAATGGCTTGTCGCACCAGCTGCGATCCATCGGAGCACTTCGCTCATCAACACCATCTCGCTCCCAGCATGCACGATGTGATGTGCAGGTTGGTTAGGTAAGGTAGGCTGGTGATCATGCAGCGGCATGCACTTCCGCCTCGCCCTCGAACGGCAGGTGGCAGGAACAACCACCGCCGAAGTTTGGTCGCAGCGCCTCCAAGTGACGCTGGGGCGCCATCAATGACCATGCATCGCGTCTATCCAGCCGGGGAAACACGTGCCAATAGTTGTTCACGCCTGCAATCCGGAAATGAACATGTTTTCGATGCTTCTGGGAGTATGTCATGCCCCAGACTTCCCCATGGCTCGGATGGAACAAGCGGTTGATGAGAAATTCGTTCGCCAACAGTGTGGCCGGTGACCGGCCACATGGCGATTGCAATGCGGTTTTCCACGGGGTTTCATGCTGTGGCAGAGGACTTTCGGCTGGGTATGCCCAGTATGTCCTGTGTGCCATGTCATTCATGTAGACAGCGCTGACTCGATGATGTCAGGTACCACGAATTGGCTTCGAGAGATTCCGCTAATTAATTCGCTGTTGACAGGACGGGTATATCGCAATGCCGAGACAGCCAATCTCGTAGCGATCGAAGGTTCACAGCAGGAGAGGAGACCTCGATGTCGACATAGCCTCTTCCATACCAGAGAATGCTTCCAAGCCAAGAAAAAATGTCAGCCACTTTCACCATTGGCTGACGTGCTACATCAACGCCGACGACGGCTTCGAACGAGCACTCGTCCCGGTGTAGATTCAGTTGTTGGTGTCCTGCAGGGTTCCGGGTAGCCACGCATCCACCGAAGGATACCTCACACATTCAGGCTCCAACAATAGACCACTGAATCATGTATGCAATGCAAGCAGGTCCCGCATGCCTAGACCCGGCCTCATCAAAGAGTACAGCCCTGTGCATGTTCTCTCCCTCGTTTGGATTCTCCCCAAACATACTGGCTCGTGCTCGTCCAGACCTCAAYCACACCCTGGAGATCCGATGAGCTCGATTGCGGTTGACGATTGCCAAACCTCTGATCGGGTTTTCCTCAAGACTTGCGGCGATTCCAATCCGCAAGCGGTGTGCATACTGATCGGTGTGCACTCGTGAACCTCAGGTTGGGCTCACACGCGATGTTTGGAAGGCGAGGACATATCGTCTGTTTCGCCACTTCATCGGCCTCGACGCCAAATCTGCATGTCCCCGACTTCTGACTTCTTCCAAGCACGCAAGAGTGCCGCTATCGAGGCGTCATTGCAAACGCGCGGCGACGGCGCGCTAAGGTCCCATGGCATGTTCTGGAGTTGATCATGGCTCCAGTGCTTGGACGTGTGTGAGGAACCTGTTCACAACAGAACAGGCAGTGAGATGGAAAACTGGTGGGGAAACTGCGGCAGCATGGATGTGAACGAGCTGGTGGTCATTCCTCATCCTTGTCATTGAGCACACACGAATTTCATCCTTCATTTTCAGACCTCTGCATTACTTTTTGATAGCACGCGACGTGCTCATGTAATTGAGAGGCTACCACTTGTTCTCTCAAGTCCCTTCGGCTGGGTCCCCTTGCATGTCAGCTGCACGATAGTGGGATGAATAGATACGACGAGTTTCTGACGATGGTACTCGTGATATGATACAGACACGAAGGCAGCCGTTGCCCATTTCTGAAGCCTGTCTTCACTTCCCTCTAGAAGCACACGCCACCCGTCCCACATGCCCTCCGTTCGATCATCGCGATAGTAATGTATAGTACAAAAAAGATATCGAGAAACAAGCAAGAGCACATATTGGATGATGATGATGACTGCAAGCCATTCGTTAGCAATACTTCGCAATCATCGGATCGAAAGACAACCTGGGAGATTCGAACTCCCGCTCTTTCGAACCGCCAAATATCAGCTTTCCTGAAGACGGCGCCATAACCCTGCTTAAATCGTTAGTACGCGCGTGCCTGATGAAGAGAATGAATGGATGGAACGAACACTCGACCAAGTCACCGATAAGACGATGGCATGTATCAAACTCAGTAACGCTCACATATGAGTTTTGGGTAAGGCCATAGACAGCCCGTTGTTGTGGTGCATCGTGCGCTGAGATACAAGAAAGGCATACATACCTTGCAAGGTTAGGACAGAGTTGAATGAACACTCTTGAAGTGTAGGTAGTGTCTCTACATGATTCACTTCGATTTGGCTTTTACCGGCTCTTTCGGCTAGTCCAGATTAAGCACACGTGCGGTCTCATCTTCGCCATGCCTATACAGCTCACCGTCATTTTCTTGATCCATTGGAATGACGATTGACAGCGTCTCGTCAGCGGCCAGGAAGCATCCATCAATGCCAGTGGTTTGTATATTATCAGATTACTTGCTTTCGCTTGCCCGGGCTGATCTATAATCCATCGTCTCTCTTACAAATCTATGGGTCGTGAAGTCTCGTCCAGTTTCTCATGTCCATGTGGGGTGGAAAAGTATCGTTCCCAATTGTCATATTCGTAATGTACAAGTCACGATTCCAGCCTGCTTTCATATCAGTATATATCATCGAGCGACGAAATCAAATCTTGCAATATCGTCAGACGCAACAGGTTTGGTAGCGTAACCTACCTTTGAGGGCATTGCAGGCCGTTCTTTGCTGTCGATACCATGACCACGGAGCTTTTGTCAAGGGCGTTCTAGCCGGTTGTATCCATCTCGATGGGAGGGCGTTGATGGCTTCGAACCAAGCGTGCGCCATCTTGATATACCCCGTTTGGTTCGGATGGATGCCCTGGGTATCGAGATTGCTTGATCAAGTCAGCAAGTTGAGATGGTCGTCGAAAGATGTCATGAGAATGACTTACTTGCCAACTGCCTTGAACTGATCGACCATCCCGATTTTGAACCCCTGGGCAAGTTTCTTCGTCACAAGAGCTGGAATCTCGGAGTTGAACTGCTGCACTCGCGCAGTATTCTCCGTGCCGAAATGATTGTCTTGGATCTGCGCGACGATCAAGGCAGTATCGGGGACCTCGCAGAATATCGCGTTCATGAGGTTCTCAAGTCTGTCGATGGCCGTGTCGTGAGGTTCGACCGGTGGGAGACCAAAGGCCTCGTTTGCGTCATTCGTCCCAGCTTGTAGCAGGACCAGATTGGGATGCGTGGTGAGTATCCCGTTGGCCATGATTTTCTCCTGGATGATGCAAATCACCATGCCACCCCTGTTGGTGTCAGTTGGGGTGAGTGCTTGTACAGTGGCTTTCCTCACGTACCATCCCTCGTGTTGATTGTCTTCGTTTTCGTCTCCCAGTTCCATCGTGCCWATGAAGTCTACCGATCGTCCTTTGCTGTGGGTTAACAAACACAACTTCTCCGGGTAGGTATGCTGGCTTACCTTGCTGGACCAATTGATTCCGAAGTTCGAGGCGGTACCCATTATTGCCATTGGCCCATCGTCTGCCCTGTTGTGAGCCACGAAGACCGGTATATTGGATTGAATCCCGCGGCGTACCCTTCYGTGACGCTATCGCCAACTGGAAGAAGCCGAAGCGGTATTTCTGCAACGTCTTGACCGTCATGGTCTCTACTCACGAACGGAATCACAACATTACGTCCTGCGTCTGGAGTATCTTTCAGCAAACGCCGGTCTCAAAGCCTGTCCATCAGCAACATACCACTGCCAATACCAAGCAATATCAGAATGAACGAGAGGATGGCGGCAACCAGTAGCCAGCGAAAGCGCTGAAAGACAGCAAGAGCGGCTATCGCCATGTGAAAGAATCAAGCGGGTGGAAACTTAAAGGTCAGAGGTGGCATGTCGGTCGGTAAACCRCGGGGATTTTGCAAAATCGCACAATTGAGCCGGGCAGTCCGGGGTCATCGGCTGGAATGTGATTAAAGGACGACGCTCGCGAGGGACAATCAATGCACCACCTTTGAATGAATTGATCTTCAAGCAAGCCAATGAATCAGATGGTTAGGTAAGTTGCGACCGAGGGACGGCGTTTCATTTGTTGGCAAGCACACTCCTTCCAAGGGTACGAAACAATACGAAGAGGCGTTCATGGCGGCGGCACGAGCTGGCGTCTCAAATGTCCGGATTCGCGTGCTTGTGGTGATTTACTAAACTTGAGGATGATGATGATGATGATGATGATGGTGATGGTGATGGATGGCATCTTCATTCCTTTGGACGATACCAGTCGGTGGTGTGTGACTGTAGTGGTTAGACTTCCGTCTCCACGTGAGATGGATGATCTATTCCCTGCAAAGTGGCTTGCACAATCTAGCCGCTGTAGCCTAGGCTGTAACCGAAACGGAGTCTTCCTCCGAACCAACCCTTTTCCATTCTTCAATTCATGTCATGTCTTGATGATCTTTTAGATTGTAGGTACCTCCCACTATTCACAACAGTTGTGCTTCAATATTAATACGATGCATGCATTAACCGATGGATGAATCTTCGGAGCGAGCATGCTAGCATGTTGCGGTCCGAGGCTCAGCAAGCATTCCCGTGGCCTTGTCTGGAAGCTTACCTACCTTACCAGTATATTCTAAAGTAGGACAAGAACCCGCACCGAGGTACAGTAGACGAGCAATGGCAAGACTCGTTCGCTTGTCGGTACAGCCTGTATGCAGTCAAGTCGTCAACTATTATCCATGGCGTGCATATCTGATCGCTTCGGAGTCAATACACAATCTGCTACCGAGCCACTCTGCTGACCAACTGGTTGGATGACCTATCATCRACACCAACTGCTGGACTTCTCAAAGCAGTCTATGCCYTTCATGCCCTGGATTCCTGCATTTCCTCGTCGCGCTTCATGGGGCGCCCGTACATGCTCTCGATTGTATCCTCCGGTCGGGCAAATTTCCACCATCTGTCTCGTACCCCATAAAAGCCGACGCTCTATGGTCTCCGTTTTGCCCTCTTGTTCGCCGACGGCGGTCGCCATTCGTCAAGGTCGTTCGACCTCTTCTTCGACCTCGGGGTGCGTTTTGGGGTACGTTTTGGAGTACGCTTTGTCTCCTTTGCTAATTCACATTCATCAGTGCGTTCATCTTTGGAAGGTGGGATTGAGGTACCGTTCTGAGATTTGGCCACTTCACCCACGAGCTTCAATGCCATGTTCGATCTGCGGAGTGTGATGTACTGGTCGATACTTTCACGCCAGTCATCCCCATCCATCCACGTCTCAGGATATCCCACAGACACGATAACTTCCGCTCTGCTACCAGCTCCGTCGACGTATTGCTGAAAGTCTTTCCAATCCGACAGAGTGGTCTGGCTGAAACGCAAGTAAAAGTATCTGGCTGATTCATCGTTGGCTGTGTCTTGAGCTGGCATCGCAAGTGCGCTTATACACATTTTGATCTTGTAAAGGCCCAGCTGCTGTCGAATAAGATCCCGCCAGGTCGCAGCATGCTCAAAATCACGCGGATCCTGAATCATCGGGCTGGTGAGACATAATAGCATCTCGGCTTCTTCGCGCTTCTTCAAGAGCTTTTCCCACTCCAAGGTATTCTTCTGGTATCCGAGTCCGGTAGCATGGCTTTCGAGTGGCGGCAATTTGATGATGATCTCAATGGGACCATTCGGCCGTGAGGTCTTCTCGAGCATGACTGCTGTCTTGGATGGAGTGTTCATTGTGATGTTGGAGAAATAGATGAAGGTCGTTCCGCGACGACTCAACAAGGAATGAGGATGTTGTTTGCAAGTGATGCGAGTAGCTCATATGTGGAAAGAAGTTCACCATCAAAGCCACTGCACGCTGCTTTCACATGCGAAAGTGTGGTCACGATGGCAGCTGGCCGCCCATACCTTAGCCTATATTGTCTTGCAGTCGACAGTCTGCTTGACTATTTGAACATTCGCAACTCTTACTCGATTGTACACTTCTTCCAAATATGTGAGATATCGAGCACCCAACAACCTTTCTGCGGCAACGGAAGCATCCGCGTAAGCACTAGGCATTGATGATAGCAAGCACTTTCACATGCCACCGACCAAAGTGAAGGCAATGTGAAACATGCTCTCTCCCAAAAGTTGATAAGCTTCAACCCTGAAACGCTTCCTAGTGCCACCCAATCCAAACATTCGATCACGCGGAAGAGCAACCAACCACACGTCACGACGGCACCACCATTCCTTCTTCTTTTCCCGCGCCCAAAACAACCAGACGATAAGTTGCCAACACATTTTCGATTGCGACAATCTAAACTTCATCACCAGCATCACGTGGGCTGAACAAAGCCATCAATCACCACGACACAAGCGGAACCCCGCTCACAATAAGCGCCTCCGATCCCTCTCGACCTTGCGAGCTCTCCTGATCTTCCCCAACAATCCCTTCGCCGCAATGGCATTGAACCCGCACAAGAAGAACAAGGTGGACATTAGTGTATGTATTCATGGCATAGCGTTCCATTCTCAAGCTCCAATCGCTGACCACCGAGGCACAATCCAGCAACTGACAGAAGAAGAAGCCAACCTCTTCCGCCGCTACGGAAAACTGCCCGACAAAAAAGACCTCTTGACCAAGAAACTCTCCGAGCGCAAATACTTTGATTCCGGCGACTATGCGCTTTCCAAAGCCGGCAAAGCGGATACCAGTGCGCTGGGAGGGGGACTGGGAAGTCAACATCCCACGCCGGAGAATATCCCACATTTGAGCCAGCAGGTTTCCAATGGTGGGTCGGGAGGCACGGGGACTACAGCGCCTGAGGGTAGTAGGGGGAGCTTCTCCGAGGGGAGTCGGGGAAGTGTCGTGGCTGGGTTGGGACAGGGAACGCCGGGCGGCATTCCTTCGGGAAGTCCGGTGAAGGAGGGCAGTGTGCTGCAGAGGGAGATGGGTGTTGATGATGAGGAAGCGGGGAAGAATGGCCCATGAGGTGGGTGGAATGGATAAGGCAGGAAGATGGAGGTCTTGGGAAGATGAAAACGCGCATTGGAGGATTGAGAAGCGAAACGAATGGCGGTGACTGCTGCCAGGTCGAGTCCAAGAAACAACAACAACAACAACAACACAAAAAATGTCTTTGTTCGTCTGTGGTTGTACGCACGAATTCACAACACAAACACAACACTTTTACATGCGAATCTACCACCGAAACGGCCGCGAAAAAGGAACGAGATGGACGGTCAGGCTGGCGTTGGCGCGGCGGGAGGAACAGTGATTGACGTCTCTTCTTTACATGATGAGTATGAGTATGGGTACTTTCACCTTGGAATTTGCGGACAGGGCGCAAGAATCGAAGCAATATCTAGCTATGTCATATAGCTCCAAAAACATGCCAAAAGATCTCAGGAACATTTGCATGCCATTTCATGATGTCCTATCTTGTGGGTGTATCCAATTCCGCTGACTCGATTTCTTTTGTACATTAACCCAGTTCCTTCAAGCAGCACCCTTCTTAGCCAATAGGTTCAATGCACTTCCCGCAAGAATGAACCCTCTCTGATCGGGACTCAAAGTGTGCTTCAAAGCTATCCTCTCCTCCTTGCCATCCTTCTTCACAACCAGCGAAATCTCTCCCTCCCCACTATCCAACACCTGCCTCAAACCCACAACATCCACCTCATCCCCACCCTGCACCTTGGCGTAATCCGCCTCATCGGCAAACGTCAAGGGAACGACACCCTGCTTCTTCAAATTCGTCTCGTGAATTCTCGCAAAAGACTTTGTGATGATGACTCTTCCTCCGAGATATCTCGGCTGCAACGCAGCGTGTTCTCGAGCCGATCCTTCGCCGTAGTTGTGTTCCGCGACGACGATCCAATCCTGACCCTTTTCCTTCCATCGCTTTGCGAGCTCGGGGRTGGTGTGTGCTGAGCCATCGAGGTCACGGACGGAATTCACTTCGTTAGTGTCTGCGGAGAGGGCGCCGATGAGCGTGTTTTCGGAGATGTTGGGGAGGTGGCCTTTGTATTTCAACCAGGGACCTGCGGCGGAAATGGTGTCTGTTGTGCATTGTCCCTTGACTTTGACGAGGACACGGAGAGATTTGAGATCCGAGGATGGGAAAGGTGGGAAGGGGTCGAGGAGGGCTAGTCTTGAGGATGTGGGGGAGACGGCGACTGGGACCTCTGGGTTTGGGATTGGAGGGGTTGGTCGGAAGAGTGCGTTTCCTGCTGCGAAGCCCTCGGAGGGGAGATCGATCCCGGTGGGTGGTTCGAATTTGAATAACTCGCCGGAGGGGGTCTTCAAGCTGTCTGTCATTGGGTTGAAGGAGGTGGTGCCGGCGTATGACATTGCTGTGACGAGTTCCGGGGAGGCGAGGAAGTTCATTGTTTTGGCGTTGCCGTCGTTGCGGCCGGGAAAGTTGCGGTTGTATGAGGTGAAGATGGCATTGTTCTCGCCCTTCTTCACGCCGTCCGTCCGACTCCACTGCCCGATGCAAGGTCCGCAAGCGTTGGCAAGCACCACGCCTCCAGCATCCTCAAATGTGGACAGGGTTTGATCACGATCCAGTGTAGCACGAATCTGTTCGCTGCCCGGGGTGATGAAAAAGTCCGCGACAGGTGCCAGTCCAGCTGCCGTTGCCTGCTTCACGAGCGACTCACATCGGGTCATGTCGGCGTACGAGGAGTTGGTGCAGGATCCGATGAGGCCTGCCCCGAAAGTCTCGGGCCATTGGTTTGCCTTGACCGTTTCTTTGAAGGCGGAAAGGGGAGTACTGAGATCGGGAGTGAATGGTCCGTTGATGTGTGGCTCAAGCTCCGAGAGATTAATCTCAACAACGTCGTCATATTGACAGTCTGGGTCGGCGGCGAGCAGATTTCGTGCAGGGGCGAGAGAGGCAATCGCCGAGGCTTCCTCTGCGATGGAAGAACGGTGGGTGGAGTGCAAATAAGGTGCATGAGAGGTGGGTGTGTATGGGAAGAGGGAGGTCGTTGCACCAATCTCAGCGCCCTACAACCTTTGTCAGTTTGTGCGTTGAATGGAAAAAGTAGGAATCAGAACGAACCATGTTGCAAATGGTTGCCATGCCCGTACAGCTCAGACTTTCCACGCCAGGGCCAAAGTACTCGGTCACAAAGCCCGTTCCACCCCTGACCGTCAACTTGCCCGCCAGGGCAAGAATGACATCCTTGGGTGTCGCCCATCCGCTCAGCTTGCCCGTCAACCTCACACCTCTTACCTTTGGTGCCTTCAACTCCCATGGGGCGTCAACCAAAGCATCCACCGCATCTGCTCCACCAACTCCAATAGCGATACATGCTAGCCCACCAGCGTTTGGTGTGTGGGAGTCGGTGCCGAGCATCATCAATCCTGGGGCAGCATAGTTCTCCAGAACGGTCTGATGGATGATACCAGCTCCAGGGGGCCAAAACTCAATTCCATATCTCTTTCCTGCACTCTCTAGGAAATCGTAAACTTCCTTGTTTCCCTTGATGCTGTTCGGTAAGTCCACATCGGCACCCTTTTCTCCTACCACCATGTGATCGCAATGGATCGATGCAGGTACTGCAGTTGATGACATGCCACATGACATGAACTGTAGCAGTGCCATCTGGGCCGAAGCATCTTGCATTGCGACCCGATCTGGTGAGAGCTTGAGGGTCGCATTGCCGCGGATATCGGAGCCATTCGATGTATTTTGGAGGAGGGATTCTTCGGGATTGCCGAGATGGGAGAACAAGATTTTCTCGGCAAGTGAGAAAGGGCGAGAGGGAAGGATTTGTCGAACGAAAGCCAGGCGTTTGAGGAGTTTGGCGTAGGGTGGTGTTCGCGATTGGACCGAGCTTGCCGCTGCGCCAGAGGAGGAGGAGGAAGCAGTGGCGAGGCTTCGAGCGTGGAGTTGTTGGCGGAGTGGAGATGGTAGGGAGAACAGGGCAGCGTGCCCACTTCTCTTGGCAGCGAGCATCGTTCCTGCCTTTTTGATGGGGAAAAGAGGGTGAAGCGAATGACTCTGGGAATAATAAAAGTAGGAAGGTGCTTCAATGCCTCGATTCACTGCAGCCAATCATACCCCACGTATTGCTTCCCCAATATTGACTTTCACAGGGATGATCCCCGGTATCGGCCGTGACTTTCAAAAAAGTTCCATCGTCACCAATGAGTATCTGCCCCTCCAAAGACAGACAGCATCTCACCACCCGAACAAACATGGCGACCTCAACAAAGTCACACACTTATATCGTCGAGCACCTCGACACCGAACTCGAAGACTGGCAAAGTCTGGAATACACAACCATCTCCGCAGAATCCACCGCAACTTCCAACAAATTCCTCCTTTCAGGCCTCGATGCCTCTCTTCTCTCCCCATCAACACCTTCAGGAGCTTTGAATTCCAAGATCCCCGACTCCAGCAAAACAACGACCAGCGTAGAAAAGCTCTATCCTGACCCGGAAGCTCGGAAACGAGTCTGTCTTCTCGACCCCAAAGGTGCAAAAGACTTGTCTCCGGAAGATGGGGATGAGTTTGACGCTTTTCTGTTTGGTGGGATTCTCGGCGATGATCCTCCACGGGATCGTACGGCGGATTTGAGAAAGTTGGGTTTTCCGGGAAGAAGATTAGGGCCCGAGCAGATGACTACGGATACTGCGGTGAGGACGACGAGGATGGTGGTGCAGCAGGGAATCCTCCTGGGAGATATCGACTATGTGGATCGCCCGGATATTGAGATTCGGGATGATGAGGGTAAGGTGGTCAAGGGCGAGACTATTGAGATGCCTTTCAAGTACGTGCGGGATGAGAAGACGGGGAAGGCTATTATGCCCGAGGGCATGTTGGACTTGCTGGGAAGGGATGCGGATAAGGGAATCTTGGATTTACTGTGAGGGGTGAAAAGCTGAAGACAAGGGCTAGAAGGTCGGTCTAGACTGCTTGTGTATCGACCGCAGAAAGGTGCCTTGGAGGCACATGTGAGAGAGATGGCGACTGAGATCTGAGTTGGAAAGCTTGTGTGCAGGCAACTCGCACTCGCGGAGCTGTAGGGAATATGAACCAGCTCCATGATGGCGTGGGGCACAACGACTGATGGAAACCCGCCCAAGAGAGTGCTGGGAGACTAGTCCTAGGATACCCGCCGTGATATGGCGAAATTCTAAAAATCTAGGGGTAGAAGTATCGCCTGACATGTATTCCCGAGGTCGGCGACAACAACTCGAAAGACACTCTTTTACACCTATATCCTGCTACATAGATCAGTCGATATTGATTCCAATAACCGGACTTTCGCCCGTCTTGTTACTGTACAATTCGGATAGGTTCCGGGTTTGGCGATTATACCTCAACGACCACATTGAGCTCAACGACCACCGTTAGAAACTACTTCTAACAACGGGATTAAAATCCTCGCAGTATATAAGATTGAACCATACGTTGACTAGGAGGTTGACTGCATTGTTGTCGAATCCTCGGCAGTAGCTCACACTGCTGGGATTCCCAGGGGCGGGCTTGGCGGCTCACGGGCACAATAACGAGTACTAACTAGATCCTCGTGGTAAACAATTAACAGGATAGAAGTTGGATTACATAGAGAGAAAGCAATTTGTGTAGTTGATTTCTCGGGGGAAGTGAGGCGTCTACTTCTTAGCTAGGCGTTTCTTACACATGTAGAATAGCCTAGTATACCAAGCTAGACTACAGACCAGTCCTAGAATGATCTATAGACCACTTCCGTCGTTTCGCCTTACCGTTTAGCATAGTCAGACATGTGTCGACAACCTGCTAGGGCTTAAGGAGGTGTATCGCTGACGTCCAGGTCGATCTTATCCCCTAGCTATCATCGAGCTGTAAAGAGCTAGACATACTTCCTTACTTCGATGCTGAACCTCCCATTCACATCATACAATAGAGAGTTCTTGGACAGTAGTATGCTATCCGATTCGTATGTTTAGTATTCCACAATCATAACGCCCATTCGTGGGGATCTCGAAAATGCAACAAACATCAATCTCCTTGACTCAAAATCTCATCAAATTGTCCACGATGCCTCGGGCTCAGTGAAATATCCACCCAAGCGGCGAACGAGAGTCATATCCCTCCCCATAACCGTGATGCGGCCTGCGTGTATCGCAGCGAGGTTGGCACCTATTTCAAAATTAGCATCATACATAGTAGTAAGAATTATAGCAGGGTCTTACTCTCGAACAACAAAGCCAAGAAAGCATCGGTCCGGGCCAGTAACACCTCCAGCGCACGTGCACTGATCCTCGTGCCAGGCGTTATATCCTGGACAATCTCGCTAACAAGGCGGTCAAAAGGAGCCTTGGGGAGAAGTAGTCCGTTGTTCTTCCGAGCGACCGCTGTATCCGAGTCAGCGAACTGCCAACCACATTTGCCAACCACAAATCACTTACCTCTTCCAGAATCGTACTTGTGCCTCTCGTCCCTTCTGGACCTGAAGGTGTTTTCCTTCACGACAAGTGTGTTTCCCGATTTCGTCGTAACCACTCTTCTCCGTGGATGCTTACCACCTATTGTCAACTTTGCAGTCCTAGATGCTGCCGATCTTGAAGTCTGTCCCTTCGGAGCCTTATCCCTCCTTCCATTCTTCATGTTTTCAACCTGTCTCCTCGCAGGCTGAGGCTCAGGCGACATGGCGGTATCCTTGCTACTCGGGCTATCAGTATTACTGCTTCCTCCTCCAACTGAGTCCGCATACTGTGAGGCTTGAATGGGTAGAGCTTTCTCATTCGCAATGGCACGATCAGGAAACTGTACCGCCGTTAGCCTCATGCGCCTTGAATTGTTACAAATGTGGAAGTCTACCAACCTCGTGTAGACCCGTTCGACGGTTCCTCCGTTTACGAGCTCTTGGTGGTGATCGCATTGTGTCGACCGCCTCGTCCTGTGTCATATCTTCTCCTTGGTCTGCGTTTGAACCCTGGTCCGATAAAGTGGCGCTTGGGATTGGTAGCTTTGTGTTGCTGGAGCCGGATCCCAGCGTGGTGGCATCACCATCACCATCAATGTCAACCTCAGCGTCAGCATCAGGTGATGGAAGAGGAGTGTCGTCTCTCCGTTCGGATCGATCTGAACCATCAAGCAAAGCTTGTACGGCTGCAACATCCRTTCTTGGTGGTGGCAGAGAAATGCCGCATGTCATCTCCATGGATTGCTCGTCGTAAGCACAGCCCTGCCTCGACATGAAGTCCCTCGCCTCCTCCAACTCCCACCAAGAGAGAAGTTCGTCTCCATCAGGAGGTTGCTCTTGGTAGTGAATCGACCTACGGATGTCGGACCAAATAGTTTGTTGTGGTGTTTGGCAGCGCACCCAAGCAAGCTGCCCGATGAGAAGKCGAGAAGCGGTTGTTGAATGACCGCTACCCGTAACCAGAATCGCAGCAGCCAGCATGCAGTCCCGAATCAGCTCGGGTAGCCTATGGTATGGGTTGCCGCTAGGGTTGATGAACCACTCGACGATTGACCTCCCGTAAACTTCGCTTGTCGTTAGAGGGCCCGGAATGAATTGATCWAGAAAATCAGTGAGTAACGAGTGGGCAACATTRTACTCATCTTCGGTACAATCCTCGACATTGTCGCTGAAATCACTTATAGTTGTCAGTTCGGTGGAACTTTCGGGAATGAATGCCTCGCCGGGCGGAACTTGATGCGGCTCTGCCATGGGAATGATGGTGTCGGGGAGGGACCTCTTTGTAAAAGCTTGAAGTTGGGAAGTGATGATAATGGTCGATCACCGCCGCTGGGGCTTGTGGGTTCTTGAGTGAGGCGCTATCGAGGGGTTGATATGTGGRGCGTTTGCGTTTGGTAAGCCCACGCTGTCCACTGGGAATATCAGGAAGAGGAGAAGGTCGTGGTGTTGTTGTGATGAGTGATGATTGTGAAATCGGAGAGTGAGCATATGAGGGGGATGAAGGGATGAAGAAGAGTATGTTCGGGACGAGAATGAGGCAACGGGCGAAGTGAAGTGAGGATGCTGCCGCCAGAAGCAATATCCGCATTTCGCATGTAAATGACTCTACTTAGCTCGCCGGATTTGACCTCACCTTCACGCTTTTGAGAAAATTTCGGAAAGTTCGGCCTACGTAGGACTCTGTAGGTTGCCGACTTGTATGACGGACTTGTTGCCAATGTGATTGAGGTTGCCAATAGAAGCTGAGAAGTGAAGTAGGTGTTTGAGGGGGATCAGTCTACTTCCTTCTCAGACCTTGGACTGCCGCCCGGTCGCTTATTAATCGGAGTTCGGCTTCCTTGGCTTGCTCTGAAGTAGAAAGCCCTCCGCATAAGATATACGAAGGGGAGGTACCCCCCAGCAGGTAGGGTAGTCACGTCACCAAGGGTAGGAATACATGTAAGGAAGGAATGAATACAAGAGCGTCTGAGAAGGAGGCAGGGATCAGTGAGATAAGTATGGACCACAGCGTAGCTTGCATTCCAATGGATTCAGACGAAGATATCTYAATACTAGAGCTATGATGAAAGCAAATGAATAGATAGAACGTGATTCATTTCTCAAATTCCACCTGTGACGTCCTGTACCAATATGCGCATGTTTGTTGATTGTCAAAAGCTTGGCTGTCACATGCTAATACTTCGACATGGATGATGACGCAGGCGGTTTCACCGAACAACCGCCGAGCTCCACACTCATGTTTACACTTCAGCCACGACCACCTCACCACTTCTCAACACCAACTCCAGCTTCTCACCTATCTCCTACTCAGATCCTTGAACGCGCTAGTCAAGTTCCTTGGCTTGTCCAAGGAGAGGCATCCTGCCTGCCCTACGAACGAAAATAGGCAGGCGCAAGTCTCGGAAGGCGCGCATGAGAAGGAGGTAGCTTCTCACCATTGAGGCGTCACTTCCACATCACACTCGAATCCGCAACACACCACGTCGMACCATGTCGACCAATTGCACATCCTCGGGAATGCTGCCAGAAATACAAAACAGAAGCTCCAGCAACCTCACTCAGCCAGAAGACACATCTACGATGTCGACACCCAATGCCGCGACCACTCACATTACCGAAGCTCCTTCCAGCGGCACAAACGACACGACCCACATCACAAATCCGTCGCCATCGAAGAGCACGGAATCGCCACCACTGAGCTCGGACGCAACTCCCAGCGCTACTTCTCGAGTACTACAGACCACCGAGCTCCTCGAGGCGATTCTCTTGAACTTGCCCATGCAGCAAATTCTACTCAGCCAGCGCACCTGCAAGACATTCCAGGACACAGTCCGCGGATCGCTCAGTCTCCAGCGCAAAATACACTTCGCTCCGGTGAAAGATGAGGGCCAACAGCCGGTCGTCAATCCCTTTCTGGATTATTATCGATCAAAGGATCCGATATCCCGAAGAGGCTGGCAGGGCGACCGTTTGTAGCGTTGCGGAAAGAGGCGAGGGAACCGCCCCTCCTGCACCATCAAGTGCGATGGAAGACTCTACGAGCTCTACCCTGTGATACAGTCCAGACCGACTGGCTCAAGGACGAGAATTCACGAGTTGATTCCTCCTGAGACGCCTACTGGACTGGTGATTGATGTATTCAACAGCTCTATCCGGAACATGTATCTGACTCAGCCACCGACTGAGGTACAAGTCCGTTTCTGGAGTACACGTATTGGTCACAAGCCAATCGGTGGCGAGGATCTCTCGATCTTTGAGAAGTTTCTGGCGTTTGGAACGACCGGAGAGGTCTTTCAGGAAGTGTGCCGCATCACATCCCGCGCGGAAACTGACAGATTACTTACCGGAGAGGAGGTAGTCAGCTGAAGATTCGAAGCTCGAGGGATGGTCACTCAGTCCGGCAGTGTCGCATATTCCAGAACTTTGCTGAACATCAAGGAGGCCAAACACTTTCTTACATTCGACTCCAATATGCGGCGCGGGAATCGTGATCACGGGGGAGGTCTGGAATATTGCGATTCATCAAAGACTTTCTAAATGGGCGAAGACGCAAGATGATGTTGTGTGGCCTTCGAATACCAAGGAGGAGGAGACAAGTGATGAATAAGGTCCAACGGCAAAATGAAGTCCCATCATCACACCACATCACATCACATCACATCACATCGCGGGGAAAACTGGCTTGACTTGGCGTGGAGCATACCTGGAGGTACTTTTGAGAGTAGTACAGCAGTAGCAATGAGTTACTCTTACAAAGCATGAAGCTCAGCCATACCATTCCATTCCATACAATTGCAATAGAGCACAGCAAAGAAATCATACTTCCCATCGCAAATCGAAAACTATCATCAGCTTAGTGACCTTCCTTGCCGTATAGAGCTCGACAAACATGGGGTAAGCTAAAGCTAAGCCCCTATTAATCTCACAGCGAAATAGGGAAAATTTACCTACCTATCCTGCTATTCTCTCCGACCGCGGCATCTTTCCTAGTTATGTAATAGTATGAATGAAACTTCCCCAYAAACAATGATCACACAAAAGAAAATAAGAAACCAACCCTCGGACCGTTGGCCGAGAGTCTCGATCGACAACAAAGCGGTACGGCCCCGCAAATCAGATTGAATCTTATCGTTTTTCTAACCGCAAAACAGACTTTTCACCATCTGCGGGAAACACAACAGCACAATCAATTAACTCTCGGCACAGACCGACCGATGGTGGCCGTTATGTTAATATTAAATGCAAGGCAAGGCAAGGCGAGGCAACAACTTCCCTTACGGGCAACGCCTTACGTCGCACGCTGCAAGAACAAGTTTTAATCTTAATCGTTCTTTGGACTAGCTGGATTTTGACGATGGGATGTTGTTTGTTCGTTTGGTTCTATGAGAAGAGGGGGTGGTGAAATGAGAAAGTCAACCGTTGTGGATATATTTCATCCATCCGTTGCTTCATTTCTTCATACCGAGGCATCTGTGATATTACACCAAGACTCATCGACGACGGGTTGGTTGGGATAGATATATAGACAGATGGGATGAATCGATAGAGATCTCCAGAAACCTCCCATTTCCAATCCCCTCCATTCATTAATTCCCCCCACCGCAAAGATGCATCTCCTCCAAGCAACCCTCCTCTTCGCGGCCACCGCTCTAGCAGCAACACCCACAGACCTCCCCTCAGCCTTCGCCTCCATCGAAGCAGACACCAACGCCCTCAACACCGCAACCCTCTCCTTCTCAGGCGACATCTGCCCCATCATCTCCCTGAACAACAACCTCCTCGCCGACATCCAATCCGGCCTCTCCCTCGCACAATCCAGCTCGGAACTAACAACCGATCAAATCATCGCTATTGTCGGCCCGACGCAATCCCTCGCCACAGCAGTGCAGACGGCGATTAACAGTACCATTTCCCAATACGATGCGTTTGTATCCGCGGGGTATGCGAGGGTGGTGTTGCAGGGGTTGAAGCAGCAGCAGAAGTTGTCGGTGCAGTTCTCCGATGCCGTGGTGGGGGATTTGCCTGAGGTGTTTAGGGATGTTGGGAAGATGAATTCGGCGCCGATTGTGGATGCTTTGGCGAGGGGAGTTGCTGTTTTTGAGAATGCGCCGGGAAGTGAGGAGGTTCCTGGTTGTGATGGGTCGTCGGCGACGTCTTCTTCTGAGATCATGGCGACGATAACTTCTGCTGAGATGGGTTCCTCCTCAACGGAGCCAGCTGCACAGCCATCTACTTACGAGACCATGACCGCTGCTCCTTACCCCGTAAGTCTCACCCTGCATTCTCTTGGAAGGAAGGAGTGTGATGATCTAACATGAAGGATTGTTCAGGACGAATCTTCCACTCCATCTCAAAGCGAGAAACCTCAGCCACCGGTCTACGAGTCTGCTGCACCCGTCTATGAATCCGCGACCACGTCCGCTCCATCCCAGACTGCTATTCCCAACGCCTCGTACGCGGGAGAGAGCATGAGCATGGTACGCATCATCCCCTCAATCTCTCATGAAATTCACATGAGATGTGATGAGATAAGACTAACCAGATTATCACTCAGGGATCATACGCTCCAGCGCAAGCATCGGGAAGTTATGCCGCTCCTCCGGGATACGCACCCCAAGAGCCTTCAGCCACATACYCGGCTCCGACGCAGTACTACACTGGTGGTGTGAATGGAAGGGGAGTTGTGGGAGGCGGAGCTTTGGCCATGGCTGTTGTTGCTGCTATCTTGTAGGGAGAGGAAAGGTGTGTAGTTGGCTTGTACTACTAGGAGGATGGGAGATTGTAGATAATGTAGTGTGGAGTCGAGATGATATAATTCCTCCTCCTTCTTTCATTCTTTCTTTCTTGCCTTCTTTCTCCAGTCTTTGGATGTGCCGGTGAGATTGCCGACTGGCCATTCAAAAGGATGCGGATTGGGATGATGTTTCTTCCATGTTGGACCACGGTGGTTGTGGGGGATGATGACGTGGATGTTGGAGAATTAGAGTGAAGATCCACAGCGTCATGTGATTGTGGAGGGTGGCCAACAAGTGCCGGGCGAGATCGGAGGGAGGGGTCGATCTCAGTGATTGATGTCTTGGGTTTGCTCATCAATCTATGGATTTCCTTCCATTTCTCAGCACACACGACCAACTTGGATTGTATTCTCAGACCCATTCTCCACCACCACCACATCACCATCATGGCGCCGGCAGTGGTAATTGACAACACGCCCGATTTCTCCATGGATTTCGACCCTCCCTCCCACTCCGCCCCCTCCTCCTCATCCACAACCACCCCGCGCACCCTCCTCCTCGCCCCACCCTCCGTCGCCTCGCACCCGGAATCGCTATCGCGGGTTGCCGAAGCATACGATCGGGCAGCGACCGACATACAAATGCTGGATCGTCTCTCCCTCGGCCTCGTCTCTCTCCCCCCATCCACCTACGATGTCGTCCTCGTCCTGTCCGATGTCTCCCCCGAGGATGCCGCTTCACGAACATCTCTCACGCGCGATATCATGGAGCGCATCACGACGTCTCTCAAGCCTGGCGGGAAATTGAAGTCGCAGTCGGGAGCGGCGTTGCAAGCGGCGGAACAGACCGAGGCCATTTTGGCGGGATTGGTGCAGGATGATGGGGAGGGCATGGTGAAGCCTGCGGATGTGGCCAATCAGACGGTGCAGTTGAGTTTTGGGAGGAGGAAGAAGAAGACGGGCAAGCGGAAGAGTGTCGATATTTCAACGCATGGGGAGGAGAATAGGAATGGCAATGGAAGTGGGAATGGAAATGGAAATGAAAATGCAGCACCGATGGGAGTGGGATTTGTGGAGAATGTTGATGATGTGGTGAATGTGGACGAGGATGACTTTGATTTCCCCACCGATGAACAGTTGCAACACGCCGAGCGCATTGATCCGGACACTCTGTTGACGGAGGAGGATCGATTGAAGCCGTTGAACATTCGTGAGTTGTCTCCATCATGCTATCTATCTATCCCTCCAAACTAACAACAATATTCCAGCCGAGGCGTGCAAACCCAACACCAAACGTCGACGAGCGTGTAAAGACTGCTCGTGTGGTCTGGCCCAGCGACTCGAGGCGGAAGATCGGGCCACGCGAGCCGCTGCAGATGCCAATCTGGCCAAATTGAAGCTCGATGTGGAGACGTCGACGGCCAAAGCCAGCCCTTCTGCCGCCATGTTGCAAGCAGATGATTTGGCCGAAGTCGACTTTACCGTGCAGGGGAAAGTGGGGTCGTGTGGGAATTGTGCCTTGGGAGATGCCTTTCGATGTGATGGATGTCCTTATATCGGTCTGCCCGCTTTCAAACCCGGCGAGCAGGTCCGCTTGATGAACAATGATGTGCAGCTTTGAGGATAGATGACGACATGATGAGAATGCATATGATGGAGTTGGAAGGTTCTCATATCTTGCATGCTAATGGAGTCTTGGTCTTGGGTCTTGGTCTTGGTCTTGCTCCCTTTTCACAATACCGTCCCGCTGGGTACATCTTTCCTGTACATAGTCCCCACAAACAAGCCTCAATCCAGAATCCGCCATACTCCAAGTCAATCTCTCTCACCAATCCAATCCAATCCAATCCAATCCAATCCAATCCAACCCCTCATCCACCCAACTCCTCATCCCCATACCCCAACTCCCTCTTAACCTCCTCAACCACCTCCCTCTCAGCCTCCTCCAATTCCCTCTCGGCCTCCTCCAATTCCCTCTCATCCCACAACAAACTCCCCACCGCACCCTTCCCCTCTCCTCCAACCTCCCAACGCCCCCTCCCCGTCTCCCCTCTCAAAAACTTCCCCCAAGCCCCCTCCATCAACCCCCAAAATTCCCGTCCCTCCATGCTCGAAAGATTAACATCCACTCCGCTGGAAACTTCTCCTGGGGGGGAATTTGGGAGGTTATTGTAGAATTCAACATCTGGTGGTGAGGGGGATGTTGAATTTGAGGTGGATTTTGATGGGAGGAGTTCGGGGTAAGTGGCGTAGAGATCACGAGTTTGGATCCAGTGGGTTGGTTCTTTGGACGGGGGGATTAGAGCGTGTAAGGGGTCGATTCCATAGGGGAAAGTGGAGCCTTTGAGGATTTTCTTCTCGAGAGGGGAGGGGGAGTTGGTGGGTTTGCCGCGGAGTTTGGTTACGCGGTTGGGGGAGGGGGTGGTGGAGAGTCTGGGAGAGTTTGGAGTTAGGTTGTGGGCGGTTGTTGAGGGCGGTTGTTGGGGGAGCTTACGGGGTTCTCTTCTTGCGGGAGTGCTTCTTCTCCTTCTTCTCCTTTCTCTCCTTCTTCTCCTTCTTCTGGTCTTGGATGTTGGACATGATGATGTGTGAATGTTTGTGTGTGAGTGTGTGGTTGTTGTTGTTCGTAAGAAGGAAAGCAGATGGATACTCCATCTCGAAGGAATACAAGTACGTGAATACAAGAAAATAAAACTAAAATGTTACTATTGTAAAGTTTCATGTAGAAAATATCCGTCATTGTCCAGAAAATTCGTCATTCCGTCCGGTCGCTCGGTGCCGTGGGGTGTTTTTGAAGTGAATGAGAATGGAAATCCCCCTTTTCCCATCAACGCGAGAGATCACTCCCAGAAACCCACCCAATCTCGATAACCTCTCCATCCACCCCTCCTCCACAAATTTCTTCCCTGCCTTCTATAAACCAATCATCCTGATCCCCAACTCCAACTCCAACTCCAACTCCAACTCCAACTCCAATTTCCTGATCCTCCTCTGCTCTCAATAACCCCCTCCTCCTCCTAGCTCTATATCCATCCACCTCCCCCTTTAACTCCCGAATCTCTGCCACTAATTCCACAATACACTTCTCAAACATGCCATCCTCGTTATTTTTCGCCGCGGAGATGATTTCGCCGTAGGCGTTTTCGGGAATGTGCGATATTATTCCCGGAGTGGCTTGGCATGATGATCTGGTCTGTAACATACATCTCAGCATTTTTTTTTTTTTTTTTTTTTTTTTGAATTGATGATGATGCTTGTAGGATGGAAGGTATAGAGAAAATGATACCCATTCACCCTTTAAAGTTACGTACAAGTATCGTAGTCTGCGCACGACTCTTCAATAAGGTCAATTCCGTTTGAAGGCGCGAAAAAGTCTCCAATCCAAAATGTAGCAAATCTTCTAATTCGGACGTGGTGAAGTTTTGGATGATGATGTAGGGCAATGGGAATAGGGTCGTCGTCGTCATGTGGTTGTTCGCGGATGAGAAGGTGTATGGGAAAGAACTGGTCATCCAGGCGCGGAGAGAGGTGAGATTTGTTGGTGGTGGGTGGTGTTGTTTGCTCATGATGTGCGTGTGTGTATCTTTCTTCTTCTTTTCGTGGAAAGTTAGGTTGGTTGTCTATGCTATGATGTGATGCGCGTGGGCTTTTTCTATCTATCATTTTCTAGAGGGGAGTGGATTGGGAGCTAGCCCAGTCCCCTGAGCGGTGGAGATGTATGAGTGAGATGTTGTTGAGTTTAGTGTGAGATTATGTCTGATGTGTGGATTTCATCTTTCAGCCTGTCTGTCTGCGAGTGGCTTCCATCTTTTTCGTAGAAATCTTCTCGACCACCTACGAATGATGTGGAATACCAGACTTGGAAGACGTAGGGACTGCTCCCTTCCGATACCACGTTCCAACACCACCATACCCAATAATGGAGTATACGGTGCACTGTCATCGGATGCAAGACATGTCTTCCACCAATCTACGACATTGACTTCCGTGAAGTGGCTTATGCAGTGCAGTGCATCTGGTGAAATGACATCTGACCATGCTTGCGTGTTCAAAGCTGCTTCGATGTCTTGGCCAGTTCAAAGACAAGGCATGTGCTATAGGAAATGGCTTCTTGGCATGTCGTCTCATCGTGAGTAATTGAATGCCACCGACAAGGGTGCCTTATCGAGAGGCATCTCATAGGATGGATAAGGTAATGTTGATACGTTGTCACATGTATATTGTTGATACGTYGTCATGTGGATGATGTTGATATAGTGTCATATGTCCCGTCGTTTCTGCATTTCATCACCGGTACGGTCCGGGCCGTCCGCTCCGAGGCCGATGCGAACATGGGGTACAGTAACGTTGCATCAATCCCTGAACATTCCAACCACGACATCCAACGATGAACATTACATCGTCCTGGGAGACGCTTTTAACAGCATGGGAGACGTAAGTTATGAAAATGCTGAAGAAATGACAAACTCTAACAAAAAATCACAGCATCCGACCCTGGCTCCCCATAGCACTCCCCGTGCTTCTCCCCAAATTCATCCAATACTACAAATACTACCGCAACAGACCGGCTTCCAAAATCCAACCCCTCAACACCAACACCTCCTACGCCCTATGCATCCTCTTTATCACCGCACTCATCTCCCTCATCTCCACCCTCCCCCTCTTCGCCCCGGAAAACATCTTTCTCAAAACCGACAGTTTCCCCCTCACCCCCSCCACCATCCTCCTCACCCGCATCAAGAAATTCAATGAACCCACCCAAACCCAAGAAACCCTCTGCCAAATCCTCCAAGTAGGCGGAAAATCCGCATCGCAAATCTACGCGCAATACGGTCCCAAAGTCCTCCTCGACAACCCCCTCTCCCATGCAGATGACATGCATGCTTCCCGCTGGTTCCTCCTCTACGCAGCACCCTCTATTCTCACCCCACACTTATATCATCTCCTGGCCCTCGGAATCGCAACATCACCCTTCATCTCCGGCAAAGAAGGCGCGCGCTGGCGCACAATGTCCATCCTCCTGGCAGCATCCCTGATCCCCCTCGAAATCTACCTCATCCAATCTTACAATCTCTCCTCCAGCATGCGCGGCGCCCAAGCCAAAAATATCCCTTACATTCACTGGCAACTCCGCATCTGGCGCGGCGTGGCAATGGCGATTGTAGACGCCCTTCTAGCCTGGATGATCTGGTTGCAAGCGACGGGAAGAGCATTCGTGACGCCCGAAGCACCGATTGAGAAGGTCGTCGCGCATGTCAAACGTCTGGAACAGAATTTCAAGCAGGCGCATGCGTTGGGGATTGTGAAGAATGGGGTCATGAGAGATGGGGAGTTGAGGAGGAAAATGGATGATTTTTGGGTCAAGGAGCAAGAGGCCATGAATGATGTCTTGCAGGATCCGCAGGTGGCGCAGGTGCGGAGGGATGTCGCGGCCAAGAGGGATATGCGAGCCGTGGCGAGAGATGCCGCGCAGTATGTGGATGAACTTGTCATGACCATGGTGCAAGCGAGCGCTGCTACGTAGTGTTGTTAGTACGTGGGAGAATGACCTTCACAGAAAACAATCATAATGGTTGATGTGATGGTACAGAGTTGTGATTTCTTCGTTTCCAGACTTCTATCATCATTCTACAAGTGCAGGGATGGCTACACATTTCATTGGTACAAACGAATGATTCCTCTTGAACATCTTCTCAATCATCCTCTTCCTCATCACTTCTCTCCCTTCATCCGTGAGGGACTTGCAGACGCACCAATCGTCCTCGCCTGCGCAGCGAGCATACTGTTCCGCCGAATGATGACACCATGCTGATCAATCTCATCTGCCTCCTCCACATCAATCTCCATGTTGTCAGAGCAGTGGTTCGCCGTCGGAGGCAATGCTTGCGGCAGAGCCTGTGGGGTACCTTCTTCATCCTCGGATGCTGAACCATGGTCATCATCCTCGTGATCACTGACCAGACCAGGGTTGCCATCAACCGTATGCGGGCTGAGGGAAGCCGAGCTGATGTCTTGAGGAGAGGAGAGATAATCATTGTGCATGTCACGTGGTGGTGCAAGTGGTGACGGTCGCGGACGGTCTTTGAGGTTTTGTTGACCCTTCCACCCTGCAGGACCTGGCAAGCCTTGCTGCTGTGCATGTCCAGACGGCATCCTAGCGCCGTTGAAAGACGCCACGGGCGAGCCAGCTTCGGAGATGCCGGGCGACTGAGCCTCATCTTCAATGCTGAGCTCGACCTTTTGCTTGGCAAGAGTAGTGGCGTGCTCCAAATCACCACCCAGCTGATGCTTGGCAAAGTGCTGGGATAGACGTGGGACTGCAGCAGAAGGCTTGAATGGCTCTACAGTGAATGCATTCGGTGCGGTAGATTTGACCTTTTTGGCGGGAATGGCTGGAGTTCTGTTCACTGKTCGAGGTGTAGAGGCAGGCATCCCAGCGGTGGTGTTGAATTGATGTACAAGATTGGATGCCCGCACAGTGCTTGCATTCGATAGGGATTGCCTAGTCGAAGGAGGCTTCGGCATGGGGGTAGATTGAGTCTCGAGAGGAAGATTCGCCACTTCAGTCTGGTCAAGAAGCTGTCCACAATCCACAGCTGCTTGGTCGTGAGACTTGTAATCGACCTTGTGTGCTATGCGGCAGTGGTTGAGGAAGCCTTGGATGCTAGAGAAGTTTCCACGATGGCAGTTCTTGCAGATGAGCTTCACAAGCTGTCCATCAGTCGACCTGCGTAGCACCAATGGTGAAGACTTGTCCTTGGTTGATGCGCTACCATAATTCGGAATGCTATTAACCGAATCCACCCGCTGATGCGAGCTTTGAGTTGCTTTGCTAGAAGGCTTTCGTGGTGCGTGACTTTGAGTACGAGTGTGGCGAGCAGGTTCTCTGCCGGAGACGGGTGCTTGCAAGGATACAGAGTCAAATTGAGGGTCAGGAAGCAGCCACTGCTTGTAGTGTCGWGAGTAAGGCCCCTCAAGCACACCGTATGGAGCCGGGTGAGATGGTCGAGAGAAGCCTGGCTGAGGAGCAATTGCAGGGCCCGTACCTTCGGTAACCGCGGTGGAAAGTCCAGTGGCACCAGGGTATGGACGCAGTTCACATCTTCGCAGCTGTTCAAGAGACATTTGACATTTTGCAAGCTCCTGCTCAATGAGGCGGAGCTCATTATGCTTCATTAGAATCTGCATATTGAACTCATTCTCGATGATTTGCTGGGCAGGGGTCAGACCGCCTGACAACACCTCGCTCTCGTGTGCGTGCTGCTGTTCGAGAGATTGCTGTGCTTTGACATCTGGCCGGAACTGTGGTGGAACTGGAGCCTTGATGGTAGGAGCATCTGTAGAGAGCTTCTCAGGCAGCTTCTCGGGCAGCTTCTCAGGCATCTCAGACAGCTTGTCATGCGTGGGTTGGGCAAAATGTGGGACCATTTGAGGTGCAAGTTCCACATTCGTTCGAATCTTCTTCACCTGATGCTCGACACTCTCCGACCGCTTTCGCTTAGGATTGGTCATGGCTGTCAGATCGAAGAAGTTGCTTGGCCGGATTTTGTCGAAATTGAGCTGCTCGGTGCTCCATGGTAGTGGAAACACGCTCTGCATAGTCTATTCTGGTGGTGATGGGCTTCGAGGAAGCCTGATGTTGTTGCGCTATTCTTCCCGCTCCATCCAGCGCAAAGTTATAATTTTTGTTTGTCGATGCGACAATGGTCCGCACTGTCGCATTCAGCTGTCACGGACGGCAAGAATGTTACAGGTGGTCGGTGTGGTGGTATTGTGGTTGGTGCTGCGACGCTCCAGATACCAGGTGGCGGTGGTGGAGGTGGAAGGGTCGAAAGACGGTTGGGTGTTTCCGAGAGAAGGCTGTGGAATGCCGGAGATAAGGCCGTGGGAGTTGGCGGTCGCGGCCGTGAGGGAGAAGTTGGGTATTACAAGCGCAAGATACTATTAACACAACACAGAAGGTCCCCAGGGTCCTGAACAGAAACAAAGAAGTAAAAGCGCGGGAAAAGGGACGGAGGTGCAACGGGCGAGGGTCGTTGACGTTGGATACCAAAGAAAGGAAGAAAGGCGACGGAGCAGGCAGCCAGAGGTATGCGCAAACGCTAACCGGCCGCGCCTTCCCCCTGATTGGTCGATATGCATACGGCTTCTAGCTTCCGCGATTCCGATCGCTCTGCCGGCTTGAGTCCGCTTGACGTTTCCAGCGTGCCAGCTCCCCGGCCCCTGGCTAAGGCTGGATGATGATGACTTGGATGTGATGGGTAGAGAGCGTGTGGAGAATGGCGTGGAAGATTCCGGKACCGCGCTCCCCAGCAATGGCTAGATTATTTCGTCGCTGGATGGATGTGACAGTATGGATGGGTAGGTAGGGTAGGGTGGTCAGTGGATTGCCTTTTGGGGGGCGCACACGCTTTGTTTGTTTCAGAAGATGAGCAAACATTGCGTGGCATCATGTAAGGGATACATGACAGCCTTTTGGGCGGGCGCGCCTCATCTTCGGGTTGCTGGCGTGATTCATCGATGCACACCATGCCTTAGCGTCTTTTGACTCGTCGCAAATCATGGCATGTGAAATCGGAAAAGCAATCGCGCAGTCTGGGGATGGCCTTCCAGTGGCGGCGTGGAACCATGTGCGGATTGCGCGCTATCAGCAGCCCGTATCTTGCTGATTCTTGCAGATTGTTCGTTGAGATCTTGCGATCGAGGGAACTGTCCCCGTCCAAGGAATACCGCCCCATCGGCGACATCTTTTCGACACACAGAGGCGAGACGGATGCAGGCAAGCCAAGCTTCGTTAAACGGCTGGAGCCTGTCGGGGCGTAAAATTGATCACGTAAACTTGCTCCTTCTTGCGCTGGCGTTCTAGAACTTCACTTCAAAGTTGGTAGTCCAATCACATCACACATGGCCTTTGACAACGCCTCCCTCGCGGCCGCTCACAGCCTGGTGCAACTGAACGTCAGCTCGGCTCATCAAATATCCAACCGCACATTCGCCATTATCTCGCGACTGAACCCTAGCGATGCGTCACCTGATGGTCAGAAGACAGTCATCGTTGCGCTGACTGCAAAGGCCAAGGCTGCGGGGAAACTCATCAGTATCGTGGAGATCGCAAAGCGGGAGCTGATTCAGAATGGCATCAAGTGCTTTCAATATACTGCACTGAGATCGGAAGTCGTTGATGTTGAACGGAGCCGAAAAAACGACGACGAAGACGATGAAGACGATGCCTTTGAGACCATGGGCGATGTGAAGGAATCCACTACGAAGAAACGGAGCATGCCCGTCATTACCATTTACTTGTCGACGAAGTCAGTCAAGGAGTTGAAAGTGGCTTTTGGGTAAGCTTGATTGATGATCGTCTCATGATTTACGCTCATATCTTTCAGTGAGCAGACTTGAGGCAGGAGGACGTATCCATCAACACTCGCAATCCAGATTGTTCCGCGGATATCRCGGTTTGCAATGACATTTGCGATGTATCCAACGAGTCAGAAACGGCATCATTGGAGTTGGCAAGCACCAGAGTCAGTCGAGCCAAGCCCATTTCCATCACGGTATAATACTTTGTTGCTAATTTGCTCCACCGTACAGGCGTTGGAAAGCTTGGGCATATCAGGCACAATTACAACATGATCAACGGCGACGGTCTTATAAGACGTGGCCATTGTCCGAGTTGACGAGCATCGAAGGCCACCAAATAGTAATACCACTCTGTCCGGGATATGGTCATGGTCGCTGGCTGCGATTTCGAGGTCAAGTAACCGTTGGCGCTTCACCTGACTCGGGCCTGATCTGCGAGATGTGATCACACCAAATGTCCACAACTACCTATTTCAAGAACTTGGTGTCGAGCATGACGGCGTGGAATACAGTGTGTATGACAATCCTTCGGTTCATTATTTGCTCAAGCTWCATGTAGTTTTCTGGGACTTTTGCGTCCTATAATAAAGAGCCACCGTACACCGTCAACGCCAACCAATGCCCTTACGCTATATCCTCAATCGTAAAATCCCCGATTCGCGGTTCAAAGCAAAAGCACTATTTCACGACAATGCCCCACTCGTGCTTCGTGTCGTTACCGTACATGATGTCCACCAACCATTGCTTGATTGTTTGTGCGTAGACCCCGCTATCGCCAGCGGACATTGGAATCGACACATCCTTGTTACGGAAGTGAATGAGACCAATTGGCGCGACGAAGAAAGCGGTGCCAGCGGCGAAAGCCTCCACCAATCTGCCGTCTTGATGCGCAGACAGAACATCATCCATGGTAAATCGCTGCTCCACGACCTCTACCTCTTCAACATCACCAACCTTTTGCGACAAGCGTGACTTGGCCAGCTCGAGGATGGATGCACGGGTGACTCCCTCCAAGATGATGCGTTCCTCCAATGGAGCAGTGACGAGCTGCAGCTTGCCAGTGTCTTTTGTTCTCCAGACGATGAAGAAGTTGCTGGCGCCGGCCTCGGTCACGTAGCATTCCTTGCCGAACAACCACAAGACCTGGTCGAATCCTCTTGAGCGAGCCTCGCCCTGAGCAACAAGTGACGGTCCGTAGTTGGCGCCCAATTTCGCGTATCCAAAACCGCCAGGCCACGCGCGGATAGTATCCTCGTTGCTTGCCAACAACTTGAGTCCGCTGGTGCTCTTCTGTCCGTTTGCACGACCGTCCAAAGCGGGTGGCATGCTCTTGGTCATGTCCTAGAGGTTCAGGTCAGCATTCGCAGGGTTCGTGTCAAGTCGAGGTACTCACCGGGAAGCAGGCAATGATCACATACAGCAGAGCCTCCCGCGGCCTCTGCACACCAAGAGCCTCATCGGTACCAATGAAGGTTGGACGAATGTAAAGGAAGTGTCCAGCACGCGACTCCGGCAGCCACTTATCTCCATCCTGCGCGCAGAGTGCAAGTATCATCTTCTCAAGCTCTTTTGGGTCAAAATCGGGAAGGGCGATACGGGCAGCAGATTTCCGCATACGTTCGCAGTTACGTGCAACACGGAACAGAYGAAGCTTGCCATCGAAACCGCGGTAAAGCTTCAGGCCCTCGAAGCACTCGGTAGCGTAGTGTAGGACGGATGCACTGGGCATGATGTTCAATGGTCCGTATGGCTTCAATTCGGGAGCCTCCCAGCCATTCTCGATCGTCCAGCGAGCAGAGATCATGTGGTCGGTGCAGACTTTCTGGGAAAGAACCTCGGGGCTGTCTGGTTGAGGGACATCGCGAGGCTTTGTTGTGAGGGTTGTGATGGTGAGCGAGGCGTCAAGAGGTGCCTGCTCGCCATTGGCCTTGGGTAGGGCGTGCTTGATGCCTGCTTGAGTGAGGGCGGATGCGGATGCGGTGGTCGGAGTGGACGTGCCGGAGCTTTCGGGGGTGATGGCGATTGGAGCCATGCTGTAGAGCTGTATCCTTTAGTGGCGTGGTGTTGTTGTTGTAAAGTAGAGGGAGCAAGGAGTAGAGGGGGAAAGTTGGGTGGGGTGAATGGAAATAAAACAGCCAGATGCGTCAACGCGTGACTCTTATCCAACGTCCTACCGGCCCTTTTCGTTGCCAATGCCTACTACACATGTCATTGGGACATCAGCTGCGGAGAATGGTGGTACTGGTGGGTGCAAAGTCTTTCGCAGGGCGCAGAATCGTCAGGCAGGCGGCATTGCAAAATTTTGGACCGAGTGTATGCGAATTCTGCGACTTCCCGGATTGATTGAGCCGAGCTGCGGAATTTCTTCTGCAGGGGAAAGAGGTCACAGGACCATTGCCATCGTTTTTAATCTCTTTGATGATGATACTCTCCAGCCTTCAGAGCAGTGGCAAACGTAGAAGTTGAATTTCGAATCATGGTATCGTATCAGCGTGATGAAGTCGAAGCGAGGTATAGACAATCACGGCTTAGCAGAGACATCACACACTCTTTGTGAGATCCACATGCGAGGAAGATCAATCCGCTCTCGCCAGGGCGTATCTAACCGTCAAGTGCGACCTGTCATCGGAGATGGTACTGTGCCACAGCATCATGCAGCTGAGCATGGCCGTGGAAATGATGTGTCACAGCGAGAACATGGTGATGAAGACGCTTGTATTTGCTATTCTGGTCCATCTACCTCCCAAATGTGCTGCTGCCGCACAACTTCGGCAGAGCCTCTGGCTTCTTGTTGTGAGAACGCCAGTGCTCTGCCAGTATCTCATACTCTAGGCGGTTGATATGATCCTGGACATTCTAGCCCTGATACTCCAGGCAGGCTACTGGCGTCCTCGGAGTCCTTCCTCCACCGTCGAAATAAGTTTCTCGATTACGAATATGTATGTATGCCACAAGCGAAGCTCGACGCCGGGGTGCTTCGAAGCGCCGAGTTTTAGAAGGGCTGGTATTTGTCTACGCCTAATCCCGGGAATGTGTTTTTAATCAATGGGTAATGATTATACAAGGGTATTGGGGGGCTGTCAAGAGCATGTTAGCTGGAGCTCCTAGGTACATCGAAGTGTGGAGGCGCGACTTACCAATGGTTTTCAACTTGAAGAAGAAAAGACGGTTGGAGGATTTCGAAGAGGTTTGTCCTCGACGAAAGCGGGAGCGACGGGATTTACTAAGCATCGAAGAACTCCCGGGTTAGGGTTGGGGTTGGGGTAAGTCACGCCGCCCACCGCAGTGTCAAGGCCTGGCGTAAGGTGCGATATAAGACGAACGATGCAAATCTCCCATTCATTTATTTGAGAAACAAATAGTGTGAATACGTTCAATCCGAACTGCTGCCCATGAGACGTCGCTGCTTCCCTACCAGGAGTTTCTGCACTGCTTCGTAGTGATCCGCGTTCTGGATATCTGCCTCATACCATTGGAAACCCGCACCATTCGCATCGATCAGGCGCTCCGCTTCCATCAGGTAAATCAACTCAAGCTCAGTGCCCACAACGCTGCTTGCTAGATTAAGCCAGCCATTGACAAAAGGCCCAATCATTACCTGTAGAAACCAGAAAGTCCAGATGCGAGGGGAGACATGTCGTCTGGACTTCAGACAACCAAGATCTTTGACCCCGTTCTGATCTACAAAGGCAAGCTCCAAGCAGCAGCGACCCGCGCAAAGCACTCCGATGCTGTGGATCTATTATACCTGGAAGGACAGCATATATCTGCACTGCGAGCTCAAAACATCTAGTTCAGTGGACATCAAGTTGGCATGGCTTGAAGCGATACCCGCATTCAGAGCATTCGTTTGAAAGAGTCGAGAGAGCGCAAAGCCGTAACACAAGATGTCGATCTAAATGCGTCGCCGGCAACTCCACCCCCAAATGCGTTAGAGAGCGGGCTTCTGTTCAATTCTAGGGCGAGATGAGCTTCAAGGCCGAGATTGAGCAACCATCAAGTCACAATTGTAGCACTAGGGTTGTATGGCCGGAAAAGCCTCAACTTCTGATACCAAGTCAGATTCTTGTCGTCGTTGCATAGCTGATTGCTGAGAACGACAAAGTTTCCGCGCTTTAATCTGACGTTCCAGTGCGTGTGGCCGAAGATCCAGTGAGTAGAAGAAAGTGAAGGTACCAAACCTGCCCGTTGTATACTGTCGAGAGCGTTGCTGCTGAAACACTGACTGACGGCGTTGTTTTCGTTCTTGGGATGGGAAACCCGATCGAACAATGGAGCATAGTGAGTGATGATTATGGCACGTCGCTGAGGATCTTCCTGCTTTAAGTTGAGAAGGGAGTGCTTGAGCCAGGCAAGATCTGTTTCATGCTCCACGTTGTGGCTTTTGACGGACCACTCTTTGATACGGGCGAAATCATTCGTAAGCTTCGTATAACCAGCCGCGATATGTGAATGAAGCGTACATCCAAGGATCGTTGTGAGAGAACCAGGCAGATCGATTCTGCTACGATTGAGAAATTGCAGCTTCCCATGCATCGAGGGTTCTTTGGTCAATTTCTCTGCAGCGGCCAAGCCAGTTTCTCTTGAGGAGCCATAGAACTCGTGGTTCCCAGCTACGAGCAGTACCATGTCGAATTGGTCAGGCGCGCACTGTCTGGCGAGAAAATCGCGGTATAGATCATAATCGCAAAAGCGCCCAATGTCGCCCGCCAGAATTAGTATTGGGGCGACTTTGGTGATGGTGAAGTCGTACTTGATGCGCTCCAAGTGCAGGTCTGACATGTATTGCAGAGTGGGCATCTTCAGATGATGGAGGGTGAGAGGCGTAAGATACGTTCGAACGGGAATCGAAGCTCGCCGGCTCTCCTGATGTTGAATCGAAGACGATGCTCGCGGACAAGCAGCTGGGCTCACAGAAATCAGCAGTATTGCGGAGGGTCAAATGTTCTGTCGGATGACGACCGCACGATCACGGATTAGGAGCTTGTTCAAGCGGGGAACATGTTGAAAATTGGAGAAGTATGTCAATGTCAACAGTGGATTGGGCTTGCATGAAGTAGGAAGGTGGTTGTTGTGGAGAGAGAATTGACCGAAGTGAAGTCGAGTTGGTCGAGCTTGGATCTCCTTCCCCGTCAYCCATCCACCCACCCGCCATGGTTGTTGCATCACACCTCGAGTCTTGTCCTCCACCATCCACATGCTATGAGCTCGCCGACATGGCCGAGCACAGTGGTGCCTGCTCAGCTCAGCTTTCTGGCCATATACAATCCGTCRCTAGGCCCGACTGACGAGACCTTTGCCGATCAGCTCGTCTTCTACTATTCGCGTCAACACCATGAAGACCGAGTCGCCGCCAAAAAGTCCAAGAGGGTGGATTCTGCCGGTGGGGATGCGCTGCGGGAAGAGACGAACGAGCAGCTGCGGCAAATAGGATTGGCGCAAGGAATGGTCGACTTTGCGCGGTAGGTGGACATGATGATATACCTGCTTTGCACATGCTTGGGGAATTGTGCAAGTGACTGAAAGGACAGATAGGAGCTTCTCTGATGGCGTACCAGTCGATTCCATAGACACCGAAAAGTCACGCATCGTGTTGCATGAGCTGGAGCCCGGCTGGTGGATACTGGCGGTACGTCTACGAGGTGTCATTAAAGAGCCATGCTTATACAATGACAGTCTATCGATCTCACGCGTCTTCCAGCCGCAGCCACATCATCTCCGGAAAGTGTAAAGAAGGGTGCCGACAAGAGTGATGCCGGTCCTTCAATCGAATACTCGTCACGCGAGGTCAGCCCACCCGCACTGCTTCTCCAACAAATGTTCCAAGCATATCACATCTTCATGCTACATCACGGCCAGAGCATTACCGACCTTTTCATCCGCGTGTCGAGAGAGAGGTTCTGCAGCACTCTGGACAGATTCTGGACTCGCTTTTGTAGAAAGTGGGATGTCTTGTTGCACGGCAATCCCGCTGCTGACATCTTCAATGGCATCAAACTCTCAGGTGGTGGTGAGCTTGGGATGGGAGTGGGCGAGGAGGAATGGGGCAGTGGCGAGAGAGATGTGCTGGAAGACATTGCGCGCCGCACAGAAGGCCTGATAGATCTGGTCGTCTCAAGGTTTGGAGATCCCGCGCCTTCAAAGGAAGAGACATCATACGGCGAGAGCGAACTACTACCTTGGATGGGTAGCGGTAGTCACCCGACCGCATCCGATGGAGTCATCTTCAGTGGCATTAATGCCATCACTCGTCCTTCTTTGAGGTCAATTGCGCTGTGGATGGAACACATTTACGCATATGGTGAATATGCATACGGAGTCCGTGACAATCCACTGCGTGAGCGAAGGAAGCGGAAGCGACGAACTCCGCCGAATCCTGTCGCCAAACCCGCGTCGAATGACACAATTCCCCAGACTACACCCAAACCAGCCCCGGAGGTCGCCGCCAAAGACTATGGCCTCGTCGCACACCAACGACAGACTTCAGATGCAGCCTCCCGCAGATCGGAATACCAACCTRCTCACCCTGGTATCCCTCCGCCAATTGTCTCACAAGCGGAGCAGTCTCTTGCGAAGGCTTCGAAGAAAGCGGATTCGCATGCGGAACAGTTTCAAGCACAAGCACAAGCACAAGCACCAGACTCTGGAACAACCATGGGTATTCCTGATCAGTACATGAAATATCTCACCTTTGGCCTGAGTACTCTTGCCAAACCGAGCCAGCAAGAAAGGCCCGAACTACCAAAGCGAGCATCAACCTCGAGTTCAAAGACGATGACAACTCAACGTTATGCGGCAAGCTCGAAGATGCCAAGTCCGGATGAAGGTGACGAAGTTGACCCCATGTTAACTGAGATGGATCCTATGCCAGATGGTGAAACCTTGGAAGCGAAGATTGCGAAACAGAAGCGCAGTGAGGAGCAAGGCCAGTTCTTAATAGGAATGCGTGGGGAGCTCAATAATATTGAGGAAGATTCCGGAGCAGGCAAAGAAGACGACGAGGATGATGACTCCAACGGGCTTCGAAACGTCCTCAGAACACTTTCAGTCGAACTCGACGTGGCATCACTGAACGAGGAGGATCCGACTGAGCTGCAGCAGAAATTGAGCGAAGCTGGTCTATCGCGAGGGCGAGACGATCCGGCAAACTTCCGGCGACTGCGAGTGCTCGTCTATGTCCACCGACCATTTATATATTGCTTCCTGTTCGAGAATCAAACCCCGTCGCTGAGCATGGCAAAGTTCTACCAAGAGATGCATCGTAATCTTTTGCCAATCTACAAGAGCCTGCTTACATCAACCAGCGCAGCGAGAGTTGCTGAGCGGATCCAGGACACTCAGACCAGCGACACAGCGAGCGTGACGAGCAACAGCAGGAAGAACGTTGAACCAACACCCATCTATGATCTCATCTATGACCCCATTCTCATGACAGTCCACACCAGTATACCGAGTATACCCGCACCCGGAACACCGGCAGCAGAAGGCATTGTACCTGGCACAAAAGGTAGCGGAATCAATCATCCATCCGCGTGGACGCGAATTGAATCCTTGAACGTGCACTCGCAGATTCTCAACACCCTTTCCAGCGTCAAACGAAATCCGAATGAGTATGAGCGCACCAGTAAGACTAGTCGCGGTTGGTGGGTCGTGTGGATGAAGCTTCCGCCTTCCTCGGGAGATGCTCACTCAGAGGATGAAGGTCAAGAAGCAGAAGGACTGCCCCTCGAGCATGTCGATTCGGACGAAACGATCAATCCTCCCCCATCTGCTACGGCAAGCAGCGCGACTACCTTTGCGCAGGGTGAGCCGAAGACGGAGTTGAACCGGGTGGCGATCTTGGTGCGGAAGGCTCATGACGCGGTGCCTGCTGCTCCGAAGAATACAAGTCTGGCGATGAGCAGTATGTGGAACTCACTCGGTTTGAGGAGTAATGCAACTGCGGACGCGATTACGGGCGGCGCGAGCGCTGGGTGGGGCCCTCAAGCCCTGGCCGGAGGAATTGGCATCGATGCGAGGAAGTATGTTGAGGGGTTGTTGAGTCTGGGAAGATAGTTATGGACGAACATCAATGAAAGTCATGAGTTTCCATTGCGCCGTGTTGCAAGCGAATTCAAGCAAAAGGTCGGTTTTCAATGTCAGGGATATCCCTAACGTGGCAGAGCTGTGTTTATATTTTGGGAGAGAAACAAGTCCACCATATTAGACACTCGTCGAATCACATCCCCGCTGACAATCAAAGCAATCTCATATCGTGACAAGATGCCAAGCCAGTGAAAGCAAATGGAAGCATCAAACAGCCCAGAGCGCCGTCGATCACTTGTAGCTAGCTAAGGTAGCTATACAATACCTATGTACTTCCCCTCTTTCGACATACCCTCTTCCACAAAAACAACTCCATCACACATCACACACCAAAAAAAAACCCCTGTTCGAAAAGATTCCGAGCTTGTACAAGCACAAGCATGCCATGTCGCTCCCAACCCACACTCCTACCCACCTCCCCAATGAAATCTGGCTACAAATCCTCCAACACACCACCACCACCACCACCCCCAACCACGAAGAAGATGCCACCACCTCCTCCTCACAGACAGCCCAAGCTCTCTGGCAATCCCTCCGTCCAACATCCTCCCAATTAAAACTCTGCGTAGAAGAACATTTCCATAAAGTCCTTCTTCAACAATTTAGAGTGTTTTTACCGATTACTTTACCTTCTTATGATCAGAGGAATCCTTTGAAGGGATTTGCGGTCTTTCTTCCGGAAGATGAAGTGCAGGGTGTGAGGGAGAAGGTAAGGGAGGATAGTTTTTGGATTAAATTCCAGAGGACGGAACCTGAGCATTATCGTACGCAATTTTTGACGAGGTGGGAGGGGATGAGGGATGCTGGGACGGGGTTTGTGAAGGATGTTGTGTGGTGGGAGGTGGAATTTGGGGGGAGGAGAGTTAGGGTGAAGTTTAGGGATGCGAGGGTTGAGGGGGATGGGGAGGAGGTGAGGGTTGGGGTGGGGGAGTGGAGGGGTATGTTGACTGCTTTTTTCAAGGCATGAAGTGGGTGGGTGGTTATCAATTAGAAGTGCTTTGGAAAGGACGGGGAGGGTTCTGGAGACTTGTCAAACTATTCACAACCGTGTACATCATTTTCTACATTTCAATACGATATTCTCCTTTCAAGACTTGGTGTATCCCACCTCCTGCAGACTCTCGCCGAGACCCTTGAGTGCACGATCAATGTCATCTCTGCTCTCGTCCATGACGGAAACACCCATGTGTCCGAATCGCACATACTTGGCTGCAATCTCCTTGTGAAGTCCACCAGCAAAGATAATGTTCTTCTTAATCAAAGTCGGAAGGACCTCTGGAGGTGTCAAGTTGTTGGGAAGGTAGATTGCCGTCATACCATTGGCCTGATTCTCTGGCTTCGATGCCAATTGCTTGAGCCCGAGGTCTGTGACTGCCTTTTTGATCTTCTGGGAAACAGCCTTGTGGCGTGCGAACCGGTCGGCAAGTGGGATGGAGAGAACCTGCTTCAGTGATGTGTTCAATGCGTGGATGAGTTGAGGAGCTGGAGTGGCAAAGTAGGATGGCTTCTTTGCCTCGTAGTTTTGCATGATTGGCAACCAGTTCTTCCAGCTTGCAAAGTAGGATGTTGGTGGAGTCTTTCTCGCCTTGAAGGTGTTGATGGCTCGCTCAGACGCCATGATGATGCTGAGACCAGCTGGGCACCCAATTGCCTTTTGTGAGGCCGTCATAACGACATCCAAATCCCAGTCGTCAAAGCGAATCTCCTCGGAGCCCACACTGCAGACACCATCGATGATGATGAGTGTCTCGGGAGATACCTTGCGAACCAGCTTGGAAACGGCCTCGAGCTCGGAGAGTACACCGGTGGAGGTATCTACGTGTGTGATGGTGATGACCTTGTACTTCTTCTCCTTCAATGCCTTTTCCACCTCATCCAACTGCGGACGCTCGCCAATCGGTGCCTTTAGTTGTGTGGCGTGCACTCCATACGTCTCGAAGCAGTCGGCGAAAGAATCGGCAAAGTAGCCCGTGTGCAGGACCAGAGCGTCGTCACCGGGCTCGGTGAGGTTGGCAGCAACCTGATCCCAGCCGAGGGTACCGCTGCCAGAAATGACAAATGGCTGCGAGCCTGGTGCAGTGGTTTGGAAGAGTTGACGCAGCAGTGTGAGAGTCTCGCCGAACGTTGCCACAAAGGGTGCTGATACGTGGGACTCGGAGTAGTGGGACATGCTCTGGAGGACGGCATCGTCGAACTCGATGGGACCCGGGATGAGGAGGGTTGGGTGTTCGGCCTGGGCAGACATTCTGGCGGGCTTTGGTGCTTCTTCTTCCTGCTGAGGTTGGTGGGTGGTGGAGAAGTTGTGTTCGGTAGATGCGGGTTGATGTTGCTTCCTCGCTGGGTTGTCGCGTTCAATACTGAAGGGAGTGTTCAGAGGGACGTCGTGGGTGTTGGCGAAGGAGAAGTGCCGAGAGAGTTGTGATAGCCGATCCGTGGGCGCCATTTTGCTCTTAAGATTCCACTGCAGAGCTGCAGTCCCGCGGCGAGCTATGCTACGGAGGGGTAGGCCAAAGCGTGGGGCTGCCAGATTGAATGACGCTCGGTTTTTTCCTCTTTCCAATGGGAGAGCTGTGCCTGATCCGCAATATCCGCCTCGAGACTCCTACTGGATGGAATCAATGTATGTTTGCTGCGGGCGGGCGACTCTAATATGTTGTTGCTGTTGATGCTGCTCCTCTCGACCGGAGCGGAGGGGAGAGTGGACAGGATGAGGGATCTAGGCCGCTGAAGTTTGTTGCAACACACTGTCCGATCCGATTGTTTATCGTCTGGAGATGGAGCGGATAGGAGACTTGGCTGGGGCAATGCGAGGAGCAAGGAAAATGAGCCAGGATGGACTGGAAGCGTTCTTCACTTTGATGAGACTTTCCGCGTCTTCTTTCTCGCGGCGCATTGAAATGCCGCCGTGATCGCTGCCGCCACAAAGGGTCGCCCAAAAGTATCAAAGTGCAATTAATTATTCGCTCTGTCTCAGTTGCCGTCCCCTCAACTTCTGCACTCGCCATGAACTCACAATGGCGTTGGAATGAGCCAATCTGCGAATTCGGAGTCATCTTTCCATGGGTCGACTAAGACCAGGTCGTTGTTGAGATGGAAATGTACATAGAAGAGTTGGTCCCTATCAATCAATGCGCATCAAATATTCATTGGGACGCTCCAGATCGACTTCATCGCTCGGATTCGTTCAATCAGCCGAGTCGCGACATCACAGGTCGATAAGGTACAGCTCCACAACAAACCACCGGCAACAAACAACCACTCAATCAATTCATCTGAACCGCCAGCTCAATCCTCATCATGGCTGGCCGTCTCTCTCTCGTCATCTCGGATCTCCACATCCCCGACCGAGCAATCGTTCGTGGTCCATCCTAAAAGCAATCCTGAAAGCCAAGCTGACCCGCTGGCAGGACATTCCCGCAAAGGTATCTCTCTCTTACCACCACCACAATCCCTCGTCGCCTGATGATCATCTCACAATAAATCACAGTTCAAGAAACTCCTCACCCCAGGCAAAATCTCCCAAGTCCTCTGCCTCGGAAACCTCACCTCCCCCTCCGTCTACCAATTCCTACGATCCCTCGCACCCGATTTACAATGCGTCAAGGGCGAATTCGACATTCCACTATCGACTGAGACGACAGGATGGCCAATCCCCACAGCACTCTCAAAGGTCATAACACACGGTAGTCTGCGCATTGGATTCACACATGCCGATACCCTGGTCCCGAGAGGCGACCCGGATGCCCTTCTCATAGCAGCGCGGCAAATGGATGTCGATGTGCTATGTTGGGGAGGTGGTGGGCGATTTGAAGCCTACGAGATGGAGGGCAAGTTCTTTGTCAACCCAGGAAGTGCGACTGGTGCGCCATGTTGGGCAGATCAGGAGCTGGGTGGGGACGATGAGGATGAGGGCACAACGCCGAGCTTCGTGTTAATGGATGTGCAAGGCGACGTGCTGGTGCTCTACGTGTATACGTTGAGGAAGGGTGAGAACGGGGAGGAGAGCGTGGGAGTGGAGAAGGTTAGCTTTCGGAAGGAGGCTTGATGATGGGTGGGTGGGGTATCGAGAGGAAGGACACAGCAGCGTCGAGGAGCGTAATGACATGATCACGAGAGAAAGGTGATGTAACAGCATCAACGAGAAGATATCGCCATGCAGGCGCAGTGCTTGCGCGCTCTCTTCAAACTCAAAAAGCCAAAATGCAAGGCAGACAACGCCCGCAGCCCAATGCACCGAACATATCTTCCCAAACTCATAATCTTCATCATCCTCCCACATTGTAAAACTGACCAGCCATGAATGACCAGAGAGACTTATATTCCGCGATCTTGCCGCTCACGACAAAAACAAGGATCCAGCGGCAAGGTCCGGGGACCAGCAGTGCCCGGGCTGATCCGAGATACCTTATCCAAGAGGGGAAGAAGTGAAAGAAATGACAAGGAGATCGATAGGTATGATACGTAGTGTGCGGCGGCCCGGAAATGTCATTCGATGCGCTCGCTGGCTTTGAGGTCGATTTGGCGGGAGGAGTTGGTCACCACGTACTGTACTGTACCAGACCTTCACTTCCTGCGATTGAGGGGAAGGTAGATGCTGCTTCCGCAATCATGCCACTGTTCCTCATGGTGACTTCTTGTTCGTTCGAGAGTGTCTCTTTGAAGATGATCGCTGGATTAGCAGAGCTGTCGACATGATAATTTTACGACAAAAGAGGAGGTCTCGAGCGCTCAGTGTGATTCTGTCAAGCCGGCTCTTTTAATACGACGATGGCAGCCCCTTTACCAGAGAGGTCCCTCGAAGCCGGATTCGGTTTTCGAACGAGGAAGAGACCCAGTAGGAACGGACTATCGCCGAAGCGATCTCATACCGATATCTCTGTTGGTCAAGCATGCTCGAACTGGAAGCTCCGGAACAGATCTGAAGCTCATGCCGTTGTGTCGACCCGGGCGTCGATCGTATAGATCCGTCTCTCGTGATTCCGTGGGTTCTGCCTGCATACCATAATCTCGACGGAAGCCTCTCGTACTGTCTGTCTGCCTTCCACTAAGCTCTTTCGTACTTTGCCGTCCTCACCATGCTTGAGACATTTTCTATAAGGTAGGTTCCACGCCTGTGTCTTTCACCTCTAATACCTTTGCCGCCATGAGGCGTTTTTTCTTCATATTTTGACTTGAGAGCTGGAATTAATTGCTGCTCCTGATGTCAAGGTAATGTTCTCATGCTTGAATCCTCTTAACCGGCTTCCCCGGCGATTCGTTGTTATGGTCATATCGATTCAGATTTATCAGCTCCGAGTTATGCACATCGTCAGCTTCAGGTGTCTGGACCAGGTAGGATTCCTTCCGTCACTGTGTGCGCTCCGACACACTGAGAATCTCTGCACGCGATGGCTGCAAGCCAATACCGAACATCTCTGTTTTATTCCCACGCAGTCTGTCGGTCCCGCATATCTGATTCGCCTCAACATTACAGCATGCCAGTACCAAATTGGAGAACACTCCGGAATTGATGTGTCCGTTCGAACATGTCTGATGTTAGGATTACGGACCCCGAGCAGCCTTTGAACATTGTGATAACAATGAGCTGATAGCGAGCATCCAAATCCCTGGGCTTTGAAACGCTCAGGTGGGATCGAACGATCTCCGTTCCGTTTGGTAAAGGCTCTGGCGCTGAGTAGTCCGTCATTTCTCTAGGAAAGAAACAAGTGTGTATCTCGAGAGAGATATCAACCTGGAGGGTATCGAATTCCGATTCCCTACGATCACCGACCTGCACTCTGACCGGATCTGCCAAAACTTCCGGTCTGGTCTGCCAGGTGCGAGCTTCACGTGGGGTGATGAGTGAATGAATTGTCGATCAATTCCCTCATCGAGTTGGTCCGGTCCAGGTGGCCTACCTTAGTTATTCTCCACAAAAGAGCCAATGGCTGCCTAGAGTCCACTTTGATAGCTGCTCGTTTTTCTCAAAGTTCACTTTCTCACTTCGACCAACAACACACTTCGCACAACATCACGTCCACCACCATGGAGAACCCTCGGAAGAAGCGTCGCGGCAACAAGAAGAGCCGCATCTTCAAGGGCAAACCAAAGCCACGTGAGAAGGTGCCACCGCCAGATCACCTCTTCAAGCTCCCCGCCGAAGTCCGCAATCAGATCTACGGATACGTGCTTGAGCCAGAGATGCGGTGTCGAACAGAGGTGATTGGGCCAAAGAAAAAGGGAGCCAGCAGACACGGCACTGTGAAGATTTACACCCAAATCCCGAAGGAGATCGAGAGCGGCGACGACGATGAGCCCGCTCTGCTCCAGGTGTTTCCACAGATTCGTGGTGAAGCTCTCGGAATCTACTACTACCTGAACATTTTCGAAATCAAGGTCAATGTGAAACAGCTCGGCAGTCTCGAGAAGTGGATGTCTTCAGTCCGCGCCCGCTTCGAGCCCAAGGAAAGCTCTGCCTTTGGTRGAATAACCATCGATCTGAGAGGCCTCAAATGGTCCCAACTCCCTTCGCTACTTTCACTGGCACGTATCTATCAGGTCCATCACAAGTACTTGCAAGGATACGGATATTGGTACGACGAAGATCGATGCTTTCGCCTTCGAGGCCTTCGCCTTGGTCGGGTCTTGGAGGAGGTCGTGAAGCTTGGCCTTGGAGCAGGCGAGGAGGACTGGCATGAGGAGTGGCTCAGTCTGATGTTTGAAGAGTGGCTGGAGAAAAAATTCGACAGCGCGACGGTGCGCCGGCACGTAGGTTTTGAGGTTGGCCTGCCAGGAGATTGGCATGGTGCTGATGAGCCCGAAGCCAATGATTTCGACGTGGCTACCTTTTCTCGGAGTAGCGAGCATCGCGCCGGCACAAGTGATCGCAAGCTTCGGTCACAGAATTGAGTGGCAGACTGCAAAGGACGCAGTTTCGATCAATCTCCAACACAATCACGACAATCTCAGACACCAGCACGACCTCTGCTCGTGTTGAAAAAAAAAGAGGCCGACGGAGAGAGAGAGGTCTCGTCAAGTGGCGCATGCGCACCGCTCAAGTGCTGCTGCTAATTGCAGTTTGAGAAAAAAGTTTGCGTCGCAGCGGGATGCATGCTTGAAGGCCGGGCAATCGCAAGCGTTGACTTCTATGCGAAGGACTTGGACGTGCACGGCTGTTTCATTGCGTCCATCAGGGCGCATAAAGCTGTGTCTTTGTCTTCAGGCCAATCGGATATGGGTGAGAGTAGAAAGCCAAACAATGGTAGCAAATTGAAAGGTTTCAATCCACCTTCTGTCCTGTTTGTGAAGAACCTTAGTGAGCCAAATAAATCCGTGTACCCGATGTGTTTAAAATATGGATGCTCACGCACTGCTATCTCATGGACTACATGGCGTTGCAGCGTCGGAGACAATTGTAGGCCATGCTCATCGTTGTACGCTCCTCCTGATAGGTCCGGTGCCTGAGAATAGCGAGCGAGAATCCACTGCGTTCCTTCCGGTCGCCCCGACATCCCTCTGGGACGAAAGCGGAACTGGAGGTAAGCTCACCCTCCCTCGCGAAGCTGTTTGCTGTGGTGGCCTACTGCGGGTGGCCAGAGGAACTCGTTGGGGTTCGCGGCTGAACGTGGAACCTGACACTGAATCATGGCTCCCAAGAAACGATGCGCTGCCAGGCTGGGTAAGATTGGCATTTCGAGACGGCACACTGCGATGTGATTGTATATGCGTAGCGTGCAGAGGCCGCGTTGCATCGCTCATTTGGTAGCGGTTTGGCGCACTCGCTCGATGTGCGGAAAGAGGAGCATGCGTGGAGTATTCACGATCCGATCGTCCAGAGATGCCTGGTTGCCGCTGAGATGACTGCCCGAAAAATGGACTAACTACCGAGGGAGCACCAGGCGGCTCCAGATGCTTGCGGTTTGCTGGTGTGGTAAGACGAAGACGGCGACCATCGTGAGCAGACATCCGGGCATCTTGCACGGTTGAAGGAGGCGCCATGTAGAAACCATCCATCTCTCTGGGAGCGTCTTCGCCGCTTTGCTGCTCCAGGGTGCCATAACCTGGATCGTAATAAGAAGCCTCGGAAGTTTCATGCTGGCGATAAACATTGCTCCCTGCAGTAGAGAATGGCGCTGGTGCTTGCGCTTTCCGCGACGATCGTCTCTTCGCCGGCTTCGAGAGTAATCCATCCTGGCGCTGCGACAGCGCCGATCTTTCTTGAGCACGGAACTCCGAGCTAAGTGTGGTATTGCCATTATGTCCCAATTGCGGCTTCCGAGATTGTTGGTGTAAACGCGGATCAACTTGTCTTTCGATCGGGTAATCTTGAGACGGCCTAAATTGGGGTGATCCAGGAGGATGGTCGCGACCTGTCGGGCCTCTTAGTGTCACTCCACGCCAATCTCCAGATTCGTGAAATGACGGGCGCGAGGGAGACAGACCATGGTCTTGACGGCGAGAGATTGCTTGTGCTAGGGGTACTCGAGATGGAGCTTGATCGTATCGAACAGAAGAGATGGAATGCTCTTGCCCGCGTGCTACCTGTACACCTCTTTGAGGAGGCTCCTGTGGGTAGTTGAACTGCGGTAGCTCTGCTCGACTCAAAAGACTTTCGCGGCTGACACCTGGAGTGGCGCGAGGGAACGGTCTGTCCTGCAATTTTGCATCCTCGTACATCTGAATGCCGGGCAGTGATGTAAAGGTCTGCGGTTCTTTTGGAGACAACTCCTCCTGGCGACCGCCGAAACCTATCCGCTGTGCGCGTGTGGATGAGTGCTCCAAAGATGAAAGACCTGTGCGCTGCATGCCCATCGTAGGATGCTGCTGGAAAGCACGTGCCTGTCGACTTTGGACATCGGCGTATGCAGAGAGTGACTGCAGACCGTTCGCTTCAGAGTAAGCCGGTTGCTTTGTCTCGAGCTGAGTTACGGAAGGTCTGCGATTCGGCAGCGGAGGAGGCATCATCAAGGTCCTTTCGTCAGGAGGTTGCGGTCGACTATCCTCAAGTCCCTGCTCCTGACTATCCGCATATGCATCGTACTTTGCTTTACGCTTTCTTGACGCCGAGGATGATCGGAAATTGCTTCCCACTGGCAGAGGTCAGCTGGAATCACCAAATCGATCTCTCAGCTCTCACTAAGTGTGGTAGAACTGTCATGTCGACGGCCATGATGCAATTGATCCTCAACCGCCATAGACTTGGCTTCCGGCTCAGGTTGATAAGAGTAATCTCTTTTCGGCACGTCATAGCCAAGTTCCTCTAGCAGCACTCGCATGTCTGCAATATCTCTGAAATCAGTTAGCGACCATCACATGACGAACACAACAATGACGAACTTTGCCATGGGTTCGACAATACTCATGTAGTGGTTGATGACATCCTTGCGATCGTCCCACTTCTTCAGCTTCGCCTCATGGTCTTCAAGCAAGGCGTCTCGTTCTCGCAGGGCCTCCTTGTTCTCCGCCTCGCGCTTGCGCCCATTTTTACGTTCGCTGGACAGAGTCTTCTCCAACGCACGTTGCTTACTGTCAGCTGTCTTCCAAGCCTTGTTCACTTTGCGCGAATAGCTTGCAAGTCGCTGATACTGGAACTGTGGCCATCAGTCAGCGTGTTTCCCCGCACGATATGGAAATGGATTTCACCCGTAACGCATCCATCTCAGCATCTTGAGCGTCCAGTCGCGTTGGCGGACAACGGAGCCAGGACGTCGGGATGATTTCGTCGTACTCGCCTGGATTCAATCCTCGGATGGCGAAGAGATCTTGCTCACGGCTGCTGGGAAGGTTCTTGGGACATACTGGACATCCCGCTTTAGGAGCAGCATTCTTCGGATGGAATGCAATACCTGGAGGAATTGACATTCTCAGCAGGGCGAGTTAAGTAGCGCTCCCAACATACTCACCACCGCCATCCAAATGCTTGCCACAGAAAACGTGCGAGCACGCACCGATCCAGAACTTGGTGACAATGCCGGCGCCATTGTTGTCGGAAGATCCACTGTGGAAGCCCTTGTGGCGTTCCTTGGTCGCATAGACTTCCGACACGGTAGCCTGGCAGATGTCGCAGCTGAAGATGATCTCCTCAAGAGGGACTTCAGGAGGACTGGAAGGAGCATCATCTGGTAGGCATATAGATGACACMATTGCTGCTGTCTCAATGAATCCGATGTCGCATGGCTTTGGATTGGAAGAGAGAGTTGTGCCGGGTTTGGTAGTCAAAGATGGAAGGTGCGAATCCTGAATCCTGGCACCTGCTGCATACATTTCACGCACCTACCTTACCAACTCCACTCGCGAAAGACTCCACTGACGGAAGCACCTCATGTCAGGATGCGGAAACTCATAGCTCACTGATATCAGCGCTGTACACTTTACACGACTTGTAACTCCTCTGAAACATCAATTGAATATCCCCGCTTATATGAAAGTCCTGCATGGGTAGCTGTACGATTATTAGCTGTGAAATCGCCAATCTCATCTCCGCAATACAGAACATACCCTTCACCATACGTCTGCTCCTGCGGCTCAATAAGCTGGTATCGCTTGCCCTGAGGGTGTCGGCTGGTTGGTGTTGGCGGAAGACCGTCCTTGCCCAGAACGCCTGCAAATACGCCCTTGTTCTTCTCGAAATACGCGCTCAATCCCTTCTCGCCCTCCTCCTTGACCTCTACCAGCTGGGTCTTTCCCGCATCTCCAATCTTCAAGACATCCTCCTTGGGTGCCGCCGCGGATCCCACGCTCAAAAGACCCACCACATCCGACTGTGTTACAACGGATAGTTTGGGGTATGATCTCCTTGTGTCGCGCTTCCAGTATGGGTTCTCGGCGATGTCGCCCGCCGGGGTGGTGACTGCGTCGTCGTAGCCGAGAGGGTCGTTACCGCCTGGAGGTGGATTGCGGAACTGCGGGTTGAGGGGAATACCAGAAGATCGCGCGGGATCGAGGGCAAAGAATCGATGCACCTTGGCCCAGATGCCTGTGGGCTGGACCGTGTATTTCTGGCAGGGCAATGGTCAGTGAAGTTCGGGAGATTGAAAGTCGGCTATGCGCACTCCAGCGATAGTGGCCTTGCTGGCCGTAGTCACGGCACCCTTGACTCCTTTGGTTGCCATTGTCGATTATGCGACTTTCTGCTAGGGAGCTACTGTCGTCGGAGGTGAGGTGAGATGTTGTTTCAATGCGCGGAAGCCCATTGGACAACGGCCAGCTTCACTGCCAAGCCCACCTGATCGGCAGCGACCATGACTTCACTCCACTTCGGCACATCACCAGCATTGTCCCATCGCTATTGTCCCATCACCATCACTATAGCGCTATTCCCAGATTTCTTTACTTACTACTCTTCAYGGTCCTATCTGGCCTTTCTAACTCCCGTCAACAAGACCTCACGAGACATGCAATAATGGAGAACGAAAACATGGCCCTCAAGACATCACTATCGACAGCTCTGAAATCCTTCCAGCAATCACATGCAAAGTTCCGAGTGCTAAAGACTATTCAACCATCGCTACCCAATCCCCAGGATCCCGTGAAACTACAACAGAAAGATGCTCCCAAGACTCTTTTCATCCTTGACTCCTCATTCAACCCTCCTTCCACAGCACATCTTGCATTGGCCCAGTCAGTCCTGGAGAGTAGTCTAATAGCTCAGCACGTCGGGCCTCATCGACTCCTCCTACTCTTCAGCACATCAAACGCAGACAAGGCTCCATCGCCCGCATCGTTTGATCATCGGCTCTCGATGATGACAGTATTCTCCCGAGATCTGCTCACCAATATCCCGCCGAATCATATGCCAGTCCCCATCGATATTGGTGTGACTWCTGCACCTTACTATACCGATAAGTCTGCTGCCATCGAGTCCGCGGATGGCCAGGAATGGTATTCTTCGGAACCTGTCCACCATGTGCACCTCATAGGTTTCGACACATTAGTCCGCTTCTTCGCCGCAAAGTATTATGCAGAGAAATTCGACCCGCCCTTCTCAGCTCTTGAACCTTTCTTCGATGCTGGTCATCGCTTGAGAGTAACGCTGAGGCCGCAGCAATCTGAGGGAGGGAGTATCGAGGAGCAAAGGGCATTCGTGAAACGACTTGAGAATGGTGAAATGGAATCAGATGGTGGGAAGAGGGAGTGGGCAAAGCAAGTTGAACTTGTAGAACCTGCACCTGAAGCTGGAGTAAGCAGCACCAAGATTCGAGAGGCGGCCAAAGGAGAGGATTGGAAGACTGTGGATAGACTCTGTACGCCCGGCGTGGCGGAATGGGTCAAGAGAGAGGGATTGTATGCAGAATGAATCAGCCAGGCGAAGGAGGTCTGATTCAGTACGGCGTACTTATACTCGAAATGCGTCGGCTGCGCCAATCTGCTTCTTGCTGACTACCTAATGTCAAAGCGCTCGATATGATATCATTTACCGAGACAGGATTCCAAGACATCATCAAATCATMTCGAAGCCTCGCTCTCGGCAGATCTGTCTATTCTGGAGCTGCTAGAATCCCATTTACTATATTCGCCCTCCGAATGATGGAAAGGGCTGCAGATGAGGCCCATCCTACCAAGGGTTGCTCATACTGACCGCTCTGAACCTACCAGTACACGAATTTGAACCACACGACGAGTCGCCACAAAATTTCACCCCTCTCTGATGAGTTCGGCATCCCGTTCTACCAAGACATCCTTTATCAGCGGCACGTACCTACGAGACGCAATCGCAATCCCAGTCACCACAGCGAAACCCCGAAGAATACTGGCACATTTGACCGGGCGCCCCGCGAATGACGACCTCCACCAGAAGCGTATGCATAGAAGATACCATGAAGGTCGTCGTGAGACCATCGGCCGAGTGCAAGCGCAGTACCAAGCAAAATCTCAAAAGGACAGCTTGCTGTCGCCCTCAAAGTGAATGCTGCCAAAAGACTGGGAGGTTGCGACTGCTCATTCTCAATTCCTTGTGCATGGGAGTGAACGGCTTCGCGTTGAAACAACTTGGGAGCGATTGCACTGATGCTGTCAGGCTGGTCACATCTCATCGCAACTGTTACCGAAGGGTTTCTGATTCGGGACTGGGTGTTCTGGTCTGTCTATTCTCTTACTCATAACCTCTCCACCCGTGGAGCGTCCAGATTTCGGCCGGCCGACACTCTAACAAAGTTTACCAGTCATCAACATCATCAGCATTGACATGCCGGCCAGCTCAATGTGCTCGTCTCTTGAATTGAACCATCGGTCCATCACGCATCGCAACATATGCGTCCTTCAACTGGAATTGCTCTGGCTCCCGCCTTCCAACAGGACCATTCACACTGCCCGCTCCGGTCTGGTCCTCGGCGTCTTGTCGAAGCTCAAAGTTCCACACCAGCTTCGACATGACAAGCATCATCTCCAGCCATGCCAGATTCTTGCCAATGCAGCCCCTGGAGCCAGTGAGGAAAGCGCAGAACCCATTCTCCGCCAATGCCAGGCTCTCGGCAGTGGCACCCTCACCGAGAATCCATCGCTCTGGCTGGAATTGGAACGGTTCTGGGTAGACTTCCTCATTGTAGCTGAGGCAGTAAAGTCCCGTGCTCAGCTGTGTACCTTCGGGGAAGAAGTGTCCGTCCACTACTGTACCACCTGGGCGGACTTGGCGTGCTGGCTCTGCGAGAACAGGAGGTGTCATTCGGCAGGCTTCTTGAATGAAGGCCTTCAAGTATTTACACTCTTGAAGTTTGGGTCCGGATTGAATGTCCTCAATTGACGCAAACTTGGACGAGATCTCTTCGGCCAACCGAGCCTGGATTGCTGGGTTGCGGGACAGGTAGAACATCATAGCCGACATGACGATGGATGTGGTATCCGAGCCCGCAATARTGAGTAGCTCGCACTCGTTGTAAAGCTCTGCTTGGTCATATCCTTTTCCAGTCTCTGGATCCTTGGCATCGATAAGGTAGTAGAAGAAGTCTTTGCGTACTTCAGACTCGGGTTTCTGGCTAGCTTTGATCTCCTGCTCGACTTGCGTACGGTCGCTCAGACACTTTCCGACGAATCCCTCCCACTTGGCCATAGCTGGTGGTGCGGCCATTGTGATGAGTCGGTCAAGTCCCCGTGGCTTGAGCCACACCCACCAGTCTGCAAGTGGAGAGAAAGCGATCGGATGCATAAGGACCAGGAAGTCGGCAAGCAATTCTGGAATGTGGCGCGTTTTACTATTTGGCTCCATCATCTTGAAGGACTTGCCAAAACAGAGGTCACCAAGGATATCAAAGACCAAATGGTTGATCTCGTGTGCCATGTTCAGAGTTGGTCCCCACTCTTCACCCTTGTTGATTCGCTCTGCAATAAGCTCGCACCAGCGATCGGTATTGGTCTGGACGTATGGCTCCGCGGATCTGAGAGCTTTGTCGGAGAAAGCATGATTCATAACTCTCCTCTTTGGCGCGTGAGTGTGCACATCGGTGGCATTCCAGGTGTTGGAAACGGATGAGTTCTTCGGCCACACACGGTAGTAGTCGCTTTTCCTGACATTACCCTTGGGTCCGAAAATGGTGCGGTACCCTGTTGGAGTGTTGATCAAGACTGCGTCTGGCCTGTACCGGAATGTCGAACCTGGAAAGCAGAGAGTCAGTACGTTCAGGGCACGAGAATCTTTTGCCACTCACCATATTCCTGCTKCAARGTCCAGAGCCAGACGTGGCGATCTTGTAAGGGTCAGCTATGGGTATGAGCGTTAGGGGTTTCAAGCAATCATCTACCTCCTTTGAGTGTATRCCAGTACGACGGGAATGTCGTAAGTCGAGCCCACACTGGTCCTGGAAACTTGGCCAACGGATGCAAATACAGCCTGTAGTACGCAGTACTCAAGACCGCCACAATCGTCACCGCGCTAATCAACGCAAGAGTCGACATAGTGGAGGTACTCCTCTGGAACCAGATGTCACAAGAGAGTGCCAAAGACTTACTCCTCGGACGGAAGAGGGAGAAAACAATACCCTCCGTCCCATTGGCGAGTGTCGGCCGAGCTTACGAGCTCGTGCTCAGTTGCGCTGTGCCGCACGCAACAGTGGGTCGATCACTACGGCCTTGAGTGGAGCTCTGTGCGGTTGAAGTTGCATCGCACACGACTCTCAGACGGCTAATGCGGCGTCCCTTGCTCGTGCGCGGACATTTGACTAACGCCTTCAAGATCCTGCAGATCTTCTAGCGTGCATTAATCCTTGTCGCCAATGCCTGCAGTGGGGCGGCTCATCTTCGATAGATGGGGCAGATTATCGGCACTGCAATGGAAGTGGATCTGGTGGGTCTTGATCTGTCAAACTTCTCTTGCGTGGTTGTTTTTCGCAGCACGTGGTTGCGCGTAACCACCAGCAATCCAATCGATACTTCCCGGGGATCTCTCCATGCTGAGTACTGGTCGGTGCCACGTTCGATCGACGCAACTTCGCTTCCAACATGGTTGTGATTGTGCAAATGAATCCCTGTGCTGCGTTGGAAGCGAGGTAAGTGTAGTCGATGGGAGACTGCCTTTAGGCGCGGAGTGTGAGTCCGTTCATACACGGCTAGTTATTTCTTTCACATCATATCGTCATGTTCAGAAGCGAACTGAATGAGCCGATGTCTCCCTTTCTTTGCAGGAGTTGCTCCTACGAGTGGTACTCTGTTACACACTGGTCGCCCACACTCGCTTATACATTTTCCTTTGAGCGTTCAATACAAAGACGATATCGACCATAGTCCATCCTCCAACGACCACTCCACCGCGATGAGCTCATCGGAGGAGAGCCTTGACGCCTTTCGACGCAGACTGTTTGGATCTGCAATTTCGACCTTTGCTGTTTGCGTGCTGATAGTTCCACTCAAAATCTGGTGCAGAATAGCCAATGGACGGTCCACGAGATTTGGCTGGGACGACAGCATGTGCCTCATCGCCTTTGCGTTCGCAACCACGTTCTTCTTCATCGGCATGCTAGGTGTGTACCTGGTCTCTCTAAAGGGGTGCCAATGCTCTCGCTGACTATGTTTCGTCCCAGGGCTTGCACCGGATCTTGGAAAACACGTCGGAACGGAGGTGTCAATTGCTGAACTGGGCATCTTTCTGAAGTACCTGTTCCCGGAGCAGCTGATCTACACAGTCTGCGTTTCTTTCAACAAATTTGTCCTTCTCGCTTTCTACTGGCGGCTATTCTCCGTTCGATCCCAGCTACCCCTTTTCATATTGATGGGTGTAGTGGCAGCTTGGATGATCGGAACAGTGAGTTGGCGCTCGCCCTACTATCCAAGGTCGATGCTAATAACATGCAGGCAATGGGGGTCGTTTTCATTTGCAACCCCATCGCAGCGCAATGGGACATTACAATCACAGATGCGAAGTGCTCCGGTCTGCGGTCACTCTATCTAGTGAGAATCCGAGCAAGTCATTCCATCACACATGAGAGCTAACGTTTCTATCAGGGTGCCTCCATAGTCAACAYCGTCACCGATTTCCTCCTTCTCGTCACGCCGCTACCATACGTCTGGGCTCTCAACGCCCCAATCGGCCAACGTCTGATGCTAGGTGGAATCTTCCTCCTTGGATGCTTCATCACTGTAGTCTCCAGTCTCCGATTGGCCATTCTAATGCGTGTGGATCTGGCAAGTCCGGATTACACATGGAAAATGAAGGAAGTGCTCCTCTGGTCGATTGTGGAAGTCAACGTCGGTTTGATATGTGCTTGTCTCCCTAGTCTCAAACCTGCGGTCAGACTTCTCGGACTGGGAAATTTGCTCCATCGTTCGCAGAATCGGAGTCGGAGTCGGAGTGGCATGCAATCACCTGCTTTTATCGCAGAGGATAGATTTCCTTCGCGGAAGAAGAGCTCAAAGGGGATGTTTTCTTCCATTACGGCGATCACGAGGGCGGATACCGAGGAAGATGAAGAGGATACATTTGAGATGGTCAAAAGGTCTCATCAGAGTCATGGGACGGTGGAAACCAATGTTGAAGCAGTTCCTTCTCGTGGACAGGCGACGGCTGATGGAAAGTCATCGCATGAATGTGACGGCAAGAGGCCGGCCATTGTGGCGCATCGGAACTGGTCTGTCTTGGTGGAGCCTAATGAACCTCATGCTCTTTGACGGGACTTATGGAAATCCTGACTGCTTTTCTCTTGGCAGCCCTACAATCGTTGAAGCACGATCCAGCAATCACGCTCCCGTGTCCCCCTGACCGAACGTGTTCCGATTGATTGGTCCTTTTCAGGCCTTCCAGAGCTCGCCGGAGAGTGCCAGTTGTCTCGGGTAGTCAGAATCGGCTTCCACGACTCTGATTGTCTTTGAGACAGAAATGTCTCGCAATGTGCAGACATCGCCATGCAGTACAACGAGAGAGCAAGCAGATCCTGTGACAATGAATCGTAAACCTACAAATACTGGATGGGCTCCTCAAACAGCACATCTACCAACATCACCAACTCCACAAGGCAAACACCAACACAACAAGTCCACCAAGCAAGAACATCGAAAAGCCATGGCGTACTTCACCAACCTCGAAGCCGCCATGCGATCCACAGATTGGGATAAGCTGAAAGAGCTTGCCCCTACAACCCTTCTCATCGTCATCACGATCGGATTCGTCGGGACTGTCCTCGCCAACATCCTCCGCAGAGTCGAGGAGGATCCCATCGATCGTCAGACGAGAATCAACACCGCCAAGAACCGACCGAAGAAACGTACGACCATCAACCACTTCGCCGCCAATTCCGTCCACATTTTCAACAACCAAAGTCCCGATCAAGTTGGCGTTGAGTCCCTCAGACGCCTTAGCGAAGCCGTCAACAATTCCACATCGGATGGGTGCAAGTTGGTCCCGGAGAGATCGGATCAAGGAATCCAGTCTCCCGAATACACCTCCCAGGCTTCTCCACCTCCAGACGATGATGACGACCTAAGGGAACCCACCCCGCGCGAGTTTCGAGGTTCCTTGAGCGAAACCGCTCGGGCCAACTCTGTCCATATCCGATTCCGCACTCGCGACAATCCAACCGGAAGTACTTTGATGATGTTCTCGAATACGAAAACGGTCGGAGACGTCTTTGCTTGGATCAGGAGTCAGTCTCTTCTGTCTGAAGGGAAGGAAGGTCTGGAGCTTCGGCTGCTTGATGATGAGAGAGGGCGGACTGGCCGAGCGATAGGGGTGGATTGGAGCCATTTCATGATTGGGAAGGGGCATTTGGATCTAGATGGTGGTGAGTTTTTGATCGACTTCTTCGAGAAGGATTGAGGTGCATGACTTGATGACCATGGTGTGCGTGAAGGTGTCACTACAAGGGACGAAGCATGACGATTTGCAGCAGAACGCAACATCTCAGCGAGGAGCAGACTGGGTTTTGAGATAGCATCCAATAGCATTGAAATTGTGTTTCTGACTTGATGATGTCGTTGCCCATCCATGTAGAGTCTGGCCGAGTAGCTAGGCAGAACCATAGCAATGATTTTTCGAGATACATTGATCAATTGAAAGGCGACGGATTCATCAAACCCCGACAGGTCTTGCCCAAGGGAAATGAGATTGATCGCGTCGGAAGTCTTGAGTGTGAGAGGGACAAACCTGATGTCTTCCCAAATCATGGCGTTTGCTGATGTCCGTCGCTCAGTTTGGTGACCAAACACCGAAGGGATGGAGGTCATGTATATTGTCGGGATTAGGGATGGAAATTGTTTTGGGACCAAGGTTTGGATCTTCGATGGAGAGAAGGCTCGTTGACCGRATCTGTAGGATTGCCGACATGGCCTTTGATGTGGGCTGCGGGGGTTGGCAGGGACATGAGACGGTGGCAGGAGCGTACTGCCGGAAGCGGAGGAGGCGTCATATCGTCCCAAGCCATGTACCTTATACGTACAAATCCATGCCGTCGTAGTGGCTCGAAGTGACTTCGCATAAGGAGTGTTGAAGGTAGTAGGTCTGGTGCCTGTATTTTGTGTTGCGCCGAACAATTCTTATGTACATTTTCCACCAATTCGCGGATCATCGCTTTGTTGTCGCATCGGGGTATTCCGCTTCGTTACACTGTCCTGTGTCGTTCGTCGCTATAATGTTACAAGCTGCAAATCTGGTATGTGCTTATACTCAAACAATCTCCTTCTCCTCTCGCGTTCCCTTCCAGTACGCCCATCCGCCCGCAATTCCATTGACCGCACAAAAGGCAAGAGTCGCGCCTCTCACGATTCCCCTTGCACCGAACTTCTTCGTCAATGGCTGCTTCCTCCGTCGCGCCAGCAAGAAGTAGGCAATGCTCCACGCGCTGGCCAGTCCCGCAGAGTCCTTTTTGAAGCCCTGGATGTTGAGGTAGCTGCTGAAGAGCAGGATCGGAGGGAACAGCATGGGTAGAGGCTGCAGGGGACGGAAGTGTTGAGCTGTGATCAGCGTTGCCAGGACGGTTGGTGGGAGGGGAGATTCTAGATGTTGTTAGTGATATGGTAGACTATATGGGGATTGCGATGAGACGCACCACCCCATGTCTTCGCATAGGTGAAAAGGGATTGCTTGGCCTCTTCGGCCTTGTCGGGCGTGCTTCCTGGCATCGGCATGGTGGAGGTGTTGTCGTCGTTGGATGGGGGATCGTCCGAGGTAGGATTATTGTCGTCTTCTTCCTACGAAGCTTCTTCAGCCGCGGCTTTGTTGCGTTTGGTAAGGCGTCGTTTCCGCTTCAAGACTATTGTCACGGCGGAGTGGATGGGTAATGCTGGAGGAATGATCTTATCTCATGCGACAGAGTGCAGTAGGAAGAGGGTTTGGCAATGAAGAAGATGGATCCAGTGAAGTTGAAGCGCCTCCATCATCATCGCCGGCGATCGCTCCCAATTGAGATGCCTTGCGCATGAACGAACCAGCAGGGTCTCGACTCGCGCGACTTCCACCACTTCCGTCCGCCGGTCAAAAGCTGATAACTTACATATCTGGCAACATCGGCGCCTACATCCACACAACACCTCTCCCCTTGAAGGAATCCTCCGCCACAACCCCCAAATGCAATAACAACCCCCACATCCTTCCCGATCATGTCAGAAAAGCACTCCCACCACGACGGCTCCTCCTCCCGCGCCTTCACTCCCGAACAAAAACTGGCCGTTATCCGCGTCCGAAAATGTGCTCCCACAGCCTTTTACGATATTCTTGGGTTAGAAGCCACCCGATCCACAGCAACCGACGCAGAGATTAAGAAGGCCTACCGAAAACTCTCCCTCCTCACGCATCCGGATAAAAATGGTTACGCAGGCGCCGATGAGGCTTTCAAGATGGTCTCGCGTGCCTTCCAAATTTTAAGCGATGCGGATAAGAAAAGACAATACGATCGGACAGGCGGGGACCCAGACAGTCGATTTGGCGCAGGAGGGGGAGGTGGAGCGAGCACAAGTAGTGCGAGTCCGTTTGCGGGCTTCGCGAATCAGAGACGGCAGGGTGGCATGTTTGAGGAAGAGATCTCACCCGAGGATCTGTTCAGGCAATTCTTTGGAGGAGGAGGGATGGGAGGCCCTTTCGGCGGAGGCAATGGCTTTGTGTTTAATATGGGAGGCGCACCGGGCGTCCGCGTGCATCAGTTTGGAGGAGGGAGGCCGAGGAGACGACCGCATAATCACCAGGAGGCTCAGCAGCCGGCGAATCTGTTGCAAGCGCTGCAAGGGCTGCTGCCTTTGCTGCTGTTGTTCATTATCCCTCTACTGGGGAGCTTGTTTTCGGGAAGCACGGGTGGACCAACAGTGAGGTTTGATAAGCCTGTTCCTCCGCACACACTATCACATACGAGCTCTGGGTTGAAAGTCCCATATTGGGTGCAGCCGAAGGATGTGGTGGATTACACGAAGAAGCAGTGGAAGGCGCTGGATAAGGTGGCCGAAGGGAGATATGTCGCACAACTGCAAGGAGAGTGCGAATGGGAACAGGCACAGAGACAAAGGATGGCCAACGAAGCGCAAGGATTCTTCTACACAGATCAGGTCATGCTTGAGAGGGCAAGAAGGATGAAGATGACGAGTTGTGACAAGATCGAGGCACTGGGATTGAGGATTCCGAGGTACTATTGAGTAAGTGGRGATGCATGTAGATGGCGTGGGATGATCAACTGTACAGGTCTGGGATTGAAATGGGTTGCATGCGAGGCGTTTGGGAGTCTTCGGCATTACTGGAGTATGCTTTGCTATTTTCCTGGCAGCGATGTTTCTTTCAATCAAGACTCCGCTTCTCTCCAACCTGTATTCTGCAGCTTGCTGGAATTCGCTCTTGTTGGCCGTTCTCATCGAAAAGGCAGCATTTCCAACCTCTGCTTTTTCTCGGGAGCTCCTTGTGTACGCACAATCCCTCCTTTGCCATATCTCCCTCCTCGAATGAGAGAGCTCGACGCATCTGAGCACGCATAGAAACATCTTTGATCGCCGCACTTCCCTCCTCGAGCGGTCGCATCTCGTCTTCTCCTAGTCCGATTGCATGTCTCGGAACTCTCAACCCGCAAATCTAGGAAATACCTTCTCAAGACCCGGCCGCATACCCTGCAGAATCCTCTCCACCCGAACCCAAGGCAAATCTCGCAGCTCACGCGCAGTAGCGAACATGTTGTGTATGAGATTTATCCTTGTTTGACGCTGCAGGTATTGCATCTTGGGCAAAGTTGGTGGCCGAGGTGCGTCCGGGTTGACGCTCCGATACATGACGCCTTTTCCGCTGTGGAAGGACTGGAGCCAAGCGATGAGGTTGGACCAGCAATTTGAAGACTCCTCGGATTTCAGGACAAAGAAGACTTCCTTGGTCCAGATGCAGATTTTTTGTCGTCTTGCTTCAGGTTACCTTTTGTTTTCGCCGCTTTGACATGATCGTAGAATCTCAGCTGTTGGGTGGGAGGCATTGAAGTTCGTGTAGGGAATGCGGAAGGTATTCTCGAGGTAGAAGATCATGTACGTTCTGTCGAAGTGAGCGGGTTAGAAGGGTAAGGTAGGGAGTTCGTCGCGCTAACATCAATCAGGTCGTGCATGTTTGGGTGGCTGCGCTATATATGACTCACTCTGCTCGAATCTGCTTGCATGTCTGGAGTAAGGCACTCCGGTTATATCCGGCTGAGGTTACGTCCACTCCTTCATGAAGTCTACATTTCAACAACACTAGTCGGTAGATTTTGTTCTTCACTTCTCCAGGAAGCGCCAAGAGCATTCAAGATGAAGCGGAAGTGATGGTGACACCAGCGCCTGGGTTGTTCGTCGGGGAGGAGTCCATCGCGTCCAATGCGCGGACTTGCGAATGCTGGTGGTGTCTGTTTGTAACCTCGAGAAGAGGTGGAGATTCTTTAGGGAAGCCGAAGTACGTTGGAATGATGTCAGATGCGCGTGGTTACGAGATCGCATTCATTCACTTGAGATGCCAAGACATATGCAGAGAAATTTTGCTGCTTGGAATCAACCGCTCTCACTGGCTTTGGCATCTCATCGCTAAATATTCGGCCGTCGATGGCTCACCTTCCTTTGCCTGAAATGTTCAATCAAGGTCTCATTTCTCCATTCTCCGGCCTGCGAATTCATGGACTGCCGCCTTTTCGAATTAGCTTTGTCAGCAGTGATGGATGCCATATTCTCAATCTCCGCATCCAGCCACGAGCTCGATGCATCCGGTCGCGCGCAACCTTCATTTCGATTGCAACTCGTCAAGCCACTACACCGTGTTCCGAAACCTCATGTACAAGATATCTGTCTATCCTAAGATCTTAGCGCGAACCTAGCGTCGATCTGCGCGGGACTAAGCCGCATAGACTCGAGGACCTTTATCCATCCACTCGAGCCCAAGACAGATCGCGAAGCTCAAAAGTCAAGACGAACATGCTCTTTACGATAAGATGACGCCAAACTACCTTGAGACGGCGGGACTTTTGGGACGCAATCTACTTGGATTGTCTTTTGGATCATGGATGTGTGTGACTGATCCTTCTCACCATTTGACTGAGATTGAGAATTGTTGATTGCACTGTGTTGTAGGCATCTGCATATATACGATGGAGAAGCTGGTCCATTATCTTTCGTCTTATCTCCTTGTCAGAATCTTGGATTGCCGCTCAGTCACTTGCTTGTTAACATGAAGGGTATATGTAGGTGTATAACTAGGTGAGGTACGTATAGTTAGCTGGGTACACGTAAGGTCTTGACTTGTATACACGTGAAAGGACTACGGAGTCACGAGAAAGAGAGAAGCGCCGCAATGGAGGTAGCTTTCGCCTGCACGTGTGAGATGCAGAGCTGTCGATATGAGTGTTGTTCAGCGAGACTACTAGGCACCCTCAGTCATCTTCACACCTCTTATAATCTTGTTCCCTACAGATTCGACGATTCTGAAGGTTTGGAACGTTTGCCACCAGCAGAGTGGCTGGTCAGTATCCAGAGAGCGTTTGACGGCTTCGCTCTCGATGATGATATTTCACATTGACAACTCTGGTAAGATGCACGAGCTCAAATAGTGGATAATCTTGAAGTGTAATTCGTGGTGCGATGAGATCTCCTTGCCTCCACCCAATTCCCACACCCGAGAAATATTCTTTCTTCCATCTCGAAAATGATGCTAGTAGCCTTGCAAAAGTGTAACATGCTCCATCATCTACGCCCTCCTCCCATCGACCTCTGCAAACAGAGGTTCAGCCCTCACCAAGCCCGGACGCATATGATTTAGAATCATCTTCACGCGGCTCCACGGAAGATCCTGCAAGTCTCTCGCGATCTCAAACATACTCTTCAACCCATCGTACTTGACTTGGTATGCTCTGATTCTTGTGGTAACAGGCCCAAGCTCGGAATTCTCATGACTCCATCGCAGTCCGGGCCTGTGATGGAGCTGCTTGAGCCAATCCATGAGGTTATTCCAGTGGAGAGACGGCTCTCCCGCGACGGGGCAAACCGTGATCGTCGGAGCACGGAGTCGTACACTATCACCTTGCTTCAGAAAGCAGAGTCCCGTCGAGTGTTTAACTGACAAGCAGTCGAAGAATCTCAGCGACTCGGTAGCGTCATAGTTGGTGATTGTGATTTCAAAGTAGTTGCTGGTGTAGTAAATTCTGAAGCTTCTGATTACCAAGTAGTAGTTAGCGGAGATACTTCGAGGTTGTGAGACAACATGGTGATTCATACTCTCGTCGGGTCATCTTGCATGCACGGATAAGACCGGTACGGTTATATCCTGAAGTGCCGATTTTAACGCGATCGGATGGGCTGGAGACGACAACGGCAAAGCCAAAGATGCGGTGCCTTAGCTCCCAGGGAAGCTCAAGGAGTCGGCATCGGGATGTGTCTRGGGATGTAACGAGCGACAGATCCGGCATTTTGTTTGGTACGTCAGGCGCAGTGGTTCGTTCTTTTCGACAAGAGAGATCGTTKGTCCGAGCGAGTGAAGCTTAAGGCGGATTCTTCCTTCACTTTTTGGCCTATGCCAAGGCTTCGATGAGAAAAGAATCACTGGTAAAAAAATTGAGTAAGGTTGTGGATGGTGGATAAAGCGTGTTGTTGATGTAATGTACAGAGTTCACAATGAAGTAAGAACAGCTGTTATACACGGTCACAGTCCACCACTCCTTCCTCTCTGGTGAACCATGGAGATGTCCGGAAGCCCACCATGGATACCACGCAAGTTTCCTTAAGAACACGTTGCCGAAATAAAGTTCATCCYGGGGACTCAAAATATGTTAGAGTCCCGTTAACCGTTCACATTGAATCAACTTAGAACTCAAGAAGCCCGCTCCCGTAGATTCAGTGCCAAAATGATGTGGCCATTGGATTGTGCCCTGTCTGCAGCAAGAGATCTACACGAGTCCTTGATATCCATTTCTGTCCCGCGGCTGACTTGTATTCGCACAGCATCTTCGTCACCTGCAGCAGCAGCATCGTGRGAGGGAGTGCCCAGCCCGAACGCCTTACGCACTAGACAGGTGTCTGGGCGGTTGTGGTAGCTTATCGCATTTACCGAGACGCCTTTTCGAATGAGGTATTGTATCATGATCTTGCGATCGTACAGCTTTCGCCATATTGCCGAGTGAAGCAACTGACCTTGCCCAATACTGCCACCGTTGGTAAACAGTATTTTCACCACAGAGAGGCGCATATTGAATAGCATCCGATAGTAGTGTCTTATCCATGGAACAGCCAGCATTCGGGCCGTTGCCATGAACCAAAAACTATACGGTAAAATCTGCGTCTTCCACAGCATATCTAAATAGCCATTAGCGGACTAAAGATGATGATCGCTGGGATTTTCTCACGCAAGCGCCGGTGGATCGTCCCATCCCAACTCCCTGTTCATGTCCCATCGTTTCTCGAACAACGACTGCAGTATCGCTATCAGTCATCAAACTTGTCTTCTTGGTCGCAGAGATGTTGCTGTGGATGGTGGATAAAGCGTATTGTAGATGTAATGTACAGAGTCCGAATGAAGTAAGATCCACTACAATACACGCAGTTGCTCTACCACTCTTTCCTCTCAAGTGGTCGAGGAGATATGGGTAAGGGGTGGTATTACTAGTGGAGTCCCGGCTAGCGACCCGAGCTGTTGGTGCGTAGCCAATCAGAGACGCTTTTGAGGTGGGCCAACTAGGTAGGAGTACGATGTAATCTTCGTCGGTAGGTAATCGCCGACAGAATAACAAGCAACCTAACGACACTGACCGTGGAAAGGCAGCGTAGCCTGCACCGGGGATCAGTACGCACTCCGTGTCTGCGGTACTCGTGCATTAACGCGTCGTAGCAGTTGGATTAGCGCAAGACGAAGGAGACATGATTCGATATCACAATTCATCCAGCAAGCTACATATTTCATACAATCCAAAAACGCCCCGATTGCCGCCGTGCGGTCCTTTCGAATCTTCTTTACTTGGCTATTGCGCGAATCTTTCCGTACATCTCCGAAGAAGCGGACGCGCTGTCTCCTGGAAAATTCTCTCCACCCGACTCCAGTGCATCCTTCTCCGATCGATGGTTTCCTGGAACATCCGATCGAGGATGAATCTAATGGCCATCTCCCGCGGGTCTCCATTGTAGATCCTGTATGCGTCTCTAGTGAAGAACTTGTGAAGGAGATTGTGCCCTCTATGAACGTATTCCAGCCAAACCATCAGATTTGGCCAGAGCTTGACGCCTTCACTCTTGTTTTTGGCAGTGAACCAGATCACAACCACGTATGGCGTTGTGTCTTTCTTGTGGAGGACTCCACGTACCTTTGCAAACATCATTACGTCGCGGAACTTTATCGGAGCGGTTGCATCGAGGTCGAGGATGGGCACCTCGAATATGTTCTCGAGTTGGTGAATCCGATAGGCTCTGTGATGTTGGTCAGCTAAAAGCTCATTGTGTGGGATGCATACTCGAAGCCGCCAAATAACTTCGCGTAAAAAGAGCGGCCTGCTCAAGACGGAGAGAGCTGCGCAGTGGGTGAAGTGACTTACTCTGAATAAGCTTGTTTGCAGGTTTGTAAGAGGGCGCTTCGAGCATAGCCGGTTGCATTGACGATGATGGGATTCTTCTCATCGGAAGTGACGACTGCTTGGCGGTAGATCATGTTCCTCAATTCGCCGGGGAGGTCGAAGAATCTGAACGGTGCGTCGGTGGTAGCCATCGTGTTGTTTGATGAGGTTGGGACAGACATCTTCGTTTGGGAATCGTGGTATTGTCCCTGCTGTGGTGTTGAATGTAGTAATGTGCTGTGTGGAATGAACTTTTCATGTGTCATGCCAAGAGATTGTCCTCAAACTCAATCTGCCAAAGGTCTGTAGAAATGAGTGCAACTGTGGAGGTTGTGGACAGTGAGCATGTAAGGTAATGCGTGATTGTTTGTTGTGATGTGGATGTAATGTACAGAGCCATTATGGAAGTAAGAACGCCCTTTACCCCACTGCATGTCCACGTCTCCTTCCCTCTCTTGTGGAGTCGAAGGTTGCTGCCCTAAAGTATCTGCCGCAACTCGAAGATTTCATCCTTCCTAAGAGAACGACAGCATGATTGAAGAAATATCTGTCAACAAAAAAGTTCATTTGGTTGGCTCTCCGTAACGACGTTTGTTTTGGTAGTCATAGCTGCGCGTGCGTTAGCGTAGCCGTCGCTTGATCAAGAGGAGAGCCGGCAAGCTTCACTTTCCTTCGCCCTCGTTCCAATAGAGAACCCTTCTCAACTCATCATTCTCGCAAATTCCTTGCCCACTTGTCGTCCAGCGCGATCAGACTTGGCCGCATGCCATCGAAAATCACTAGAAATTTGCCCCATGGCTCCTCCTCCTCGGATAAATCCACTATCATAAACATGGTTCCGATGATATGCCTCATCATCAGAGTTTCCAAGTCACAATGTTCGCCGTCGATCTGGGCCGGCTGTTCGAGTGCATAAGTCACCTTTGTGGCGTGGAAGCTCTGGAGGTATGCCATAAGATTGTGCCACAAGCACTCGTCTTCGAGCACAACGAGGCTTAAGTTAGTCGTAACAGCGAGCTCCATTGATTGTTGTTGAAAAAACGTCAGGTGTGTCTCACAGAAATCCTCAAATTTGACCAATGTGGTGCTGTTGAATCCAAACATTTCATGATGGAACCAATTCTGGCGAAGGAAAACGTTGTTCGCACTAAATCTTGTTAGTAAAATACTTTTGGCTTGGATGCCGTTGCGTCTCACTCATCGTGGATTGCTTTGCAGGTCAGCACCAGAGGGCTGCGCTGAAATCCTCGTGCGGTGATCTCGATCCGATTGTCGACGTCTGAAGTGACGGTTGCAAATTCGTAGATTTCAAGCCTCAATTCAGTAGGCAACTCGAGTAGTCTGCATCGCGGCACTTTATTTGCGCTCAGGGGAGTGCAGGATGCATCCGCGGATGACATGGCTTCTGTCATGCTAGTCGGCGTGATACGGTTTGTGAGTGAGTTGATGCGCGTGAGTGAGTTGATGCGCGTGAGTGTGTAGACGATGTCGGTCAACCGGATGTGATGGAGAAATGTGCGAGAATTTAAAAAGCAAGACGCATCAACGCCAAGGAGCTAGGCCCGAATTTGGCTCATTCATTCACATGCAAAGGCCGGTGGAAATGAAGATTGCCGGCTCTCCCTGTAATGGCTCGACTACAACGCTGGCGAATAAGCATTTGTAAGCACAAGATAAAGTAGTCCCGCAGGAAGTCGAAAGTTTCGCTTGCTTTATTTTCGTCGTCATACACGTATACGCCCTGACTCCCGTAGCAATCCCAGGCCCGAGTATGCAGAGATTGATGAGATAAGCTCAAGTGCGCAGCAACTACTCCTCAAGCTACCGCTGCACATCCGTATCTTCCCGCATGGAGTAAACCTCGCGTGACCTCTGTCTCATCCATCAGCTAATCCACGGCAGTAACATGAAAGGTATGCTTGCATCTACAAATACGGGCATTGCCCACCATTCGCAATACTGAAAAGGTTGACGGTGTTCGCTTTCGCAAAGCTGAACCGGTTGACAGTGGGCGTCACTATTGACTATCCAATATTCGGTCGACACCTAGTCGTCATCGTTCCAGCTCTTGTCAAAATCAGCGAGCATGGGCCTATGGAGGTTCAAAGTCCGCTTCAACGGCGCCCATGGCTTTCCTCTGTTCGTGTATTACAAACAGTACATGGTAGATATCAGATGGCACTCTGCTCCGGTGAACTTTCCAATCAGATTGACTTGTGTGTCATTGAAAGAGCTCCAAAGGCCGTGGGCATCATGCACAAATTCAAGCCATGAGATCAGGTTGAGTCAGAATCGACGGGTGTGAACTATTCCGACAGCGTTGAACTTGACAAGGTGCTTGCTAATACAGAGAGGCATGCGATCCATCCAATTCTTGATTGGTCTCGGATCGAAGTTCGTGATTGCGTGCTTGAAGTGACTCTCTTCATAGTAGATGCTGAGAGCTTCCTTCCGGACTTGCTTGCAAGTACCTAAAAGACCGCCATTCCGGCTGTATCTGGCAGATGTGATGACGATCGGGTCTTCTTCCAGGAGAGCGGACCGGTAAATGATGTTCTTGACGTTTGCAGCCAAGTTCAGAAGCGTGGGTGGATCGGTTGGGCGAACTGGACCGACGACTGCGAGACGAGTGGCGTCCTGCTGTGCTTCGGGATGGGAAAGAGACATGTTGGGTCGCTTGGCTGTAAAGTCGACAGAAATCAACACCAATGTGACTGTGACGCTTTCCGGGCGATTGTGTCAAGAATTCTTCGTCAGTTGATGCTTTGTGAGAGATTGCGGGTCGTTGGTCTCTTTTCAGAGCTGTCGATATGAGAGCTCATAATAAGCCTTATCTTATAAGGATCAATATGAGGGCGTTAGTAATAAGAGATGAGGAGTAGCTGTCTTTATAAGAGGTTAATATAAGAGGTAGTTAGTAAGTAACAAAAGGGATTGTTTTCCTGTCTTACTAAATGCGTAACGGTAAGTTTAACGGGAAAACGCATAAGTACGTATAATGTACGGTTATTGTTATAGTGTTTATATAAAGTTCTAATATTATAAAGTTTAGTAGTAGAGTTACTCTCGAAATGCTAAGGATATAGCGGGATCTTACGGGAGTAATAATTTATCGTATATTAATTAGCTTATAGTAACGGAGGCTCCCGTAATTCCTATAAAAGTTTCTTCGTCTAAACTTAATAGGCTATCTATTAAATATTAGTCGGAGGTTCGCAGATTTTTAGGGGTGGAGTAAAAGAGTATCTTAATCTTWAACTAGCTTACTATCTCCGATAGGTAGTACTTAAAAGTAGGAACTAATATGTTAATTTTATTTATTATTTAGAGATGTATCTCTATCTCCTAAGAAGAGATTTTACCCTATATAGAGTTATATAACCTTATAGCTACTTAGCTCTCTATTATATTAGATATATAGCTATTCTATAACTATACTTTCTAACACTCCTACTTAGGATAGAATAGACTATATATATTTCCCTAGATCTTTTAAGATTCTATTAAGTGTAGAAAGGTAGTTCTATAGCCTAGTAGTATAATTCTATCTTAGCTACTATCTTAGTGCAATTCCTTAACTTAGTATTATATAATCGAGTATATCTGTTCGGATATCCTTAATTATATGCTTTTACTAAATTTTAGAATGCTTATTATATACTAAGATAATTTATATATGTCTAGAAGTTTAGACTAGTAAAAGGTTTAGTYAGGCTATTTATAACTATTTCTTTTATTAGAAGGTATTCTATATAGATCTTCTTTTACTACTAAAGTCTTCTTATAAAGTTATATATAATATTAATGTGCTTTAACCTTTTATAAATATATACATCCTTTATAAGGGTAAGGTAGGCTTAGTTATCCYTAAAGAGTTAAACTAGCCTAAGCTATTTAGCTATGTCCTTTCCTACTTTAATTATTAGTTAAAAAGCAGATAATCTAATAAGCTTAGTTTAACCTATTTCTCTAAGTAATACTAAAAGGAACTATAATTATTTTATATATATATTTATTACTATAAACTTAGCTTCTATTATAGAAGTTGCTATAGATTTCTGCTTCTTACTTATCTATAAAATTAGGGTATTATATAACTTAAAYATATTTCCTAGGATAGAGATCCTATCTAACTTATCTATTATAAAGTCTAAGTCTAAGTACCTAATTAAGCATTTAGATCTAGATCTTATAAAGGTTAATCTAAGGTTAGGAAATAATCTTAGGTATCTTAAGACTTTCTTTAAAGCTTTTAGGTAGGCTTTAGATAGATTACTTAAAAATGTACTTAGCTTTCTAATTATAAAGGTAATGTCTAGTCTTATTATAATTATTAGCTACATCTATATTCTAATTATTATCTAGTATTCCTTCTTACTACATCTCTTATTATTTAGGCCTAACTTAATAAGTCCCTTATAATTATCTATTAGTAAGAGAGTTAGCTTTAAGGATTTTAACTTAATGCCTAGTTTCTAAAGACTTTCCTAAATATAATAGCTTTAATCTAGTTTTAGGGTTCTAAGCTTCCTATTTCTTATAATATTTATTCTTAGGATTCTAGATAGTTCTCTAAGATCCTTAATCTTAAAGATCTTTCTAAATTCCTTCTTAAACTAGTTTATAGAGTTTATTAATAGGGCAGCAATTAGAATATTATTAATATATNTAAGATCCTTAATCTTAAAGATCTTTCTAAATTCCTTCTTAAACTAGTTTATAGAGTTTATTAATAGGGCAGCAATTAGAATATTATTAATATATATTATAACTATAAGATTCTTTCTATAATAGAATATTAGATATAGGTTAACCTCTAACTAAACAAATCCTAAATCTTTAAGCTTTAAAATATAAAGCTAATTCTAGTCTCTAGTAGCTTGCTTTAATCTATATAGGCTTCTTAGGATTTTTAGGACTTAGCTAAGGGGAAGATCTACTCCTTTAGGTAGGGCTATAAAAATGTCTTCTTAGAGGTAACTATTTATAAAAGCACTATTAATATCTATAAGATAGAGTTCCTAGTCTTCCTTATAGACTATAGCTATAAATGTTCTTAAGGTTTTATATCTAATAGTTAGTGCAAAAGTCTCCTTAAAGTTAATCCTATATTTCTATAAAAAACCCCTTACTATAAGTCTTGCTTTTAACTTATTAAGGGCACTACTTGCTAATCTTTTTATAGCAAAGACCTATTTTAAAGTTATAAGGTTTAATCCTTTTAGAGTAATAGTTAATTCCTAGGTCTAGTTGCTTATAAGTAAATCTAGTTCCTTCTAGATTGCTTCTATCTATATTGCTCCCTATTCTTTATCTCCTACTACTTCCTTATAGGTAGCTAGAACTAGGATATTCTACTAGTATATAGTTTAGGTAGCTATTATAAAGAAAGCAAGTTTATAGAAGATATCTTATATTTCTAGATCCTAGTCTAGTTTAGAGATTATAGCTAATAGAGCCTATATAATCTCTATTACTTCTCTATTAGGATTCTAATCCTTTAGCCTCTCTTAGCTTATCTCCTAAAGGACTTTTAGTCCTTTAGATTTAGCTTTAAATCCTTTTATATTACTTATAGCTTTTCTCTTTCTTTACTCTATCTAAGGTAGAGAATTAACTTAGTTCTTAATTTTCTAGAATTCCCCTATATTTGCTAGGGGAGGAGGAATCTAAATAAATGCTATAGGGGCTAACTTTTTAGTTATAGGTTCCTAGATTAGAATAGGTTTAGGTCTTAGTATATTAGCTAGCCTTCTAAGTGGTTTTCTCTATAGTGCATTTAAGGAAAGATACTTAGATTAAAACTTTAAATCTAAATTACCCCCCCTCTTTTTCTTAAAGAATACTATATTTAAGTGCTGTTTTATAGCTCTTATATCTAGATCCTAGAAAAGCTAGGATTTTAATATTCCTTTAATATATCCTATAAATACTATATCCTTTCCTCTATTTATAAGTTTATTACTCCTTACCTATCTAGGTTAGGATTTTAGGTCTATATATATAATAGCTTAGTACCCCTAAACTCTTAGATAATATATAGTCGGCTTTATTCCTATAAATGCTTCTTTAGGTAATAGCTTAAAGCCCTTAACTTTAGGACTATTTAGCAGCCTATTCCTTATTTTAAACTAGGCTGCTAGGGCTTTAGGCTAAAATTTAATTAGCATTCCTAATTCTTTAATTATTGCCCTTACTATATCTTCTAATATTTAGATAGATCTTTCTACAACTCTATTCTAAATAGAGTTATATATATCTATTATATTAAAGTAGATTCCTAAATTCTTCTCCTACTATTTTAGTAAACTAGTAAGTTTAGGTATATTATCTAATCTTATTGTCTTTAATTTTAAAGATGTTTTTCTTTTAGCTTTTAGCTTCTAGATTTTTAAAGTAGCTAGGGCATTCTCTCTACTAATAAGTAGGTATCCCTATTTCTTTCTTAAGAAGTTATTAATAATTTCTAGCTAGTATTAATATCCTAATCTAGACTTTAAGAGAGGGCTATAGATATCTAGGGATATAAGCTTAAGTATCTAAGGTCTTCTCTTAGTAACTTTTCCTTTATATTTCTTTATCTTTATAAGAGTATAAACTCTGCACTTTTCCTTATAGTCTTCTAGGAGTTAGATTAGATCCTTTAAGTCTATTACTTTATAGATATTCTTAAGAAGATTCTTATTAAAATAGCTAAATCTTCTATACTAAAGCTCCTACTAATTTAGTAACTCTCTTATAGTAAATCCTATTTCCTTACTTTCTTCCTTTTCTTCTTTTACTAATAAAATAAGAGCCCTCTTCTAAAGGGACTCTAAAACTTCTAAAATAAATAGAACACTATTCTAGATTCTAGTCTAGATAATAGGAGTTCTATCTTATAATACTAGAGTAAACTAGGGTAGTTAAATACTATACTAATAGCTAAACTAATTCTAAGAAATAAGATTAACTCCTAAATTAGGTATAAACAAAACTTTATTAAGTAAGATTTTCTTCCTATTCTA